GAAAGAATGTGAGTAAGATATATGTAAAGTGGTAAGTGAAGAAAGGTTGAGAATGGATGCGAAAATTTAAAGAGTAAGTGAGTAAGGGTGCGAAAAAAGGAGAAAATTTGTATGTAAAAGCGAGAAATCTTTTGAATTCAGGTGCGGAAGAAAAATAAGTGTGAGGAAAGCTATAGTATACAAAATCTTTGCGAATAGTGAGAAAAGGGCCTGGAGGAACTTCATGCGATAATACTCTAGTAGAACTTTTTACCAGTAATTAATTTAAGTATTTCTTGTCGCACTAAGCAAGATTATCGATTAACATATATAACTTACCTCTCACATTCTTCACTATTTGAAATATACCAGGAATATTAAAATGAATAAAATATTATTTTTCTTATTAGATTATGATTTGAAAATAAGTAAAGATGATCTATGGGATTATTGTCAAGAAGTAAACATATATAATGATATTGAAATTGTGAAATGTAAAAAATATGAAGAAATAATTAAAAAATTAGAAAATGTGAATGTTTATGATTATGAAGCATTATATTTTGAGATTACTGAAAAATGTATAAAAATGAAATGTGTATATACAAGTATTTATAGATACTGTCCTTTAAACTCATTAGATGATATAGCTCCTCAACTTGTGTATTTTAAAACTGTAGGCTTTGATGTAAGTAATTGTTTACAAAGAACTGAAATAGATTTAGGAAGATTTGTATCTGAAACAGAGATTTACGAAAATGGAAGTGAATATGAAGCCTATAGAAAACAAATGAAAATTAATACAGATCGCTTTTTATTTTTTATATATAAAAATAAGATAAAAACAACTGCTTTAGACATAAACTTTTCTATAGAATTTAAAGATATTAATGAATGTATGAAATATATAGAATATATAGACAATGTTAAATATGAAGATATAGAGAATATAGAAAATGAAAGAATAAAAAAATTAAGAAAATCGAGAATAGCTGTAGATATAGATAAGCTATTTTACTCTTAAGATTACATCTAAGAAAGATAAAATAACATTATACTGTCTACATTATTTATATTCAATATTATTGATTTTTATTTTGCGGTTTTTTATTTTGCGGTTTTAATATGATGGCATACAAATAAATTCAATTCGAAAAAATGAAGAGAATAGCATTATTTACAAGTAATGAAAATTATGGAATAGAACCAGAAATAACATATTTATTAGAAAATGTACATATATAATTTTTTGGGGACTATGTGATATTTTGAATTATACAGGGTATGCATACAATATAGACATAGTATGATGGAAAAGATAAATTTGATGACAATGAAGCAAGATAGAAAATCATGTACTGTTTCTCAAGTGTGGTTTTCCCACCTAATCATCTCGAAATTGACGGAAGCATCAAGTTATGATGATTCACCACTTTAATCTGTTGACTTTCTCCACTTTTTTTTTGAAAATGGGGGCCATATATAACCCTTTTGTATTTATTAATAATAATATTATAAATGAATTCAGTTATCCAAATACACAAACTGTGTTTATACGGTGATGTTAAATTATATAAAGAATTAACTCTAAATCTTAATTTATATGAATTTGTGGTTAAATATGAGGATACCATGAAATAGTGTCTTCATAAGGGAGCTTATATTAATAAGTATTTTTTTGATATGTTAACAAAATTTAATAAAATTTATGATCTTGATTTTTCAGTTTATAAAGATTTGTATAGTGTTTATTATGAAGAATCTAAATATTTGTTTTATAATATTTGTAGAATAAAATTTGATTTTTTACAAATATGTGACATAGATGATGTATTTTTTAATGGATATGTTGATCGTTTTGATACTTCAGTTTTTGAAGAAGACGAAGAAGACGAAGAAGATGAATATGGTAAAATGATAGACGAGTATGGTATTATACATTTTGATAAATATGTTTTTAATTTATTTTTGGAAAATAAATATATTAGTAATTTTAATTATAGTTATACTCCTCATGATATTTTACACAATACTGATTTAGCAATGTATCTTTATTCTAGAAACGAACATGTCGATTTATGTTTATCTAGATTTCTTCTTGTAGATTTTGAAAGAGCATGTAAGTTGATTAATAAAAATACGTTTTTTACATTCTTTTCTTTTACCCCTAAAATAGGAGAGGATCCACAACATGAAGGCATTGACATCGATTTAACCTTATTGGATTATAAACAAGTTATGTTAATACATTATTATATTCTTCTTTATAATCAAACTAAAGTTGGAACAATTAAAACAGAATTTCTTGAACAATTCGATTTTGTAGAATATAATATTTTAAGTCTACTTAAATTTTTAAATGATGAATATTTAAATTTTTATTTCGACAAACTTTTAAAGAATCGTAAAATTGTTAAATTATTTGATATTACTATTAAAAAATATATGTACGAGGAAATGAGCGAAGTTAAAGCTATTTCAGAATATGAATATAAATGTCTAATTTATAATTCTTAGACTCTACATAAAGGAGGCGGAGTTCTTTTAATATTATCTAAATAATATGTATTCTGAATAAATTTTAAATGATCAAATGTTTGTTTTGACGTAATTTTACTTAAATAATATTTACTAATATACTCTGTAAGTTTATTTAATTTATATATATCTGTTTCAAGAGCAATAATTTTATTGAATTCATTAGAATTTAAACCTCTAGTACCTATATCCAGATCAGTTAAACCTATTATATTTTTAATATCATTTCTAAAATTATCCTGAGTGCCAGAAAATCTAAATAAATCTGCCATTGCTCTGGGAATTCTAGCTTTATTTATTAAAGTTTTAATGTCCAGTAATTCATTAACATTTATTGTTTTAAGTCTATTATAAATTACTGCAAATCTATTTGCATAAGCTGGTTGTTTTGGCATAACTAACTGTATATTAACATTAATATTTTTATTTTTCAAGAAATCTACAGCAGTAGGACGTAATTTGGCTATATAATATTTAGCCTTTAAAGCGCTAATTGTATTACCAATTGAGCTATATTCTAAAAACTTATTGTACAAATTATTTAAAGTTATATAATATTTATTTTATTTCCAAATATATTATCGTAGATATCAGGATTTATGATATTTATTGAGTATTTAAAGATTTTAATCTATCATAATCAGTACTACCATCTAAACTAATTCCATCTTCTAAAATTATATATTTTTTTGTTGTTCCAGTTTCATCATAATCAACTTCAATATTCCCATTAGACTGACCTTTTTCTAATACTAAGAAAATTGTATATAAATCTATAGGATCAGCAAATACATTAGCTAATACTACGTTTGATAGAATTAGTAGTAGTATCTTCATTATATATTATAAATATAGTTTCATATTTTCATTTTATTAGTTGATTCTGCCTTGAATTTTTTATACAATTCTCTTTCATCTTCTTTTCAAATGAGCCCAACATCTGCTACCATAACAAGCAGTTGTTTTTCATTTGTCACCGCTTTTACATGTTTCTTTATTGTAATCGTGTATTATTTATTTAATATTTGTACTATTCCTTTTATCTCATATTTTTCATCAGTATTTTCTATTATTATTTTATCACACAATGGATTCCAGTGAGTTTCTTTTATGTTTCCTTTTAAATCAATACTAGTACATGGCTCCCCTTTCCATTCTCTTATATATGCAGCATTTTAATATCCATTTGTTTTTATAGAATAAGGTATTTTATACTTATTGTTTTCCTTTATTGTTTTATATAATTTTGGAATATAGATTTCATCATTATCATCATGTCTCTTCTATAAAGCTATTTTATATTTATCGTGATAATAACACATTTCACTATCTTTAGGAAATTCCAATCCATTTTCAATCTTTATATTAGTTATGTAGGGCCATTCCTTTTGATTTATTCTACTTGCTCTAAACCAAGTTTTATAATCCAATGCTCTATATAAATCCTTTTTATAAACATCTACTCTATCGAATAATTCTTCTATTTCTTTACTTTTATTATTATATTCATTTTCAAACTTTTTACAAAATATTTCAAATTCGTTTATATTACTTCCTTTAAATACAAATATGTCATCATATAATTCAATATATAATTTATTATAAATCAATATTGCTTTCTTTATAGCAGTATTTTTTGTTTCAGTTATAATAACTTCATTATTTAAACCTATTATAGTAAGCATTACTTGTAAATTGAAATTCAGTTTATATAAAGTTACATTTGGTTTTATTATTTTAATATTAGGTATGTTTATATCTTCTGTAAATGATGTCATTTCACCTTGCCCATTTTCTAAATATATCCATTTATTTTTAGTATATAAAGCTATTTCATAATGTTTTCTAGTTTTTAGATATGGAGAACGTTCCATGTATACTTTTTCTACATGTCTTATTTTGTTTAATCTTAATATTTGCCATTCTTCATTTATTTCAAAGTCATCACACCACTCGTATAAATTTTCTATTACATATGTGAAGTAGACTTTGAACTCAATAACATGCACTAATAGTGATTTAACTTATGAAATAGAAAATGTAAAAAAATATTTAAATGAAAGCAAATATAAAGTAATTAAAAATGTTTCCAAAACTGACGATAATAAGTATATTCGATATTTTACCGATGGTACTTCTGATATAGTTGAATTTGAATTTTTAGAAAAACCAGTTAAAGTTTATATATCTAATATAGATATTATTGATAAAGCTTTATCTAAAGAGCTAAATCCTATAAGTAGTTTAAAATATAATAAAACTATAACCGAAGCTCACCATAAAGAAATTGTTACTGCTACTGAAAAATTATTTTTCATAGATATGCTTGATTGCATATATATGCCAAGTAACCACTTATATTAAAACTTATTGATGAAGCACTTTCTATTGCGGTTTTACAACCTTCAAACCAATTATCATCACTTAATCCATCCACATAACATTCATTTATATCAATTAATACTTTGTTATTAACAATTATTTTACCCAATTTCTTGTAAGTATGATCATAATTAAATTGAGACCCTTTTGATTTATTTTTTATCATAAATAATATTCCTTCTACTTTTGCTGTTAATCCTTCAAATGTTAATTCCCTTAAATCTCCTAATACGTAATCTTGGGTTTTTATTGGTTCTAAACTCAATTTATTTTTTAAATCATCTTTATCTTCTTTTATTTCGTATATATTCATTTCATCTCCATCAAAATCAGCATTAAACGAAGCACATAATAATGGATTAATTTCTATAGTTTTATTAACCCCGGGTAGCAATTTCACCAAAGTCATTGAACTTAAATTCAAAGAAGGCTGTCTATTTAATATACCAAAATTACATTCTATATTTGCTCCATAACGAATTTTAACTTCATTTAATTTAAGAGTTGGATTTGGTGTTATCACTGATCTTATACAATTATCTATTCTATGACCTTCAAAAAATTTATGAAAAACTTGTATTTTAACAAATACTTTATTTCATTTTTAGCTTTCATTTCATTGTAATCTTTATATAATTTTATTAATTTATCCGATCTTAAACATACGGGCAATAATATATTTTCATTATATATTCTTATATCTGATGGATTTATATCTTCAAAATTAAATTCAGTAGTTTTTGGCAATTATTCTTTATCTAATTTTACAATACTATATGTTTTATCATTATGTAATAATATATCATAACCTAATCCTCTAATATAACCTAAACATAATACAAAGAATTTATGGCTTTTAATTTTATTTTTACAACAATCAGTTTCTATCTTTCCAGTCAAAGGACATATATTTATACTAATAATATCGCATTTCCATAATTCTTTTAATGTATTCATTGCATCAATTGCTATTAATATTTCTCTTTCCATTTGACCAAATCTTAAACCACCAGTATTTTTCTTTCCTGCTACTGGCTGTCTATTAATAATATCATACTTACCTTTATTTCTATACTGCATTTTATCATTAACTTGATGTTTTAATGCTATATACATACAATTTCCTACTAATTTCTTTTTCTTTGTTTGCTCATTGTTTAAATAAACTATTCTTTCTGATTACTCATTTCTTTAATTTGTCCCATTGTCATTCTAGAAGGGAATGCATGTGGATTTATTAACAATTCTAATGTGTATTTAACATCGTCTTCTATTATAGTAGGCATATCTTCATTATCTACTATTCTACTTATGACAACTTTTTGTCCGTGTAAAGAAGTCATTTTATCTCCCACTTCTATATTTTATATTTCTTATATCACAATTTTTAGAAATTTTTCATTTTTAACTAAACTAGTTACTTTATCGTCAGTTTCTGAAAGCACAATTTCTATAGTTTTCACATTTTCTGGATTATATTTTTAAAAAATATATCATTTTTCCTAATTACTTTACCAAATTTTACATGACAACTTAATATTGTAGTTTCGTGTTCTCTGTATATCCTTGTTTTTATATATTTAAATTTATCGGCAGCTTTTTGTACTTCATACAATACTATCTTTTATATTAAATCTACAATAAGGCATTATTCCTACCAATAATATATGTCCTATTTTACCATATTTAGTATTAATTAATTTCTATAGTCTCCAAAGATAGCTTGTTTTATCATTGAACATGCAAACATAGTTCTTATAGGAGGATTTGACGTTCTAAATGGTATCATGTTTTCTGTTACACTAATCATAAAATCATCGCTTGGAATTATTTCTCCATGATAATTAAATATACCCATATACATCCGGCGTACTACTGCGTTTGTGGAGTAACCGCATCCACATGCCATTTTGGGACATCCTCGGTCTAACCAAGCTTTTAACCGAACAGGATCCTCAAATGGAAAATTGTCCTCCCCAGATTTCGCCATTGAAATCTCTTTCTTCACATTAACTAAAGTTATATATTCTACTGTTTGATCTCCAATATACGTTCAATACTTGAATCAGTTTGGTTCTCTTTTTTAGTAACAGATCAACACAATAATCAAGAATCATGTCGTTGATAGGCGGCGGATCAGATTGTTCTGTCAATGGTAATGCACTTGCGCAATTCAACAAGCATACTCAACAAGATCGGTCATTACAACAGCAAACAGCTAATCAACCTGTAGTACAAAATGGACAAGGATTTAGAAATGAGAGTATGATGAACTCGAGAGAGAAACAGCATTTTGAACAATTTATGAACGGTGGAAGTAATGGTGGACCTGGTGCTGCGTTTCAATTTCAACCAATGAGACAAGAGTTGAATAGAATCCAACAAACTGTCCAACTGACTCCACTTAATAATAACTGGACTCAAGAATTTCAATCCCATTCTCCGTCACCCATTGCTGTTCAACCAGTGGCTAAAGTTGGTAGTCCTGTTCTGTGGGGTGGTGAATTCCAACAAGGTAAGAATGCCCCAGAAATGGCCATGACTCATAATCAACAACAATCTACACCTGCCATGAGAATGGGAATGGGTAACTATAGGCCAATGATGGGAATGCTGATGATGCAACGGCCTATGCAGCAACTTCAGCAGCAACAACAGCAACAGCAACCTGTTCAAAGAGACGCTGAACAAAACCAGCAACTGCAAGTTGATTGGGATAATCATTTCAAAGAAGTTGAAGAATTAACCAAAAATGTTGAGCACGCTAAAGAAGGTGAGCCTGTAGTGAGAGCAGAATCCCCCGATTATGTCATTGATGATAAATATCAAGCCACATTCCAAGAAGTTTGGGATAATTTGAATTCTGAAGCTGTGGAAAATGATTTCATTAACCAACAATACGAGGAATTTAAGCACACGCAAAAGGATCCATTACCAGCAGATTTGGCTCAATGGGAAAGAGATTTTGCAAAATATGCATCTACAAGAGCTCATTTTGGGGTTTATAAGTTTGAAGAGAAGGCTTCTAATCAATTTTTGGATTTGCCTGCAGATCAAGATCCTTATGAGATTGGATTACAATTGATGGAAAATGGTGCCAAATTATCTGAAGCTGCATTAGCATTTGAAGCTGCTATTCAAAGAAATGAAAATCATGTTGATGCTTGGTTGAAGTTAGGCGAAGTACAAACTCAGAATGAAAAGGAAATTGCAGGTATTGCTGCGTTAGAAAAGTGTTTGGAGTTACATCCAGAGAATTCTGAGGCATTAATGAACTTAGCAATTTCATATATTAACGAAGGATATGATAATGCTGCATTTGCTACATTGGAGAGATGGATTTCCACCAAATATCCTCAAATTTCAGAGAGAGCTCGTGAAAAGAACCCAACTATTTCAGATGAAGATAGATATTCACTTAATAAGCGTGTGACTGAATTATTTATGGAGGCTGCTAGATTATCACCCAATCAAGCGAATATGGATGCAGACGTACAAATGGGATTGGGAGTATTATTTTATGCCAACGAAGATTTTGACAAAACTATTGATTGTTTCAAGGCAGCATTATCAATTCAACCTAATGATGCAGTTTTGTGGAACCGTTTGGGAGCTTCATTGGCCAATTCTAACAGATCAGAAGAGGCCGTTAACGCGTATTTTAAGGCATTGGAATTGAAACCAACATTTGTGCGAGCTCGATACAATTTGGGAGTCTCGTGTATTAATATTGGATGCTACAAAGAGGCAGCAGAGCATTTGTTAAGTGGGTTGGCAATGCATCAAGTTGAAGGTGTGGATGCTAATGGTAGCACGTTGAACCATAATCAATCGACATCTTTGACAGAAACGTTGAAGCGGGCCTTTATCGCCATGGAAAGACGTGATTTGGTTGAGCTTGTTAAGCCCGGTATGAATATTGACCAATTCCGTTCAGAATTCAATTTTTGAACGGTAATGAATAATGATAATTATGAGAGTGCTTGCTGTAGACGTAGAGTAGGAGCGAAAAAGGAGTCCCTTGTTGCGATAACACAAGTAATCACTTTGGGTGCAATAAAAGACGACAAGAGTGGTGGAGTTTTTAGATTTAAGAAAATGCTTACATGATCCACCAAATATAATTACATTAATGCTATAGAAGCTTTGATGTCCAGTATATTTAACGAATGACATACAGTTGTATAGTTTCACAATCTATCATGTTACTGTTAGCCGAGTCAAATGACTCATGGAAAATTTTCCGGTGTAAAAATTTCAAAATCGAAAGGCTGGATTATGACTGGTCATGTTCAAATTCTACCCTCTTTCTTTGTTATCTTATCTTCGTAAGACAACTCTCTCCAATGACATTTCCCTTGTTGCCATTGATTTCGTCTCCTACTGAGACTGAGACCATCGCAAAGTATGCTGTGACCGGTAAAGTGCTTTTCCCCCTCGGTTCAGTGACTCCCTCCAAACACTTTGTGCACGAATATGGAAAAGGTGCTGCAATTAGCGTTGATGCTACTGCCAGCAGTGTTAACGTTGATAAGGCGGTTGAATTGCTCAATATCGGTATTAAACAATTATTTATTGATGAAGCTGACTTTGAACTGTTGATCTCAGTTGCTGGCTTACCAAGCTCCAGATTTGTGATCAAATGTAGTGACGGTGCCTCTCCCTCTCCAAAGGTATTGGAATCTAAGGCTTCCTTGCTCTTCTCAGAACCAATCTCAGACTCTGATTTCATACAATTTTCTGCCGGTGGGAATAGACCAGTCTATTTACAATCGTCAGAGTTTACCGAGGCTTCAGCTGTGGCTGCCGCTAAAAAGGGTTACATTCCAATCATCAATGCATCACAATTGACAACAGAAAGTGTCTCTTGTAACAGCAATGAGTCTCTTATTCCCATTTCTGCTGTTTTCATTGCAACCTTGACTACTGATCGTCCTGACGGCTTATATACCACATTAATAAATGGTCCTGCTCCAGCTTATACGGCCTTGGGTGTTGTTTACTCATCAAAGGAATCTATTGCTGAGTCTATTGCTGTTGGTGAAGGTGTTTACCAATCACGCAAACGTCGTGAAGAATTGTGGTACAAGGGTAAGACCAGTGGTGCAACCCAAAAGTTAATTCGTTTAGAAAGAGATTGTGATTCTGACTTGGTCAAGTTCACTGTTGAACAGAAGGACGGGACTGGTTTCTGTCACTTGGAAAACAACCACACATGTTTCTTTGATGGAGATTTAACTGAATCAAAAGAGGCAACTGGATCTGGCTTGCCCAAATTGGACGGTACATTAATTAAGAGATTTGAATCTGCTCCAGAAGGTTCTTACACCAAGAGATTATTCAATGATGAGTCCTTGTTAGTGGCTAAGTTAAAGGAAGAATTGGATGAGTTGATTGAAGCTGGGAAGGACAAGAATCAGGCAGAAGTAGCATGGGAAGCTGCTGATTTGTTGTACTTTGTCATGGTTTGGTGTATCAAGAATGGTGTTAGACTTTCTGATATTGAAAGAAACTTGGATATCAAAAGTCTTAAGGTTACTAGACGTAAGGGAGATGCCAAAACTGCTTACGTTGAAACATCTTCATCACAACCAAAGACAGTTGAACCTATTGTCACTGAGGATTTGTACAGGATGAAGATCATCGATTCTAAAACTGCTTCTGCCTCAGAAATTGAAGCTTCTTTAACAAGACCAGTTCAATCTACTAATGATATCATGAAGTTAGTGTTGCCCATAATTAAAAAGGTTCAAGCAAACGGTGACAAGGCATTACTTGAATTGACTGAAAAGTTTGATGGTGTCAAGCTTGAAGCTCCTGTTCTAAATGCTCCATTCCCTGAAGAATACATGCAAATCTCTGAAGATATGAAGGAAGCCATTGATATCTCTATCCAGAACATTGAAAAGTTCCACACTGCTCAATTACCTCAAGAGAAGGTTATGACTGTGGAAACATGTCCCGGTGTTTATTGTTCACGTTTTGCAAAGCCAATAGAGAACGTTGGTTTGTATGTTCCAGGGGGTACAGCTGTTTTACCTTCAACAGCTATGATGCTAGGTGTTCCAGCTAAGGTTGCTGGTTGTAAGAACATCGTTTTTGCATCACCACCTTCTCGTTCCACTGGCAGATTGACTCCGGAAGTTGTTTATGTGGCCCATAAGTTAGGTGTTAAGTCCATTCTTATGGCTGGTGGCTCTCAAGCAATTACTGCTATGGCTTATGGAACTGAATCAGTGTTGAAGTGTGATAAGATTCTTGGTCCTGGTAATCAATTTGTTACAGCTGCTAAGATGTACGTTCAGAATGATACTGAAGCTTTGTGCTCTATCGATATGCCTGCTGGTCCTTCCGAAGTGTTAGTCGTAGCAGATGAAGAAGCGGATGCGGACTTTGTTGCTAGTGACTTGTTGTCCCAAGCAGAGCATGGTGTTGATTCCCAAGTTATCTTAATTGGTGTTGGATTGACACCAAAGAAATTGGCTGAGTTTGAAGAAGCCGTCAAGAGACAAGCATGTGTTTTGCCCAGAAGGGAAATTGTTCATAAATCATTAGCACATTCCTACATTTTGTTAGTGGATACATATGAAGAAGCTTTTGAATTATCAAACAAATATGCACCAGAACACTTGATTTTACAAATAACAGATGCTCAAAAGTACGTTCCAGATTATGTTGAAAATGCTGGTTCTGTATTTGTTGGAGCTTTATCGCCAGAATCATGTGGAGATTATTCTTCAGGTACCAACCACACATTGCCAACATATGGTTATGCTAGACAATACTCTGGGGTGAACACTTCTACATACCTCAAGTTTATTACTGCACAGAATGTAAGTGAAGAAGGGTTAAAGAGCATTGGTAAAGCAGTTATGACTTTGGCTGCCGTTGAAGGCTTGGAAGCCCATAGAAACGCTGTACAAGTTAGAATGGATAAGTTGGGATTACTTTAATATTTATAGACACTATATACCCAAGTTTTGATTTAAGCTAAATAAATAATTAACTGACACTATCTATAACTTAGAACCAGCTACAAAGTTAACTCCTTGGTCAATTGAACTCTGTAAGCCTTTAAGAGCAACATCTACTAATTTCCTTTCGTCGTCAGTGATGTTTAACAGAGTAAATGGATCAACAAATGATTTGATTTGACCATTCTCCAACTCAACAGGAACTGAAAAATATTCCACACCATTTAAGTGCAGCTTAACCAAATCATTCCCACCTTCCAAGCCTGGCAAATATACATAAGCAGAGTCTGAAATTCTGTTGGAATCACTTGTTCTATTCCCGACCAAAGATTCAATTATATGTTCTGTGAATCTGTAACCAGCATAAGCCATAGATAAAGTGGCTGAGCCAGCCCCATTTTTAGCCTGAACAACTTCATCACCACCAAATTGAACTCTGTGAACAAATTTAGCATATGCTTCGCCAGACAATTTGGATCCGTTAATATCCGGAACAACGTTTGTCAAGGGCACAATTGTGTCACCGGAATGACCTCCAATAACAGAGATTCTGCCCTTAACATAGCCTGGTGAGACCAGCAACAAATCTCCTAAAAAGGTTTCTGCTCTAACGGAATCCAAAGTAGTGACACCAAAGAGCTTATGAGGGTTGAAAACTCCCAACTTCTTAAACACTTCAGCAGCGATTGGCACAGTAGAATTAACAGGATTAGAAATAATCAATACTCTAGCATTAGGTGCAACCTTAGCAATACTAGCAGCCAAGTCCCTAACAATAGACGCATTGACATTGAACAAATCGGCTCTGGTCATACCTGGCTTACGTGGTACACCGGCGGGTATGACCACAATATCTGTACCCTTTAAAGCACCTTCAATGGCAGATTTATCCTCCTTATCTTTGGGTTGGTATCCCGTCACTACGGCTGAAGTATTGATGTGCGATAAGTCAGCAGCCACTCCCTTGGCGTTTACAATATCAAATATAGCCAACTCAGAAACGTTGGGATTGAGCTTAACCAAGAGTGATAAAGGTTGGCCGATACCACCGGCACCACCACAAACAGTAACTTTAACCATGATCTCAAATATAAAAAGTGCAAACTAAAATTGATATAATGTACCTACGTGAATACCACGAGAACTCCCAATAAAGTAGCAATGAAATATTTTCAACTGTAATTTTCAAAGTCTTCTTTGGATTGCTTTAAGTATGATCTCAGTAAAAGATGATTCATAGTCACATGTGACGATGTCCTTACCCCATACAGTCGGTAATGTGGGGACGACTCTGGTGATGCCTCGGGATTGTAGACTTCCTTTTCAGGTAGTCTGTAACTTAAAGATGGATTTCTGGATTTCACATGAATCTTGCAGTTGAACTTCAAATTAAACAAAGAGATCTTTGGTTTGGTATAAATTCAACGAGATGATGGGTTTGTCCGGAGAGCAACGATAACGTCAGTTGCTTTGCTGTAAACGCAAATATAGTGCTAAGTCCTCTTGACATCGAACAGATTCACTTGCATTCCCGCTATTGTTGTGTTGAGCACGACCTTTGCTTTTTTTGTTGTAGTATCTATCGGTTGGTTTACCCTTTGCGGTAACCCATAATCATCAAAATTGCGCCTTTACACGAACAATTAACGGGTTATATTAGCTGATTCTTGAACTGCAATTGAAGAATCATGCAATCTCGATTGATAGAAACCCTTCCAAACAGTCTTTTATCAGCAATCTATAATGTTCTCTTCATTCCAACAACTTCCACTATTGAATAAACTACAGTCTTTGAATGTCGCTTCCGACAAAACTCAGGAAGGAATATATAGGAAGGTTTCTTGGTAATTAATTAGTTTCTACTTGTAATTACATTCAGTAGTTCTTCTGAATAAATTGTAATACCTCGAATAATTCTTTTAATCGATTCAATCACTGCTGTGCATAATCTTCCTACCTTCGACTGATGTGTTTTGATGCACTATGAAGGAACCCGTTGTGTGTGCCACAATTTCGATATAGTCGCTTATATGTAGTGCTCTAGCGGTTTCTGTTTTGGGAAACCCGCTAGCAAGGCACCTATGAAATGGCTTACCTCTGCGGATGAGTATAGTTAAGATCTTCTTGGCAATACGTCAAGATCCTGTCAAATTACTTTGACACTTTGCATGCAAGAGTGAAGGAGATAACCGACAACTAGCGCAACACTTCTTTATGCTTTTGGAGTTCCATGATCCGTCAATATTTTGATAATGTGAGAGAAGATAGAGAGGTACAGACTTATTACTATTCTAGGACATATTGCGCTAACACCATATCTGACATATTTTCTTCAATCAAATCGGGATTCGCGGGCATCAACAATGAATTTTCCCATTTCCCAAAATTCTGAAAAGACCGCTTTTTTCTTTGGTGTCCCGCTAAGAAGTGTTAACCACCGTTTTTTTAAAACCTGCTAATACCTTTAGCCGTACGTCTGTAATTGTACCCATAAAACGGCATTTTCGTTTTATTGTTTGGGGAGAGCTACTTGACCTTTTGTTTTAAGGTGACTACTGGGTTTCTATCTCGGCAACGTTAATCGTAAGAATTACGAGATAAGCTTGTAAGCTAAGTGTTCAAAGACTTTCAACGTCTTGAAAAAATATGTGAAGTGGTTGTGTTGTATTGGAGAAAGCAGTATCCAGAAAGAAGTGTCATAATAGAGTTATGATACTTTGAGTACGGCATTTTCTTTGTTTCATTTTTGTTTTGGGAAATGCAGCATCTTTTTTTCGTGATGCCTTATACCTAGTTAGCGGGAAAGTATGTCGGCCTATCCATTGCTTAACTTAATGTAGATTGTGATTGTTATCATGGAGGATGGTATAATAATGAATGCACAATACACTTCCGGAGTCCATTACTTGCTCCCGGAAACCGCTACCACAGCGTATCAGCTTATCTTATTCTCATGTGGGGTATTTTTGTCTAGTTAACTCTTAAAAGCTGTTAGCCACTTGCAATCTCGATAGCTTTTGTAACGTCATGCACAGTTTAGCCACTTTGATATGATTATACTTGAGATGAGGAGAAGTATATAATGTAATTGTAATCATCAGTTCTTTAATTATAACATTATATATATCAATCGTCCAAAAAAACATTACTTCAAGCATATGGTTCATCTGGCGCCTCTTTCACCTGTCCATTCGGCAGTCCATACAATAACTTCAAAAACTGGAGATCATTTCAATGCCATAGCTACGCATCGTTCAGTAGTTCGTTCAGTGGAACATCAAGCTGACACTGAAGAAGGCCTTTTGGCTGAAATTGGTTATAAGCAAGAATTGAGAAGACATTACAATACATTGGAAACATTTGGTATAGCCTTTAGTATTATGGGTCTTTTACCTTCAATCTCATCCACAGTAGCCATCGGCTTAGAATACGGTACTACTGGTTTAGTGTGGGGTTGGTTTGTATCTGGTATTTTTGTCCTCCTGATCGGTGCCTCTATGACAATGTTGGCATCGTCGTTACCAACATCTGGTGGTTTGTACTATTGGACTAACTACTACGCTCATGAAAGCATCAGAGTTCCTTTATCCTTCCTTATCGGATGCTCCAATACTTTGGCTCTTTGTGGTGGTTTATGTTCCATTGCGTATGGTTTCGGTGCTGAGGTACTAGCAGCTGTCAGTGTAAACAAAGGTGGTGATTTCAACATTACCCAGGCAAAATTGTACGGTGTCTTTGCCGGTTGTGTCATTGCAGCTTGTGCTGTTTGTTGCTTGAGTACAAAGAAGGGTAGTTACATCCAAACGGCGTCTATCTTTATTAATTCTTTTCTTATTGTTTTATTCTTGATTGCTGTCCCAATTGGTGCTAGCAACAATGGTGGATTTAACGATGCTTCCTTTATTTTTGGCAATTCTACTAACGCTAGGGATTGGCCTAGGGGATGGAGTTGGATGCTTTCCATGATGCCGGCCATCTGGACAATTGGTGCCTTTGACTCTGTTGTGCATATGTCCGAAGAGTTGAAGTCCAAGAAATCTATTCCATGGGGTATTTTAGGATCAATTAGCGTCTGTTGGATCTTTGGATGGTGTATCTGTATTGTCATTGCTGCTTGTATTAAAGATGGAGATTTGGAAGCCGTGCTTTCAACGAATACTGGTTCTCCAATGGCGCAAGTTATACTTGATGCTTTAGGAAAAAAGTGGTGTGTTGCTTTCATGGCCTTAATTTCAGTTGGTCAATTCTTAATGGCTTGTTCTATTGCATTAGCCGCATCCAGACAAATTTGGGCATTTGCTAGAGACGACGGTACTCCTTTTGTATACAAGATCATCAAGTACGTTGATCCAAGAGTTAAGGTACCAATTAATGCCACTATATTTGCTGCAGCCCTTTCTTGTTTTATCGGGTTATTGATCTTGATTAATACCACGGCTGCAAATGCATTGTTCTCATTGGCCGTCGCTGGTAACTATGTTTCTTGGGGTATGCCAGTATTTCTTGTGGTTTTACCTTACGGTAAGTCAAAGTTTATTCCTGGTCCATTCCACTTTGGTAAATTCCTCTCTACTGTTGTCAACTGGATTACTGTATTGTGGATCATCTTTATCATTACCTTGAGTATGTTCCCTGATAGTAAGAAAGTAAACAAGGAAACAATGAACTACACTGTTGTCATTAATTGTGGAATCTGGTTGTTGTCCATTATTTACTACTACACATGGGGTTACAGAGTCTACAGTGGTCCCAAGTCGAACTTGGATGGTTCAGATGCTGAAGAGGTTTATTCCAAAGAAGATGATTTGATTGACGCTAAAGTATAGACATGCCTTAGTGAAGTTTGTGTATTCTTTATTTATTTTTTTTAACGATTTTAGTAAACATGAATTGATTTTGATTGCCATTATTATTATACTGTATTTTAAATTTCTCCTCATTTTCCAAAGGACATTTGGTTTCCCCTCAAAAGTGCGATGTTTATAGATAATATACTTATTCTAAAAAAATAAAAGCTTACATAGAAAGTTCCTATGAATTAACACTAAACCTTATAGGCTGCTATTCTTTCAGTATCGGCTGCAAATAAGCTTAACTTACATCTGATAAGAGTTGTTCTAAAATCTGACTATATGCAAAATTCAAGGTATCACCTACCTATCTCGGAGACTCTAGCCAGAGTTTCGGAAGAGATGTGATTGAAAGATAGAGACAATAGTTGAAAACAACAATGTAGAATTCAAAATATAATGTATACAAGCTTAAATCTAGGTACTTTCTAAATCTAGGGGATTTGTTGTAACGAGTATTATACGATAAGACAAGGTAACCAACTTCATACCTTGTAGAAATTTAGCTTGTGCGACATATTAAGTCAAAGAAAAACAAATGTCGTACCTAAACTGGTGATCCCTTACTTAAAAACTTGACTTATGAACCGTAAGCGATACCTTGGGCCTGTCATTGACATTTGACAAACGTACCATGAAGTCTCATTGGCTGATTTAACTTTGGACTGCATTGAGTTCTTTCACCAATTGAGTAAAAGATAAGGGATGCCGAATCTTATCTGTGGATAAAAATAAAAGCCTATCTGAACTAATAATATCCTTTATAAGCCCCCCTTAGAAAATGTCTTTGAAGACATGGGTCAAATGACTTTGATTTTTACCTTTGAACTGCGAGTTTCAATACCCTTACTTACCCTTGGCGATTAGCTTTTGTTCAGACACAATGCCAGACGAAATTTTCTCGTAGTTTTTTGATAAGAATTTATTTTCTTACAAAGTAGCGTACCCCTTTGTGCTCATTTCTTCCTATGTACCCCACGTTCTGGATTACGTGAGGTACATCTATTAAAGCGATTTTATCTACTATGGAACAAATGGTGGCATCTAGAATGCTGAACTCTGGCGACCCACGTATAATGTATGCTAATGATTTACAGGCATTTGGGCTGAAAACATTTATACTCTTTATTTTTTTTTTAAAAGCCTTATCTCGTTCAATTACGTGTCAACCAGATGTGCTGCTATTGTTAAATGAGATTATCCATCTCAGGATTCTTTTTGGGAATTTGCATGCGAAACTGTGATAAGAGTTCTATAAAGCCATTATATAAATATTGAATAAGTTGTCAGAAAGAACTGTCCCCATGCATTTACTTCTTAGTAAGTACAATACGTGCAGGCCACGAAATTGCAACCATGACAAAAGTACTTTCTCCTGTAAGTTCTGCTGTTCAAGCGATATCATCTCGTACAGACCAGTATTTTCACAATGTTACTTCCAATAAATCAGTTGTCAGATCCGTTGACCATAATGTTGGCTCTGAAGAAGCCCTTTTAGCTGAAATTGGTTATAAGCAAGAATTGAAAAGACACTACAACACTTTAGAAACTTTTGGTATAGCTTTCAGTATTATGGGACTTTTACCTTCTATTTCCTCAACAGTTGCGGGAGGTTTGGAATGTGGACCAGGTGGGCTAGTATGGGGCTGGCTTTTTTCTGGTTTTTTTGTGCTATTGATTGGTATTTCAATGACTATGTTAGCATCATCATTACCAACATCTGGTGGGTTGTATTACTGGACCAACTTCTATTGTCCAGACAAATACAGAGTACCATTGTCCTTCGTTATTGGAATATCCAATTCTTTAGCTCTTTGTGGTGGTTTATGTTCGATATCATATGGGTTTGCTGCTGAAGTGTTGGCAGCCGTTAGTGTGAACAATGATGGGGCGTTCTCCATTACTCAAGGCAAGCTATATGGTGTTTTTGCAGCCTGTGTAATTTGTGCATGCGCACTTTGTTGCATAACTACTAAACACGGTAGTTACTTGCAAACCCTTTCCATCTTTGTCAACTCGTTTATTATTATTTTGTTTTTCATCGCAGTACCAATTGGTGCTAGCAAACATGGATTTAACGATAGAGGTTTCATCTTTGGTGATTTGACAAATGTCCGTACTTGGCCCAAGGGATGGAGTTGGATGCTTTCTATGATGCCGGCCATTTGGACAATTGGGGGCTTCGACTCTGTTGTGCATATGTCCGAAGAGTTGAAGTCCAAGAAATCTATTCCATGGGGTATTTTAGGATCAATTAGCGTCTGTTGGATCGTTGGATGGTGTATCTGTGTTGTCATCGTCGCATGTATTAAAGGCGGTGATATTGCAGCAGTTCTTGAATCTGCAACCGGCTCACCAATGGCTCAAGTCATCTACGATGCGTTAGGAAAAAAGTGGTGCGTTGCTTTCATGTCGTTGATTTCTTTGGGACAATTCTTAATGGCTTGTTCTATTGCATTAGCCGCATCCAGACAAATTTGGGCATTTGCTAGAGACGATGGTACTCCATTTATTTATAGAATCATCAAGTATGTTGATCCAAGAGTTAAGGTACCAATTAATGCCACTATATTTGCTGCAGCCCTTTCTTGTTTTATTGGGTTATTGATCTTGATCAATACCACGGCTGCAAACGCATTGTTCTCATTAGCTGTTGCCGGTAATTATTTGGCTTGGGGTATGCCAGTTTTCCTTGTGCTTTTGCCCTACGGGAAGCAAAAATTTGTTCCAGGCCCATTTCATTTTGGTCCCGTTGTATCTACCATTATCAATGTTCTTACAGTACTGTGGATTGTGTTTATTATTGTATTGTGTATGTTCCCTGATAACAAGAGTGTCACCAAAGAAACCATGAACTATACTGTGGTAATCAACTGTGGAATTTGGTTGTTGGCTGTCATATATTATTTTGCTTACGGTTACAGAATATACAGCGGACCTAAATCTAACTTGGATACAATCGATGGTGAAAGTGAGAGTAATGACAATTTGGATCAGATTTTGGACGAGAAGGCTTAAGAGAGAGAAAACTGTATGATAATTGGTCAGTTTGAAACAATTGTTTGAATTCATTGCTGGGCAACAGACATAATATTTGTGTTCGTAAACTATGAATACTGAATCACTAGGTGCAAAGACCAAGGAAATCCTTCAATAGTTGAAATGAAAGCCGTCTTTCCTCTTTCCAATTGTATCTCATTTTCCAGTACTATTATGCTTGTTTGCTAATTAAATATCATTTACTAGTAACACTATTTCATCTTTTCATCTTCGTCATGCTATGTTTCAGTATTTATTCCACCTTTATATAGACCTACGTTGGCTTTCGGTGTGTGGGATAAATTATATCTTTGAAACACACTAATAAAACTAATACTACGAATAATTTCTTACATTAGGTTTGAACATTTCCTGGCACTAGTAAAGAACTTTCTACTACTATATTATGTAAATTCACGACCTAGTTTGAAGTTTGAATAGAACCATTGCACTATAAGGAATATCAAGCGAAAATGTTTCCCCAAAATTCTATAAACCTATTTGAGTCACAAGAGTCCTAATTGGGTACTTGAGGACAAATAATTGATTTTTGTGAATCAGACAGGATTTTTTCTTCCCTACATTGTCTCTGCGTCCTGACTTTTGGCAGGCAGGCCAAGCATGTTATTATTTTATATCTTGGCGGTGTCAAATCCAGATAGTACTTGACAGGATCCAAACTAGAACAATAATTGCTACAGAGGTCAATGGAGTGTGAAGTTTCAGATGATATTCAAAGTAGTGACGATAATTCTGGGACCCAAATCTAGCATCTCTGGGTAGATTGGGACTTCTCTTATCTACGTCCGCCAAATTAATTATGTCCTGCAAGCAAGGCAAGCGATAGGAGTGAACGCAGCACTTTGTCTTGATTGGCGGGTCCCACAGTGGATTATAACGGGCATTATATCCATTCTACTTTAGATTTACTGATTTGTATCAAGGGCACATATATATGCCAATTGTTAAATAGATAGTGGGGTTTTCGTAGAACCGTTTGTATTTGGTATTTTTTTCTTTTACTCGTTCGTTTTATTGTGGAGAAAGAGAACGGGTATGCCACTTAGTTTATGCGAAATATGTAGCGACAAAATGGAGTCTTTGTAGTGTTTATTTCTCTAGTAGCCTTTTCAAGAGTTGACGTGTTTGGTAATAATACTTCATAATACGGCATCTTTAGTCCACCAAGGACTTATATCATCGAAGTTAGAGCGTCAACTTTCTGGCTTCAGCGTTAAATCAACTATTAATGACGTTCTATATATACAACCTTAACGGCCTTGGAATGCTTGCGTCAAAACTTCCTGTTTATGGAAGTGATTACCGCAGTTTACTCTCTGCTGCAAACTAGTTATATAACAATAGTTTTCAGGCATATATGCGTTTTCACTTAAGACTAAATCACCAATATCTTATCTCTGTCGTAGTTGCGATTAACTATATATATTGAACATTGGAGTCTTACCTTTATCATCAAGTTTTTTTTTCCACAATTAGTTTTACAACATCGACAAGCTTGAAGATGGTTAGTAAACCTTTAAGTCCTGTAACATCAGGCACCCATGCACTCAATCCCATTACTTCGGGGATTCAAACCATCAAATCAGTCACACATGCTCATTTGCATCAAGTGATGTCATCTAAATCGGTATTGAGAGATGTGGATCCTACTGCTGCTCACAATGAAGTAGAGTTATTGGCTGAAATGGGTTACAAACAAGAGCTTAGAAGACACTACACAACTTTTGAAGCTTTTGGTATTGCCTTTAGTATTATGGGTCTCTTACCAAGTATAGCATCCACAGTTACTGGTGGTTTGGAAATGGGCCCCGCTGGATTTGTTTGGGCTTGGTTCATTGCTGGAGGTTTCACTTTATGTATTGGAATGTCTTTGACAATCATGGCTTCGGCATTGCCTACTTCTGGGGGTTTATATTACTGGACTAATTATTATGCTCCTGATTGGTGTCGGGTGCCATTGAGTTTTCTTATCGGTTGTTCTAATACAATTGCCTTATGTGCTGGTTTATGCTCCATCGCCTACGGGTTTGGTGTGGAAGTGTTATCAGCTGTGTACATTAATCGTGATGGTGATTTTGATATCACAAATGGAAAGTTGTACGGAATGTTTTGCGTTTCGGTGATAGGAGCCTGTTTGTTTTGTTGTCTCACCACAAAGCATGGAGCTTGGTTGCAGACTGCTTCTATTACTCTCAACACCTTCCTTATAGTGTTGTTCTTCATTGCTGTTCCCATTGGAACCAAAAAAAATGTTGGGAAGTTCAACGATGCATCATTTATCTTTACTAAGATGCCTAATGCTAGAACATGGACTGATTTTTGGTCTTTCTGTCTCTCCTTCATGCCTGCTATTTGGACCATCGGTGCATTCGACTCTGTTATCCACATGTCTGAGGAGTTAAAATCCAAAAAGTCAATTCCATGGGGTATTTTAGGTTCCATTACTGTTTGTTGGATCGTGGGTTGGTTTATTGTGATTGTTTTTGTTGCCTGTATTAGAGATGGGGACATTGAGGCAATTCTTACAACTGATACTGGTTCGGGCATGGCACAAGTCATCTATGATTCTTTAGGAAAGGAATGGTGTGTAGCTTTCATGTCATTGATTGCTTCTGGCCAATTCCTTATGGGATGCTCAATTGCTTTGGCAGCTTCCAGACAAATTTGGGCTTTTGCCAGAGACGATGGTACTCCATTTATTTACAAATTCATCAAGTATGTAAACCCTAAGATTGCCGTGCCAATTAATGCTACAATTTTTGCCGCATGCCTTTCATGTGTTATTGGGTTATTAGTGTTGATAAACACAACTGCAGCCAACGCTTTATTCTCATTATTTGTTGCCAGTAACTTGTTGGCATGGGGTTTACCAGTGTTCCTTGTGTTGTTACCTTATGGTAAAAGCAGATTTAAACCAGGTCCTTTTTGGTTTGGCCAAACAGCATCCACTATTATTCACATTGTTACTGTGTTGTGGATTCTTTTCGTTATTATCTTATGCATGTTCCCAGACTCCAAGTATGTGAACAAAAACACAATGAATTATACTGTTGCCATCAACGTACCAGTCTGGGGATTAGTCATGCTCTATTATTTCTTTTATGGTTACAAGGTATATTCTGGACCAAAGTCCAACTTGTCTCACGACTCACCAGGTTCTTCTGATGTTGAAGTGGAAAATATTGACGCTCTTATGGAGCAAAAAGCTTGAAATAGGGAGGTTCGGGAATACTGCTGTTTTCAGTAGTAAAAAAGTTTTAATAGTGACCCCTAGTTGTAATGGCGGAGAGTGAGAGAGTTTATAGTATCTTTACTTTTATGTTAATTTATTCTTGAATAGAACAGATGTATTTAATCATGTATGGCTTTTGCACCCAAGGAAGCTAACTTTTCAATCACGTGATCAAACACATTGACAATACAAACTGAAATATACCTCAATAAAGTGCTAATAAGCGATACTCAAAACTCAGTGAAAATACCGGACTTCAGGGTACACGTATCATAGTTTTCATTGAAAGTGAGGAAAGATGAAATTATTAAACTCTGGTATTTGGGTAACGGGGTTGCTTCTCGGTTTAGCCACTGCTTTTGACTGCAGTGCTAAGGAACTCACGGACTACAACTTTGAAGCAATCAAAGGGGTTCATAAGGTAGAAGTGACAAAGAATACCCCCCCTTCCACAACTATCTCAGATTGGTATTTGGGGGTTTGTCAGAATGTAGCTGATGTCAAGGAATGTCCAGCTAACTCGGATATCTGCGGGATAACTCAAATTAAAGTGGATGATAAGTCCATAGTTTCAGAGATCTTTGGAGTGAACTCCAATTTCGAAAAGGAATTCAAGATTGATGATTCTACTATCAAGTTTCATTATTCTAATGTGAACTGGGGTGATAATTTGGTGGATGTACAAGTATTCTTTATTTGTTCAGAAGACGAAAAGGATGCCAACTATAATAAACTTCAATTACTGCAATGGAATGGAGAATCTGTGATTTTAAAGATGTCTACAAATGGAGCTTGTGCCAAATCAAAAGATAATAAAGATAACAAAAAAAATGCTGATAAGAAAAAGCCAAATGAAGACACAGGAGAGTCTTGGGGTTGGTTCACTTGGATTTTCATTTTCATGGTTCTTTTCTTGAGTATTTATATTATTGGTGGAGCATGGTTCCAATATAATAAGGGTAATTCTATTGATTTCAAAAGTGCGTTGCACGAAGTTTTAGAGAATTTCATTGATTTACTTAAAGGCCTTCCATCATTTCTCAAGGAGATTATTGAGAAGTTCACTGGTAGTTCTCATAGAGGAGAATACAGCGCTGTGTAAAATGACCTAAAGTGAATGTTTGATGCTTTTCTTCAGTAATCATAATAGCAGCAATAGTTATATATACTAAAATATATATGATTGTATAGGTAATTCAGTTCCGTATATATATATATATATATTAGTTTGTAAATTGGTCACAAAATCAGTATTCAAATCTCAACCACCTTATACTACTATACTATCGATAGTAGTCCAACAAATGTTACAACAGGGTACGGTATAAGCCTCAAGTGCTTTGTATTCTTATATAGTCGTTAGAATAAATTTACATTGCATTTTGTTATCCCTATTACGTACGTGATCTGCTTACACCAGAATCTGGTACTAAGATACCGAATTAGGATTTTAAAGTCCGATGCCAATTTTTCTCTATTTTAACTCGGGTCGATCCAAAGAAGTCAAAGTAGATCATTAAGTAACTCTTCTTCCAAATTTGAGATAAACACACAGGCCCATAGGATAAGTTGGAGTAGAGCACAGTAGCTAGAAAATATAATCAATAATGGGTACGGTTAAGCAAAAGATTGCGGCTTTGAAGAATGATGAGAAGTTCATCTCTTTTGAATTCTTTCCTCCAAAAACTGAAGCAGGATTCAGAAACTTGTATGCGAGATTGCAACGTATGCTGGCATTAAATCCACTCTTTGTTACTGTTACATGGGGTGCTGGGGGATCAACCAGTGAAAAGTCCTTGGATTTGGCAGCAACATGTCAAAAGGAGTTGGGTTTAACTACCATTTTGCACTTGACTTGTACCAATACCAACAAAGAAATCATCGACAAAGCCCTAGCTCGTGCTAAGGAAAATGGTATCAGTAACATTTTGGCGCTTAGAGGAGATCCTCCTAGAGCTGAAGAATATTGGACTCCTAATTGTGATTTCAACTATGCGGTGGATTTGGTCAGATACATTAAAGAGCAATATGGAGACTACTTTTGTGTTGGCGTAGCTGGTTATCCTGAAGGTCACGTTGATGGCCTGGATAACACTCTCCAGGATCCTCAAAAGGATTTGCCTTATTTGCTTGAGAAAGTAGAAGCTGGTGCAGATTTCATTATCACCCAATTGTTTTATGATGTTGATAAGTTTATTTCCTATGAAAATTTGCTTAGATCAGTTCCTCAATTGAAAGAAATTGCATTGATCCCTGGCCTAATGCCCGTAACAACTTTCAAAGTGTTCACTAGAGCTACAAGGTTATCTCATGCAACTATTCCCTCCGACATCTTAACCAAATTTGAAAGAATAGGTGCGGATGATGACCAAGTTAAAGAATTAGGTGTTCAGGTATTGACAAACATCATTTCAACTATTAATCAACGTACAGAAGGAAGAATTAAGGGTTATCATTTCTACACTTTAAATTTGGAAAAAGCTGTTGCCTCGGTGGTTGAACACTCAAGTGTATTGTTACCTATTTTGAATGCTACAGCAAGTAATCCTGCAAGAGATAACGATGATGCTATTGCTTCAGATTCCGATGATGACCTCCCAGTTGTCAAAATCCAACAGAAGTCAAGGGGACAAATGAAGGACACTGAGAAACAGGCTTTGAGAGAAATCAGTGTTGGCAAGGGAATTTTGAATAAGGATGCTATTTGGGATGATTTTCCTAATGGTAGATTCGGTGATTCCAATTCTCCAGCGTATGGTGAAATCGATGGTTATGGACCAAACTTGAAGATTTCAACCGAGGAAGCTTATGCTACGTGGGGTTATCCTAAAACCACTAAAGATCTTATTTCCATTTTCATTGGCTATTTAACCGGAAAGATTAATGTTCTTCCATGGGTTAGTGGTGAATTATCTGCCGAAACTGGTGTTATTCAAGAAGAACTTTTCGAATTGAATGAAAAGGGATGGTTTTCTTTGGCTTCGCAACCAGCAATCGATGGGTGCCCTTCGAAAGATAAAATCTTTGGTTGGGGTCCAAATAATGGACTTATTTATCAAAAAGCCTTTGTTGAGTTGTTCATTCCCAAGGAAACATGGGATAATGAGTTAAAGCTAAGATTGAAAGAACAATTAGATGATCGTACTATTACTTATTTTGCGGGTGATTCAAAGGGGAATATCACTTCAAACTTACCATTGAACAACTATAAGGCTGCTAAAAATGCTGTTACTTGGGGTGTTTTCCCACTTAAGGAAATCGTCCAATCTACCATTATTGATAACAATTCCTTCGAAGCTTGGAATGAAGAGGCCTTCCTTTTGTGGTTGGAGTGGTCACGTTTATATAAATTAAAGACCGATTCATATGAGTTGTTGAACGATGTTTACAACAACTATTATTTGGTCAGTTTGATTCACCATGACTTTAAAGACGAAAGAGCTTTGTGGACAACTTTGTTAGGTGAATAACTATCTCATCGGTGGAAACTTTAGTTCTCGGGGAGTGTGAGACATAGCATAAGATACTCTTAAGTTATACTGCGATAACCTTGATTCCACCGACCATTGACTATCGACTCTTGATGAAGTATACAGCATATATAACAAGATTCTCCATTAATATTCTTAGCTTTTGTAGAATTTACTTTTCTTTACTTCATCTTGAAGCAAGCTGATGTTCTTTTGCACAGTCCCTGAATTGAGCCGTTCCACCAATGTCTTGTCATCATCACAAGCTCCTAAATACTGACATTGTGCTGAGTGTAACATTAAAACACCATATTTGATCAAAGTTCCTTTATGAACCACCAAACGTCCACCTAATGGCACGTTCAAGGGTGTCCCTGTTTCCTGACGTTTGTTTCTAAGAAACCTGAGTGTATCAACATATTCAAACGCGTAAGACAAGTTATCATACCTATCACTTAACAATAACTTGAGCACATTATTTTCGGCACCACCATCTCGAGATTGATTCACATTTATAATGTTCGAGTCACCCTCATCATCAATGGGAATATCTCGGATCACTTCACGTGCTGGCTTCTTCCCCATGGCCGTTTTATTATGTAGTCTATCAACTAGCACCTTCATGGGATCGTAATGTTCTTTCCATTCATCTATTTGGTTGATTCGTGATTTGGAACAGTTTTCTATCCTTAAAATGTTGAACAGCACCGAGTGATCTAAAGTAGCTTCCGGAACCGTCGCATATTTCCTCGGATCAAAGGGATGATTGGAGTCCATTAGCAAATGACTGTTGCTACTGTTGTTAAATTTAATTGCGAAGTGAACATTTTTATTGTGAACTCAACTCAGAGTATATACAATAGCAAACCCATAGAATGTCTCTCTTTGTTGAAGATGAAGACGTGTACGAAGATGCAGTACATCAAGAACAAGAGATCGATAGGTTGTTTGAACATCAAGAGACTTCAAGAGAACCCAGTCAATTTTCTGTAAATATCCGATCAAGTACTGATGCCAATGATGAGGGTATACCATTGACATTTATTCCACCTGAAACTATACCTGAGTTTGAGGCACGAGAAGTGAGTTGCAATCTCCCACTTAGTTTCCAGCAGTTGATAGTCGAAGATTTGATGTCACGAGATGGGCTCTTGGTTCTTGGGAGGGGCCTTGGTTGGGATTCGATTGCTGCCAATTTACTCCATGGACTCAGTTTCCCTACAGTTACTTTACAAAACGGTAATGTTCGCCGTACTAAACGGAGTTTGATTGTGGTACTTGGTGCCAACGAAACAGAGTTCGTTAGACTACGGGAAGAGTTGTATGAATTATTGTGGATTGATGATCTTGAAGGTGAGACTCCTGTGGTTAGTATTGGAGGTGGAGGAGCGTCCTCTGATGGCCTGCTGAATCATAAAAGGAAACAAATATATGCCAATGGAGGAATTGTGGTAATGACAGCGAGAATAATGGCAGTAGATTTACTTTCTGGATCTCTTGATGCCAACGATATAACTGGCTTATTATTGTTACATGCTGAAAGAGTAAGAGAAACTTCTTCAGAAGCATTTGTGGTTAGTTTATTCAGAGATAAAAACGATTGGGGGTTTATAAAGGCTATTTCGGATGAACCTGAATCAATAACTGGATTCACACCTTTAGCTACTAAGTTGAAACTTCTTCGGTTGAAGCATGTTTTATTATGGCCGCGATTCCATGTAGAAGTATCTGCTTCGTTAAATGCTTTGAAAGTGAAACAATTACTGAACAGACAGAAGAAGGAATTGGAAAGACGTCGGACAGTTACAGAAATCAACACGAGAATGAGTTCAAGAATGGTTAAAATTCAAAATGCTGTTTTAGCTTGTATCAATGAGTGTTTACAAGAATTAAAGAGACATAATACGGAATTGGCAACAGATTATTGGAGTATGGATAATGTTCATGATCCTGATTTTGTTACCAGAATTCGATATAATTTGGATGTCCAATGGCACAGACTTACATTCACCTCTAAACAATTAATCTTTGATTTGGTTACATTGACTGATATGCTTAGGAAATTAATTAGTTTGGACTCAGTTTCGTTCTATGAATTTGTTCAAGGGATTTTGGATACAAATATTCGACATGCCAGTACCAATTCCATGGCACCTGTTAATATGAGTCCTTGGCTTAGTTTACCAGAGTCTAACATTATCATTTCTAATGCAAAGGATAGAGCATTAGGGAAGATAAAGCGGACAAGACGTAGAATTGTGGAAAATTTAGAAGATCCAGAAGAATCTATGGTTGAAACTGTTGACGTTGAAGAATACTATTTGGAAGAACTTCCGAAATGGGAACAATTACTTCAACTTTTAGATGATATTTCTCACGAGAAGATGGTTCTGACAAATAAAAATAAAGGCCCCATATTGATTGTTTGTTCTTCTGATACAGTAAAACAGCTCTCTACATTAATAACGTCAGCGAAGTTAATTGAAGATACTACCACAAACAGAAAACATTTTAGTTTCAAACTGTATATGGCTTCGAAGCTTAAAGACTACTTATTCTGGAAGGAAATAAGCAAAAGAACAAAATTAGCTAATCAAGAGATATTCAAAGCAGAAGACAATGCACAGAATATTGATAATAATGACAGTAATTTTGAATCCAATATAAATGCTTCTCAGATAATCACAAGCAAATCTTTCAGCAATGCTCTAGAGCAACCAACAAGTAAAAGAAGAAGAACAAGAGGTGGTGCATCCACAGCAAGGGTTCAAAAATTATACAGTGCGTCAGAAAGAACAACAGAGGCAGCCGAATTAGATACTGCAATCATCGAACAATTAGATAAGGACTTGAAAGATGACAAGGTGGAAGAAGTTGAACCCGAAAGTAATGAGTTCTACCACGTTATGGAATCAAAAAATGACCTTGAAATCGACGGAGGAGGGTTTATCAATGACAACAATGAAGATGAAGCATCCACAAATGAATCACTATTAAAGGCATTAAAGGATTCATTATTAGAAGAGCTCAGTTTTGAAATGATCAAATCTGATACTGAAATCATTATTCAATCATATGATGACCGTGATGGTGACTCACTTTTACAGGCCTTAGAGCCATCATACATTATCATGTACGAGCCTGATCTTTCATTTATTCGACGAGTGGAAGCATACCAGGCCATCAACGAAGAGCACCCGGCGAAAACATATTTTATGTATTACGGTAATTCTGTTGAGGAACAAAAGCACTTATTAAGGATCAAGAAAGAGAAGGACGCATTCACAAGATTGATCAGAGAGAAATCTGAATTGGGAGAGCATTTCGAAACTGACCTAGATCGTAACAGATTCAGAATTACCAGGAAACAAGTGGTTAATACCAGAATAGCTGGAGGGGCTAATTTTAGAACCGAGACAGACGAGTTCAAAGTTGTTGTTGATACAAGAGAATTTCTGTCATCATTACCCAGTTTACTCTACCGAGTGGGTATTACTGTGGCTCCCTGTATGCTTACAGTTGGAGATTATATTCTTACGCCCAAGATATGTGTTGAAAGGAAATCCATTCCTGATTTGGTATCAAGTTTAAGAAGTGGAAGACTATATCAACAATGTGAACAGATGTTTAGATATTATGAGTTGCCCACACTTTTAATTGAATTCGATGAGAATAAGGCCTTTTCGTTCGAGCCTTTCACGGATTCAAGATTCCAACGAGTAAATGCCATGAATCCCACCTACAATCTGATTCTACAGCAAAACATCCAATCACAAATCATGTCACTCCTTGTTTCATTTCCGAAGTTGAAGGTGATTTGGTCTTCATCTCCATATGAAACGGCTCAGATTTTCCTCTCTCTCAAAGCGAACCAAGAAGAACCGGATGTTGGTACCGCACTTGATATGGGAGTCAACAAGGCTTTGAAGACAGAAGATGGTGGTCCACCTCAGTATAATGATGAAGCCATTGACTTTCTTCAAACAATTCCTGGTGTCAACAAAGCCAACTACACGTTGATAATAAATCGTATGCGCAATGTTGAAGCTCTAGTAAAACTCACAAAGCCCGAGTTTGAGCAACTACTTGGGGAAGAAAATGGTCGAAAGGCCTACAACTTTATAAACCATAAGATCGCATAACGTTGTTTGTTGCTAACGTTGCTGCTCCCCGTACCTCAAGAAGGAATGAAGTAGCATTTCTTACTTCTTGTTGTTTACCTTTCACCGAATCCATCCATATTAGTGCGGAAATATGAAATGAAGTCATCAATTCAAGCAACCAAATACAAAACACGGAACTTCCTTATCAGGAAGGGGGGGTAATTGAATGCCATTAGAAGATGATCGAGACATGATGATATTATTGCTATCTACTTAAAGATGAGATTATGAACATTGCTTACTTTGTTTTAAAGATTGTTATTATTAGTATTTTGACCTTGAATTGATATTCGATATGCAACGTCGTCGAGATATCAGTACCAACACTTACCAGACATTCCTGAGGCTACGATCATACGACTTTACGTTTTTGTATGTGAAAATCAAAGGGATAATTGACAGTAAATTGAAATTACTGTTGAGATATGAAAACTTCAAACAGCCAGAGATTTATAGATCGATTGTCAGACCGCTCACAAACACACTACTAGAGTTGAAGTCGTTTGAAGAACATGCATTTCTCGTCCATATTCTTCTTTTGCTACGATACGAGTATCAAATCCAATCTCAATTCAACCTTGTCCGATATGATTTACTCCAATCCAAAGCTATTCTTGGGGAGATATTGGCAATCAGAATGCTCAGAGAATATAATGCTCCAACAAGAATGAACTTGTTGTTTGTGGACCCACTTCGAAAGTTTTCAACTCTTGATTTGGCCATCTATTCAGAGCTGAAAAAGTTTCTTTGTCAACCTATCGTGATTCAAATTATGGATAAGTTATATCGTGGAGAAGTCAACATTGTTGGCAATAGTCGCCATAGCAATGTTAGTTTTGATCCAGAGAATCAAAAATTGGTGGCAAGCTCCCAAGTATCATCATATGAAGTTCTTCCCTATAAGGCTCTGGAGGCCACCTTAAAAGATTGTATCAAAAGAGCTACGAATGTTCCAAAGTATGTGGAATACATCAACATAATAAAGTTAATAACCTTGGCAGTAACATATTTGAAATTACTTTTAATGCTGCAGGAAAGCTTTTTGCTTCATTGTCTAATGGTAATTTTAACCATTGAAATGAACATTCAATATATGATAAGAATAAGGTACGTTTCGTGGGAATTGTTGAATAGACTCATTTGGACATATGCTGATTTTGTATTGATATTCCTATTGGATATTACTGCTATCAATCTTATTTTCACTGGGGAACCTCACAAGGTGGCGAATTTGATTCTGATAGTTTTGTTCCCAAAGATAGTTCTTCACATGTTTAGTCATTATGAGTTTCTCAATCTTATTCTTATCAGTTTTAAACAAATGACGTTTAAATTACTTGGTGTCTTCTTCCTTTTTATTAGTTTGATTAGTGGCTATTATGTTAGTTTCATTAAGCTATCCAAATCATATGTTCAAAGCTCAGATGTTCTCTATGGAATGCTTCAGGTTTTCTTTGGGTTTACTCCAGCAATTTGGAGCAATTGGGACAATTATGATAGTTTGGGGAATATCATTCAATTGAATTATTTATTCTTGATGCAGTTCATTCTAAGTACAATACTTGCAATGATATTGTCCCAAGAGTTTGTCAAATTGAATAATGCAAATTTGGAAGAGTTTCATTATTTACAGACATTAAACATACTAGTGGAGCTTAAGCAATCTTTCCAATCGTTTGGTTGGGCAAAATCTCTAGGTTTAAACTATCCCTTGAGTTTGTTTATATGGGCTTTGGAGAAGTATAGCCAGTGGCTGAATAACAAATTTACAGACTCAGAAACGTATAAAAATGGGATGAAGAATTTCACATTTGTTCTGGAACAAAATAGTGATAGACTTACAAGCGTTCAATCAAGAGATACCTTTTGTGTACGGAGGGCATCTATGGATTCGATGTTTCTAGACTTATTATCTCACCCACAGCATCCTTTAGTTCCTGCTGGTAGTCATCCTGACAGGAGTAATGCTACAACAGCACAGATGGCAGGTCCTTCTATGCCAACTCTGATTTCAATTCCGTATTCTGGTGAGCCTATACTTGGATCACAACAAATGATGTCTCCTTCAAGCAAGCTGTTAGGAGTACACCAGCAAAGTATGAGAAGGGCATCTACTAGCTCACGGCCCCGTCATACTACAATGACCAACATCCAAGAGACTCCTTTGCTGAAGCCATTGGATACAAGTGAAAGCAACGGATTAGCCATTGCTCGTTTAGAGACATTAGTGGAGCACTTGGTGCAACTGGTGGATAACTTGAATTACTCTGCTAATGGTAACCGAGGCAGAAACCGAGGGCAGTTAATATCCGAGGGCTCAGCTACTGAAGAGAGCAACCGCACGGCCGAAGACGGGTCTATGCCTATATACCGGACAGAGTCAAATGAATCGATGGAAGATGAATTAAGTCTTGAATATGATTCAGACGCCACAATATAACTGGGTATTGGGACCAGAAATTGGACAGGAATGCAATAAGAAAAGGTATTCAAAGCAAGCTCCTTATATAGTTATAGGCTCTAATATATCGTTTTGCCAACTAAGTTGAAGTTCAGCACGAACATCATCTTTTTGTTTTAAGGCGTTGTCGCAACTGTTGTTTGACATTCTAAACGCCCCTGATTGGTTCAAAAGCAACAGTCATACATATGATTTTTCCTCTTTCGTTTCCCCGAGTATCGCTCTAGGTATTGTCACAAGCATTCCTGTAGGTCGCTCGATATTGCCGTAAACAGTAATTTTTCCCCTTGTTACAAATTGTTCGTTTCTGATTCGCACAGCGAGGTCACCAGTGGAGGGCCTCGGGTGCAGCTTGTTTAATAATCAAAGTCTTGTGCTTGTTACAATTACCCACTTCATTATGCGGAGAAACGCAGTTTAGTGTCAGAAAGAGGTTAATCATTGTACATTTTCTTAGTGGATTCCGTCTACTTTGAGTTAGATTTCCCGGTGAATTTTTCAGACGTTGGATATGGCATGACATAACTTACTGATTACAATATATATAGATTCTAGAATCCACTTTCTACTTGGGTATATATCAGATATTTTTAGCAGCTAAAACATAAACATTATTTTCATTTAACATTATTTTCATTTTTTTACTACTTTGGTAATAGTATCGTCTTGAATTGGCCAGTTCAAGTCCGTCAATTTAGTAGTTTTTCACTGACCTCCACACTATTTTTTTAAAAGCGATTTCTTCAAACGGTTTTGGGGTAAATTTTGATTCCGAAGACTAGAGCGAAAAAAATTTGATAACCAATAAATCTGACTTTGAAACTAATTAGCACCGATGCCTCATAACATGAACACTGAGATGACTCGGGAGTACACACTGGGACACAGCAATATAGTTCACATAGGTGGTAGAAAGTCTCGACTTGCGGTTGTCCAAAGTGAGCATGTGAAGGCTGCTATTGAAAAGGCTTTACCAGAAATGCAGTGTGACATTTTAGCCTTGAGTACTTTAGGTGATAAGATTCAAAATAAACCTTTGTATTCTTTTGGTGGGAAAGCCTTATGGACCAAGGAGTTGGAAATACTATTACAACCTCATGATTTTCCAGAATATCCTCAACTTGATTTGATTGTACATTCATTAAAGGACATGCCCACAAATTTACCTGAAGAATTTGAGTTAGGATGCATTACTGAAAGAGAAGATCCTCGTGATGCCTTAGTTATGGCTAAGGGAAGTCCATATCGTACTTTGGCTGACTTACCTGTAGGTGCAACTGTGGGAACGTCATCTGTTAGAAGATCGGCTCAATTAATTAAAAACTATCCTCACTTGAAATTTGAAAGTGTTAGAGGAAATCTTAATACCCGGTTAGCTAAGCTTGATGATCCGGAATCTGTATTTAGTTGTTTAATTTTGGCTGCTGCCGGATTAATTCGTATTGGTTTAGGAGGAAGAATCACATCGCTGTTAGATTGTCCTGAAATGTATTATGCTGTGGGTCAAGGAGCCTTGGGAGTAGAAATAAAACGTGGTGATACGAGAATAAAACAGATTATGCGTCAAATTGAACACCTTCCTACCACATATTGTTGTTTGGCAGAGAGAGCATTGATGAGATATTTAGAAGGTGGATGTTCAGTACCAATAGGAGTTAAAAGTGATTATAATGAACAAACTAAAATGTTATCTTTGAAAGGGATAATTGTTTCTCCTGATGGTCAACAATGGATCGAAGATGTGGTTGAAGGAGTTATAATCACTGAAAAGTCAGATGCTGAAAAGGTTGGTATACAATTGGGTGATTTATTGATTGCTAAGGGTGCAAAAGAGATATTACAAGCCATTGATTTTGAAAGAATTAATAGACCTCCAATCTCAGCTATACCCACGCCTACACCATCCAGAGCAGAGTTCAGACCATTTGAACTTCATCAACTGCAAACTGTTGAACAATAATGCGGGGGACAAAGAAATTGAAAATGGCAGCAGAGAGAAAGAAAGAATAGTGGGCAGCAGATTTGGCAATACCAGGATTTTCAACCAATAAATAGGTGTTTATTGGTTGAGTTATTGCATCGTCATCATGATCATCGTCATCAACAACAATTTCAGAGATATAATGTCACTTATTACACTTTTTCAAAAGTGTGATTTATTGACATGAATAATGGTCTCCAAATTTTATTTTATTTATTTCATTCTTATACATACATTTATTAGCTGCCGTTGCAGCATACCGTTCAGTTTATCTTGTGAGTTAATTTTTATTCCTTCATACTTAATGTCTTGTTATGGTTAGCATATACGATCTACTTAGTAAATACTTTCATTATCATTTTTTTTGTGACTGTGACAAGTAGAACTATTCTTCGTTACTACTTGTGCTGTGCATATAACCCTTCTGTGCAAAGTCACGATTCAGGCTTTTAGATCCTCGGAATTCGCTATTTTCTGGCAGCCACATGATCGGTTTCTATGCAAACAAACCAGTAGGGAAGATTTGAGGCTCACTTGGTTTCACGTGCCACCTCTAAACTTGAGCAAAACATTACGTAATGATCCCCTTTTTCCTAAAAGACATGGCGCCGATTCCGCATTCTCCGACTAAAGGGAATTCACAAAATTGAGTTTCGGTTCTGAGATCTCATTGGAAAGAGAGGTTTTAATCTCCGATCAAGAAAGTATTCCCGCGCTACCAATATATCTAATTCTCTCGTATAATTTTTCAATGGAGTGTGTGTGCGTGGGTAATTAAACGAGGGTATGGGCTAACTAGTATTATACGAAGCAAAAAAACTCAGAGTCGAACGGTATTCAGTTAGTAGGCCCAAGTAGGCTTTTATTTGACATCATCGACCGATGTTATTTCGACTAACAATAATAATAATAATAATAATAATAATAATAATAATAATAATAATAATAATAATAATAATAATAATAATAATAATTCAAAAATAGTACCATAAAAAGTCTCATGGATCAGTTCATCGTTCAAAACAGTAAACGAATCATCAGCTCACACATTACTATTACTATTGATGTAGACATAAAGTATGTACATATATAAGGTGTAGAATACCTTAGTTTATTTTTTATACCAATATCTATTACTCCACTCTCATCTTGAACTCACGTTCTTCATTATTGTTTCTGTTCAAGTACAGCTATTCCTTCCTCATCGTGTTTCGGTACTGAAGGGGTTATTTCCGTCTCGTATAGGGTTTTAAACGATCGCGGTCCCAGAAAAAAACATATAACGGAGAAGTCATCTTAAGGGAAAGTCTTCTATTTGATATACAAAAGGCATTATCACCATATAAAGAACTCTCTCTCATCATGGATATCGTGTTGGAGGTTTGCGATACATACTTGTTTGACAAGTTTTACGCAACTGTTTTACCCAAGAACGGAGTTGTTGCTCAAAAATGGTCTCAACTTACTTATGGATCCGTGCTTTCCCATAATAGTACCATAGCTGCTGCAGCAACTGCAGCAGGCGGAGTAGATGGAGATTCTGGATTCCTTTTCAGAAGTTCCGGATGGTCTCTTCCACTCCCAGTACAAATTGTGGTTAACCTCATCGGTAAATTACAACGTAAAGATGAAATCTACGGCAAGGTACCTACTCAGATAGTGGCACCCTCGATATGGGCAACAGAATCATTTCTTGCTAGATCAAATTTATTGAGAGAAGCCTTATCTATTTTTGTTATCACCACTATCTTTGGATGGCTATTATATTTCTTAGTTGCTGGGTTGTCATACATGTATGTATTTGATAGAAGAATTTTTAATCATCCAAGATACTTGAAGAATCAAATGAGGTTAGAAATCATCCAGGCAGCTACATCTATTCCAATTATGGTTCTTTTAACTAATCCATTCTTTGTTCTTGAATTACAAGGGTTCTCTAAATTATACTTTCCTATTGATGATTCAACTGGGGGATGGAATCGTATATGGTGGTCCATTCCTGCTTTTATTCTTTTCACTGATTGTGGTATTTATTTTATTCACAGATGGTTACACTGGCCCTCAGTTTACAAGGCTTTGCATAAACCCCATCACAAATGGATCGTTTGTACACCATTTGCTTCTCATGCTTTCCATCCCGTAGATGGTTGGTGCCAATCTTTACCATATCATATCTACCCACTTTTGTTCCCATTACACAAAGTTTTGTATCTTGCCTTATTCCTGTTTGTTAACTGTTGGACAGTTATGATTCATGATGGTAACTATATGTCCAATGACCCTGTGGTTAATGGTACTGCATGTCATACTGTGCATCACTTATACTTTAATTACAATTATGGACAGTTTACAACGCTTTGGGATAGAATTGGAGGTTCGTACAGAAGACCAGACGATTCTCTCTTCTTAAAGGACACTCAAAAGGAACAAGATAAAAAGATTTGGAAGGAACAAGTTGTTCAAATGGAAGAGATCAGAAATGAATTGGAAGGGAAGGTCGATGATAGAGTTTACATTGAAGAAGAATAAAAACGTAATTTTATCCCAATATTGTCTTATTTGATTGTTCGCTTTTTTGTCTACTTCGGTTTCTTTCTAAATTTTATGATGCTTCACTCTTTACCTTCTTAATATTTTTTTTATCACTCTATACTGTTTGCAATCACTGAGCTTATAGTTGCAGACATATTCTATCACGGATTGTATGCCAAGGACATACTTTATTATATATACTATTATACACGTTTTATAACTTCAAGTAGCTCAGGATCTTTATATAGATGCAAAAACCATACAAATTCTGGCAGGTTACCCGGCACCATTCCCGATTAGGAACTGACATTGAGTATTAACTATTCGGATGAAAGGTGACCACTTAAGGCATAGATTAGGAAGAAATTACTTGGTAAAGACATCATATTCGTAAAAGAGCGTCTAAAGACACCAATAAACATAAACATAATCAAATTCATTGAAATCAAACGAAGGACTACGCTTGCAAAGATTTTTTCCAACACCTTAATCACCAAGTTATTTGGCAGACATTTTATGCGCTAGTTAAATGCAATCTCAACAACACATTCCAATAAACACTAGCTTGGGAGCAAGCACAACTGCAGCTACCATATCACAACCATCATTGATGGCCCTGAGCAACATTCTTACTCTTGGGCCGTTTAAACACCGCAAAGATCTTATGCGAGAAACAGTTCTACTGAAGTTCACTGTGTTGGGCTATATTGCTGCAGGAACTTACGGTAAAGTATACAAGGCAAAGATGAAGGATTCCAAGAAAGATAATTTAACTCGTGGAACACTTGGAGATAATAATTCTGGGATTGGGGTTGGAGTTAACGGCTCCAACTCAGTTGGATCTGGGCTTGGAGGCGGCTCTGGGTCTACACTTGGGAGTAGTGCAATAAGTGGTGGAGGAGGAATAGATGTGTTTTCTAAGCTGGTTGGAGATAGAAATGCTTCAATGAGTAATTCTGGACCAGCAGGAGCCACAATACATACCGGCACCAATAGAGTTGAAAATGAAGGAACAAAGGAAGAAGCAGACGATGATGATAAGCAACCAGATAATAAATACTTTGCCATTAAAAAGTTTAAAACTGATAACCATACTACACTGAAAAACTATGGCCATGATATCAATGGTAACGAGATTGTTCACTATACGGGGATTTCCCAGAGTGCAATTCGAGAAATGTCATTATGTCGAGAATTAAACTACAAGAATATAATTAAAGTGATTGATATTGCATTAGAGAATAAATCAATTTATATGATTTTTGAGTTTTGTGAACATGATCTTCTTCAAATTATTCATTTCCATTCACATCCTGATAATGGTAAAATCCCTGAATTTACCATCAAATCACTTATATGGCAAATCCTCAATGGTGTTACGTATTTGCATAAGAATTGGATCATTCATCGTGATTTAAAGCCAGCCAATATTATGGTTTCGTCCAACGGTGTGGTTAAGATTGGAGATTTGGGACTTGCTAGGAAATTCAATAACCCACTACAAACGTTGTATACTGGGGACAAGGTGGTGGTTACTATTTGGTATAGAGCACCTGAATTATTACTTGGAACCCGTCACTACACACCCCTGATAGATTTATGGGCTATTGGATGCATTTTAGCTGAACTTTTAAGTTTACGTCCTATATTCAAAGGAGAAGAAGCCAAAATGGATCTAAATAATAAAAAGGCTATCCCATTCCAAAAAAATCAGTTAATAAAAATATTGGAAATCTTGGGAACTCCAACTACTGCTCAATGGCCAGCATTAACCAAATATCTTGAGTATCCAACATTTCAACTGCAAATTCCTCAATCTTATCAACCACAACTTGGAAACTGGTATAAACTGATAGGCCAGCAAAATAAACAATGTTTTAATCTTTTATCAAGATTATTAGACTATGACCCTATACAGAGACTAACAGCAGATAATTCCTTATTGCATCCATACTTTATGGAATTGCCTAAAGTCTCCGAAAACGCTTTTGAAGGTATAACGTTCCGCTACCCTAGAAGGCGTATTTATCCTGATGATAACGATATTGCTTCTTCAGCTCAACAACAGAGCTACAAAAGACACGGGTTTGATGCTAATGCTAGTGCTCGTAAACGTCATAGATAAATTAGAGCACAATAGAGACCATTTTTCATACTTGGTGCTACCAATCTGATCACAAAAATAATAGAGTTAGATGCTACTCTCATCAACTTTTACTTATGAGTTTCAGTGAGGTTCATTGTTGTACAAACAACCGACGTCAAAGTCGTATACAATGACTTCATCATATAAACGAGGAATCCTTTTAAAGCATACGCGCACAAGTGATATATATCAAGGTACTATTGACGATGTTGACAAGCCCTTTACTACTTCAGCGCCATTGTTTGCTCTAAAAGTTGTGGACCCTGATTTCTACCAAGCACCGCACAGTATACGGCGTGAAATAAGACTATTGAGGCATCTTCAGGGTTCTGGGAATGAAAACATTTGTGATCTCATCAACGTAGATTGGGACACAGACCTGGTAACTATTGTGATGCCGTTGTACGCAATGACATTAGACGAATACTTGAAACATCATACAAGAAAAAGAACCCGAATGGGTGCCAATGGATTGCAGTTTCACTCGGTATCTCTGGCACCTGTAATTGAACTAGACTCTATTCTACTTGGGTTGCTCAAGGGACTTTCATTCATACATTCCCAAGGAATTATTCACCGCGACATCAAGCCGCTGAATCTTATGTTACCCAGTCTCCAAGACGTTTGCAGTGTCAAGATATGTGATTTCAGTATCAGTTATGAAATTGGTGGAGACAATGGGACCGAACTGGATAATGCCAAATATACTGATGTGGGCACTGGCATTTATAAAGCTATAGAACTTTGTTTTGGGGTATGTTCATATCTGTGTGAGGTTGATATTTGGGCCATGGCAATAATGATGACACTAATGTATCTGGATACTGATTTACCCACGATTATGCTGCCTGGAGATAGTAGTGATCTAGAAATGAGCGATCTTATGGTAATCAAAACAATATTTGAAAGCTTGGGTACTCCATCTATTGCACCTTCAGTCGAAGATAAGAGATTATTTTGGCCCCAAATGGATAATGATAATTACCATTTCAAACAATTCCTGTTTGTGCCCAATGCTCGCAAATCTGTGGAGTCATTACTTCCACGATGTCATTCCAAACCAGTTCGTAAAGTGTTTGAGCATCTGGCAGTATATCAGAGTTCTGAAAGAGCATCTTCAAGCATATTATTGGAGATGATGTTGGAATAAACAAAAGAAATAGTGAGCTTGCTGATTCACGTAGGGCTGATTTGGTACCCTCGGAAGTAAAGATTTAACACCTTCTGCTGCTTAAATTATTTTTACGTTGCCTTGAATGGTACATCCACTACCTTAAAATATGGTGTGGGGGTTGGTAGGTAGAGGTAAAGCAAGAGGTGGTGTTCTTTTTGAATTAAATTACCTTAAACGTGAGTCCGTTCATACCCTTTAACTCTCCTCAAGCTGATTAGGGGGCAGGATTCTCTGGTATTGCTTTGGAAACGTGAAAAGGGCGAAACTTTGATTATTTCCGGGATATATTTATATGTATATATACACTTATGGCGTGAATTACTATATTGGGTTAGACAAGAATAGTTATCATCACAATCCTGAAAATCCGGAATTCCTATGTTGAGCCATTGACCAAAACGTGACAGTGCAGAAGTTTACCCCACCTTGCTACACTAACAAGGCAAGAAAAACCACTCCCCTCCTTTCCGCCTATAGGAAAGGCTGTCAATATTCTGTGTAAGTAATAGTCATGTAGGAAGAAGTAAAAAGTATACTGGGAAGTTGTCATCACGAACACTAGCAATACTTATTATTACACGAGCTAGTGATCAAGACTAAACAAAAACATATAAACTCAGAACCTTATCTGTTACAGAACCAAAAACATCTTACTCTAATATCGACATATTATATTTTTACAGTATGTCTGCGCTTATGAATCGTTTCAGACGTAAAGATGTTGGTGAAACCAACGAAGAGTATATTAGGCGTCTCAACTATGACGAGTTGGAAGAGAAATACGATATCCATAAATATTATCCTCAGTATATTCACAACGGAGAAATATCCACACCACAGCTTAGAGCTATGTTGAAGGACAAGCCAATCTATCACAAGGTGAAACCACAGAACAAACCGGCAGAAAAAGCTAAAGTTAACGAGAATAGCCAAGGCATCAGCAACGGTATTCGTCAAGATAATGATAGTGGGAATAGTGGTCGAACTAATGGTAGAGCTCTCACGAATTACAGTAATGGTCTGTTCAAAAATGGTGGTAAAGCTCAAAATATCATGAGAAATGGTCATGGTCATAGTAACGTTAATGGGTTTAGTAACAGCACTCATGCTAATACCACTACAGTACATAAACTGGACCAAGGACGTACTGCATCATCTACTCACAAAGGTCTTAATGGCGGTGAAGAACTTGGGGGATATGCTGAAAGATGTGGATCTATCAACAATCCTACAGCTACAGCTACATCTATGGGAACTACATTGTCTGGTGTGACGATTAACGCTCCTATTACCATTCCAAATGGGAATAGTGGTAACGGGTCGAAGTTTGGAAATCTATTCCGCAACCCATTCAAGGATCTGTTAGGAACAGCACGGTCTTTTGATCAGAGTAAATCAGAAATGACCTTAAGAAGGAAACTGGAGTTGAAAGAAGATTCAGACAAATTACGTAGAAACAGTGCTATTACCAATAAAGTCAAAGGTAATCAAGTTCAGGCACCACCAGGTACCAGAGTTGGCACGAAGATGATTCGCATTCGAGGAAACAGTGCTTCATCCCATAAGAATGATTTGGGCTATGGCTTAGCAGCTGCTCAAGGAAAAGGTATGTATCAACTAACAAAAATACTCTAGGGAGAAAGAACCATAAGATCAAATCATAATGATAATTTGAGTACATCAAATCAAAATCAATAACCAGCAAGATTCAATACTATGTTTGTCTTATCTTGTTTCGTACAAGATGATTTAAGGTGGTCGGATTGTGGTCGGAATACAATCCGGAATCATGTAAAGGACTGGGGTAAGTTTTATTTTTTCTTTGGCGGCGGGGCGAAAATGTGGGGAACAAATAGTCAATCAAAAGTCATTACGAATTAAAATGGAAAGGAGACCATTTTGCTAATTAACACAACACAAATCGATTTGGGTGTCATGCAAATATTAGGGGATAGGATGTGGTTCTGGGTCTGGGTCCTGAAAGAGGTTGGTCATAGATTTTCTTTACTGAGTCCAAAGTATCTGACTACAACCGAAGTCATCATTGTACCTTGTCAAGCTAAATGCGTGAAACTGATACTGCCGTACAAATAATATGCCTAAGCATAGATACAAAGAGAAACACAATAGCTTACACTTAAAATGAGAATGTATGGAGCACAAATTAGATTTCACCATATGCACACTACCTTGTCATTGAAGGGGTAACCTAGATGAACTAGTTGATATTTGCACCTTACTTGTTTATGGTAGTTTCCCCAACACGTTGAGTCAAGTCAAATCAAATCAAAATCATTCCCCTATTTTCAGTAATTTCTGGGAATGACCAATAGAACGAGTCGAAATGGGTAAGAATAACGCTAAACATTCTATTGATGTTGTATTTTCTTAATCCAGCTAAGGTTGTGATGATGTTGGTGTTGGTGCGTGTGATGTCATAGCCTAAGTTACCTTGCACGTGACCGTGCCCCGCGATTCCTTTGGTCCAAACACGACTCAGCCCACCTCCGCTTTTTGTCACGACTTTGCGTCGTGGGATGACTGGGGACGAAAATGTGGGTGGTGATTGTTTCCAGAGAAAATCTTTGCTCCAGACAACAACCTAATTACTTGAATCGACTTACCACCACGTTGGCATTTGCATAGTTGTTTATTAGATTTTAGTGGATCACATTGATTTCTTTCAGTAGACAACCATCCTATCAATCCTATAAGATTTTGTGTTGGTGTGTGAACCCGGCGAACTTCAGTGTAATCATATACCTACCGTCCTGTCCAAATATCTATTATTTCACTTACCCTACATTTTGACATTAATCAGTGACTATTAATATTGATACTGATTGCAATACTTTTATTGATTGATTGGTTTGAGTTTATTATAATTACCTACTCGCTTACCATAAAAAGAATTGTGCCAATTTTGATTCATTAAAATTTGATCTTGATCTTGTTACTTTTTCCTAGACACTTTCTCTTATTTCCTTTGATAGAACAACCACTAACATGAGTACAGTGGAAGTCGTTACAGAGAAGGTCAACGATGGCCGTACTGGTGATGTTACCCAAATCCAATACACCCAATCGCAAATGGTTGGTCATGGATCATTTGGGGTTGTTTTCCAAACTACAATTCTCCCTACTAATGAAATCGCAGCCATTAAAAGGGTGTTGCAAGATCGTAGATTCAAGAATAGAGAATTACAAATTATGAAATTGGTTCATCACAGAAACATTGTCGACTTAAAATACTACTTTTATACAAACAATGACAAACAGGAATTGTATTTGAATTTGATTCTTGAGTTTGTACCGGAAACCCTTTACAAGGCTTCGCATTATTATGTTCTGAAACGTTTGTCAATGCCTGCTCTTGAAGTCAAGTTGTACACTTACCAAATGTTTAGGGCTTTGAATTACATTCATTCTCAAGGCATCTGTCATCGAGATATCAAACCTCAAAACTTATTGATCAACCCACAAACAAATGAATTGAAACTTTGTGATTTTGGCTCAGCTAAAATTTTGAACCCCAATGAACCAAATGTCAGTTATATTTGTTCAAGATATTATAGAGCTCCAGAACTTATTTTTGGTGCAACCAATTACACTACTAAAATTGATGTATGGTCTGCTGGATGTGTCATGGCCGAATTAATACTTGGTCAACCACTATTCCCTGGAGAAAGTGGAATTGACCAATTGGTTGAAATTATCAAGGTTTTGGGTACTCCCACAAGAGATCAAATCAAAAATATGAATCCAAATTACATGGAACATAAATTCCCCCAAATCAAGCCAATCCCATTATCCAAAATTTTTAAGAAAATGCTGGCAGATTGCATTGGGTTCCTTTCTCGTGTTTTGCAATATTCTCCTCTTGACCGGATTAGTTGCATTCAAGCACTTGTAGATCCATACTTTGATGAATTGCGTAATCCTCAAACCAAATTACCCAACTACAGAAAGTTATTTTCACAGCAATATCATGGCAACAATTCTTCAACAGCTGATGGATCTTCAAGCATTAGTAATGGTGGTAGTGGGATGAATAATGCCACTTATCAAATATATGCTTCTCAACCGGATATAAAGGAATTGCCTGAATTATTTGATTTTGACGATCGAGAGTTATCTGTGGAGCCATCACTCAACGAGCATTTGGTGCCATTGTTTGCATATGAACGGTTGTTATTACGTTCTGGACGTAAAGATCTCGCTGATTTTGTTCCCTTGTCACCTGAAGAGTTGATTGTGACGTTGGAGTGAAATAATTTAATTTTTGTCCACTTACTTTGTAATGAATGATGCTTCTTTTCTTCTTGGTTTATCATTTTGATTGCCTTTATATTTCTATAGAATTTTCATTGATGAAATAATGAATATATATAATAGTCAAAATTAGTATGGTAGATGTATTTACAATCTGGGTTTGGTGATCCTTTTAGACTCAACTTTTTTAAGTTGGTTTGTTTCATTCTCACTTGTTTTAGGCTTCCTCTTACTGAACATCTTAGTGAAAGGCAATACAAACCACCGAGCAAAGTATGGCATCCCCCAAAGACTAATCATTACACGTACGGGGAATAGCGCCTTAACTATAGCGTAACTGTATGCACCTTCCATTACAAGTCTTGTTTTCTCTTGAAGACTTATTTGAGCAATACCAGCCAGATCCAAACATTTGTCCACTAATGCGCTGGCCTTATCCATTGCGAATGAAGGAAGATCGGCAGCAAAGATAGCAGACGAATGATCAACGTAATTATGCAACCCGTACCAGATCCCCACGAGAGGCACTATGGCCGTTAATTCATGAAGGATAACAAAGGCAGTGACGTGGGAGAAGGGTGCATTGGCGAATTGGGTAACATATTGGTGCATGAACTTGGGAACCCTTTTAAGTATTGCATTGGGAGGAGGTTGTCGCAGTGGATCTGTATTTGATGGAGGAGGATGAGTAGGAGGAGGTGAAGAGGACGATGAAGTTGAAGATCCAGGCTTTGTGAATAATGCCCTTGTATAAGGCAACCTTCCAATAAAGCCATTTGGTATTCTAGTCAAGCGGGGGCCAGAGCTCACGTTTGACCTTACGCAAGATCTTAACCCTATTTGAATCATAGATCAATGTGTAAATGCGTATTGTACTATAAATGGTAAATGGTAAATGGTAACAGTGGCTTTGAATCGGCAGTTACAGTGATTTTGAATGCGTTGACTGTACATTTTTATAAATCGCAGCGAGAACTTCAAACCATACTCAAACCCCTACTAGCAGTTAACATAGCACAGAATTCCTTTATTGTGGATAATTGTTGTTAGATATGTTGATAGTGTATAAAACATAGCTAAAACGTTTTATAAGTAATTAAATCATACATGAATACACACAAACGTATATACAAGGCGGTAGATGGTTGTAACCAGGTAACCGTTACTAGCTAGTAAGTACATAGGAAGAACTTTAAAATGCCCCAGTCCATTCGTACACCATACCTATCTATACGACGACATTACTAATAATATGCCTCGCTGTGAAGATTGCATTAAATGGGTGCTTATCTGCTAAGTATGACGGAGTTAAAACGAATGGATAACAGGACTCGGATTTGTAGTGCCGCTCCGCACAAGCTTCGTTTAGCGATCTTCAACTCTCGTTTAATTGTTTTTGGCATTTTCGGTCGAGAGTGAGAAATGGTATAAAAAGATTTACGATTTCGCCTAAAGCGGCTACAAGTTTTTAATTGGAGCAATTTCTACACCATCATCATTATCACTACAACCTACTAATGTCTGTGTATATTGTATCAGCTGCTAGAACCCCAATTGGAGCCTTCCAAGGATCTCTCTCTTCTGTTGGCTATGTTGACTTGGGTGCCACTGCCGTTAAGGGTGCCTTAGCAAAAGTTCCAGAAATAGACGTGTCAACTGTCGATGAAGTCTTTTTTGGTGGTGTCTTACAAGCCAATGTGGGTCAAGCTCCAGGTAGACAAGTTGCTTTGAAAGCAGGATTACCTGATTCTGTTGTTGTTACTACTGTTAATAAGGTTTGTGCTTCAGGTATGAAGGCTATCATTTTAGGCGCTCAAACTATTTTATGTGGGAATGCTGATATTGTTGTTGCTGGTGGTGCTGAAGCTATGTCCAATACTCCTTACTATTTACCAAGTGCTAGATCAGGTGCTCGTTACGGTGATTCTACCTTGGTTGATGGTATCCAAAAGGATGGGTTATTAGATGCTTACGATCAAGTATTGATGGGTAATGCTGCTGAAAAGTGTGCCGCTGATCATTCCATCTCTAGAGAAGATCAAGATAACTTTGCTGTTGATTCATATAAAAAGGCTCAAGCTGCTCAAGCCAATGGTAAGGTTAATTGGGAAATCGTTCCTGTTACCATTAAAGGTGCTAGAGGTAAGCCTGATGTGGAAGTATCTGTTGATGATGAACCAAAGAGATTGGATGAAGCTAGATTAAGATCTGCAAGAACAGTTTTCCAAAAGGAAAATGGTACTGTCACTGCACCTAATGCTTCTAAATTAAATGACGGTGGTGCTGCTGTTATTCTTGTTTCTGAATCTAAATTGAAGGAATTAGGTTTAAAACCATTGGCAAAGATTTCCGGTTGGGGTGAAGCTGCTAGAAAACCAATTGATTTCACAATTGCTCCATCTTTGGCTGTTCCAAAGGCTTTGAAGCATGCCAAGTTAAATGCTTCAGATATTGACTTTTTTGAATTCAATGAAGCTTTCTCTGTTGTTGGATTAGCTAACGCTCAAATTTTGGACCTCCCACAATCTAAGATTAATGTCTATGGTGGTGCCGTTGCTTTGGGCCATCCCTTGGGTTGTTCTGGTGCTAGAGTTGTTGTCACCTTATTGAATGTCTTAACTACTGAAGGTGGTAAGTATGGATGTGCTGCTATTTGTAACGGTGGTGGTGGTGCTTCATCCATTATCATAGAAAAACTTGATAGTGACTTCAAGTTGTAATAAATAATAGTGTCCATTATATATAGTACAAATCAGCTATTCGAAAATAATATAATATAATATAATTCTTTTCTCATGTATCGTTAGGAATATAGATCTTTCTTTTACTTAATTCATGGACTGTCCATATCCAAGTTCTTGCTGCATAATCCATATTATTGGCCACGGTAGAAGGCTCGGATTCTATTCCCCCCGTGGCATAGTATTTCCCATTATCCTTTTCAACAGTTAAATCTGGATCAAGAGCGCACCGCACTGAAGCCAAGGCACCTTGTTCATTCGACACGCCAAACATCCATCCAAACACTTGGAAAATCACCCAGAAAAGTATGCCAATGATGGGTAGGCGGGTCCAGTAACTGAAGAGATTAGTATTCATAACAAAGCCAGGATGGACTGATACACAAAGAATCTTAGGATTCCGTAGTGCTAGCATTTTCATAAAGTGAATGCCCGCGGTTTTGGCCATTCCATATCGGAGCCAAGTGAAAAGAATATTCGGACGGAGGTTAAACCAAGTTTTAGGACTGAAATATCTGAATGCCAAGTTATGACCGACTGAACTTAAATAGATAATTCTGGGACACACAACGGTTGTTGAAGATTTCTTCTGGGATTCCTTTTCAACCACTCTTTCAAGTAAAGGTAAAAGTTTTGTAGTGAGTACAAAGGGAGCAATGTAATTTGTTTGCATTTGAATTTCAAACTTATTCTTAGTCAATTGGAAAGGTAAGGCCATCACGCCAGCGTTATTGACCAAAACATGAAGATATTTCTCTCTTCTTTTAAATTCTTCCACTGCAAGAAAGACCAGGCTTAAATCCGTGAAATCGATATACATAAAGTGTAATTCACCCAAATGTCTATTAGCTGATTGTGAAGGTGAATATGACTGTCGGATCCTAATAGCTTCTTCTTTCATTTCAGTTATGCTTTTGTAGCCTCTAGATTTGGACCGTCCAAATACATACACCACGTACCCATGAAGATATAGATGCAAACTGGTATAGTAACCAATACCACTGTTACCTCCAGTGACTATAGCCAGTCTACGGTCGCCTGGAATTAGGAATGGGAATGCATCAGGGTCATGTGTTGGTGAAATGGGAGAACGAGATGCTTCATGAAGTCTTTGAACCACATTCATCATCAACGCAGAATTATATAGACGGACGGACAAACGAACGGACAAAAGTAAATCCTGCTTATATTCTCTTTTGACACTGGTGTTTATGCTTTAGACTCTTTAACGTTAAGTGGTGATAAAAAAAATCTAAAAAATGTTCCGCTCATTCGCACCAATTTTGTTATCAAAGAAACTAAATGGGTTGCTACGTGCTATACAGTCCTACGGATCCTCAGACGATATCTATATTAGTCTATCTTAATGCAGCGCAATGATACAAAGGTATTCTACTGAAATCGAGAAGAAACCAGTACTTAGTACCGAGTGTGCCACACTATACAAAACTCAGCCTATCGCACGGTAGTGTGAATGGAAATCCATATAAGTTCCGAACCTCCCTCTCCGCTTTAGGGGGAGACGGACCAAAGGTCAAAACTATGCAAGCATTTATGTATCACCTGATATAAACAAAATTAACCAAAACACCGGTCGAATATCAACGGGTGTCCTAACTAATTCGGTATTATACTGGATGCGAAAAAAATATTAGCCAGGATTATGGCCTCTGTTATAGGCTTATTGTTATTTACAGTGGTTCATTATGGGTGCAACTATAATCATCTTGTTTTACCAAAGGTAATTACATATGACTTCTACAGCTTTTTCCTACCTACCACATTATATTGAAGCTGGCTATATACGTACCTGTTTAGTCATCCTGAGGATGGCTTTTATCCAAATCTACTACTATCTCGTTGTATATCCTTTCAGGGTCCTTGTCCGTGGTGTCGACTTCAAGTGCCTCACCACCATTCTTTAACAATTCTGCGCCCTCGGGGATTTGCATAATTTCATACTGTGAGTGGACCATATCCAGTTTCATGTAATGACCTTGTCGGCCATTCACTCTACGAAGCAATTCTTCATAAGTTGTATGGAGGAACACAAACCTGAAATGGACAGTTGTTTTGGCATCTGTGGCAACTCTCTCAGCAGTCTGCTTAATGTAGTCACGATACATCTTCTTCAACATTGAACAGGAGACAACACATAAATGGCCATTGGGGTTTGATATGGCTTTGGAGGAAGCTTGCTCGGTTAATGTCTGCAACCATCCCCATCTATCATCGTCTGTTAATGCAATACCTTGTGACATCTTGTCAACGTTGGCTTGAGGGTGAAGAGAATCACCTTCGAGGAAGGGACATTCATAATGCTTAGAAAGTAGTTCTGCAATGGTTGTTTTACCTGTTCCTGCGGGACCCCCGACTACTATAACTGTAGGCATGCTGTTGTGTATTCTTGCTTGCTAGTAATTTTCTGTCTTTTCATTCCTATCTGAAAGCTTTGGTTATTCGACTTCTTATGTACTTTGCTGAGAGCTGCACTGACTGCCCAACTAAAGTGGAGGTGAACGTTTGTGGGGCAGTAAGTGGGGGAAAGATGCATTCTTTTCACACCCCAAAAAATACAAATGGTGGGGGACGTGGGGGACACTAGGGGTACCTTGAGATCAAAAATCCTGGTACCAAAATAACCTTCAGTAACAATACCGTTCAAAGAATTTAAAGCCCTGTCTATCGAAGGACAATGAGGTGTTCTGCATTGAGTACAAGCTATCTAAGAGATCTATAAACATGGTATTACGTGCATTATTTACAAGAAGGGAAAACGGTTGCATTTCTAAATCGGAAAAAATTCTGCTACCTCCGATCGGGTTTACGGGTAGACTTTTTGACGATCTTCAAATTTAATAACTCCTCGGTGATACGCTTCTCAAGCAACACCTTCATATCCATGGCACTTTCCTTATCAACAAATATTGTGGGCCACCGTTGACTTAACCAAAGAAAAACAAGAGTTACCCTGTGAGATTGTTCCAACAGTTGTAGGGTCAGTATCACACTGTCTGAAGAGGCCAGCTTCTTAGGACTATTTTTTATAAGATCAGGTTTAAGATACCCTAGATCGAAAACATTAACGGTATTCTTTAGTGCCACACATTCCAAGAGTTTATGGAAAACCTTCACCAGTTCATTCTCTTCATCATTGAAAAGAATCCCATTCATGGGTGCAAGAGATAATCGGAGTTGTTCTTCCATAGAGAGTATCTTTTGAAGATTTCCCTTTTCGGCCACTCTGAGAATGTTCAACCGGGGTTCTAACTCCGCAAGAAAATAGTCCTCATTATATTTTATACTTTCTGATTGGAAACGGGTTAAAACTTCATGGAATGAAATGGGCTTTTCAAACTGCATCATGTAATGAAGCCAAAGATTGTCGGGCGGCCAAATGCATGCTTTTTCTAATTTGATGTTTGCAACTTTCATTTGTCTTTTAATGAACCGAAGATCTTTAAAAGAAAAAGCTGAAACGTATCCTGTCAGCTCCCCCTTTTCACTGCTATACCTTCCAGCTCTACCAGCTATTTGTTTAGTTTGGGAAGGAGTCAATTCTCTCATTTCAGTTCCATCAAATTTCTTGACACTGGAAAATATTACTCTGTTGATTTTGAGATTAAGTCCCATACCAATGGCGTCCAGAGCAACAAGAACATCATATTGACCATTGTTGAACCCGTCTGCCATTTGCGATCTAATTTCAGGAGGTAAGGCGCCATAAATAACACCAACACGGAGCTTTGTCTTTGATTCTATCTTTAATTTTGTCTCCAAAATCTTTCTTTTAGAAAATGCAATAACACAGTCACCCTTTTGCAAGTCCTCATAAGGTCTAATAGCTTCTGCCATAACCTCGAGCTTACCCAATCTCTGATATTTTCTAACTTCTATTTCATCGCCTGTTGCTTGACAAATCTTCTTCACCAATGGCACAGCACTTTCTTCACCACATAAGTGAACCTCCTTAGCAAGCACTCCTAGTAAAGCATTGGTCCATGCTTGTCCTCTGAGAGGATCACTGATCATCTGGATTTCATCAATGATACACATGTCCATGTGTTTGTGCATTGGAACCATTTCAATTGTTGACGAAGAAATATCACTAACTTTGCCGAACTCATCAACAGAGGGTACGATTTCTTCACCCGTAATCAAATTACATTTAATTCCCCGTTTGTTAAATCTTTCAAAGATCTCTCTAGCCAATAGTCTTAAAGGTCCAGCATAGTACCCAGATGTCAGTGTTGCTAGTTTTTGTAAGGAATTATAAGTTTTACCACTATTAGTTGGACCCACGTGCATTATTATCTTTCTTTTCATTTTACGAGCTTCAGGATACCAAGAAGCTGGGGTTTGCATGTTCATTTCATATTTGAGTGGAGTGAATTTATTCACTGAGCGAACCACAAACTTGAAAAGTAACTTCCTAAGAACAACAGTTAAGAAATCCTGTTTCGTTTTCACTTCAGGATAAACTAATAGTAATTCTTGTGGCACTAAGTTGTTGTTTATGCAATAGATAATTTGAGGAATATTGACCAATAAAGGGTTTATGAAATCTTGCGGTTTCATTTCACTAATCGGCCTTGTTGTAGCAGTTTTACTCAAATATTCTTTGAAAGTTTGATCTAACCGTTCAGTAAATTGATTTAACATGTGATCCAATTTCTTATGGTTGTCATTGAACATTTGCATTGCTTCGTATGGAGCTCCAAGCTTCCCTTTGATGATCTCATCGCGCAAGAATTCTATCGAAGTGTTAGCAACATTTTGAAGTTGCTTTAAGTGATCTTGATCGTGTGATGTATAAGTATTCAGCTCACTACTCAGTATAGTGCTTTGATATGAGTTATTTTCTTCATGGATCGGTAATGGTATGGATGATTTGGCTGTAGATGATGATGATCCGATGGGGGTAACAGTATACCGTCTTACGGTGTTCAGGAAGAGTTTAACACGTAAAGCGTATGATGCTAAGCAAGCACTTGGTCTAATATGCCTTAGTATCATCCTCATATAATCATACCAGAGTAGCCTGAGCCTAAGCAGATAAAGGAATAAATATGATGGAGGTTGACATAGGTGATATGCCTTAGTCTTGAAATAGCGGGGCGCTACCTTTAGAATGTTACATACAAATGGTAGCGCATTAAATACCCAAGAAAGTAACCACTACCAAGGAACACAATTCAATAGTCTACGTACTACCGCAGCCACAGGTAGATATGACAACCTCAACACAGGATAATCAACCTTTAATACACTGCCAGTCACCAATTGTGTCATCAACTGAAACCATTACTTACTAAATACAGCACTGTTTAGGCAGGTCTAGGAGGTGTTGGCAATTCCTGGTAGCAGAATTGTCTATTGTGGAGGGTGCTACCAAGCCGTCTTATATTGTTACAAAGTGCTATTAGAGCTAAGCATCATGAATGGGGGTAGTAGTAGGAAATTGAACGGCTGTGGATGGCCTCATCCACTATAACAGATGACTATAGAGCAGTCATAAAAACTGTACTGTAGTAACTTTAAGTATGATGTTTGATACTGACACTATTTTGTAGGCTCTACGTACCTGACTTTATTCTGGCGTACCACGTAATACTTTAATCTGTACTGTTGCAACCTTACACTACTACGTCATTGTTGCTGGCTGACAGACCCTATAAACTCTACTGAAAACAAGGCCTCCCAACTACCAGTTCCACACCGTTAAACTTGCAGGATTAACCTGTAACTCTCTCTTACTAGGCACGGCATCATCAGTTTTAAAACCAACACCTCTTTTGGGGGGCCAAGTCCGTTTGGTGAATTTTTTTCTCAGGTGGTGTGCACCTCTTTCTATCATTGGAGTTAGGCTGGTAACCACGACTGGCTAGCTTATTTAAACAGACTAAAGACGGACGAGTCATATCACATACTGATAGTTATACCGATAGTCATACTGATAGCTAAACTGGTAGTTGTACTGGTAGTTACAGTTGCGTGCTGTTAGAGACTCTTATACACGTCACACGAATTATCTGACAGATCACACTCACATACATATATCCACATAGTTACATTGAGTCATTGATACATGGAGGTTTGAAACATAAGTGAAGGAGTACGGGAATGAATAAAGCTAATGATGTCAACAGCAAGGCGGTGCTTGCAGCACAGTTTAATGACTTTTATTTGAAGATAGCCCTGCCTGAAGTCAATCAGATTGGTAGTTATAAGATTCTTGATGAAATTGGAGAAGGAGCCTTTGGCAAGGTGTATTTAGCCCGTCATGTGCTATTGAATGTGAAAGTTGTTCTTAAATGTGGTCTACTAGATGACCCCAACATCGTAAGGGAAGTGTACTATCATCGTCAATTGAAACATAAACACATTGTCAAACTATATGAAGTCATCAAAACTGAAAGTCATTTATGGTTGGTTCTAGAATATTGTGAAGGGAATGAATTATTCTATTACATTTACGAACAAAGAAGAGTTGAATATAAGAAATGTCAAGAGCTTTTCTTCCAAATCATGCTAGCTATTAAGTATGTTCATTCTTTGAATTTGGCCCATCGAGACTTGAAACTTGAAAACATTTTATTAGCTGATACCGATAAAACAATTGTTAAATTAACAGATTTTGGTTTTGTTAGAGAGTTTAATCCTTATTCACGTCAATTTCTTTCTACTGTATGTGGAACTACAGCTTATATGGCCCCAGAAGTTCTTCAAAATATTAAATATCTGGGGTTTCAAATTGATATTTGGGCACTTGGGGTCATTTTGTATACAATGTTGTATGGAAGAATGCCCTTTGATGAAGATGATGATTTGAGAACAAAATACAAAATCTTAAATGAAGAACCTCCATATTATGACACCATTCCTCGAGAAACAATAGCACTTATTCAACGAATGCTTAGTAAAGATCCAGCAAATCGTCCTAATTTGAATGAAATACTAAATTCTCCTTTCCTAATTGATTACAATAATAAACACTCATCCCGAACCCGGTTATCTTATTCTACAGACACCGAATCTATCCTTTCCCTTAATCAATACTATAAGAGTAACCCTGTTCCATTCCAATCCAAGATTGAGAAAAATTTAATGTACAAGTTAGAAAAGCTTGGGATTGATATAGAAGAGCTACTGCAATCGATATACAATAACGAAATGAATTCTCTTACTGCGTTCTATGAGTTATTGTTAACAAAGGAATTTCAAAAGAAAAAGTCCATTTATTATAAGGATAGAAAAAGAAGAGCTAAAAAGTCGCTTCTGAAGTCAAAGAAGAGAGTGAAATCAGTACTTTCACTATCTGATGTTGCATCTGCAACCCAACCTTTAGAAAGAATAATTTCAACACTAAGCATCTCGTCAAGAAACACTTCTGCAAACACAAATATCAATCCCACAACTGGTGGTGGAGCAACTAACCAGTCAAGAAATGGTGCAGCAGGGACAGCTACAAGTCCTATCCCTCCTTCACCTAGAAGTCCTAGATATGGCAAAAGTGGAATAAGTAGACCAACTTCCCCCAAAACTGTTCCCTCGACTTCCAGTGCTCCTACTCGAATTTCTACTTCCATGTCTTTATCTCATTCGGCTACGGCTATTCCAACCCATCTGATTAGCATGGATAGCACCAACACAAGCAATAATGGATTCCAGTCGATGCTAGAAGAGACAATAGTTACTGCAAAGCCTCAGGTACTCGATGAGCCCATAACTTCAAGCCTCGCTGTGAATCCTACAAACGACTCCACCATTTCTCCTTCCATTGATAATTCAAGTTTCACTGACGGGAGTACGAGCCGTCGGAAAGTTTCTTTCCATACAAATACTCATCAACGACTTTGGAGTTCGAACAATAACAATGACCTTAATCCTGAGAAAGAAAAGAAATCAAAGGGGGTTTTAAATAAACTTCAGTTCTGGAAAAAGGGTAATAATAACAATAACACGTCGAGTGACAATTCTCTGACTAAATCTCGAAAATCACAAGAAACAGTGCCTTCAAAATCAAGTCAACAAATTGCACCTACAAGAATATCTTTGGATTCGAACAACAGGTTAACTCATGCAAGTGTTAACCCTAAACGAACTGGTCCTCGAACAGGATCCGTAGCTTCTGAAGAATCTCGTCTAGAGTTAGCTGTTCCATCTCGAATTCATCGTACTAATATGAAGCCTTCTTCATCTGCTGCATATAGTGGAGTTGATTCTATCCCTTCACCACTGGCAATTAGAAGTGGTGGAGCACCTTCTTGGATTTCCGAATCACCTCGTGGACCACCTTTAAGAAGACAGCGTCCTTCATCAATGATCTCCCAAATAAGTCAATTCAGTCAGCAATCACAGATGTCTGAATCTGAACTTGACATTTTAGATGCTTCAGACATGGAGGAAGAGGAAGACTTGGAAGAAGAAGAATATGACGAAGATTTGGTTTATGAATCAAGTATTAATATGTCACAGGATTTCCATCGTCCCTCGTTAACTATGACTAGTGTGAATCCCAATTCTTCAGCTGCTCCCTCGACCAATGGGAGTACTACAAAGTTGAAGCGGCCAGGTGTTATGAGACATTTATCGTCGGATATTTCTATTGCTTCTTCAACTACTTCAGCAGCTGGTAGTGTTGTCGGTTACACCACGAGTACTACTAAAGAAGCCAAAAAACGACTTCCATCTTTGACACAGTTGTCTAGTAATTCTTCTGAAGAAAGCGAGTATTTTGAACAGCTTGCTGCTCCTATTCCCAAGAAGCCATTACCTACCACTGCAGGGGTTGAGTCTCAATTTTCAGTTTCCAATTCAAAGATTCCTGTTACATCGGGAAGTCCGTCGCCAGATCTTATTCGAAGAAGTCTCAAGGTACAACAACGATATTCTGGTGCAGATAAGAGATCCAATGGTATTTTTAGCGCACATACACCTAGAACCACCAGTAATGGGTCGTTGACTGTTGGACTTCCTGGGAAGTTTATGGGTGGTGATAGTGATGGATTCCTATCCATGGGAAGAAGCTCAAACCCCATGATTAACCGGCCCTGCTCCCCGCCAATTATTCGAGGCGTTAACTCAATGCATTTGAATATGAATATGAATGAACTTGGATCTATTCATAAGGTTCAAGACACACACCAAGTGGATGTTACTTGGATAGGAACTCAAAAAGTTAGCGACAAACACGAGCCTGTTATAACTGAAGAAGATGAGGAAGAAGATTAGAGGATTCAGGCTTTTATAGGGTATTTTACATTAGAATTCAATAAATTTTATCATAACATGCGTATGCGTATGCCAGAGAAGAATTTAGCTCGTAAAAAATATGACGTGCATGCTTATCGATAAGAACTGTCATTTATCCTCGTTTATAATTGAAGATACGAGAGCCAACATAAGCTCATTATTTTGCAGCAATTGTAATAGAAGTCAAACTTACGAATACACGTTGTGATGAGGTCATTATATGTTTTAAAAGGTGATTGTAAATATTACTTAGAGAGTGGTGAACGTTTGGTTAATCAAATTTTGCTTCAAATGTATCGTACTCCTTTGGAAAACTGTCGTTATCCTTCGGTGGCGCTTAGTTGAAAAAAGTTGCAACTAAAAAGTTTTCACAAAAGTAGCCTTGTCTCGTTTTATTTACTTTCGTTAAAGTCAGCTTCAGAGCCAGCTTCCTTCAGATATTTATTATTAGGTGTTCTGTATTTCATAAATTTACACAATATTTTGCTGAAGCGGATAATCACTCCGCTGGTTCTTGTTTAATAGTAGGTTGTCTTAATAATTTGAAGCAATAGTGAACATTTTGCAAGTAACTTTATTAAGAGCTAACAGTTAGACTATAGCTTTCCATTTCCGTTACCACGTATACATAAGAGCAGTGTTATGTACGCATATATTACTTAACATTGACTTCAGTATGACCATTACGGAAACTCTTGAAGGGGGTGGAATCGTGTTCTTACGTAATAATTACCAGGATCACCTATATGTCGCGCGACATTTTTGTAACGTATGTCAGCTCTGAAAATTTTTTCAGTATGAAGGTAGGAGACAAGCTAAGACAAACCAACAATAACAAACCCCTTATTAAGTCAGAACTGTAGAGGATGGCCAGTGTGTTTGTTGTTGATGCGGAGTTAAAGGACTCTGTTTTGGAGTTTGGGGCGATTGTGGACGGAGTCAATGAAACCAACGACTTTTCCCAAAGCTTGCAAGCTCATTTTGTTAACGAAAGCTCTGAAATTTCTGATAAAGATGAATTAGTCAAGACCATTTACAGTGGAGTCAGCAATGAAGGTTTGAGCAAGTTATCTGACAAGGAGTTTGAATCAGCATTCAACTTGGTTCTTTATCTCGTATTACAATTGGATGGAAGTAAAGGAATTTCCAATGGAGTTTTAATTCAAACTTTGGTTGACATAAATCCTGTTAAGCAAGCTTCTTTAAGAGACAGAAGATCTATTAAGAGCACAACCATTTTATCATGTTTCAACACTATATTCAATGTTTTGCCTGCTAATTCTGCCACTAGAATTACTATTTTGGAAAAGATTTTTTACATAGCCAATGTTTCACAAGGTTCCATCCCTTTCAAATTACTTTCTGAAGGTCTTGGTAGCAACTTAATATCTTGGTTAACCAGTGCTGGAGCTTCTGAGACTCAAATCAAAAGTTTATTCTATCAATTTGTTGCCTTGGATCAACAATATTCATTGGAAACTCTTGGATTAATCAAAAATTTCACTCAAATTTATACTGTTTCTGAAACTGAAGCCGAACAAATCGCTCTTTTTGCTTTGAAGAGTGAAACCATGGATGTTTCATCTTTATTCAACAACAATTTGACTTCTACATTAAAGAATTCATCATCATCTGAATTATGTCAGTTATTCTTGTCCTACGCCAAGGGTCAGGTGATCAAGCACGTGCCTGAGCTGTTGGAATTATATGCAGAACACATTAAGTCTAAATCTAGAGTTTTAAATTTGGTTAAATTCTTTGCTGATAATGAAGCTTCCAAGTCTAAATTCACCTATTCGGAAATCCCGGATGTTGTTGATCATCTTGACTTTGAAATATTGTTGATCAATGCCATCAAAGCGGGTGTTATTGAAGGAAAATTGAATCAAGTTGAACAAACATTCTATTTAACTAAAGTCAATCGTTTCATCATTGCAAAGGAAGATAACACTCAGAATTGGGAAGCTGTTAAGAAGACATTATACAATTGGAAGAATGCTTTGATTAACATTAATCAAGTTGTTAACGAAGCCAGGGAAAACATAGTGCAACAGAACTAAATTTATCATAGAGGCACTACAGAATACAGTCTTATAGCATGCTCTTTTTGTATAATAAATATTGGTAACAATTAAATTAATCTCTATCATTGTCAAGAACAACAAGGAATCCTCCAACCAAATGCAAAGATCCACAAACAAAAACATCAACTTCTCGGGTAGAAGGAAGTGAATCTGTTAATGATTTAATATAGTTAACACTGGTTTCAATATCATGGAAAATGTGTTTCCTGGTTTGCAACCCCTGTTGTTGATCTAATTTATTCCAACACTCTGCAAATTCCTTTTGGACCACAAGTCTATCAACAACATCTTTGGAACTGTTCATTGATACCAAATCAGCAGAGTAATTCCCATCGGACCATGTGACATTGGTTGAGAAAATAGCATGGTCAAATTTCTTCCCACCGGGAGCATTGATTATTTGATGGAGCTTGGTTAAAAGGGCAGTAGCATTTTCTCTACCTTGTTGGTTGAACAAAAGTACTCTTAAATTATTGGCTTTCTTTTTGGTTGCACTGGTTGTACCTGTTGTTTGTTGAGTAAACCATTGAGATGCGACATTTATAGATTCCATAGTATGAGCACCATCAATATACCAATTAATTCTTTCAAACTCTGGTTTCAGTTCAATCACTTGACATCTACCGTTCCATCTAGTTTCTTCTAAGCCCGTCAAAAAATTGTCTGGAATCAGAACAAACACCCCGTTTTCAAGTTCAGGTAAATCGGTTGGTTTGAACCCCAATTGCTTTAAATGAACTCCGGCAAGTTGTACGGCCAACGCAGCGTTTTGCCTTTGGAAATCACCAGCCAAACCAAGCTTAATCTTAGGAGGAAGTGCAGTGTCTCCATGGACAATATCCAATTGAGAAACACCCAATTCCTTAGCTCTTGATTGAATAAGTGGGATTGTCTGTGGGTACTCCCTTTGGTCCGAGACCACTGCGGGACACCCACGCTTGAAGATACCCGTTTTGTTCTCAGTGATAGACTCTACGGTATTCCCCAACATGAATGTATGGTCAATCCCTAAGGACAGAATACCTGTCACAGTTGGTTTCTCAATGATATTAGTGGAGTCGTAAGTGCCCCCAACACCAACCTCATAGATTGCAGTATCAACACCCTCCAGCATGAACACGTGGAAAGATAAAATCGTCAAGTACTTGAAATACATTGGCTTAACCAAATCAGATGGTTGTAGTGTTGGGAAGTCGGTGGGGTCACTTTGGGTAGCAGACAATTTATCCCAGACTTCAAAAAAGTACTTCAGAAACTTCAATTCGTTGATGGGGTTACCGTTGATTCTGATTCTTTCTCTGACCGACTTCAAGTGAGGCGATGTATACAACCCAATCTTATGAATAGAAGACTTGGGACCAGTGCGAGATGAAGATCCACTGCTAGTAGCATTAGTATGAGCTGCGCTATTAACAGCAGTACTACTAGTTCCATCATCAATGTATTTTCTCAAGATAGACTCTGTAAAAGCAGCAGTTGACCCCTTACCCTTTGTTCCCGTGATATGGATAACGTTCAACTTGTTAAAGTCCAGAGGCAGGTACCCCAACCGCCTTGTGTATTCGTAGACTTCCTTGATCAGAAGCTCATTCTTATTGACGTTGGGTCCAAGTTTTCTAGTCGCTTCTATGGATGCAAAGTTGCTCTGAAGAGTGTTCAATGCGGCTATGGCATCTTTATAAGTTCGAGCACGCATCGATGAGGTGGGTTTGGATTCTTCAGTCATTGGACCAGAACGGGACCGGTGGAGGTAACGGCAGAAACTCCGTTGGAACAAGCAAATACGATACAAACTAAAGCGTCAGACACGAACAACCGCTACGATGTTGAGTCTATGGTTGATGGGAATGAGTTGAGGTGATAAAAATTTGATTACTGTGCGGACTCGAAGGAGGTGGACGTAAATCAGACAGATCCATATACATGTATTATATACATGTAATATTATGTTTGAAGCAATTTCAGAAGTTATGTCTGTGATATAAGTATATTGTTTACTGCTGTATATATTACTATTAGGGAGACTTATGGGGAGACATTATATATGTTAAGCAGAAGATTGTCTGGAAAACAGCATCTGATCAGGATGCGCAATAGAGTGCCACTACAATAACCAAATAATCCTTATATATATAATGTCGTGCAATATATATTAAGAGATTGCTGTATATACAATGCTGTGCTATGAGTACTAAGGAACTGCTACATATCCATATCCATATATATATCGCGCTTTCGTAGTTAGAATACCGTTCCCACTGTCTGAAACTTTCACCGACATTTTCTTCAATAGCCTGTCAAATCCTGTCTTTTGTAAACGGTTATCCGAAGACCTGCATATAGATGATGAGTCAGTAAGTTTCTCCTCGGGTGCATTGAAAAAGGAAAAAAAATCTGTTGATGTGAATCACACCTTCCTTGCGGAACACTTAGACTCGCCCAATAAAGAGTTCCGATTTTCTGTAGTTAATCCCACCTGGAAATATCCCCGAGCACGTTGTATGTGCTGAAAACTGATTAGAAATTTGTTACTTGTATTTGTTTAGTCCGGTTACAATGTATTTCCGTTGAAGGACGAGAGGGCATCCAGAGTTTTACAAAGAAATCGGAAGGTTTAAGTGGGTTTAGAAAAAAGGTTTATTCTTGTCGGTTTTAATGTCCAATTGAAAACCAAGTGATATTAGCTAATCATAATTGGAAGTATTGAAGTTCTATTGATTGGATATCATTTAGTTTTAAGTGTCTATTGTATTCACACATGTCTGTCGTAATGGTGTCACCAGGTTTAGACCAAAACCAATTTTCGTCAGAGGAAATTAATAATACTGCAGTTGAAGATCTGCCTCAAGTTCAAGTTCAATCTTCTCAATCTCAATCTTTAGATGTGAATCTGAAAGTCTCGAAACATTTTAGTCCAAATGATTTTATTGATATCCCATTATTGATTCCGGATCATGAAGGTTTGACTGATGAGGATGAAGACGATGTCAGTTATAGAAATAATAGTAGTAGTATCCCACCTGGTACTAGTCAAGTTACGTCTACACAAACCAGTTTCCAATCATCATTCCCTTTAGCAGAAACCTATGCTACGAATTCCTTCAGACACCGAATTAATAAAAGTTCCGGCCATCATCATCATAAGAACCTTTCAAGAACTTTACTTCGTGATCGTATAGTTTCGAGTTCACTTTCTTCTACCCCATCTACTGCAACAGCAACTGCAAAATACCCAAGACTGAACTCAAGGTCTTCCCTCACACCCTTGGTCTTTTTACAAGAAAGAACAAAGTTAATGGCTATTATTGTCAAATATATTGCTACTAAGATTGAAAATTCATTCCCACCAGATTCTTCGGGTGGGATCAACAAAGACGAGTTAGAATTAGATAAGGTGATGCTTTTATTAGTTGCAAGATTAGGTCTAGGGCTTCCGTTGTTTCTTAAGCTGATCATATACTTATTCCGGTACATGGATATCGTGTATTTGTTACGTTATTTGAACCAACTGAATAATATGGCCAATTATCAACTGATGGATTTTGGATTGAAACAATTAATTATTGGATGTTTCAAATTAACAGTGGAAATGGAACGACAAGAAGAAATCAAATTAGGAGTCACAGATATGGTTATCGGGATTCAAGGAATGGCAGGTCGTATCTACACAAAAGATTGGGAAGCAATAACTGGATTCACAATGACTGAAATTGATGTCATTGCTCTGACGATTTCAAAACGATTAAATGGGAAATTAACCATTAAGACTATGGAATTATTGAAATTAAAGAGTGAAATATTCCGGTTTGTCCGCATGGTAAGTACAACTGTCTAGCATCTTTTTCGGGTGGACGTTGTATGATTACAGTTGTGTATTATTATTATTATTATGTTTAAATTTATAGTGCAGTATATCAAATAAGGGAGACCAATAGCGCAGTTCGCTTAAGAGCATATTCTTGTCTATAAATATGCTCATAGAGAGAACGCGAAGAGTAGTGTAGCACTGTGCACATAATGGATGTAAGCATCCACACTCCTTTCAACAAGAGGCGCTACCATTAACATATGACTCATAATTCGGCGGCCCTTTAAATGAATTGGGTTTCGCCGATTGGAGATGACTGATAAGTACTGGATTAAGTTTTGACAAATGCATTACTACGCTGACCAAGGATGAGTAATCTGTAGCCATGCCAAGCCAGGCCTAGCCTCGCCAGTATCCGTCAAAGGTCGACTCATGGGGGCCACCCTCCGGTCAAGACCAATGCCATTAGTTGATCTTACTGCTTACTTAACAGACACTTTACAACAGGTAACCATGACTATTTCTCTTCGCTCTTTATTACCGAATCGAACATATACAAAGTACTCGTTATCAGGAGGACGCCAGATCGATATTTCTATGAGCTTACTTCAGCAATTACGTAAGTCTCATGAGTCACAGCAACACAAAAGGAGCATTTATCGGCACCTCCGAAATTGATACGGCCTCTGGTTGCACCGATTACTCATAGCGGCGGGTTTCCTTGTCACCGTAGAAAAATTTTTCACTATGGGGTATACCACTAAATACGGCTATGATACTGCGGACAGAACGAATTCCATATGCAAACCCCTTTTGTAATAGGTGATAGTGATGTAAAGGGCCTGGATAGTCTCTCGTATATAAGGGGGTTCATCCGACGTAAAATTAATTCTGAGTATTATACATTTATTCTCCAACTATTAAGGTATTACGTTTCCAATTGATTGTGAATAATTCTTTCACTTCCGCATAATAATATAAGAAGAATAATAATAATAATAATACTAAATGTCTGTGCAATCTAATCCATACGGACCACATCCATCTGATTTTCTTTCTAATGTTCGTAGTTTCGAAGTTATCGAATCCACATTGAGAGAGGGTGAACAATTTGCTAATGCATTTTTCACTACTGAAAAGAAGATTGAGATTGCTAAGGCTCTAGATGACTTTGGTGTTGATTACATTGAATTGACATCCCCTGTTGCTTCTGAACAATCCAGAAGAGATTGTGAAGCCATTTGTAAGTTGGGATTAAAGGCTAAGATCTTGACTCACATCAGATGTCATATGGATGATGCCCGTGTTGCTGTTGAAACCGGTGTTGACGGTGTTGATGTGGTTATCGGTACTTCACAATTTTTGAGACAATATTCTCATGGTAAGGATATGAACTACATTGCCCAAAGTGCCATTGAAGTCATTGAATTTGTCAAGTCTAAGGGTATTGAAATCAGATTTTCCTCAGAAGATTCCTTCAGATCAGACATTGTTGATTTGTTAAACATCTACAGAACCGTCGACAAGATTGGTGTTAACAGAGTTGGTATTGCCGACACTGTAGGTTGTGCCAACCCAAGACAAGTTTATGAATTGGTCAAGACTTTGAAGTCTGTTGTTTCCTGTGACATTGAATGTCACTTCCACAATGACACTGGTTGTGCTGTTGCCAACGCTTACACTGCTTTGGAAGGTGGTGCTAAGTTGATTGATGTCTCTGTTTTGGGTATTGGTGAACGTAATGGTATCACCCCATTGGGTGCTCTTATGGCTCGTATGATCACTGCTGATCGTGATTACGTTCTTTCCAAGTACAAGTTGCATAAGTTGAGAGATTTGGAAAACTTGGTTGCTGACGCCGTTCAAGTCAACATTCCATTCAACAACCCCATCACTGGTTTCTGTGCCTTCACCCACAAGGCTGGTATTCACGCTAAGGCCATCTTGGCTAACCCTTCTACCTATGAAATCTTGAACCCTGCTGATTTCGGTTTGACCAGGTATATCCACTTTGCCAACAGGTTGACCGGGTGGAATGCCATCAAGTCCAGAGTTGACCAATTGAATTTGAACTTGACCGATGAGCAATGTAAGGAAGTCACAGCTAAGATCAAGTTGTTGGGTGATGTTAGACAATTGAACATTGACGATGTTGATTCCATTATCAAGGACTTCCACACTGACATTAATACTCCTTCTTTGAAGCCCCAAGCCTTGGATGCAAAGGATGTTGAACCAGTGGTTGCCAATGGCGACGAGCCAGCTGCTAAGAAGCACAAGGTTGAATAGATTGACGGACACGGACGGACAATAGAAAAATAAAAAAGATCACACGGGTATTCTAACAACACTACTTTATTATTTGCTTGTCTTTTTTATTGTCTTTACTTCATTTCGTTTCAAAAGTTTTATGTATGGGTAGTTAGTTGTTACAAGTTTAGACTAATGCATGATTTCCGGCTTATAGCGTACTCATTTGTAGACAACAATTGGTGCCAAAAAGACCACTGTGAGCATAATTAATTGATTTAAAGTTGAAATGGGTAGGTGATATCAGCTTAATTTGGATCAATTAAATGTACTTAGCCTGTAGCATAAATATTAGGTCCAAACTCAAATTACGAGTTAACCGTTCCTTCCCGTTCTTCTGCGTGGCATCGGCATATCACAGTCCAACCAGGGGTTCCAGGTTATTGTTTCTGCTATAGGAAACGCTTTTTCACAGTTAATGGGAATCATAAATAAAGTCGGCACAAATCCAAACAAAGTATCACAAAATCGGTCAAAGAGAGATCACTTCTTTCACATTAAGTTCAGTCGAACACCTTTCGTTCCCATGCTAACACAATCAGCTAGGACTGAAAGTCCCAATAGTTCATTTAGCTAGCAATTTAAGGACATTGTCTCTACTTCCTACTATAATGCTTGAGGAGTGGTTAAGCTTCTTTATTTTCAAATTCCCATTGACACCATTCGAATTATCAACAATAGTGGAAACAAAACTCAAGTGTATCTTGACACACAGTATTTTTAAATGCTGAAATTAGCAAAAGTAGCTAAATCGCCTGTTAGCTTTAAACAAACAAAATGTTTCAGAAAGATACGTCTAAGTAGAAGTTCGATACCAAAACACTGATGCCTTATCACTCTGCACGGAGCTCACAAATACTTCATTGAGAGTTAGTCCTCTTTTACTTCAATCTTATTTGTGAAGTGAGCCATTTCTTTTGGTGATGAAGATCTTGAGCTTCAAATTCTAACAGGTTGGTAAATAAGGACGCTATTGTTTCTAATTAGTTCTCTGGGCTCTGAGAGAATTACTCGTTAAGATATGCTTGGGTTCATCCTGACTCAAGAATAACCGCGTTTCAGTGCTTTTGATTGGATTCGTCCCACCGGCAAAGGATATCTTTCTTTTACTTTTTGCAGCCATTATATATGCCCATAAGAGGTTCCACTACATGCTGGATGGACTTAATACTCGGTGATCTTATTTGGTACTCCCACGAAATTCTACACCTGTTTTTTAAAGCCGAAAGCGGCCTTGAAAAACTCTTTTGGTTTACGTCAAGCTTTCAACAAGCCCTAATCTACCAGTTTAAAATGGCAAAGAAAACAGGAAACGAAAACTCTAAGAAGGCGCAAGGTAGAGCTAGAAAGGACGAGGCTGCCAACAGAAAGAAGGAAGAAGCCAACGCTGCCTTAGAAGCTGCAGAAGCCGCAAAGTGGGATGAAGGTTCCAAAAAGAATAACAAGAAGAAGGAAGACGCTGAGTTCAAGAGGCAAGAAGCAGCTAGAAAGAAGGCAGAACGTGATCTATTATTAGCTGCTGAAGAATCTGCCAATCCATCTAAATCCAGAGGTGCTGCCAAAGTTGCTGCTAAGAGAGCTGGTAAAATTGATGATTTCCTTGATTTCAACAAGGATATCACTGAATTAAGTGCTAGCGGTATTGAGAATGCCTTGGAGGCATTGGCATTAACTCAAAAGGATGCTGGTTTGAGTAACAAGGATATTGATAGACATCCTGAAAGAAGAGTTAAAGCTGCATTTGCAGCTTATGAAGAAAGAAGATTACCTGAGATGAGAAAGGAGAATCCCGGGTTACGTTTGAATCAAATCAGGACGTTACTCTTCAAGGAGTTTCAAAAATCAGATGCAAACCCAATGAACCAAGACACTAATATTCATTTCAATGCAACTCGAGATGAGATTCAAAACAAGAAGCACGAAGTAAAGTCTTCAAGAGAAAAGAGATTCAATTAATTGTGTCCCTTCGATGCAGCAACTTTGGGTTAAGATATCATCTAATGAATTGAAGTAGTTGTTTGGCGTTTCTGTCATTGCAATTTTCTGTATCGGTCAGGAATAAGTAATTGCCCTCCCCTCATGATGGCTTAACTTGGTGCCACTTTTCACCTCCTCCTTATTATATATAGCTATTATAAATACTTTTTTCGTCACTTCCGATCCCCTCTATCATTTCAATGAGCTTCATGAATCAGGACCCCAGTCAATTATATGCAAACTAGTTTGAACGTTATTAAATTATATACTTTAGTTTAGTTTATATGGAACTGCATATACATTTTAGTGTCCTGGCAAGGGTTACCCGGATCTCCCCACGTTTCGGTATCAGTTTGACCGAACTCCCCGCAGGTACCTCTAGTTATTGCCGACCGCTAATATAGAACCTCACCATCTCACTATCTACCGAACTTCCGAAACTTGCATAATCAACCTTCCTTGCATCTTCCCCCCACAGTAGTGAGTATGTATATATACAAGTAATAAGGAACCATATATAGTTAGGATCATTCACGGCCATTATATTTTTTATTAAGTCACTCCCCTACTATTCAATTTATTCTAGTCAACAATAAAAAGCATCATGACACTTCCCAAAACTCAAGTTGGATTCTGTTACGATAATGAATCCCGTAAGCTTGTCAAGGTAACTGACCTTCCAGTGAAACAACCCACTCGAGGTGAAGTTCTTGTGAAGATTGAAGGTGCGGGACTTTGTAATTCGGACTTACATGTTCTTAGTCCTCGAGGTGGACCCATTGATTTGGATGGTTCTAATGATAAGCAACGATTTGTGATGGGCCATGAGATTGCTGGACGAATTGTGTCTGTTGGTGAGGGGACTGAGACCACGTTCAAAGAAGGGGATCGAGTTGCATTTTTCATTACTCATGCCTGTGGTCAATGTCTTGATTGTCGCCTGGGCCGTGACAATACATGCGGAGCAAAAGCATATGGTTTAAATCAAGATGGTGGGTTTCAAGAGTATATTTTAGTGGATAAGTTACGGACTTTACTTCCTATTCCAGATAATGTATCTTATGAGCAAGCGTGTTCTGCTTGTGATGCCATCCTTACCCCATTCCATGCCATTCAAAAGGCCAAAGATGTATTAACCAATCCTGCCACAAAGGTACTAGTCGTTGGTGTTGGGGGGTTAGGGATGAATGCGGTTCAGATTTTGCGTAACTATCCAGTAGATATCACTGCTGTTGATTTGAAACCGGAACTCAAAGAAAGTGCTCTCAAGTTTGGTGCCAACAGGTTTGGCACTAGTCTTGATCAAATAACTGATGAAGATGAAGAGTTTGAACCAATGTTCAATTTAGTCTTTGATTTCATTGGTAGTCAAGGTCTGTATGATAGTTACTATATGCAGTTGCAAAGAAGAGCTAAAATCATGATGGTTGGTTTGGCCAAACCCACGTTTCAAATCCATAACTTTTTGAATGCTATGCGTGAGATTGAAATTGTGTTTTCCTTTGGAGGTAACTCTCAAGAGCAACTCCAAGTCTTGGAATGGATTAGCTTGGGTAGATTGAAGCCTATCACCAGTAACGCACCTTTGGACGAAGTCCCCAAGTATTTACAGCTCTTGAAGGAAGGGAAAGTTGTTGGTAGAGTTGTTTTCCAACCCAAATTGTAGTAAAGGGGGGCATATTAACGGTAGATATGTGATGATGATATAGGTGTACAATTTACAAACGACATTTGTGGTAGAGGCATCAGTGTTGATCATCATTCTCCAGTATTCGCAGCCATTTTGCAGCAAATAATCAACAGATAAACAACTTGTATATGTGCTCGTAGATGTACATATGAGCATGTGGATATGTTCAAAAAAGCATATACAGACATTACACCACATTACTGGGTAAACTAAACCTATTCTGTTTTAGTTAAGCGAGATGACTGTGAATGCAAACACTAATGCATTAACAATGTTCGCATCTGCACTTAGTTGAATGTTCTTTCACCGGCATTTTTTGCACATATATTCAAGCTGACATGTGCCAACACGCATATGCCGTTGAGTCCTTTGTAAAGTAGTATTCATTTATCTGTCGTTATTGGTTACAAAGCCCCTCGAGGTCCGACATTAATGTCGCGGTCATCGCGAATTAGAACGACATTGGGGACGTCACAAAACCGCAGATCCAAGCGCCAAATATAAATAGGCAAACAAATCCCCACCTGACACAGGATGGAAATTTTACAATCATCAACACTAAACTGTAAACCTCATTGGCAATTGGTGTTAGGAGGTTCCTACTGGTGGTGCAAGCTCAACAGGAGACATTTCTTCCGACAATTGATATATTTTGGAGGAGTGTCGGATTTTGAGTGAAAAACTATTCATTACTTTACGAGTCACATTATTGCATATACCGTCGAATACCGATTTAATCATATGTTACGGACTTAATTTCACCTGTTACATTAAATATCCTTATAATACTAATAATGTCAAGACTAGACCGTTTAGTGGTGCTATTAGAAACCGGTTCCACTCCATTTATACGTAACACTGCAGCGGACCAATTACTGGATTTGGCTAAGGGCCATCCGGAGGATACTGTGAATTTATTAGGACGAGTGTATCCATTTCTCAAGTCCAAAAAATGGGAAACAAGAATAGCTGCTGCTCGAGCCTTTGGTGGAATAGTGAACCATTCAGAATTGTGGGATCCAAATAATGATGGTACCATTAAGAAAGAACAAGAAATGGAGAATCTCATCAAACAAGAGGTTGAAGAGAATGTGAGTATCAAAATTGAACAAGATGAAGAACTTCAAAAGTTTACCGATACTTTAAGCAATTTAGTCAATTTTTCTCAATTTGAACTTCATCTGCTCTTGCAATCAAAACATAAATTGGTTGCTGCCAAACTCGATGAAGAAGACAATATTAAAAATACTACCAATGGTGATCATGCTAATGGTAAGGAATTGGACTATGATTTGTTTGCAAAATTGAAAAGACATCGAGCACCTGTCAAACAAGAAGAAGACGAAAGTTCAAGTTCAAGTGTCAAATTAGAAACTGGAAACTCACCCAGAGGAGAAACTCCAATGCTAAGTGACTCTTCTTCCAATTCTCCAGTAATTTCGGCTGCATCTACTCCTCAACCAATAGCAGCCAATGCATCTACGTCAACACCTAGCACCCCTGGTGCTGGTGCTGGTCCTGGAACCACAGGAAATTCAAATATATCAAGTGCTCGTTTAAAGATGATGATGAAACGAAAAGCAAAAGCTCAGGCAAAATCAGGAGTAAGTACTCCAAAGCCAATTGACTTACATCAAAGTTCTGTGTCTCGAAAGCTTGTTAGTGACGGGTTAGAATTGAAGCAAGAACCTGGAACTGGTGGACCGTCAGATACAAAATATGATATCACATCGCAACAAGGAGGTGAAAAATTAGTGTTGGAAACAAAAGCACCTGAATTGGAGCCACTATTATCTCTGCACATGAAAGTTGCTGGATTAGTATGGGAATTCCAAGGGGTTTATGAGTTATTACTTAACGATCTATTTGATGATACTTGGGAAATTCGTCACGGAGCTGCATTGGGTCTTAGGGAATTATTAAAAAAGCATAGCAAGGGGGCAGGACGGATTATGAATAAATCATTAGAAGAGAATAACCATAATAATAGAGTTACTCTTGAGGATTTGGCCGTTAGACTATGTGCATTATTTGCATTGGATAGATTTGGTGATTTTGTTTCTGATACAGTTGTTGCACCCGTCCGAGAATCTGGTGCACAAACATTGGCAGCGTTACTTTTACATCTAGACGATGATATAGTTTTTAGGACTTTTGATTGTCTCTACGATCTTGTGATGCAAAAAAACGAGTTGGTCAAATGTTGGGAAGCTAAGCACGGAGGAATGTTGGGACTTCGATATTTTGTGGGAGTCAGAACTGATATACTTTTAAAGAAACCTGAATTGATGGATGATGTGTTTTACATGGTCTTGAATGGATTAAAGGAGAGCGATGACGATGTTCAATCAGTAGCAGCATTAACTCTTTCCCCAATTGCATCTGAGTTTGTTAGTATGAGAACAAATTTGTTACATGAGCTTTTAAATGTGATATGGGACGCTCTCACCAATTTGCGTGATGATTTGTCAGCGTCGATCGGGTCTGTTATGGATTTATTATCCAAATTATGCACCCATAAAGAGTGCATTGATATTATTCAACATTATGCTGTTCAAGAAGACAAAAATTCTTTCCAGAATCTAGTTCCTAGATTGTTCCCCTTTTTACGTCATCCCATTACCAATGTTCGGAAAGCAGTCCTCAGAACATTACTTGAATTCCTTTCAATTGAAGACGAGCAAACCAAAAAGTGGATTAATGAAAATAGTTTGCGGTTAATCTTTCAGAATTTATTGGTGGAACAGAACAAGGATGTCTTGGAGCTCTCTCACAAGGTTTGCAATAAAATCATTGACGAAATGGACAAAAACCCCGGCATTCCAACAGTACAAGAAGCATTTGTGGGTCATTTCAAGCCTCTTCTTTCGTTATTAATGACCCCAATTGGTATTGCAAGATTCAACTATCAAATGAATACTACTTTAATCATGCGTCCTTCGGGACAATACTTTGGCCCAATTGAAGATGTTAAGAAAAGGAAACGAAGAGCTTCTGATGGAAACGGCAGAGCCAAAATGGAACTGGATATTCCTTGCGGTGAAGAAGAATTGAAAGTCAACATCGATGCTCCTATGTTTAAGGGTGATGTTATGCTTGTTGGATACGATACATTTATGAGAACAAGAAGTTGTGCTGCTGATGCATACGGCAGATTGTTATCTTATGTTACAGAAACCCAGGATTTGGAATTTATCTTCCAATTGATCTTAAAGAACTTATCATCCGCTCACTCCACCCCTCGCTTATTTGGAGCTATGGTAGTTCAATCGTATGCTCATGAGTTAAGATCTAGAGAACTTGAAATTCCTAAATCTGCTGTTGAAGCCTTTAGTCAAACCATCAATACCACTTTGGCTGAACCTGATTCTTTACCATACTTCAGAGAGCTTGTTCCCACGTTGAAATCTGTCAGGACGTGCTGTTTACAGTTGTTTGATAGTTTCATCAGCAACGCCAAGGTGAGCCCATCCAAAATTCCACAGCTACCTGTAGTTGTACAGGGTGAAGAAGAAGCTGGTTCTAGTGCATTTGGCTTGGAAAACGCAGAGAAGATCTTGAATGATATTGCACCTAAATTGACCAAAAGTTTATCTGCCTCAAGTAGAATGAGTGCCCATCAGTCTTTAGAAGATGCAAAGCATAGAATAACCGTTGCGATGGAAGAAGTAATCATTGCACGAAGTAGTCGAAATGTGGGTATATTGTCAGCATATGCATCAGCAATTCTTGAGTTAAGTGGTATTCCTAAGAAGTTAAACCCTGTGATTCGATCACTAATGGACAGTGTTAAACAAGAAGAGTCAAGCATTTTACAACAACGTTCGGCAACTTCCGTGTCTCATTTTGTAAAAGATTTGATCAATGCCGGGAAGAATGGCCCAGTGGAGAAGATTGTGAGAAATTTATGTGCTTTTTTATGCGTTGATACTTCAGAGGTTCCTGAGTTCTTCCACAATAAAGACTTTAGAACGAACATATTGTCATTGAGAAAGGAAGAAGCAAGAACTGATCCAATTGATATTGCAGCACATCAAAGAGAAGTGCACGAAGCAAAAATCAAAAGAAATGGAGCAATCTTGGCTTTGGAAGCCTTATTGGATATTCATAAAGAAGATATATTTGTTAGGGTACCAATTCTCAAGTCAATAATGGTTGATCCTCTCCAGTACTTAGGAGAATCTGTCGAAGAATTGGTTAACGATCCTTTGAAGGGACAAAGTATTGTTGATGCTTTGGGAGTCATAAGGGCGTTGCTAGCAAAGTTAAACTCTTTATTATATCCTCAACTTATTGACCAATTGACTTCATTATTACCAGGTTTCAAATCGGACTTTTCAGTATTAAGGTACTCAACTGCTAAATGCTTTGCTACTATATGTTCAGTGATGCCTACAAAATCTTTCACATTCTTGGTGAAGTATATTCTTCCCATGCTTAGCAATGCTGGCGCAATAAAGGAGAGACAGGGTGCTATTGAAAGTATATATCATCTTTCCTCAACTATGGGTGCTGAAATCCTTCCATATATTGTTTTCCTTATTGTCCCAGTCTTGGGTAGAATGAGTGATTCCGATAACGATGTCCGGGTGCTAGCGACTTCAACTTTTGCTTCTATCATCAAGTTGGTACCCTTAGAAGCGGGTATCCCCGATCCCAAAGATATGCCTCAGGAATTGTTAGAGGGCAGAGACAGAGAACGTGACTTCATTCAGCAAATGATGGACCCAACTAAAATTAAACCTTTTGACTTGCCAGTCACTATTAAGGCCACCTTACGGAAGTATCAACAAGAAGGTGTGAACTGGTTGGCATTCTTGAACAAATATCATTTACATGGTATTCTATGTGACGATATGGGTTTGGGAAAGACATTACAAACACTTTGTATTGTAGCTTCTGATCATCATATTAGAGAAGAGAAGTTTGCTGAGACTGGATCTCCAGAATATAGAAAGTTACCTTCGTTGATTGTGTGCCCACCATCGTTAACAGGGCATTGGGAGCAAGAAATAAAGCAATACGCCCCATTCTTGAAGGTTTTGGTGTATGCTGGTGGTCCAAGTGTCAGAAGTGCATTCCGGTCCCAGTTTAGGGACAACGATATTGTAGTAACATCGTATGACATTTGCAGAAACGATGTTGACCATATTATCAAATTTGATTACAACTACTGCGTTTTGGATGAAGGCCACATCATCAAGAGTGCACCTTCTAAATTAACTAAATCAGTGAAGAGAATTAGAGCAGAACACAGATTGATCTTATCCGGTACTCCAATTCAAAATAATGTTTTAGAGTTATGGTCATTATTTGATTTTTTAATGCCCGGATTCTTAGGTACAGAGAAGGTATTCCATGAGAAGTTTGCTAAGCCTATTGCTGCTAGTAGAAATAGTAAGACATCTTCTAAGGAACAAGAGGCTGGAGCTTTGGCGTTAGAATCTTTACATAAGCAAGTTCTTCCCTTTATGTTGAGAAGATTGAAGGAAGATGTGTTATCTGATTTACCACCTAAGATTATTCAAGATTACTATTGTGAATTGAGTGAAATCCAAAAACGTCTTTACCGTGAATTTGCAACAAAGCAAAAATCTACAGTGCAAGAAGAAGTTCTGGGAGGTAAGGAAGAGAAATCTCATGTGTTCCAGGCTTTACAGTACATGAGAAAGTTATGCAACCATCCTGCTTTAGTGTTATCTGCTGAACATCCAAAGTACGCTGAAGTCCAGCAATTATTGGCTATGAAGAAGTCAAATATTCGGAACATTGAACATGCACCCAAGTTGTTATCGTTAAAGAATTTACTTTTAGAGTGTGGGATTGGAACCAACGACGTTGAATATTCTTCTTCGGTATCATCCAAACTGCAACAACAACAAATGCTTGCCGGGGGGGTTATCTCCGAACATCGTGCATTAATCTTCTGTCAGTTGAAAGATATGTTGGATATTGTTGAAAACGAGTTGTTACGGAAACATATGCCATCTGTTACATACATGCGGTTAGACGGAAGTACTGATCCTCGTGACAGACAATCTATTGTCCGTAAATTCAATGAAGATCCATCCATTGACATTTTACTTTTAACCACTAAAGTTGGAGGGTTGGGTCTTAATTTAACTGGTGCAGATACAGTCATTTTCGTTGAACATGATTGGAACCCTATGAATGATTTACAAGCCATGGACCGTGCCCATCGGTTGGGACAAAAGAAGGTTGTGAATGTTTATCGGTTGATCACCAAGAACACTCTTGAAGAGAAGATCATGGGGTTACAAAAGTTTAAGATGAACATTGCATCTACAATTGTTAACCAACAGAATGCAGGGTTGGCTTCTATGGATACCAATCAGTTACTTGATCTTTTCGATGTAGATGAGCTGACTTCTATTGCCCAACAAGGACCGGAAGCTCCCTCTGGTGCTGGCAACGATGACTCTGAATCAAAGGTACCGGATGTTGCTGGCGGACTTACAGGCAAGGCCGCCGGAGCTGTTGGAGAATTGGCCGACTTATGGGATGAGAGTCAATATGAGGAAGAATATAATCTTGATGCATTTATCCAGACACTTAAATAGTTGGATATATTTATAATAGTTATACTATACTATACATAAGCTACACCGTCTACGTGAGCAGAATGATGTACATATTTATGAACTGGGCACGACCTCGAATTATATAACCTAAAAAAATTTTAAAGGAAGGGCTCTTTTGTTTAACTTTAACTTTGACAGAAACGAAATACACGATGGATAAGGAAAGCGGCGAACGGCTACAACGTCTAGAACAGTTGGAGCAACTGGCTCAGGCATCGTTTGCATTTCTTGCGTCCGATGAGGAGCTGTCGACGTTACGAGAGGCTGAACCAATAGAAGTGGAGCTCATCGCGGACCAATCAACAGATGAGATAAAGGCAACCAAGCCATGGGTTCATTTTGTTGCCGGGGGTGTTGGAGGAATGGTGGGAGCTGTTTGTACGTGTCCTCTTGATGTTGTTAAGACTCGACTTCAATCTGACGTGTATCATTCCTTGTATAATAAGAGTCCTAAATCTTCCAACCCCATAATTAAAGCAGCTCAACATTTTGCAGAGACTGGGAGTGTAATAAAAGAATTGTATACTTTGGAAGGACCCAGGGCACTTTTCAAAGGGTTAGGACCCAATTTGGTAGGGGTTATACCTGCTAGATCTATCAATTTCTTCACGTATGGTACTACCAAGGAGCTAGTATCACGAAACTTTAATAATGGACAAGAAGCTACTTGGATTCATCTTGTCAGTGGGTTGAATGCCGGTTTCGTTACTTCTACGGCTACAAACCCCATCTGGTTAATCAAGACCAGATTACAGTTGGATAAGTCTAAGGGGAAACACTATAAGAACTCCTGGGATTGTCTTAAATATGTGGTGAGGAATGAAGGGTTCTTCAGTTTATATAAGGGGCTAAGTGCTTCCTATTTAGGAGGAATTGAGTCCACTCTTCAATGGGTTCTTTATGAAAGAATGAAACTGTTTATCAGCAACCGTTCAAGACATGTGGATCCAAGTAAGAAGACCACCAAGGATCATGTCTTGGAATGGTCTGCTAGATCAGGTGCTGCGGGGTTTGCTAAGTTCATTGCATCGTTAATCACTTACCCTCACGAAGTGGTGAGAACAAGATTAAGACAGGCTCCATTGGAAGCCACCGGTAAACCCAAATATACGGGCCTTATTCAAGCGTTCAAGTTGGTTGCTAAGGAAGAGGGTTTGGCTAGCATGTATGGAGGTTTAACTCCGCATTTATTAAGAACAGTACCAAACTCAATAATCATGTTTGGTACATGGGAAGTGCTTGTTCGGGTATTAAATGATTTATGATTGTGTTTGGCAGGTATTCATATGATGTTGATGACTCCCTTGTATATATATATATATAAATATTGTCCACTTGTATATAGTTGTGATGCCTGCAAGCTCTGGATTGGTTATAGACAAAAAAGTAATGGAATAATGTGCAGCTAATCACTATCGTTTGTATCTCTTCCACTATCTGAATCACTTTGGATATTCCAATTGGTTGTATCACTACGATTCACAGAGTCATTACCAGAAGTGGGATGCTTAGGCTGCGTGTTGATGATCGTCTCTTCAGCCCTATCTTTTTCGGTGTTGAGAACAACTTTATAGAACTTGGGACAAACTCCATCTGGTGGGGTGATTGCCCAGTTTGCTATTCGAGGATCGGACTTATACAGACGCTTATTTCTTATAGGTACTTTGATATTTGGAAGTCTCTTCCCGTCGATTGTGGGTGGCTTCCCTAATGGGTTTAGCTCCGGATTAAAATATATGGATTGTCGTCCCCATAGCTTGTTTTCTTCTTCAACCTGTTTCTGTTCTCTACTAAGTATCAGTGCTACTGCTTGTGGGTGTAGCTTATTTTTAAGTATAAAGTCCCATTCCTCTTGAAGTTTGGTGATAAGCTTGGTGTTAGGGTCTCTTTTATTCTTATGAAACTTCAAGGTTCCGTAGAGCTTTTCAACATCAGTGTTCTCAACTTTTTTCAAAAGATACTCATGTTTCTGGCGCGTTTGTGTTCGATGATGTTTCTTTCGTTGCTCGTCTTTGATGGCCAGGGCCAAACTCCAGTTCCTTTTACCCATGAGAGGAAGAACTAGGTATAGGTTCATCACCAATTTGCATAGTGAATACACACTGAACTATTCTGGTCTTATATACAGGTGTAGACTATAAGATGCAACTCGAACAATAAAATACTTTTAGAAGACAATATGAATCCATGGTATACAGGTCAATACTCTTGAAATGTATATCGTAGTTGAATAGCACCTAATACCTAAAAGAAAAAGTAATGGTATAAGTTCAAGAGTGATTTGGTCACGTGACAGAGAATGAACATGGTCACGTGATTCCTAATATTATTGTAAACTTATACTGAACACATTATTTACTCATAAGTCATTTAAAATAAGTTCAATTAGGTCCCTTATTGCTATTGAGTCAGTTCCATTACTTATTGCATCAGTTGATGACACCAATTCCATATTATTCGTAAGTAACAAGACTGTCGTACTCTTTTTGTGTAATGTTGAGTTGATATAAATTAGCATCAGCTCTGTGGCTAGTGCTATCTTTCTTATGAACCAATACTGATCCCTAACATGACTCTGACTCTGCCTGATGCTGCAGCGGCATTGACGACCCGCAATCCTCCGAACGTTGACTTCTCGCAAATCCCTATATCCACTTTAGAGAATATAAGGAACCGACTTAATCAAGTTCATCTTACGCTAAGAAAGCTATTAGATAGCGTGAACATATACAATAAGCTTCCTAATAAGGGAAGACAGTACATGGTGATACAGAACCAGCTTCAAGTACTTATTACTCAATTCCATTCCCTTGCTGCCCAATTAGATAGTAACAGTGAACTCTTGAGGGATACCAATGTGTACCCGTTACCCGCCTTTCCCACGTCACAACAAGAAGGACTTTTAACTACGTTACTTCGGAAGAAACCACTTCCCGAGGTGGATGAATGGATTGAATCGGCTCTAACAGAGAAAGAGGATAAGAGCAATGATGTTCAAACGGATGACTTATTTGCTCAATGGTGTATGATGAAGATTCAAGAGCTTAAAGATGAGTTCCAATTCTATGGCTTCCACACCGTACAAGAATTGGAACGCATGGAGACACCAGAAGGGAAGGAAGAACTTCGAAAGAAGAAAGAAGAAGAACTTCAAGAGCAAGAATTAGAAAGAAAAATCAGTAGTAATGGGAAACAAGCAATGCACCCAAACAAAGTATTAAAGTTCATGTGCAGTGGACAGCTTTAGAATACGTCACATTTATATACATCTCTATTCAATGCCGTAATAGGCATCATAAAAGTAAAGGAAAGAAAATATTATGAAGGCAATGGCACCTCCCAAAGTAACCGTTCTCATGGATATCTTTGTGGCCATTAATTTCCCTCCAATGCAAGCACCTCCAGTACAGATCCCATGGCCAATTATTCCACCAAAGATCACCGCCCAATAATTTGAACCAGCAGCTAATGCAATAGTGGCGATTTGTGACCGGTCCCCCCATTCACCTAAAAAGGTCATAAGAAACACTTGAATCCAAACAGGTGAGAACACAAACGTGGCCAATGCTTCTAATTGGGTTCCCATTTCCTCATACCATTTCTGTTGACTCTTGGGCTTGAAATGATGACTATCTGAAACCGAAGCTGAACTAGCAGTACCTGATTCCATATCATGTAACTCGGTGTTTAGATTAGAAGAGGCAATTTCTTCTTCTACTTCAGCCATCTCCTCATCAACCCCACTATCCTTTGACATTTCCAAGCCTTCTTTGAATAACTTAACACCAAATACTATGAAAAGTCCTGAGGCCATAAACTTGGTCAATCTAGGTGAAAGCAACGTGGGTAACGCATGTCCCACAATCCCTGACAATATTGTCATCACAGCCAAAGACAGGAAGGCTGCAGAGAATACTACAACTCTGGAGTATTTCATAGCCATTAATGCGGCAATCAAGAATGTCTTGTCACCGATCTCACTGACTATGATCATTGAAACAGACATGATAAATGAATCATAAAAATCAGAGCTTGACTTGGAACCAGCGTCGTCGTCTTGCACCGCATTGGCTGGTTTGTTATCTAAATCAGTCACTTTGGCGATACCAATTCTGTCATTACCTTTAACTTGATGTACGATATCATCAGGTTGGGAAGCGACATCAATCCCTGCAGAAGCTCCGAGAACGGAAGACGCACATGCAAATGCAAGGAGTACTCGGGTTAACTTCATGACCTCTTGATTCCAACTGAACGATGGAAGATAAAGGTGGTTTGTTTGTTTTAAACAAGTTGACAGCTTAGTATTACAATAAATTTTCAGTACATCGCGGTGTTATACAACTCCGACGCTATTTAGGAACTTGGTAGCGTGAATGCGTATTATTGTTCCGGAATACGAATTGGTACTTGACTCAAAGATACAGATGTACGCTTTTTGGTACAATTATTTTCTTTAAATCCGTGGATAAGAGCCATTTATTCAGTAGCAGGGTATTAGTGTTGAACCTTACTACATTCTATCCCATTGTGTTTGTTGCTCTTTGGTCTCTTTAATTGATTGTAACATTTAAAGCTCTTCTCTTCACTTTTTACAGCTGTTGCCCACATTCTTGTTTCTTTTTTTATAAACCAATTAAGGTCTGAGTTGGCTCATATGATTCTAGTATTCACACTGGGCTCACTCTTTCAAGGCGTTCACTGTCGTCCCCGCTTAATCTATCAAACGTAATCTACTGGATGGATCCATGTACTCCGAATCGTGCATACCACAATTAATGCCCCTGTTAAAAGTCGCTTCGATTCTGTGACGCATGGAATATCTTCTGGAAAAGAGTTAATCCGCGATAACCAATTTTATATACCGATTACCTCAAACAACTATCACTCGAGTGCAATTTACACTCTAATTCCCATGCTCGTCTTCATTAACTCAAATCTCACTACTAATTCCTCCAAGTTGTATTTGAAAAGAATATACTGTTGTCGTTATAAATACGGAATATACATGCAGAAGCGAGTTGCAAAGAAATGGCCCATAATGCCCATCACCTAACACTGTTCATAATCTGAAGTGAACACGCTCTCAAAAGTAATGGGATATGGATTTAATTTCACTCTTTAATGGTGAGCTGGAATTGGGTTGTCTACAACAACACCATCCTTCACCTTACCACCAGCAACCCAACCACCATGAGTTTCCAAAGGATGTGTGGCATTGAATTCATTGATTCTGTCAACCATGACGGGTCTGAAAGATTTAATTAAACCTTGAATTGGCCATGCAGCAGCATCACCTAAAGCACAGATAGTATGACCTTCAACTTCCTTTGTTAATTCAAATACCATATCGATTTCCTTCTCAGTGGCTTGTCCCTTATAGAATCTATCCATCATTTTAGCTAACCAAGTAGTACCTTCACGACATGGGGTACATTGACCACATGATTCATGTTTATAAAAGGCAGAGAATCTTTGAATGGCTCTGATAATATCAGTTTGTTTGTTCATGACAATAACAGCAGCAGTACCTAAACCAGATCCAACATCTCTTAAGGCATCATAATCCATTAAAACGTTATCACAAACATCCTTTGGCATAACAGGAACTGAACAACCACCAGGGATCACACCCAACAAATTATCCCAGCCACCCTTAACACCACCACAATGCTTTTCCAATAATTCCTTTAATGGAATAGACATTTCTTCTTCAACGGTACAAGGTTCATTGACATGACCTGAAATACAGAATAACTTTGTACCAGAGTTTCTTTCACGACCAAAACTTGCAAACCAATCACCACCTCTTCTTAAAATGGTTGGAGCAACAGAAACAGTTTCAACATTGGCAACTGTTGTTGGTCTACCAAATAAACCAATTCCGGCAGGGAATGGAGGCTTAAGTCTTGGTTTACCAGCTTTACCTTCAATAGATTCAATTAAAGCAGTTTCTTCACCACAAACATAAGCACCCATACCTCTATGGATATAAACATCGAAATCGTAACCAGAGCCACAGGCGTTCTTACCTAATAAACCGGCTTTATAAGCTTCATTAATGGCATTTTGTAAAATAACCGTTTCATTATAAAATTCCCCTCTAATATAAATATAAGCAGCTGTAGCATTCATCCCACGACCAGCCAAAAGACATCCTTCAACCAATTTATGAGGATCCTTTCTAATGATTTCTCTATCTTTACAAGTACCTGGTTCACCTTCGTCCGCATTGACCACCAAATATCTTGGACCAGCATTCTTTTCCCAACCTGGAGGATTCATAAATGACCATTTAAGTCCAGAGGGGAACCCAGCACCTCCACGACCTCTTAATCCACTTGCTTTCATTTGATCGATAATCCATTTGTCACCTTTCAAAATGATCTCCTTGGTCTTGTACCAATCTCCCATCTTTTGGGCAGACTTTAAATCGTGTCCATACTTACTGTAGACATTTTGAAAGATCCGGTCGGAGTCCTTCAATCCTCCATGTACACGGTTAGGAACAGCAGCGGGATCAGCACTGGTGGCCAAACCACGCTTCCATGCTCCTCCTTGTCTTAAGCTACGAAGCATCTTTGATAAACCAAACTGTCGGTGTATATAAGTTTGTGTTGAGTCGAGAAGATTAAAATGTTTAACGGTAAAAAACTTTTGATGGCTGTCTTACTATTGGAGCCTTTTCATTGGAGGTGATGTATGCAGGCGCGACATTTTTAGAATAAGTAAGTCGTAGTTATGGTGACGGGAGTGAAAATGAACGGACAAGAAGAGACATGTGTATGTATATATTGTCGTGTAGCATGTGTCCGTTGACATATGAGCTGAGGTATCTTTTAGTTGAAACGTAAAAGTTTACTAGTATAATATTACTCTTAGCTCAATGTAGGTGCCATGTACGTTGTTGGTATATGCACGACCTGAAGACTGTAAGAGTTTCAGTGGTATACTGTTATCAATGTGATAGCAGTAAATGTTCAGTTGTAGCTTTATATCGTTCCAAGGTAATGTGGCCATCGATTTCTTGCATATCTTTGTATGGGGGCATCAGTCAATGTATACATCGGTGTAGATGTGCACTAGTGGTCACATTTATCATTGCGGCCGTTTAGAACAAGATATATAATTCTGAACTGTTCTTCTCAATCAACTCAGAACAGTCAATTCCACTCAGTTGGTAGTCATGCAGGTTCTTCTTATTATTGGGTGAGTTCTTCTGTGTGTGTTGGTGTGGGACGTTGGATTGAGTCTTATTTTACCGGTGTTCTGTTTGCTCTACCAGAATCAATGGCTGCAAATGCGTCACATATCATGTAAAGCAAACCACGTTGTAGAGTCACGTCGTAGAATCACGTTGTTCAAATTGAAGACTGCAATGCATTCATTATGCATTTTGCTTGAACCTTGAGACCAGGACATGGACATGGACTAGTCTAAAAAAGATTGAGAGAAGGAGAGCTCATTATGTTGCCTCACTTGTTTTGATACATTGAAACACTGAAAAACCTTGGACATAAAAAACGAGTTAGACCCATTCGTTTGTTGTTTTATTGCTTTGTTCACGTGTTATATACGTTTTAAGGCATTATTTCGATGGTCTGCGTCGTTCTTTCCAGGCTGTTCTTCTACTTGAAGTGCTTCTTTTCTTCCTGTTACACCAACTTTTGTTCGTTTAATGACTGTTTAGTGCTAAAACTGTGACATAATATCCACCCTCCCAAGACGTCTTCCAAACAACCTCTGAATACTCTCCCATGTGTTCTGCATCGTTTGGATCAACCACTGCCACCATCGTCCTACCAAATTCTTTCTTACACTGCTCATCACGTCTAGTACAGACACCGCTTTAAATAAATTGGTAACATACACTCTCCAACTACTTATATCCACAGCCACCCACCAGAACTCCAATTGCACAGACATATACAGCTAGACTGTCGATCATGTTCAGGGGACCATTATACGTTTTAGCGTTTGCTATATACTGCTACCTGGTGTTCCACTACCTCTCCCTGTCAGACAATGGTGGTGGTGGTGATGATGATTCTCGGATACCCGTAGCCAAAGGGAGTCCCAAGTTAAGTAGCAACGCGTACTTTGATCCAGAGCCCTTGGCAAAGGATCGTACTCAGATAGGGAAAGAGAATGCTACTTTAGTGATGCTTGTAAGGAATTTTGAATTAAAGGGAGCTCTACTGAGTATGAGACTGTTGGAAGATCGCTTCAACAGGCACTACAAGTATCCATGGGTATTTTTAAATGAAGTTCCCTTTGATGATGAATTCATAGAGAAAACAACTCTAATGGCTAGCGGAGAAACATTCTATGAGTTAATCCCTCCAGAAGATTGGTTTCCTCCTAAACATATAAACATCCCAAAGTTTAAACTCAACCTTGAAGAACTATATAACGAAGGAGTGGTTTATGGGGGAGTAGAGTCTTATCATAACATGTGCCACTTCAATTCCGGTTACTTTTACCGTCAGAAACGACTACTAAACTACGAATGGTATTTCAGAGTTGAACCAGATGTTCAATACTTGTGTGATTTTCAATATGACCCTTTCCAGTTATTACGTGAAAATAACAAGCTCTATGGGTTTATCATAGCCATTCATGAATATGAAAGGACAGTGATAAGCCTATGGGATGCAGTCCAAGGATTTATGGAAGCCAACCCTAAGCTAATCCACCCTCATAATGCTATCAATTTTATCACCACTTATGAAAGTGACTTAAACAAAGGTCATACAGTGGAGAACTTGAATTCGAGCTACAATCTTTGCCATTTCTGGTCAAATTTTGAAATTGGGAATCTTGAATTCTTTAGAGGTGAAGCTTATGGTAAATACTTTGACTACTTGGATCGTTACGGTGGATTCTACTATGAAAGATGGGGCGATGCTCCAGTACACACCATCGGAGTAAGTCTTCTTATGGATAGAGATCAAATACATCATTTTGAGGATATTGGTTACTACCATTTACCCTTCATGACTTGTCCTAAATCTCAGGATGTTTTGACTTCCAAAAGGTGTATTTGCTCAGCAAATGGCCCAGATAACGTCCAGATAAATGTTGGAATGGAGATGGAAAAGTTTAGTTGTTTGGCAAGATGGTGGAGATACGGTTCAGGGAAACTGTTTATGAATGATGTCGATTATACCAGTTTCACCTAAGTTGTGTGGTCATCCCTAGAGCATTAGTACTATACAATATTGAGGTTGAGTTTGGTCACGTGATGACCATCTCATCTCAGTTTTGGTGGAGCATTTCTATATAGAAAATTTTAGTTGTGATAGAAAAGGAAGATGAGGTACACTAATCTACAACTTTAAAGTGCACAACAAAAGTATAGGCATAATGGGTAGAGGGGGATTGAAATCACAGTTAAAAGACCATCAATCTTTGATTTCGACTATTGAAAAGTCCAAATCAAAGCCCGAAACTAAGAAGGCCGATGAGCCAGAAAACATCGTCTTAGATTCTGTTAAGGAAAAGAAGACGAAGAAAGAGAAGAAAGCAAAGAGCACAGATGATAACGATTATCAAAGTACGACATTGTCCAAGAAAGAACAGAGAAAGTTAAAGAAGTTGGAAGCCAAGAAGGAAGAAGAAGAAGAAGAAGAGGAGGTTGTGGACGAAGATGAGGTTGGAGAAGATGATGAAGAAGACGAAGAATTAGATTTAGAGAAATTAGCTGCTAGTGACAGTGAAAGTGATATCAACGAAGATGATGACGACGAAGACGAAGACGACGAAGAAGATGACGACCAAGAAGATGACGACGAAGAAGATGACGAAGAAGACGACGAAGATGAAGATGAAGATGAAGAACAAGAAGATGTTCCACTTTCTGACGTTGAATTTGATTCTGATGCTGATATTGTTCCACATACCAAATTAACTATAAATAATAAGGCTGCTTTGAAAGAGGCATTGTCTCGTATTGAGTTGCCTTGGACTAAGCATTCATTCATTGAGCATCAACTGGTTGTAAGTGCTGAATCAGTCGAGGGCCAAATTAAGGACATATACGATGACACTCAAAGAGAACTTGCATTTTATAAGCAAGGATTAGATGCTGTCAGCCAAGGTAAAGTCACTTTATTGAAGTTGAAGGTTCCATTCCTGAGACCTATGGATTATTTCGCAGAAATGGTTAAATCTGATGAACACATGGACAAGTTGAAGGCCAAGTTACTCCAAGAAGCCGCAAATAAGAAGGCCAGTGAAGATGCTAAGAAGCAGCGTCTGTTGAAGAAGTTTGGTAAACAAGTGCAAGTAGCTACAATGCAAGAAAGAGCTAAACAAAAGAGAGATACTTTGGAAAAGATCAAGTCTATTAAGAAGAAGAGAGGTGCCAATGAATTGGACAATGACGACGAATTCCAAATTGCATTAGAAGAAGCTACCAGAGAAGAAAGACCATCCAAGAGAAGTAAGCCAAATGGTAAACGTTTAGCTAAACAAGCCAAGTTTGGATTTGGAGGAAAGAAGTCAGGTAAGAGAAAGAACGATGCTGAGTCTTCTGCTGATATCTCTGGGTTTTCTGCTTCTAAGATGAAGGGTAAGAAGCCTAGACTTGGTAAGAGCAAGCGTTCTTCCAGAAGAAACTAGGGTCATTTGTATATTAATTAAATAAAGTAATTATTGCCATTACATAATTTTTCAGTGTTACCCGGCACTCGTTCCGATCACGTGACAAAAAGTGTACCAATGAGCCAGCTAAACGAATATTCAATCAAGACTTTTTATTCAACAAACGTGATTCTTTTAGAAGTACTGGAAACATGACAACAACCGCAATGGACAAAGCAGCAGCCAAACAGAAGTTTGTGGATACTTTTGGAGAGTTGGTTGAAGAGTTGAAGACCATCTTGGTCCAATACAAGATGCCTCAGGAGGCTATTGATTGGTTTGTCAACAGTTTAAACTATAATACTCCAGGTGGTAAATTGAACAGAGGGTTATCAGTGATTGATACTTATTGTATTTTGAAGGGTATTTCCACTAGTGACTTGTCTGAGGAACAATATAAGAAAGTTGCTATTTTAGGATGGTGTATTGAATTATTGCAAGCATACTTTTTGGTAGCTGATGATATGATGGACCAATCAAAGACCAGAAGAGGTCAACCATGCTGGTATTTAGTTGAAGGTGTTGGTAACATTGCCATTAACGATTCGTTCATGTTAGAAGGTGCCATTTATATGCTTTTGAAGAAACATTTCCGTGAAGATTCTTATTATGTCGATTTATTGGATTTGTTCCATGAAGTTACTTTCCAAACCGAATTGGGCCAGTTGTTGGATTTGGTTACTGCCGATGAAGAAGTTGTTGATTTGGATAAGTTTTCCTTGCTGAAACATTCGTTTATTGTTATTTTCAAAACTGCTTACTACTCCTTCTACTTACCAGTTGCTCTTGCTATGTTCATGGCCGGTATTACCAAACAGAGCGACTTGAAACAAGCACAAGATATTTTGATTCCCTTGGGTGAGTATTTTCAAATCCAAGACGACTACTTGGATTGCTTTGGTACTCCTGAACAAATTGGTAAGATCGGGACTGATATCAAGGACAACAAGTGTTCATGGGTTGTCAACCAAGCTCTTTTGAAGGTTACTCCTGAACAAAGACACTTGTTGGACACCAACTACGGGAAGAAGGATGACGAGTCTGAAGCCAGGGTCAAGAAGTTGTTCAATGATTTGGGAATCGAAAAGACCTACACTGACTACGAAGAAGAAGTAGTTGGCAAATTAAGACAGTCGATTGCCAATGTCGATGAGACCAATGGCTTGAAGAAGGAAGTGTTCAGTGCATTCTTAGCAAAGGTTTACAAGAGATCAAAATAGAAGTTCTTCAATAATTGTATTACTTAACTATGTATATAAATGCTTATTGGTTAACAATTTCCAACTCTTCTCTACCAGCCTTGGTGTACAAGTATTCGTTGTAGTCTCTGGCTTGAGTCCAGATGTTCCACACAATCACACCGGGAATGATAACAAACAAAGCTTGGTTCTTGACTCTTCTAAAGGTATTGAAAACAGCATTGTAAGCAGCTCCTGAAAATGGATTCACAGTGTTTGGGGAAACAGTGTATTGGGTAATGTACTTTTGCTTGGGGGATCCCAAGTGACCCCACCATCCCATAAAGCCTCTTGGAGCTGGAGGACCTGCCATCTTTGATTAACTATTTGGGCAATAAAGATGTTGATAAGAACAGAAGAGGAATTGTGTATAGATTTGAGTGGTGAGTTTCGACTACTGAAATTATTGCACTACTGGCTAGGAAAAAATCGTTAACAAAGCCGTTTTCATTGGTTACAGAAATTACGCACAGGCGCGCGTAAATTTCAGTACAGACTATATCAGTGGATGAACTCTGTCGATGAACTCAGTCGATGAACTCAGTCGATTGAACAAGTAACTGGTTATATGGAGTAAGACACGTTGAAACCGATACATGGGAGTTAAATCTTCGTTATTTACAGTAATAGAAGACTTGACCAAGATGCATGGATTGCAAGTTATCATATGGTAGCGCAGACTGATACAACAGGAAACAAACACGATTGCTCTACTTCTTTCTCAAGACGTCAAAAGCTGGTTCGTTGTACTACTATTCTCTACAACTACGACTAAGGGATCGTACTACATTCTTATCTTTACAATCTTCTTTTGATATCATATCAAGCAGATTGCAAAGTAAAGAACAACTCCTTAGTGTTCTTATTTTTTGCATCAAAAAATAAAAAAAAATCTTTTCAAAAAGACCCAAAAAAATCACATATATTAATTAAAATACAATAAAGATGAAATTTTTTTGTGATTACAAAAAAACCAGTCTTGGATTAAACCCATTTGTTTAAGCAGAAGCCAAACGCTTTTGAGAAGCAATTCTACCTCTTTGTCTGGCGTTCAATCTAACTTGCTTGTCTTCAGCAGCCTTTTCAACGTTCTCATCTTCTTCAGTGACAATGATTTCAATGTGAGAAGGAGATGATTGGTAAGCATTGATTCTACCGTGAGCTCTGTAAGTTCTTCTTCTTTGCTTAGGAGCTTGGTTGACTTGGATGTGAGAGATCTTCAACTTTTCAGCATCTAAACCCTTAGCTTCAGCATTGGCTTGAGCATTTTGCAACAAGTCCTTGATGAAGTTAACAGACTTGGCAGGCCATCTAGCCTTGGTGACACCGAATTCCTTACCTTGGGCGGTTCTACCAATGGAGTGAGCGAATCTTCTGAATGGAATAGCTCTCTTGTGGTCCAAGACTTGGTCCAAGTAGACCAAAGCCTTTTGAACGTTCCAGCCGGAAACAGCTTGGGCAGTTTCTCTGGTGTTCTTGAAAGAAACTCTCAAGTAAGAACCACGAGCGGAAGCGGACTTAGCAGGGTTGGAGGAAGTAGCAGCGTATCTAACCATTTTTGAATCTCGAGTGCTTAGTTAAGAAAAGAAGAGATCTCTTTTACGACTGTAGAAAAATTAAGTGTCATAAATATAATTTTTCATTGCTCAGTATGCGAAGAGATTGTAGAAAATTTTTCTCCATGCTGTAAGTAGACAACTAATAACACTGTTACCCGCACATCTTAGCCCTAGACCCAAAAAACTGCACGTGATCAAAAGCTGTCCCTATAAGTGAATGATATCTTAGCTTGTTAGAAATGAGAGCTGAGGAGGGAATATAGTTAGATATGATATTGGTTGCTATTCTTGAGTCAAAGATTTATAATAGTGGAAATATTTTTACGATAAGCATGAATTGCAAAAGTAGGTGGGAAATAGTTTTTGCTGTCTGGTCAGCTTGAACAAATATTAGGGAACATTCACGTTGCCAGGACATATTGGAACGGTGTTTCACAAACTATACGTTTAATATAGGAGTGTATTGAAGGTTACAACTTGAGTTAATCCTCGGTAGACAACGTAGAACAAATTGTAATATTGTTAGGTTTGTTCGCTATGTGTAGTACTGGGAAGTTAGGGTATATTTGTTCAGATTGTGCCATTTGGTACGCTATTATTTTTTGCTTCGAGCCAATTAATGGCGCATGACCAATAATAATCTGCTACTGTGCCAATGAACAATAAACACAAACTTTCGGAATATCTGTTTCAGACAGGTGGGTATTTAAGATACACCCGTTAACTGAATAACCTCAATGGATTACAGGTCTTCGGTGTCCATGGCAACCTAACGAAAGATAAATGTAGCCGTGAAATACAATTGTTTAGTAGTAAATTTCAGTAGGAATAAAATAAAATTACGGATGGACAGTCTCTCCCTAACAGCCTGTATCCGGGTTTGGAATATTACGAGGGGATGCCATGTACTAGTTGCTTATATCATGCAAAGGGGGTCTATGCAACCTGCATTCCACAATGTACCACATGAAAACGGTGAATAATGTGGTAGAAGGCTCTTCACCCTGCTGGATCAATGTGGCAAAAAGTAATAGGTCGGATAATTTACCATATATGCAAGGAATGTAATGATATACGAAGTACAGAAATAATGCAAGGGGAGATCAAAGAGAGTACAATCGAATACGAACAATACGAAGAGATCCGTAGCAATAAATATACGAGTAGATATAGGTATTAGACTTGATAGTTATCATTTTGAAGGAACACTCCACTCAAATTTAAAGCATATTATTGAATATCTTAGCCTACACCCAACGCATGATCTACGTTCTGGTTTAAATTAACAGTTTAATCTCTTTGTAGCTACTCCTGAATTACATGACTTACATCACAAACACAAATCTACCACCAATAGTGGGAGGATAATGAAGTATAGTTACGAACTCTTAATAGACGCACAGTTTCTAACATACATATCCGTGTACCCTCTCACAAACGCAAATCACCTGTAACCGAATCAAACATAATTCCAAGCACCATGCTGTAATGAATCGTAAATAGAATGTATTCATCCTGTGATTGATACCAACTAACGTGTCTCAGAGTATACAATCCAGTTCCTGACAAAAAGTACACGACCTTTTTCTTAGTGATAAATTCAAACATCAAATGGCTCCACGACAACATCCACTGTATACTACTCATCTTGATTGTGTCCCACAAGGTATACAGGCACATAGATCAATCAAGCCTACGTCGTAACGGTCACTGCGACTTATTCTTTTGGGCTTAAAGTTTGCACTAAACTCCAGTAAGTAGTACTTATCAGTCCTGTTCACAAAGTGCCCCCGACGTCAGTATAGTGGACTTTATCCCTCTATTCTGAACATCTCTAAAATCCAGCAACCACACCCTTACACTGCTGAAAACCCTTTACTTAATACTTTGTTTCGACTTCGTTAGTGTCTGGGACACCCGAAAGTTACGCGTTTTCCAATTTGTTGTTGTTTGAATGAGTTCACCTGAAGACAACAACAGTATCAACAATATTAATAATAATAACTCCATGGAGCCTCCCAAGCCAGAGCTTGCCGACGAAGGTCACGCTAGCGGACAAGAGTCTTTATTAGGTGATGATTTTGATGATACCAACCACATGATGATGTCCAGCACATCCCCTCAGGGTGGTTATGAAGTTGGTATCGAAGGTGATGTTGAGCCAAACTCTGTCACTCCTAATAGTTCTCTACTGTCTCTGGCCAAACCCCCTGTTGAATCAACGTTGGGACTTGAAGTTCAATTAGATTCGAATGAAGTTAAGGCATCAATGGTTGAGGGTGAAACAGCATTGAGTGAGGCACCGGAATTGGCCAGTATTGATGATTCCGTTATTCCAAAAGATGCTGGTGAAATTGAAATTTCAAAGAATAATTTTCAGAAGGATCCTGTTGCTACAACCATAGAACCTGAAAATGACCAGCTTGCAACAGATAAAGAAGCAGAAACACAAGATGTAAATGAAATGGACTTCAAGGAGCCTGTAGTAGCAACAAACCTGGAAATTACTCCAGAAGAAGAACTAGCCACACAAGATAAGGCAGAAGTTGATAAGGATGTTAATGCTTTGGACGAACTTCCGGGTCCTCCAATTGATAGTGTACCTTCCGAGGATGCTCAATTAGACATGGAAGTTGATGACCCAAAAACACTTAAAAATCCGACAGAAGAAGCAAGTGAAGAAGCTGCCTCAATCAAAGATGATGACTCTACCGTCCCAACAGCCCCACCAATAGAAGAAGAGTTTACTGATTTTACGGCTGATAATATGGAAATAGATTTACCCATTATGCCTTCATCCAAATCCGAAGATGCTGATTTTTTGGCTCCCACAACTGAGTCTGAAAAAGCCGGAGCTGATGTTAGTAATGACATGCCAATATCGGATAATGCAGAACCTATTATTAAGAATGGCATATCCGAAACTTCGGCTATCGCTGATACTCCTCTGGAGATGAGGCCAACTGAAGATGATAATGACTCGGATGATGAGGCAGAAATCGAGGAAGAAGAAGATGAGGAAGATGATGATGAGGAAGATGATGATGATGACGATGAAGGGGAGGCCGATGATAATGACTTGGACGATACCGAAAATGGTGTGGCCAATGATGATATTGTTGATGATACATTAAAGTCTAAAAAGATTAAGAGGAAGGAATCAAAAAAGGCTAAGAAACTTCTCAAGAAGAAATCTTCCGTTGTGTCTATCAAGACTGAACTTAAGACGAATGAATCAACTCCTGTTGGATTTGCTGATAAACTTGATGACGAATCTTTCTTGGACGATGCAGTTGTTCAAAAAGAAGAGAACCAGGAACCATTTGTGGATGATATGATGATAGATGTGAATGACGTTGAACGTGAACAAAAAGTTTCACAGGAAATGGCTGAAGCAGAACTTGAAATGAAGAAAGTAAAGTCAGAGGCAGGGAGACAAACGCATACTATTGTATTACCTTCTTATACCATATGGTTTGATATGAAGAAGATCCATAACGTTGAAAAGGAATCTTTACCTGAATTCTTTAACTCATCACACCCTTCAAAATCCCCCAAGATTTATCTTAATTACAGAAACTTCATGATTAATTCTTATAGGATAAACCCCAACGAGTATATCACGTTGACTTCTTGTCGTCGTAATCTTGTTGGAGATGTTGGCACATTAATGAGAGTTTACCGTTTCCTCAATAAGTGGGGTTTGATTAATTATCAAGTCAAGCCACATTTCAAACCTGCTTATGCAATAGAGAGACATCCTAATGGACAACTGATAGGGTTACCATATACCGGAGATTATCACGTCACCTATGATTCCCCCAGAGGGTTATTTCCCTTTGAAACTTATAAAGTGAATCCTGAAAAAATTAATATTGAAAAATTGAAAACTATTGTGAATGGACCACCTACGGCATCAAATCAACAACCAGATCGTATTAAGGAAACTCCTGACCAGCAAAAACAGCAAATAGAGGATAGCGATGCCTTCAATAAACGGTCGTACCCTGGAAAGGCAGCCACTGACAATGGTCCATCACTGAAGAAGATTCGCTTGGAAGAAGGTGAAATACTTGGAAAATCGTCTATTCCTTGGACCAATGAACAATTTGACCAATTGGTCAAAGGTGTAAAGGAGTATCAAGGTGATTGGTATAAGATTGCCAAGTCAGTGGATGGAAATAAGACTCCTGCTGAGTGTATACTAAAGTTTTTGCAATTACCCATTGAAGATTTGTTTAATCCTGTCAAGAGTAATGAGCTTTTGGATTTGCTTAAATTGGCACCCAATTTCCCCGTGAGTTCAGTTGATAATCCTGTCATGAGTAGTTTGGTTTTTATGACTCAATTAGTTGATCCAGAAGTTGCACATGCTGCCACCGAAGGTGCTCGTAAAGTTATGGATGAGAAACTCAAGGAGAAATTAGAATCGTTGAAAGTTGGAGGAAGCAAAGCAAAGAGCGATAGAGAACAAGAACAAGAACAAGACTTAAAAGAAAACAAGAAACAAGAAGTTGAAGAAGCTTCTCAGATAAAATCTGAAACTAAAGAGTCTGATAATGATGAGGACATGAAAATTGATGTTGAAGATGAAAATAATAATGATAGCAAAAAGGAAACTGATTCAGCATCTCCGGGAGATGCACTTGGACAAGCATCCGGTGCTACCTTTGGTATTGTTGGAGCCCGGGCACATTTATTTGCTAATTTTGAAGAGAGAGAGATGTCCAAGATCGGGAATACGTTAGTCAACCAGCAATTGTCCAAGATTGACTTGAAGTTGAGCAAAGTAAGAGAGTTAGAACAGATTTACGAGAAGGAACGTAACAATTTGGCAAGACAACAAGAAGCTTTATTTCTTGATAGACTTAATTTAACCAAATCAACATTGGCTATTACTGAGAAATTGAACACTGCTGCTTCCAAGATTCAAACCATGTTACAAGCTAAGGAATCGGGTGGTGAAGGAGTTCAAGGAGGATCTGTTGATGCTTCTGGTGAGCTTGATGAGACATACAACCTTTTGAACCAGGTCAACTCATTGCTTTACAAACCATTGGAGCTTCTGATTACTAGAGAGAAATCGTCTGTTAATGGTTCTGTGAAGGATAATACCAGCAACGGACAGAATGGTACTCCTAATTCAGCCACTGGTTTAGGATCTGCTTCTGCTTCAACCACTAAATTGAATGAATTGAATTCCGCCAATGATATCAAGCCTTTATCTATCCAGATGCCACAAACGTTTAAAGTGTGGGTCCCTTGATCTACAAATATTCTTCGATTAGAGCTTATTATCTTTTATTGTTACCTTATAAGGCTGTAAAATTAATATATGAAATATGCTGATAAAATCGGTCTTATGTAATTTAGGCGGAACACATAAATATAACATCACGTGACACGGCACGTGAGATGTGATATATCAAAGTAATAAACCTCTTTCTTTTAACTGAAGGTAGATATTCGGATCCACATATTTCTGTAGGCTGGGTTCCCCACTAAGACCCTTACGTCTTCTTGTTTTCATCACAAAGTCTCTCGCCAAAGAGGATTTTGGTGCAGGTTTCAATTTGGGTATAAAGGCTTCCAGATCTAGTGGGTCTCCCGGAACGATATCCCATTTTCTAAATTCTAAGAAACACATGGCTTGACCCTGAGTTCGTAACCGGATATCTGTTTCCAAGCCAGCTGACTCTATGACTGGAATAAACCCTTCTAATTGGTGTAGAGCCGTACCTGGGATTGGATTCTGATGAATGATCTTTCCTCTTCTCTTTGACACCAAGAGTGACACCGCTTCAATGGCTGGTTCAGACGTCGTCACGTGGACGGTATATATTGGCTCCATTAAACGTGGTTTGGCGGTTAACAATCCAGTATAACAAGCTTTCCTCACCAATGGAACTAATTGTGCAGAACCACCAGCAGCTTGAACCACGGACCCTGCTAGAGCCATATCTAGGATCTTAAACTTGGTGTTTCGTATTGGCTCATCACACAATGGTCCTTCATTGACTGCCCATTTAAACCCAGTACAAATGGAGTCCTTCAAGGAGTAAAGAAGCACCTTATCGGTATTCTCTTCTAGAGTATCATCAAGTAACATTGAGGCAGATTTTAAGTCATTATTTGGTCCGAAACTCCAGACTGATCTTGCTGCCAAAGCATCCCAACCAAACTCTTTTCTTAATACTTTAGCAGTATGCTTAACAGGTTGACTTAAATCCAACTTACCTTGTTCTATGGCCCTGGAAAGCTTCCAGTCCTTATTGGGTTCGGCTATCACCGAGATCTTGTTCCCTGTTGAACCAATCGAAGAAGCTATTTTGACCACCGACGTTTCCGAACATGTTTCACTGAATTTGGCTGTAGGATCAGATACTTTAATTTCCAAATCATCAGTGAAAAAGAGCCTTAAATCATGTAAAACACAATCAAGATAAAGCTCTCCGGGCCCCATTAAAACATGCTCTCCACTGGCTTCTACCTTTAATCTTGAAGCTAAATATGTCTTGTTAATCTTTCGAAGACCATCCAAGAACCTGGGTAGCTCTGAGGGATTGGCTGGTTCAATAGCCACCTTGAAAACAGATTTGCAAGTGTAGTCTGGAATTGTGAATATCGTGGAGTGACCGGTACCGGTACCGGTACCGGCATCAGTAGGGGCATCGATAGAAATAACCGGGTCTAATAAAGTAGCACCACTATTGATAATAGAATCGATACCACCAATAAGAACCAAGCTTCCAACTCCAGCATCATTCACTGGAACTTTATATCTGCCACCTGGAATATACAATTCATTGACTGTTTGTATTGCCATGTCTTCATCATTTTCTGCGAACGTCTCACCCAAGACTCGAACTCGTGACCCCTTAGAAATGGAGCCTTGAATGACTCGAACTAATGCTAGAAAGTCTTGACCATTAGATGACTCAATTAGTTTGACCGCTTTACCAATGAAGGACTCTGACTCTGACCCTGACACTGACCCTGACACTGACTCAACGTGCGTACTTCTGACAACCATTTGAGTGAACACTTTAGGAAAGGAGAACAAAGAATGAAACACATTCCGTAAAAGTATTGGAGGGTCAAGCTTGAAGTTTGCTTTGGGGAACTCAACACCGAATTCATGCCAAAGATAATGCGATAATTCCAACCCTTTAACGTCAGACACTAAAGTATAGGTGAAGAGCTTATAGATTGGTTCAAGGACAAAATGAACGAACGAATGAGGATGAACAGTTTGGTTAGTCGTGAACGTCTTGTTGGACAAATCGTAGAAAATATCACCCCAGAGATACTGTTGAAAGGATGTAGCATCAAGATCATCTCCACCAAGATCCATATTCTCATAGTACAAATTGGCAAAGGTTTCAATACTAAAGGCCAATTGTAAGGTTGAAGAAGCAAAGATAACATTACCATTCAATGGAGTGACTTGTTTTGGATGAGAATAAGTCGTCAAGTATTCGCTTTTGGTGTCGATGAAGGCATTAATGTCGTCAATAATATATTCCATCTTATAGTAGGCATCTCTGGGAGGCAATCTTAAGTCCAATACAAGTCTATCAAGCTTATTTAACACCACACATATAGCCAAATCCATACGTAATGCCTCTGTGATCAAGTTCCTATCTCTAAAGGTAAGACCCTCCACTACATCAATGACTAAGACCATGCCATCGACTGCTTGTAAAGCTGCTGTAGACTCGTCCTCAAAGGCAACATGGCCTGGAGTGTCTATCAAGTTCAATACGTATGAAATGCCCCTCAGATCAGGAAGTAGTAATGTCACGGGTGAAAGACGTATCGACATGCCTCTTTCGATCTCCATCTTGTGGTTATCTGTGAATCTTAAGGGCTTGAAACTCTTCAATGTCTTACTAGGTTGTATGGAAGGTGAATGCGTATCCAACACAAGCGTATCAATGAACGTAGTCTTACCTGAATGAAGACCTCCAACAACTGCAACGGTTCGTATTCTCTCTGGTACCAGCTTCATAGTTTGAATCATATACTCTCGATCATAGTTAAGTTCAGGTAACAGTCTCCACATCTCTTTGCAGAGGTCTTCACCTTCTAACAAGGGATTCTTGCTTCGAACATCATCAGTGAATTCAACCTTCATTTTCTTATGAGTCAATGGCTTGATAACAGGCTCTTCGTTCGTCATTGGTGTGTCTTCGCTCATTACCAAAGTCTCCACGGCTGTACCATAAGCTTTAACTAAAACATCGTTACGATTAAGCTCGGCATCGTCTTTTACCACCAATGATTTTCTGTCTGTAACAGCATCTCCATCTTCGTCTTCGTCTTCGTCTTCATCTTCATCATTTCCGTCTTCTTCACTAAGATCATCGACCTCACCTGTACCTAACAGCTCTAACGTTTCGACCAACTCGTCTCTTTCAGACTCGGAAGACGAGTCGTCGGAGTTGCCTCCAATGAAGTTTCCAAACTCGTCGTATAAATCTTCGTCCTCCATGCTACAATATTGTACTATGAAAGATGAAAGTAGCAGCCATCCATCTCTAATTGTTTGAGCTAAAGATCAACTTTGTGAGAACATCACGTGATCAGTCACGTGACACCGATATAGTAATTTCAAGAGTCTTTATGTTGTCTATTTTATTACATTAATACCTGTTAACGATACAAACTATCCTCTAATGTACAAGAACATGATTCTCATCAAGCTAAACTTTGATACTTCTTCAACTCACTCAAAAGATTCTGCAATTGGATATCGGAAACCTTATTGGATAAACTGGGGATTAAAGACTTTGCTTCTTCTGCATCTTCACAATCAAGGTTTCCCAATTGGGCTATTTCAAAAGGATGCAAAGGTTCCAGACACGAAGCACTAAAATCATTCAATAACTTCTCCACAGTTTCTGTTGAAGAAGAATTTTTAAATCTGGCAAAGGTTGACAAATAAGCCAATGACTTCCGTACAATCTCTGACTGTTGGTTATTCATTAATTCATCAAATTTGGAATCATCTTCATCGTCTTCATTGCCTTCATCTGCTTCATGTTGGTTATACTTATTACTGGCGGTATTCTTGCTCTTCCTCTCCTTTAACGCAGCTCTCATTAGTAATCTGGCTTCAGAAAGGTTCAATGCTATTAACTGTTCTTCATCACCGTTGTTTGTGATTTGTCGAAGCTGAAACTCCGGTCCCAACTTCAACGTGGCCGCAGACTCTTCGTCGTCTATGTTCTGGGCGGCTTTTCTTCTTCTAACTCCTAAAGTACTGGTACTGACGTTCATTATGTGTATGGATGGATTAAGGTTATAAATGCGCGATTCTGACTCTGAAAATTGGATATGTACGAAACTCAATACGTTAGATGCCAAATATAAATACAAAACAATGTCTATCTGACTCGCAATACGTCAATAGTCACGGAGCAGTCTAAGAAACATAAAGGTAAAGGTTTGAATTTGTTGATGATTTTTCATTTGAAAACATCGGTAGGGGGACGACCACAATTTGATGATGTACCGTACTGAGATATACTGGAGGTACACTGAAATTTACGCACAGTATGTTACAACAATTATAATTATATGCTATATCGTCATGACATGGTTTATGTCAATTATCTAAACTTAACGTCAGCAACAAATGGATGTTTAAGTGCTTCCAGTGGAGTCAATCTCTTTAAAGGATTAAGATTCAACACCTTCAGAAGAAAGTCCACCAAGACCAATCTTTCCGAACATTCCTTTTCAATCATTGAGCTGGTCATTTTCTTTTGGTGCATTGAATAGTTCATTATAATATCTTTCAATGAATGTTGATTGAAATATTCTTTGTTTGGTTTCTCTGCATCTGCTTGAGCTCCTTTCCCTGTCGATCTTAAATATTGAACATATTTATCAAACGATTTGATGGTATACTCTGGTTTTCCATTGGGGGTTGTAGATGGAACTTTCTGGAAATAATGAAGAGAGTTCCGTCCAACTTCAATCATATGTCTTGGAGGGAACCCAAGCATATCCACAATCTTCCACATTTGATTATATTCAGAAGTACCAGGGAACATTGGTAGTCCAAGAAACAACTCTCCAACTATACAACCCACAGACCACATATCAATAGACTCAGTGTACGGTAAACCCAATATAACTTCTGGTGATCTATAAAAACGAGATTGAATGTATGAATATATTGTTTGTCTTGAGAAGCAAGCAGATCCAAAATCAATAACCTTGATGTCGGGTTTATCTGGTTGACACAATAAGATGTTCTCTGGCTTCAAGTCACAATGAATCATTTGGAACGTTTTTAATTGAGCAACTGACTCCAATAGTTGTCTTGTCAAGAGCTTCACAAGCTTCATGTTTAGTCCTTGGAATTGGTTTTGCTTAATCAATTCATATAAATTCGATGCCAATATTTCAAATACCAAACATAAATGCTCCTTATGCATAAAAGTATCCAATAATCGAATAAACAACTTCCCATCACTATTCTTATTCAAAAATTGAAGTAGACGAACTTCTGTTAACGATTGGTTCATATATGCTGGTTTGGACTTAATCACTTTAACAGCACATACTGATTGGTTGGCCAAATTCTGACACTTGACTACTTGTCCAAACGTCCCCAGTCCTAGAAGATCCAAAACAATATACTTCCGACCTTCTTGAGTTCCCAAAACATCATTAACATGCAAAATATAATCACTATCTTCATTATCATAGCCATTGTTGTACTTGGGTTCCAGTGGTTTAGTAAGAACTCTCTTGGGGTTCGTTGCCTTCGAGTATTGGAATAATTTGGGTTGACATATGCTGTAAGTCTCCGTTAGATATATTGTCAATGCATTAGCTGGAGAAATGTGAATAGAATCCACAGAACAACGTCTGTATTTTGGTTGCTTATGAATCCGAGGTCTTAAACTGTTCAAATTGCTTACCTTTGTCATTCTAGGGGCGATTTGTCTCTTTGAACCCACCTGTTGTTGATCTACCATTGCTTGTTGGTATTTTTGGAATTGAACCACCAGACCTTGTCTTCCGTGTCTAACTGGGTTGAAATAGTGGGTCTGAGGCTCATATTTGGCTGGTTGGAAGGCACCCACGGCTACAGACGATCTTCTAGCCAACGGTCCACCTTGAGCTTGAGCTTGTGCAAACCTTCCATGTCCCGGGAAATGGTTATTATTAATATTATTATTATTATTAGTAGTAGTAGTAGCATTACTCATATCCATATTATCCATGTTAAGCCCATAGTAGGCATTTCCTGGATAATTATGAAGTTGTTGATGTTGTTGTTGATGCTGCTGTTGTTCTTGCTCTTGACGTTGACCAAAGGGGTCCATTGATGAGTTGGCATAATATGTTCCGTCACCAGCAACACTCATTCTTCGGTCTTGAGAAACATCTTTCAGCTCCAAGCTAATGCCTTGGTTCTCGTAATAGTGGTTGAAGGGATTCGATACACGAGTCGGCGGATGGATATAAGGAGCATTTGCCTTTTGTCGTTCTTGATCTTCGTATTCATAAGTCGTAGGTAACTGATTAGCAAACGACATTCTCTTAGCATGTTGTTGATGCTGTTGCAATAGAGGAACGCCAGGCTGAAGCTTGGTTGGCAGTTGACTCATCATGATACTTCTATTGGACCCAGAACCGGAAGGTGCTATTCCACCAAGACCAAGCGGAGGACCATTGGCACCATTATTAGCGGCAGCGGAAACAAACCATGGGTTTCTAAACCCGGGGGCTGCTGCTGCTTGTTGTTGTTGTTGCGGCAGACCCAATTGTAGTTGAGGACTTTGTTGAGGCAGTAGTCCTTGTTGTTGTTGATGTGGCAGTTGAGTACTATTGAAGGGGCCTTGGTCTTGATTCAGATGCGGGTAACCCAGTGGTGGTGGAAGATGCCAATTTCCACCAATGGAGTTATGTCTACCGTAGTTAGCGTAATTGTACGACATCAATACAACCTTCAGACGATGCCAGTGCTTTGTAGACCGGTGATTACAGAAGTAAATACGGGGGTTTAGTAAGTGAAATCAGGAGGAGCAACCGAGAATAATTTTGTTGCGCGCTACCATTAACGAAGTGAAAGTTAGGTAAGGCTTTGGCACGTAGTATATTTCAGCATAGTTCGGAGTATAATAGAGCATAGTACGGAATATGTTATAGCTTAAGACAGATTAAATTACAGCATAATGACGAGTATATTACAGTATAATACAGAGTACACATCCCTTTATTAATATGATGGTTACAAATTGTTGAACTCAATAAGATTCATATTTTGTGCCATTTAAAGTGGGGTTTATTGAAATTATAAGGAAACAAACACAAGTGTATTGTAGTACAACGTACTGTATTGTGAGACGAGTGGAGTAATGAAACTATTACTATTACCGTATAATGTATTATAGTGTACCTTGTGTTTTTTCATTAATCAGTACTATATTGAGTCAGCTTTAAGCAGAGGCCTTCGTTAATCTTCTTATCTACAGGTACGCTCAACTAGCATGTACACATGTATTGCATTACATATGCATAGCATTTCATATGCATGGAACCTTTAATAATCCATTTCTGTTATTGCATTAACCCTATCAAATATATACAAGCATACATCTATCATTAAGCACTCATTGGAGCATCACCATAAATGTTCTGCTGAGGTTGTGCCATCACCTTTTGCATTAAAACACCAACACCTTCAAAACATCCCAAGAGACATGCACATGTAATGGCAGAGTTTCTAGTATGTCTCCAACCACCTCTAATAGCCAAAGCTCCCCCAGTGAAAAATCCTGCGATAACAGCATTCCAAGCATCTTCTCTCTTTCTAACTGCCTTGACACTACAGTCAAAAGCAGAGAATAATCCACCCCAAACACCGAAATTACCTCCAACAACTGGAGCTCTGGTCTTAACAACTGATAAAGCTCCAGTCACTCTTTCTCCATATGGGGAGTTTCTGAATCCTTTAATCCCGTGCCACACACATCCACCAATGACACCCATGGCAAACGCACCACCAAAATCACTCAATACAACAATCGGACATGGATCTCTAGTGTGATCTGCTGACATCTTTTCTTCTATATAGTTCTGACTGGTTAGCTAAGGAGATTAGTAGTTGCCTCTGACACTCTTTTGATTTGAAAATTTTTTTAGCTACAGATCCAAGGTCGCGTGCTTATGTAAATTATCACGTAAGAAAATGTCATAATTACGTAATTTTATAAGAGTACTTCAAGTCTATATCTATTTACAGTGTTAATATTCGTTATCATTGACTTCAAATAGGGTCAGCTTCTTACCCGGATCGTCTGAGTTCGCCAAGGTCCTTGTATCTGTGTCTGAAGTTTCGGCATCTCCGTGGGGAGAGCTCTGTGTATGAATTGTAGCCCCGTCATAAGTAGAACTACTGGCCGTTTTTGTTTCTTCTTCTCCCTCTCCTTCTTCTGCGTCTTCGTCAGTATGGACCACAAACTGAGAGGATGCAGCCTCCATATTGTGCAATTCCACATAATCGGTATCAATGGCTGGACCATGGAAACTGCCTCTCCCCCAGGCCTGGTAACCGATTGTTACCATGATGATAAAGCCTACCAATACCACAGATGCATAGTTCATATTAACGGCATTAAGTTGTCTGATAACGGGTGGTAAACAAACAATAATGCACAGAATAAAGACCCAAAACACCGATAACCCATTGATGATCCACCCAAAGTACTTCAATCTGAAAGCAGCCCCTTTGATCTTCTTTCTTTTGTTGTACATTAGACACACTATGGGGATTCCATTGGCCAAAGCGAGTGACACGACAGAAGCACCAAGAAAGGCATTGAAAGCCGAGCTCAGAATTAGAGAAAGCAACGAAAGCAACGCACACATAAACATGGAAAGAAATAGAGCATTCTTGGGGACTCTTGATTCATGAACATCATCAACTTCTAACCATAAATTTTGAAATGGTAATCCTCCATCACGAGCAAATGCATATGTAGTTCTTGAGGCCGTGGTCATGGTCCCAATGGCTTGAAAAAGTACTGTTCCCACCAAAAGTAGTGTTAAAAGGAAAGAGACAATGTATGAATCGGTTGCAAATTTAAACACCAAATCTATGGGCATAATTTCTGGAGTGGTATCCAAGATGACGTTTAATTCAGGCAAAATGGTCAATATTGGTAAGATGAAGATCAACCCAGTAACGGAGGTGATTAACGTGGCCGTGATGGCCCCTTTAGGCATATTCCGTTCCGGATTTTTCACTTCATCTGTCATGGCAAACAACAGACCGTATCCCGTCATAGTGAAGGAGGAACTCTGTAAACCGACCAAAAAGGCAATTGGATCCGGCCAGCCTGACCGACTATTATCGAAGGTGGTAAGGATATCTTTGATGGAGTTAGTTCTCTTAGCAAAGAAGATCAAGAGGACATCAATGGCCAACACCGTATAGATAGACCAATAGATGCAGGCTTTATTGATACCATCCAAGTACTTAGAACAACTGAAATTGACAAATCCAGCAAATGATAAGAGGATGAAGAACACCGCCAACACCAAGAAACGGTCCTCTTTATAGTACGAGTCTTTCAAGCCAAAGATGGAAAGAATAAACTGTGAGCCCAGAAAGATGATGCTTAAAGCATAAGTCCAATTGCCTATGAGAAGAAACCATCCGGTAAACCAGGAACATGACAATGAATAGTTTTCTGAGCTCAAGATGGCACTGAAATGGTATACCCCACCGGCGGAAGGGTATTTGGAGATGATCTCGCTTAGACTAAGCACCACTAACAACAGAAACACAGATACCACTATCCAGCCATACAAGATGGTGACATTGGCACCATCCATAAGGGAGATCCATAGTGTCAGGGAGAGTCCAAAGGGTACACCCATAAGCGTGAAGCCCAAGCCAATGATTGAGGTGACAGTTAACTTCCGTTCTAATGTCTGCTTATATTTGAAGTGCTCCACATGTTCTATTTCATTATCATCAAAGTCATGGATCAAAGTGTTAAGGACTTGGACTGGGGCCAGCAGGAAGAACCCTCCTTCAACGCTGTCTCTCACCTCAGCCATTCGGAACGGAGCAGAGCCAACTACAGATCACCAAATACAATCAAACTATTGCTGTGCTTTGCCACTATGTGTGGGTTGGGTTTTAAGAAGTGGTGCGGGCTAATTTAAATCAGTGCGAACGTGACCTAATGGTACAAGAAGGCGTAGTCTGCTGTAACTGGTTCCAAAAAGAAGTTACAGTTGGACTCATTGGTAGTGTGGCATTGACTAGTTTGTCTCTTTAACTATTTGGCTTTGTCGTATGACGTGATAATGGCTGCAACAGTGATTTAAACTCTATGTATAGCAGACTATATCTCCAATGTGCACGCACTTCAGATCGTAAATATGCGTCAACATATGCCACAACATTACCTCGAAATAAAAGTGGAATATGTGTTTGAAACAGAAATGTATACCAAAACATTAAGCTAGCCAAAGTGAGGTGATAATCAAATATAAATCAGAATAAAGGAAACTACTATCGTATTAGTTTGACAAGCTTACGCACTTCGTATTTAAATGTGTAAGATTTTATACATGTTAACGCATGCATAATGTATGCATGTGTCTTTTAAAAATCAAAATCACTGTCGTATTCTTCTTCTTTCAGTCCCAGGTCTACCACTTCCATAACCGGTAAACTAATACTTTCACTTGTTTTGACATTGACACTATGAATGTTATTCTCCTTCAATTGACCCCCAACTGGTGCGTATTTTGTATCAGTTAAATACAGCAACACATCATTGATATTTTCCATCACTTGTTGTGGCTTCCATGAAGTATATCCAACCTTAATCGACATGCAAGTACCCTTCGATGTCAAATGAAAAAAGGTGTTCTCTGCGATGACCTTCATCTGCTGTTGAATGTATTTAGGTTCACATCTATCATCTTTCAATTTGTTATTACTTGCTCTAGTCAACTTAGCATTTGGGTCTGGTTTCGCCATTTGTACCATAAATGGTAACTTCTTGTTTTTGATGTAAAATTGGCCTCCAAGTATATCAGGAAGAAACTTGTGTACTCTGTTATCAGCTACCACCAAGTCAAACTCCTTGAAGCATTTGGTCAATTTCTTTGGGTCCTTGGATAGATTTTTAAGTTTTGTTAAGGTGTATATTTGGTCAAATGTGTCTTCTGTAGGAGAACCCTTCTCTGTTAGAGCATGTCTATATGGAGTTGAAGGATCCTTTGTTACTAGTAGGACTGATTTGTTGGAGAGCTTATCTAATTTATGACTGAGTTTGATGATTCTAGGAATATACTCTTTTTTTCGGGTTAATGGAGTTCTGGAATTAATAATGACAAATATAGGCTCTGAAACATTAGCACTTTCCGATGAAGCGTGTTCTATCAAGGCTCGTATAGATCGGATTCCTTTCTTCTGACAATCCTCATTCAAAGCAAACGACATCTTTAATGATTGAGTGAAGAGAATAATTGTAAGGTGATGACATCTCATCGCACATTTTGTATGGGATAATTTTCAAGATGCGTATGCATAGAACACTCGTATATGCCATAGATAGACACACATCGAAGACAACTAGACGCAGAAGACTCGTACAAATCATACACTCGTATATATCTAATACACAAATTACAGACAGTTTATCTAATGTCATATATATTCATACAACAAATGGAAATAAAGGTAATAGTATACAAAGGAAAGAAGAAAGGAAAGGAAGAAAGAAAGAAAGAAAGAAAGACAAATGCACGAAATCATCATTATCATCGTAGACAACCAATAACCTCAATTCAATCACCACGTAATGCCCGTATAACCGCAGGTCTTCTCATCATATATTTTGTCCATTTGTATACTTCTGGGAACTCAACTTTCAAGTTGATACCAATTCTGTCCACCACATTGTTCCAAGGTACAAACAGCAAATCAGCAATAGTGGCTCTGTCTCCCACTAACCAAACAGGATAATCAAAGTATCTTGATTGAGAAATAGGAGTGGTACCAGCACTATAGGCAGCAGCGTTTTCAACGTCTAATTCCATGATCAATGCTTCTCTTCTTTCGGCCAATGCCATTTCAATTACTCCATAAACTCTTCTAACTTCATCGGTGTACCGTTCCACAGCACTAGGAACAGGACAACCATGAAAATATCTGAAATGCAAAGCTTGACCAATCATTGGAGCGTGACCTGAGGTTTGGAAGAATAGCCAAGATGAAATCTGTGCTTGCTCTACAATATTATTGGACCATAATGGACAATCACCATTTTCTTTCAAGAATTTGGATACCAAGTACAAAATAATAGCACCCGATTCCCATATAGCTGTGTTCTCATTATAGTGATCAATTAAAGCAGGAACTCTTGCATTCGGATTTATAGTAACAAATTCCGGAGCCCGTTGTTCTCCGCTATTAAAATCCAAAAAGATAGTAGTGAAAGGTAAATTCAATTCCGACAAGATAATTGCCACTTTAAACCCGTTAGGAGCAGAACGATGGGAGAACAAAGTATATCCTTCTGTTGGTTGATTCTGGAAGAAATGAGTGATTCTGGATTGCTGTTGTTGATGTGCCTCATTATGTAATTGCTGTTGTAATAAGCTTAAATTACTGGCAGCTTGAGGATTGCTACCATTATGTTTATTGATACCTTCAACATTTTGACGGGGTTGATTAATCAACTGATCACTAAGCAGTACACTCTTTAATCCAGCAGATAAGTTGGAGATCGTTTGTTTATCTCCTCTTTCAGTCATATCCTATATATCTGCTTCTCTTCTTTGTTTTATGACCTATCACCAAAGGGGATCTTCTGCTGGAGCAAAACAAAAAGGAAACGTGCGATCCAAATTCTTGTCTTAATAGAATAATTTCGCCTTTTGATCTCAACAATAGCCAGCCTGTAGTCCTTCTAAATCACGACTACGATTTCTCCTTTGGTCCGTATGATGCAATAGCCTTCACCAAATTAATCGTCAACAAAGCCAAAAAGTTTGTGGGTGGTTCACTTTAAAATTTAAATTTTCTTTCTCCGTCACTTTTCACTGCATACGTCAGCGGGAGTCACTGATTTCCGTATAGGGCAACACGGCTTCCTTTGCATCGGTTCAGAATTGCCTTCCATCACTCCGCAATTGTCACACCTGCCCTAACGGGATGTTGTGGAAGATGACTCAACAAGTCACGTGAATATCAGCTTAGCTCATCATAAGATGCTTTATTAGCTATTTAAAATAAATACTTCAAGTACAGCTTACATCAACCGGCGTACAATTTCATTTGTTTATTAGTAGTAGTACCTGTTCAGTTCCTTACCGGTTACCATTACCTAATTCGGAGGACGTGCCCTGACCGATCAGTACGAGGTCTTTTTTGCAGTATTATATCTCCGATAAGCCATGGTCCTTCCAACATATGTACTACACTTTTCTTTTCCCCTATCCCTCCAAAACTAATGACTGTAGAAGGAAAGCCACATATAGCAGTGTTAGTCTGCGATACTCCGATTCCCGGTATAGCAGAAGTTCATGGAGACTTTGGTGATAACGTGAAGCAATTGGTAACGCAAGCCAATAAAGACACCAGTATTATCGATCTCCCATTAAAGAAATACCAAGTGAGTTTTGAAGAGAAGGGTGTAGACCATTCGGAACAATTGGATGGGGTTTATCAGGAATTGACAACTGGAATCTCCGACGGGACAGTCAAAGGAGTCATCTTAACGGGATCAAGAAGTGACTCATTTGCTACTGATGTTCAATGGATCACGAGGTTGGATGTGTTCCTTCAACGGTTATTGTTTGAAATGACTCATGTACCTGTTGTTGGGTTATGTTTTGGTCATCAGATCATAGCTAAAAACTTGGGAGCTTCTGTGGGTCGTAACAAGGAATCTATTGGATGGGAATGTGGAACCACTACGATCTCATTAAGCAATGATCTCTTTAGGTTGCCAAACTCTCCCTTTGATCAGGCTGGAAGTGGAACTGAATTGAAGCTTAACTTGGTTGAGTTCCATAGAGATATTGTTCAATCAATGCCTCCACCAAGAGAGAACTTGACATTTATCAACATTGGTCATACTGCTAAATGTGCCATTCAAGGCTTGATCACGTGTACGGGCGCTACCAAGGTTTTAACCTTCCAAGGACACCCCGAGTTTACCACCGTGGAAGCTTTAGACATGCTACAACGAGATATTGACTTGAATATCATCGATAATGCCACATTCCAAAAGGCGAAATATAATACGGAGATGTTGACCAACCTGGGGACATACATTGGAAAAGTCATAAGTTACTTCTTTAGGAATAATATTGACTAAATACATGATTGCAAAATTTAATTGGGTTGGTCCCTGATTGTCATGAGATTGGTTGTTGGATTGACGATGCTGAACCCTTGAAGTTTCCCTCCTTTAGTCGAATAATTGTTATTACTGTTATCTTCAATGCTATTTCTTGAATCCATCCGTTGGGTTAACCTCAGGTTTATGTCTTTCAATCGGTCTACCTTCTCTTCTAATACTTTAACCTTATCATTGGCCACTTTAAGTTCAAAGTTATTAGCATGACTTAACTTCCCAATGGCCTCTCTTAATTCTTCTCTTTGTTTCTTGAGTATAGACACTTCGTCTTTATACTCTTGTATTTTCTCGGCCACTTCATCTACGTCTCCACCAGTGGTAAATGAATTTATGAGTCTAAGGTTCTTGGTATGGTTATAGTTCTCCTTGTTGTTCAAGGCTTCATATAACTCTTGCTTGGTTTGGATCAAGTTGGACTCTTGTTGCTTCATCTCAACCTTCAATTGAGTGTTTTCAAATAGCAATTCATTATATTTGGTCAATAAATCAGGGTTGTTCTTATTCTTCGATTCAAGTTCGTTGACCTTATCTTGCAATTGATTCACCAAATCATTTTTGGAAAGTAATTGTTGGTATATCTCTGCCTTTTCATATCCCAATTTTAAAGCACTGGGTTGTTGTCCATTTTCCCAAAGCAAAGCATGATCTTCGCTTATGAATCGAAGTCTTCGTTCTTTGTTCAACTTTTCTTGTAAATCTGAGATTGTCTTGATACAGCTGGTATAATCTTCTTTATTAGGAAACGATTGACCACCATTGCTGTTAGTAACAATAGGAGTACTTTCTCCCAACTGAAGGTTCTTTAATTCCTTCTCTAATGATATTTCTCTCCTAATAGACGACGCCAATTCCGTAGTAACCAATTGTAAATCGTTCAAGAGTTCATTATTGGCGTTCATGATGCCTAATTCCTCTTTAGTGAACCGAATAGGTTGAGGAACATTAGTATTAATGTTGTTTCTTATTGCTTGTGGTCCTCCTCCTCCACCACCACTACTGGCTGTAGTGGAAAGACTGTGGATGGAGTTTCGGATCAGAGGCATACTTTGACGATTATTGACAATGCGTTCTTCAGGTCCTGCTTTCTTCGTCCCAGAAAAATCTTCACTTAGTCTTCTGCTTGCTTTCGACCACCGTTTTAGGAAGTTCTTGGACTTCCCGGCGAACCCTTGTGAATCTCTCTTCTTATTGCTAGAGCTACCGTCTTCAGATTGAAGCGATAGTATCGACAGCTCTCTTCGACTGTTGGCCATAGACTCCGTTTCCAACGGAACAGCGGGGTTACCATCCACCAAATCACTCAAGGGTCGAGTAGCATGAACCCTGGTAGGTGAATTGGTTGGAGGAGGTTTCCTACGCACTTTAGGATTCAAGGCAGCACCAGCACCTGCTTCACCACCGCTATCAACATTGGTATATTGTGGATGAACGGTGTTTGTGGTGGTAGTAGCAGTAGACGTTCCACTGGTAGCTATTATGGAGCTAAGACCATTTTCATCAGTTGCAGTTCCCTCTTCTTCTTCTTCTTCGTCATCGTCGTCGTCATCGTCTGTGGAGTACTTGCTCTTCACTGGCGAACTTTTATGGGTGCCACTAGAAGGACTGAATATTCTGGAGTTCATGTCTTCATCGGAATCACTATATTCTGATCGTACGCTTGTTCTTGGCCTCATAACAGGTCTTCTGGTAGGACTATAAAGGATTTCATCATCAATTTGGCTCATGGTGATGGTGGAGGTCAGGTTCTCGATATTTGGTGATGGTAAAGCTCTACCTGGAGTTGGAGTTGGTTCAACAGCAGCAAACTTCTTCTTTGGAGTTTCGTTTACTCTTTCGCCGATTGCAAGCTCGTTGGAACTAGCACCAGTATCTTCTTTGTTGACTGAAGACTGTGAATGCTTAGAAACTCCACCGTCAAACGTTGGGGAGTCGGTGCTCATCGAAGGTGATCTGAAGTTACTGAAAACAGTATTACCAACAATCGACTTGAATGAAGGTTGTCTTCTGTCACTTCTGGTGCTATCGTTCGAAGCAAATCGGCTTAGATCAGACGTTCCATTCAACTCTGGAGTGTTTCCTGTTGATGATGATGTTACCACCAGCTTTAAGATAGTCGGAGACCTAGTCTTTGCATAGTCCATAGACGAAGGAACTTCTTCATTAAGATCTTCTTCTTCCGACGAAGATTTGAATGTGTTGTTGTTGGTCGAAGTATGTGTTTGGGTTGTACTGTGGTCTTCAAGGGTAACTCTATCAATCTCATCTTCAAGATCATCATGTAAAGTCATAGTATCATCTGCCTTTTGGGATAATTTAGGAGTGTCCAACCTTTCACTGTACTGAGATAACTGTGGGGTCTTTATGTCCTCCTCTTCAATTGTCTCTTCCATCGATAACCGTGCCAGGTTCTGTCCTCGAACCGGCAGCAGGAACGAAGAGGCAGTGTAGTAGACGTTGTTGGACGAGGCAGTAGAGTTCATCGTAGCTGTGGCCCCTAACACATTGAACTTCTGTTCAAGAACGTCTTTGGAGCTCTCGTTATCTGTAAGCACCGATACACGTTTCGATGGTGAATTGGCAATAGTCGAGGATGTACTCTTTCTATTAACGTTGAAAGTTGGTGATGTTGGTGGAGGATTACCAGAAGTTTCCTTAGCCAGAGGTGTGTCAACTTCCTTTTGGAAAAGTGACAACTTCCGTAGCTTCATGGAGTTTGTCTTCTTCAACGTCGACTTACGTGATATCGAAGGTGGTTCTTCGTCAAACTTATAGACAAAATCGTCGTCGTCGCTGTTCTCCATTGACTTCGCCTTTCCTGGATCCAAGCTCGTGACTGGTTTGCTTGGTGATGCAGAGTTCAGTCTGGAAGAGAAGTTGTGCTTTCCGTCTTCGCTAACCACTGAAGGATTGAACGAGTCTGTAGAGAGATTATTCTCTTGTTGAACCTGATGCTCATCTTCTTCCTCCACTACATTCATAAGAGACTCTTCCGATGGCTTTTGCGAACTGTAAGTAGTAGCAAACTGTTGATTCTGCTGTTGTTGCTGTTGGAACGGACCGTTGTTTGGTCCATAAGGAGCACGACCAGGCATTGAAGGGAGTCTTTGCGAGCCATTAAACCGTGCACTTTGCAGCTGCAGAGACAAGGACATGGCCCTTGGACCGTTCTGACTATTATTGGGCACGAATGGTTGTGCTCCTGGTTGTGGACCATTATACATCCTTGGTGGAGGGTAATTGTTGGACATTGGCATAGGCCTGCTACTTTGCAAAGACATGGCACGTGGACCTTGGTTACTGTTTAAAGACATGGTACGACTATTTGGACCTTGCATTGGCATTCCCGGGCCCATAGTATTATTATTGTTGTAACTTCCATACCCTCCTCTCATCGACATGGCCCGAGGATTTCCTGGAAGTTGTTGTTGGAACTGCTGCTGTGGTTGGAATGACTGTTGTTGTTGTTGTTGTTGTTGCATCATGCTCTGCCTTGTCATGAAGCCGTTGGGACCATTGAGAGACATGGCACGAGGGCCGTACCCTGTTGGGGGGGCTGGAGCGGAGTTAAGAGACATGGTTCTATAGTCTGGCATAGTCCCTGGTGGTCCACTTTGAAGAGAATTGGCTCTGACCCCAGTTGCAAGGGCAAGTTTCCGTTGGACATTCATCTGACGACGATACTCCATGTTATTCGAAGGCTTAGAGTCAAGAGAGTCTAACGTTGGAATTATAGGAGCGGACTCCAATTGCCTCCTTGACAGGATCCCTCCATAAGGACCGTGATCTCTTGTATGTTTCAAATATTCAAATGAGACATCAGATTCTGGTAATTCGGCTCCCGCATCATCATCAAAATCTTCTACACCTCCACCACTGCCTCCCCGAAACTTATGGAAGAGTTTCTTGCGGGAAGCAGTGCTCTGCAGCGACATCAGGGACGCACGGAGATTGTACGATGATCCTCCAAGGCTCATCAAGTGGTTTGCATCATCGAAGTGGCTGGTGTACTGTTGTTGTTGAGGCTGAGGAGGATACTCTTGATACTGTAGATATTGTTGTTGCTGGTATACTTGTGGCTGTTGGGGGGGATACTTTTGCACCGGTCGTTGAACGGTTTCGGTCAACATGTCGATATCCTGTTCACCGGCTAGGATCTTATTCCGAAGGTAGCCCTTCTTAGTAGCAAAGGCATCTGTTGCAGCATCCATACTGTGTTATTATTATGTATTATCTTTACTAGCACAGCACCTGTGTTTAAAGAACAAACGGAACTACCTTATACTGCTTCAAAGCCGCTAGCTTCACGTATCTCCTATCGTTCTGGAGTTAAACGACAATGCAGTACAGTTGCAAGGGTACACTAAGGAAGAGAAGCAAAGGTGTATGTAAAGATTTGAGATTGGTACGTGCATTGGTTGGAAAAAAATGCAACCACAAAACGGGTGGTGTGTGTTCCTTAGCGAATGCACCGAACTGAACAGCACGGATATAATACGGTTATAATAAGAATATTTCTCGGAATTTATAAACGGTACATGATAAATGTAATAAGAATGTGATAAAACGATACAGTCTATTTATAGTCTGCTAATGTTGTTTTCATACTATAGACATAGTACTTTACGAGGTGGTAGTAGTACAACATTTGGTTGAATGCCGCCTGGTGTTTGGTTTATGTTCTTGCAGTGAACAGTGTATATTCCGGTTGATATTATTTTAGCTATTATTCTCGGTGAATTATAACAGCCACCACCACTTTCTTATTTTCCCTGCACTTTGATGCACGCTTCGTGCTTTGCATGAAATTGAAGGCTGACACTTTTTCTTTTTCTTTGTGTAGCTGTATGTGTCTAATGAATGGGTACCGGGTATAGCATTCTCATTTCGATTATTTTACAACAGTTTCATTAAGCTTTCACCAGTCCTCTACATCACACTTTCTATGTTTTTTCTATCTGTAGAAGGGTTTGTTTGCGCCCATGAATTTACGTGCTTCATGCATGTATTTAAGTTGCTAGGCGGCGCAGCAGTCCTAACGCGTCGCCATAACTCGCACCTTACCTCATCTAAAATTATATGCAACAACCACATATCACTTTACGATTTTAAATACGAGTACTTCAAAGTATATTAAAATATTATAACTTCTTCATTTGACGTGCTTTCAGGTACTTCAAGGCTTCTACTCTACTTCTTTGCTCAAATTTGTCACAAACTCGTATTCCCCATTAATTCTATTTTCACTTATTCAGATAAGCGCTTTGAAAACGAGTTGAAATTCATTTTTCTGTGCAACAGTAACGTGATATATTTCGTTTCAGTTTCCCTTCAAATGTTCTTCAAGTTCCCGTAAGAATCTTATCGATTAGAACTCTACACTTATCTATGTACTTACACACCCCGGGTGTAAGGAAATCGTGCAAAGTCAAACTGGACCAACACTAAACACCGATACAAAATGATTCAGCCCTTTGTCTAGCTTGAAAAAAAAAATCTCGTAATTATTCCGGTGCACCCTCGGAATTGTTACGAGAATTACCACCTACCACGTTAGAGCTATAGATAAGATGATAGTATAGCGAGAACCGTATCATACCAACTAAAGTATATAGTATTATCACAAATACTAAGTAGAAAGGACAAGTGTTTCTATATGACCCTTCAAATATGATGTAGGTCAATTAAACGGTTTTAAAACCGTGATCAACAATGACCGCGACAATACGGTATCGTTTCTTGAAGAAAAGCTCCCATTTATCGACAGTCGCCTGCTGTCTTTCTGTTAAATCTGATACGGACCAAGTATCTATCTCAGATCTTCTATGATTTGGCTCATTTGTAGCAGAATTTCCATCCTCAGGATACAATTTGGCAACATTCAATATATTCATCCCTAGCATTCGACTGCAGTCTCGAGCCACTAGAGAATGATATGCTTTCCCAGGCCCATAACTCTTAGCATTTGAAGTGACATCATAAACGTACCCTTTGATAGCCACATACATTTCTGGCTTATCCTCACCATTATAAAGGGCCAATTGAGAGCGAGTCATTACTATCAATTGTGCTAAATCAATGTTGTCATTGAAGAGTTCGAATTCCGATATTTCCCGTTCCTTTGCCACTGGTTTTTCTTCAGATTGTTGTTGCTGCCGCTCCAGCTGATTGGTCGTGTTGTGCTGACTTGGTGATGATGATACAGCTATCGTGGTGGGATTATTATTATTATTATCATTATTACTATTGTCGTTATTAATATTGTCGTTATTATTGTCGTGATGGCGTCGACTTTTCGAAATCCCGTGTTCGTGGCTCATATTATCCAATGCTAAATGCTAATTTATGTGACTTTGTCTGTCGACTAATTAAAGTGTTCTTCGTAAAAACTGACAAAAGTTTCAGTGGTCGAACCCGAGATAAAATTGGGTGGGGAAGGAAGCAAAAAGCCAAATTCAAATCTTCAGCTCAGTGTAAGCACAGTAGTCTATTCTTCCTATTACTATTACTATGTAGTATTATAATCCAAAGGCAATATTCACTACCAGGTTGATAATTTCCAACCCGTTCATAGATTGTCCGTATTGGTTTTGTGTCCCATAGTATATTGCACAAAGATCATACTTAAAGATCAAATAAAATGTCAAAGCAAAAAAAAACTTAAAGGCTACACCGTATAAGATCAATCAATTAATTCTTATTTCTTTCTTTCATCCCGCTCTGTTTGTTTTGGTTTGGTTTGGTTTACTTTTCCGTTAGCCGCCAACTACCCAATACCTGCTGAAGTTCATTTGTATTTTATAAACTTTATATTATTGAATTGACCACTCCATTCGACCGACTTTGCATTAGACCAAAATAATTTCTATTACATGTTGCGGAAGATATGTCACAATTCGCAAGCTTCTCGCAAGATAATACCGACAAGTACCCTGAAGAAGTCCAACGGCTTTTCAAACCTCGGCCTCCAATACTTCATAGGAAACCATTAGATCTTCCAGCTCATCTCCGGAAAACTCACAGCATAACTCCGTTGTCCCAATGGAAGAGTGAAATAGAAAAGTATATTGAAAAAGATACCCTTGATAAAAGTCAGAAAAGACCTAAAGGCCCAAGGGATACCTTCCTTGAAAATCATCAAACTTCACAGTATAATTTAAGGAAAAGTACTTGTCTGCGTGTTCGACAGTTACAAGAGTGGGAGAATGCTACACCAGAATCGTTGGCACGTTATAAAGACCCTCATAGAACAGTTTTTGTGCTGCGATTGGATTACCGTCTCCAGGAACTAGATCTTCTGAAGCATCTCAACCGATTTGGTGATATAGAGTCCGTTACTATTATTCGTGATAAAAAGGGTAACTCTAGAGGTTATGGATTCGTTGTATTTGAAAACGAAGCAGATTCTCATAATTGTATCAAGGAATTAGCTCCAACGGGCCTTCGAATTCCTATGCTGGAATCAGAATCTGATGCCAGAACCATTTTGGTTGATATGGAGAGGGGAAGATTAGTACGGAATTGGAAACCAAGACGCTTAGGTGGTGGATTGGGTGGGCGACATTATACGAGACAAAGTACGAGCACTCTACGTAATCCTCATGCGTCTGCTGCGGCTGCTAGAACATACGAAAGACATGGTGGGTCTCAGAACTCTTTTGGAAATAGAAGATCTCATCCTCAACAGAGACAACAAGGTTATTATAATCAGCCACCACAGTCAGTGCTGTTTTTGCTGCTGCTGCTGCTGCTGCTGCTGGCCCAATATCCGAGAGTACTTTCCAAAGCTTACGGAGACTATACAAGACCACCGCCAGTTGCAACAAGTCAACCAGAAGTTCCTGTTTCCATACGTGACAAATATGCTCAATATGTGAGTGCCACGGTCAGTCTGCAACCTAATGATAAAAAGGAATGCTCAACTTACAAGTATCAAAGAACATCACTGTCTGTGAGGTCAGTGAGAAACATTAGAGGAGACACATGATGTAGTACAAGCAAAAGAGTTGAGGTGCATGAACTATAACCATCAAAACCAGAAACGACCTTCAATTAAAATTTGGTGATAAAAAGGATAACAATAATTGACTTACTATATTGGCTAATAATTTTACGAGCATGTAACTAAATACGGCGTATATTGCTTTAGGAATAAAACATCTAACTGCATTACTACATCACCCCTGTAACTTACAGCCAAATCCGAGCGTTATCACGTGACTGGAATTTTAATCATCAACAAATTGGAATACAAATTGTATTCTTACTGCAACGACTTCTTACCAGTACTTTCATTCCACCGATGTCAGATACGCTGGAGGCGTCCAAACGCAAATTGGAAGAGGCTGAGGCTGGGATCCAATCAGAGAGCGGGATTCACAAAAAGCAAAGAACGGAGTTGGATCCCAAGGAATTGGAAGAACAAATCACCAAGGCCTTAGAACTGAAGTACGAAGCAAGAATCAAATCTTTAGAAGACACCGTTGCGCAATTGGTTCGGTCTAATGGAGGACAAGAAGAGGAAGAACATAAAAACAACGTGACCTCAAAACCGGAGTTAAGCTCAACACCAATTTCTAGTGTTCCAAGTCTCAAAAGAACAGAAACAGCTGTAGATTCTTCAGAGATTAAGCATAAGTTTGGTGCCAGTTCGTTTACATTTCTTAAGTCCCAGAACGGTTCGTTTACTAATGGGAAGCCTGCTGAGAGCTCGTCTCCTGCTGCTGTTTCCAGACCTACATTTGGCTCTACTTCTGCGTTTGGTAGTAATGCGTTTGAAGCTAAGAAGAATGTCTTTGATTCATTGCCTTCGTTTGGAACGGCCCTGAACTCCACCACCACGCACAACGAAGATAATAAAGAATCCCCCAACACCACCGCCACCACTGGTGCTGGTTCCTTTGGCTCCAAGGCCAACTTTGGCAATGCCTTCCAACAGACTATGAACAAGAAGTCGTTTCTTGACGAACAACCAACAGAAGAAACTAAGGCCCATGACGTAGAAGAAAGCTCTAAGCCAACCCAACAGTACAAGCAAGTGGATCTTATCCCTGTAGAGAGGTTCACGGGTGAAGAAAATGAAGATACAGTGCTCACCCTAAATGCTAAGCTCTTTGAATTGGACTTCACCAATGTGTCCAAAGGATGGATGGAAAGAGGAGTTGGCAATTTACGTTTAAACCAGTCGAAATCAGACCCTAAATCAGTACGTCTTTTGATGAGATCACAAGCTTTATTAAAGGTAATAATGAACTACAAGATTACGGCATCTACAGAATTATTAAAGGGCATGGAATCCAGTCTTACTCCCGGAAAGTACTTGAGATTGAACTCTTTAAGTCTGTCAGGTACTCCCATTCAATACTTGCTTAAGTTTGGATCTCAAAGCCAGAGAGATGAGCTAATTGGCAAATTAGAAGTCATACAAGCCCAACTTTAAGCTTGAAATTATAATGTACATATGAGAAATTAACTATATTAACAGAGTGACTCTTTTTACCTACTTCTTTATGAATGCAATCGAACAAATAGTTGAACCTTGAACGCCTCCAAATCGAAAACTAGGATAGTTGATCTTATCCCACACTTCAAGGCTTCCCTTCGTATTTCCAACTACGATCTTGATCAACTCTTCCTCAGTAAAGTTGCATGAAGTAATCAAGAAAATGGAGTTGGTGTGCATCATTTGCTCAACTTGTTTGGCATAGACATTCATTCCTATCTCGTTGTCAAACTCGGCCATACCTTCTTGGTTTAATGCAATAGCATCTAATGTACCCTTGTCTAATAAAACGTCATATTCATGTTCCAATATGAACTTTGAATCTTTCTCTAACAAGTTTACTTGATCAAATTGAAATTGGTTGTTGTCCTCGTATTTGTTATCTTTAATACTTTGCGCAAACGCAACAGAATCTTCCGAATAATCAATTCCATGAAAATTGAATTGGATTTCTGGAACTTCTATTTCTTCTTCTATATCTTCCCGGAGTTGGAAAAGCAAATGGCCATTCCCTGTTCCAAGATCTACGATGGTAATTGGCTTTTCAGCTGTTGTCGTAAATGGAAGCTCGTAATTATTAATTTTGGCAATCAAAAACTCAATCATCTTCAGCTCTGCATCCGAATCATCAAACCAACACTCGCCAGTATCTTCAGGGTTTGCCTTGAAATTGGTGATTTCAACCTTATAGAAGTTATCCCAGCTAATTTATGTTAATATCTCTTACCCCATTTGAAATTTGAAAATCCCAATAATGTACATACTATTCTTTGGTCCCCAACTTGGAGGAATTCAATCGTATATCTTCAGTCATTGTTGCACGGTGGTGTAACGAACTGTGGTATTTCTTGATGCTTCATGTAATATACGTCGTACTTGTGCATTCTGCGATGCGCCTTACCTATTTACCTACGAAAAATAAATTCCACACTTGATCCAACGCAAACGCGTTTACCATCAGCCTATATATCATATCAATAGGATATTCATTCACTACTAAAAACGGCTATGACAATTGAAGAATTGCAGGTGGTGAAATCTGACAATGACGCCCTCGAAGTAGAAGACGACGGCGGTTCAAACTCCCCCATAGATACAGAGATTCAAACCAAATACCGAATTTGGAAAAAGAATACGCCGTATTTATACAACTACATATCTACGAACTCTCTCCTATGGCCCAGTTTATCTGTACTGTTCTTCCCGGATGCCGAAACAAAAGTACCCGACTCCGAACCTTGGGAAACCCTCAATCAAAGATTATTAGTAGGGACTTTCACTTTAGGCCAAGGTAAAGACTCCCTTTCAGTGTACAAGCATTCATACTATCCCAATTTAAAATCAAACTTGAACATGAACTCTTTAAGCTATAACTCAGAAAAGGAAGAGTTTGAAGTAGATCGTGTTTCTAAGAAGAAACTTCAGTTAGTTCAATCAATAAGTCATCTTGGTGATGTCAATAAGACTAGATATATGCCTCAGAACCCCGATGTGATTGCTAGTGCTAACAACTTAGGAGATTTGGTTATTTATGACCGGACCAAACACTCAAGTTTCCAATCCTCTTTATCCAAAGATTCAATCACAGCTCCGGAGTTAAGGTTAGTGAGTTCTTCTACAGCTGAAAAATCAGTAGATATGTTTGCACTTGATTGGAATCACCAAAAGGAAGGGTCTATAGTTTCTGCAACCACTGACGGGCATGTTTCAATATACGACATCCAACATGATATTACGAGCGAAGACACATCGGAAATACGAGAATGGTTGCATATTGATAATTCTGAAGTCGGAGTTAACGATATACAATGGTTACCACATCATGATTCACTTTTCATATACGGAGACGAGCAGGGATACATTAAATTAGCAGATACGAGATCCTCAGAACATATAGTTAAACGTCACCAAATGAGTTCGAAACAGGCAATTAATTCCGTCTCTATATGTTGCCTGAATTCTTTATTCATCGGTACTGGAGACGCTCAAGGAGCCATTCATACATGGGACCTCCGAACACTACATGATACTAACACTGTTCCATTGCATACTATTAATGCACATTCCCAATCGGTAACTCAATTGAAATGGCATCCCAAGTTCCACAACTGTTTAGGGTCCAGTTCTTCCGATGGTACAGTTAAATTATTTGCATTAAATAATCACCATCAAATGAATCAAGGTCTACAATTCATTCATGCTGGTCATATGTTAGGAGTGAACGACTTTGATTGGTCTCTACATGATGATTGGATGATAGCAAGTGTTTCTGATGATAACTCATTGCATGTTTGGAAACCAGCCGTTAAAGACAAGGTATTCACATAAATAGAAAAGAATAATAATAGTTTTTAGTGAATAATTTTATACTAAATGGTAGTAGAAATTATACGAGAATTTCGTATTCTAGAATAATTTTCATGACAGACTCCCGGTTGTTATATAAATAAGGCTTTTTGTTGTTTAGTTCTTAGCCAAGATCTTTTCAACATCAGCAACAGCTTCAGCCAAAACCTTTTCTTGGAACTTGGGGTTTTCGATTTCCTTGGTGACTTTGTCAATGACACTCTTGAACAATTGTTCTTGTTCCAATTGTCTTTGTTGTTGTTCGAATCTAACCCATTGGTCCAAAACAGACTTAGCTTCTTGAGTAACAGCAACCTTTTGCTTCAATTCGAATGATTCAGCTTCCAACTTGGCAGTTTCCTTGGAAATAGCATACAATTGCTCAGTAACACCAACAACATTCTTTAATTGGCCAACTGATTCAATTCTATCCTTGACTTCAGTAATGTGCTTTTGTCTAGATTGGTTCAAGATGTCATTGACCTTCTTGATTTCACCATCAGCCCATTCAGTGTACAAAGGAGCAACAAACTTAGCAGCCAAGAAAGAGAAAGCAGAAAAAGTAAGAACCAAAATGGTTTCATCATGGATCACTAATAATTCATTGGAAATACCATAGATACTGGCAGCAGCAGCAGTAGCCAAGAAACCGGTCTTGGTCAAGTAGGAGTTACCTGGCAAAGCATCAATGATTGACAAAGCCTTTTCCTTTGGTTCAGTTGGAGCTGGAGCAGTAGACAAAGTACGCAAACCAACGCTAGAATTATGTTAGTAGAGACTTTAATGAATGGATATGTGAAAGACAGAATGGGCAATTGATAGGGATGGAAGAAGGAAAAAAAGAAAGAACAACATAGTAAAAATGGTCTAGTGGTCACTATCAAACTCGTATTAGTGAATCGTAACGTATGTGTGTATGTAATTATAACAATCTAATAATACGTATCATATTATCTGTTTAATTGATCTGAGGGAGGAAATACAACGATGGGTTTAAAATAAAAGGGAGATCTGTTTTATTTAATGTATTTCACGGCTGTATCACTTATGATCCACTCAATTGATGGCCATTCAAATCTTAATGTGATAGGTCACATTTACTCCACATTTGAAAGAAATGGAAACATACGCAGCTGGACGGAAGGCCACACCGGCAGCGGGACGGGCAGCTCTTAAGGCAATTCTGCTGATCATAGACATAGTAAATGAAATATCGATGAATGTAGACAAGGAAAACACAGTACAATCTACTCCATATGTGCTTTTCATTGAACAAAATTTTCGTTCGCGCACTGAGAGAATCGGAAAATTGTTCTGCGATTCTATTGGGTGAGCCGTTGACTTCCGAATTGGGTAGTGTATGAGAGAACGCTGAGCCAACGATTCTAAAGTGTACGAGAGTACATCATATCTTCATTAAACTAAATAGTACATACACTATGTCTTTTTCTGAATCCTATTGTTTGGTAGATTCCACATATCGAAGGGTCTCTGCTAATGCTTGGTTGGTACGCAGCTTAGCTAACCGTAAATATCCTTCTATATCACGTTTCATGTCTTCGTTGTGCTTGTTATCTGATTTGTGTACCACTTCATTCATAGATTCAGAGGCTAGGGATTCAATCCGTTGTAATTCTTGTTGTTGTATTCGTAAAGCAACAGCTTCAACTGTTTCATTAGGACCAATAGTTATAGGTTCTGGCTTTTCAACTGTACCAGTTATTTCTGTTTCAACCAGCCCCTCTTTGGCTATAGTTGGTAACTCTACCTGTGGAACGGCCCTTGAGTCATCGTTGGAGTCATCTTCTCCTTTGTTTTGTCGCCTCTTTCGTCTCAACTCTTCGATACGAGCAAGTCTCGCATTGAGTTTTTCGTCTATCTCCGACATGTAGTCTGGTATGTATGAATTCGAGTAAGTGGTATGTCACTGCTGTATACCCTTTCTACAAGATCATTCCATTAAAACAAAGGTCGTGCTGTGGCTAAAATCTGTTGCAGGTATAACCTGCCAATGGTCGTATTTCGCAGCCAGGTGTAGTAGACATTTTATTATTATAAGAGTCTTCGTAATTCTAATGAGCCAGGCATTGGTCTTTGAAATCCCAACTTATCGTATATTCAACTTTGAGTAAGGAGACGAGCAGAGAGTATAAATTACGTCGAGTGTCGTACAACGTCGTTTAATATTCTAAATTAAATTCTTACTATTCCTACAATGTCGCATAAAACATTCATACTAGAGATTCTTACTATTTATCCCATTTAATATAAAGGATACTCAGTATTAATCAGGATATCCTCCAAAAAACTCGTACCCAATAACCACAAAGAAAGGTTCGGGTATCTCCATATGTTCGCCGGGCAAACTATAAAAATGAATACGATCTTCTTTGTCCAACTTTGAAAGACCTAAGTTAACAAATGGAACAGAAGTCTTGTAATTGATGAGCTTACCAGTCTCAGGTGAAATATCGTAAAACTTGGAACTATATTTGGGTACCAAAGTAGTATCACTTTCAAATGAAATCAACACAAGGGCATTTAAAGCTTGTAGTTTAGTGACATAAGTAGTGTTAATGGTTCTTTCATTATTCAAATCAGCAAGCAAATGAGATTTCTCTAAATACTTGGACATATCATTGGGGTCTCGAAAATATTGTGCTGGTACCACTGTTCTTTGGATTGCATCGTTCCAGATATTTCGTTTAATATATTCGTTGCGTCTTTTGCAGATCCAATCTCCGGGATCTGAACAAAGAGGTAGGTCCAGTACCCCCATATGTGGAGATCCAAAGGTAACTAAATTGTGAACGGATATTCCCGGACATCTTTGCACTAAAGCTCGTAAAAATAATCCCCCTTGAGAAAACCCCATGGCATCAAATCCATTATCAAGCTCACCATTCTTGGTTAACATCTCACACACATATTCAATATCGTTAGAGGGATTACCCATTATAGACCTTCGCTCATCGAATATAGGACTCTCATCAAGCCCAATAGAAAGTATGTACATGTTAGGATGCATTTGTCCGTAGATCTCCTTCACCTTATTAATCCCACTAGAATTATAATTATCACCAAGACCGTGCCATATCACCAATGGACGTTTTTTGGGCCATCCACCAGGTGTAGTTGGAGGAAACTGAATTTGATCACTGTTATCTGTGAGAACCCATTGGGGAGCGGTGGTGGTGGTGAGTGGTTCGAATCCTCCAAGAAGCAGATTTACCGCCAATATAGACTGTCCTATAAAACTATAAATGTGCATAATAATCAAACAGTAGCTGGCAGTAGGAAGAAAAGCTCAGGAGTAATAATTAAGTTCGAACTTATCACAAGCCAATAAACTGCATATAATCAGTGGCGTATATCTTCTTGAAGATGATTATAACTCACGTACTTAATTACAGGTTATCGTATATTACCATATATTCTTGAGGTTTCTCTATATATCTATTTCCTCGGGAAACCACCCGTATTCCTCAAGATCAACAGAATTGGTTGTACCTTTAACGTTAACTACGACTCCTTCAGCCTCAAGACAATGTCGTTGCTCAATAACAGCATTATAGTTTTCACGAGGTGAAATCTTACCTGAACTACCAATTACTCTCCACCAAGGTAGTGATTCCTGTGTTAGTAAGCCCATATCTAATTGAGGGAATATAATATTAGTATACTTTAAAGATGACCCCACATGACGTGAATTCGCAGGCTTCCCTATCAAATACGCAATGTGTCCATAATTAGTGACTTTTCCATACGGTATTTTGGATACTGCAATGTATACAAAATAGTGGAATGATTTTTGTTCCTCAGTAAGATTCAAATAGTTTACCATAGCTTGTAGTGAAGGTATTACATCTAGTGATCTAATTGATGTCGTTGAAATTGTCGTATACAAGTTCTTGTGTACTGTATATAAACGCTTTTTGGTTGGAGAATCCTCTTAAACATCGGACTTTCCATTTTATTTACTGTAAGGTAACATAAAGTTAAGTAATAAGGGAGGGTGACCGTATTCTTGTGTTGCGCCAGGAGGTTCCTGGCAAAGTATTAGATCCTTGTTGAAACGTTCTATGTCTAAGTTTATTCTATATTCTATTGAGAAAAACTTAATTTTCTATATCTCAACGGCTTTTGGGTCAAAATTCGAACTGTCAGATATGACATCTACGTATTCAACAAAATCAGATTTTTTATCAAGTAGCTTTATTAGATCCGCCTCATTCACATGCTACACTTTCTTCCTTCATCTCCGGGATCTTAATTTAGATATTAATTAAATTAAAGTGATGTACTGATATACTGCAAGAATATTTAGGGTGCAAAATTGTTTACCAAATTGAAAGCGTAGGAAGTAATTTCCACAAACCTTTTTTCAAACGATTGGAACACAAAGCGATAATCAAGAGATAAAATATGTGGTATGATCTTTGATCATTTAGTGAAATAACTGTATCTGCCTTACCCACTAGGTAGGGTCAAGCTCGAATCTCAGCAATATAAATCTGATAGCACCACCATTATGCAATATTTGAACGTAGTGTATAATAATTAAAGCCTTAATCTTCAATCTGGCAACTTGTCCGAGCGGTTAAGGAGAAAGACTTGAAATCTTTTGGGCTTTGCCCTCGCAGGTTCGAATCCTGCAGTTGTCGTTATTTTTTTCTATTAAGAATAGAATCAATTGTATACGAAATAGAGTACCCTTTAGTTTACAGTTGATGATCTTTATCAAAGTGTTGATGTTATATTTTGGAAAAGAAATAAACGGGTGTAACGGAAATATATACGAATGTCGTAAATAATTGACATATATTTTAACCAATAAAGAGCGGAGCATTGTACTTTGAAGTACCATTAGTGAAAACATTAGTTTCATAATCCCAGTAGAAGGTGATGTTTGATGGAACATTCGAATCAATACCACAGGTCTTGACGTAATTGAATTTAGCCAACCTGTCTTTCAAGTAAGTTTCGTAATCTGACAACTTGGTAGAGAAGCCCGGACCAGATCCAAGACCTGGAACCGGAACAACTGCATCATTAACAATGAAACGAACATAAGATTCACCGGAACAACTCAATTTTTCAACATAAATTCTGGCCCCTTGTGGAACAATAGAAGCATGACTATAAGGAGATGGGAAAACAATATGGTCAATAGGCAAGTCCGTTGTTGGTTCTACTAATCCGAGGGCAGAATGCATAATTTCCAAGTCGGTATCGTGTGTGAAAGATAACCAGATCTTTTGCTGAGTGGTTGTATCCTTTAACAATTCTAAGGAAGCCAAAGCCATATCACTTCCAATACTAATAGTCAAGTTGTTACCGGGACCATTGGTGTAATATTCATGAAGATCGTATTTATACGAGTACTTGATGTACTCCTCGTTGGTGAACAAATTAGCAACCGTGGAGTAACCCTTGACGTTCATTTCGTATGCAACATAGGCAAACATGTTGGAAACATCGGACTTCGTGATGTTGAGATCAGGATTCTCCTTCTTCCATCTGGTAATGATGTCATCCAAGAAGGAGTCGTTAAACTTGGAAACCTTATCGTCGTTAAGGTCCTTTTTGTAGTCGTTACAAGCATAACGAGGGGTCAAAGAGTTACCACCTTGGGAAGCATCTTCAGAGATCACATACATTTGCGCAGTCTTGTCACTATAAGCGTCACCCAAAAACCCTCTAGCAAAATAATCAGCAGTTTGATAACATCTTTGAGAGTTGGAGGTGAACACTGGCAACACAGATGATTCATTAAACAACTCGTTGTACCGGGATCTGAAATACGAACCGTGTCTTTGAGCATCCCCCGTACCTGAGAAGATATAAGCAGCATTGTCAGGACTGGTTTCTCTGTCATACCAATAAGAATCTTGTACAAAGTATTTTTCAGTGTTGAACAAAGCCAAATCACCCTTTAAGGTTCCCTTTAATTCGGTGATCTTATGGTAAGTGGCATTCATTTTTGACCCTAAGTTCCGGGATGGGTATCTTTCGCCATGTCTGCTGTACAATTGGACCTGTTCAATAGTACATTGAGATGGAAACTCATTGCTAATACCAGACCCTTCTCTTTGAACATATGGCCCTTGACCACCCAAGAATCGCACAATATTGTATTGATCAGTGGCTGATTGTTGAGGTGATGCAAGAGGGGCATAGACACCCTGACCAACCAAAAGAAGACCGGCATTCATTGCCTTAGAAATTGCAACCATGATGATTAGTGCTCGGTGTTAACAGTTGATTCTTGATACTATTCTAACCTACAACTTTAGTCTGGATGTTATCCGCTATTTATACCGATGGGCGGCTAATTATACTATTTTATTCTAATAATATTAATTAACTATTATAACTCTATTAATTAAATGCAATTCCCAACTACCTGCAGATACCTGTATCCACTGCTATACTGCGTCAACGTTACTGTCAATGTCAATGTCAACGTTTAAACAAGTATTGTACATTCACTCTTAGTGTTTATAAGTCGCACGTGTAGAGAGGCTTATTGATCCGGAAAAATCATATATGCAGGTCACTGATGGATTACGACGGAGTTTAGGTCTGTATATATACGAGTTGCAGCCAAAGAGAATATTCGTATGTAAGGCATCATCTAATAGAGTAAAACACGTGTAATTAGTTACTAATTAACTATGTTATAAGCGCGTAATTGTTTCTATATGTAGTAATCAGTGCCGTATGATCTACTTTTTGCCCTTTTTACCACCTTTCTTACTACCGTTCTTACCCAACGATTGTCCTTTGCTCTTATTCACCGATTCGTTTCCATTCGGTAATACGAGCTTAACTTTGTTCACGGTAAAACATCCAATAAGATCAAGGTGTTTGGTAGACAGTAAAATGTCCCGTTCATTTTGCCAATCTATGTCCGTATCTGTTCCTGTAAGATCCATTTTCCGAGACGTAAGCCAATGCAAGGCATCACTCATTGCCTTACCTTTCTTGCCAGTTCCAGGTTGGAATTTGACTTTGTACTTGAACTTTTGGAACGCCTGCCATGGCCCAAACACAGGCACAAGAGCATAAACATTGTCTGTAGGTTGAGGCTTGGATACCATGTAATCCATAATCTCCAAATAATTCTCTATTCCTGATTCCTCTTCATCCTCATCCGTTGTACCCAGTAAATATTTATTGAATTCTCTTTCGGATTGTTTCTTGCGCCTTTCAGCAGCCAATTGAGCATTGATAATTTGCAGCTTCTTTGAGTTTTCTTCCTTCTTGATTCTGGCTTCATTATCAGCTTCAATTTGTTGTTTCTGTTTCAATGTGCCCAATGCATCCATACGAAGTACTCGTTCTTCATCATCTTGATCAGCATATTTTTGGGCAATCTTTTTCATCTTGCCCTTTTTTCCTCTAACTTTGGCTTTTTGAAGTTGAACCACAGAGTCTGACACACTTTCGTTATCAGAAGTCACTGTAGACTCAGCTTCAACTTCTTCCTCCTCCTTCTTCTTCAATACTTGGCCAGGTTCAGATGTCTCCTTCACTTCCTCAAATTTACCATTGGTATGGGTGCTCTTCTCCTTTTCCTTCTCCAAATACGCAACTCGCAATCCTTCAAGTTCTTTCTTTACGTTGCCCGATACAATCTTAAAATCCTTCTGTTTCTGTTCACGAGTTGCCTTGTACTTTTCTGCGGTAGCTTCATCCACAAGCCAGTATAACCCAAACCCCATGACAACTTGTGAGGGTGCTAAAAACTCCTTTTGAGTTTTGTATTCGAATTGACCCTCTGGCAAAAATTGTCCTCCATGCCCTCTTTTAGAAATTTCACTTACTTCCAAAACCCAGGCTGATGTTGTAATCTTATTACTCCAAGCATCAGAAGCAGATAAAGCAAAAACTCCAGCTTGCATTAACGTGGATGGAGGAACCTTCTGACCGGAATAAGGGTTCTTCACAAACACCTTGAGAGAGCCTATGACATCTGAAGACACTAAACAATCATTATCGTTCAAATGTCTGTAATAAATCATATCTGTTTGAGAGTCATCTCTTCCGGCAATACAGAGATAGCCTTCATTAGAAATGAACCAATAAAACTTCTCAAACCAGAATTTAGGTCTAATGTGTTTAATTGCTTCAGGCTCAAACTTTAACTTTTGAGCAAGATCACTTTGAATCTTTCTTTCAGCATTTTTCAATGCAATAGACGTTTTCTTCTCCACTTTATCTTGCTTCGATTCAGCAGATTTCTTCGAATCAAAATAAGTACTTGCATTTGCAAAGGCAGAAAGTCCAATATCTATGGCAACAGAGATTAGTTTCTTATGGGGAAGAGTGTTCCTTTTGCTTGTCAGAGTTTGTTTCCTTCCCTTTCTTTTAACTATTTTCTCATCATCATCTTCATCATCATCAGAATCTTCTTCACTTTCAGATGATGATTCCCAATCCAGTTCACTAGTATCACTAGAATTCAAATCGGTTACCTTATCGTCTTCCAAATAACTCTCGTCATCAAGCTCATCGATATCTGGTAATGCCAAAGTGATCTTGTTGCTGGTCAAGTTTAATGGTAGCTTAATGGTATTGGCAATTTTATTGCCCTTTGATTGTTCTAATTGAATATATTTCTCCATATTTGTCCAGTCCATTTGCTGGTCCAACATGGTTTGAATAAATGCTTTACAGTCTTCAACCACATTAGCAAAATGGATCAATGTTTCACCCTTTTTAGTATGGGCTTCCTTTTGAGCAGCCAAAGATTGAATTTGCTTTTCCTTTTCATTTCTAGCATGCTGTAACCGCTTTTCTGCTTGTAATCTTGTTTGTTCTATTCTGATTGAATACTTGCTGGATTCAACTTCAACAAAGAACTTATCCAAGGTATTATTATAGCCTTGAACATCAATAAATTGGTAAGTTTGAGGATCACGCTTGAAAGGCTTAAAAGGATGAAATTCATCATAGATATATTCTAATGAATCACTAGAAGCACCTGTTTGGTTACGAGGGTCAAAGTTTGGATTTTTTTTAGCAACAATTACCCCCACAACTTCTTTATCCGTATTAAGAAAATCTTGATAAGTAATCTCTGCTGATGTTAATGCCTCAACTATTTTTACCAAAGATTCATCATCAGAAAGGAATTCAAGTGCACTCCCAGAGCCATTGACACCCTTTTCTTCCAATTCTTTGAGGATCAACTCACTAGAAAGGTGACTAGCATGAAGAAAAAGTAATTTATTAATGGAGGGGACCTTTTGTTTCTTCTTGGTTGATTCAGCTGTTATTTTATTCAATAATTTTTCATTTTCAATAGCAATCCACGACTTCACTTCCTCAGTCGTATACTTAGCAGGCTGGTAAACAAAATCTGAAGTGAACAACGATTCGTCAAACATATTATATGTTTCGTTAACGGCGTATCTATCGTTGTTTTCCTTCTCACTAACAAGACGCTGCAAAGATAAAATCTTTCTCTGTTCGTCTAAGAGAAGAATGTTCCCAGCACTAAAGAACTCCATCACAAGATAATACAGCCCTTCGCTGAATTGGAAGACCACCACCCGATCATTTTGGACTTGTTTGATGGCAGTGACCCGTCTAGTTTTCAAGTGCTTTCTAAGCTTGGTGACAAAGTTGGAGGGGGAGGGAGTGGTCTGTCTGTCATAATTGGATAGATGGAGCTTATTCCCACAATCAACAACCACAAACTTCTTAGAGTCAGGTATGGAAAACTTCAACAAGAATTGTCTTGAAGAGTTGGCCAAGTTGAAGATGTTTTGCAATCTGTAGTTCAAGATGGAGTTGTTTAACTCCGACGTCAAGATCTTCAACTCAAGTCCCGTGATTCTTTGCTGCACAATGTTAGTAAAGAGGTTCCATAGATGTGTTCTAGACCGAGGCAACGTACCTTCATCGTCGTCAGTTGGTTAAGAAGAGTTGCTGTGGAGATCAAATTTTATGTGTGAAGAGTGTTCGCATTTATATGAACGAGACCCGCACACCAATGGCGATACTTTAAGAGAAGATCAACAGAAAATGATCAACACAAGGAACTGAAAGGAAACAAACTAAATCAAAAGAAGATCACGGACTTAAGGATCCAATAAAGGTCTTAAATGCAAGGCGAGTTCAAGTTAACCACTGAGTATACAAAATGATAGGAGTTAGTTTTAGTCAGAGTCTGTGGGAGTAATAGACAGAGTCAGAGTCAGAGTCAGAGTCACAGTCAATATCAATAAGAACCCCACATCATAATGTATGTCATCCACAGTTGTAGTATGTCTGTATGCAATCTTTGTATGTAATTTGTATGTAATCTCGTTATTTCCACATTGGGAACTAAAATCCGATCTCTCTTCTTCACTGTGACCATGACTGAAGACCTCCATGATAGACAGATCCGTAGTTTGGCCGAAAGTATCCTTTTGAAGAATTATAAGGTCACATTCTTCTTAGGTGCTGGGGTGTCTACGGCTTCGGGGATCCCGGATTTCCGTAGTCCAGGAACAGGGATCTACGATAATTTGGCCCAATTCAATTTACCATATGCTGAGGCGATATTTACCTTGGACTACTTTAAACAGAACCCAGAACCCTTCTGTGTGTTGGCGGAAGAATTGTATCCTGGTAACTACCGACCCACGGTGTTCCATTGTTTGTTGAAGCTTTTCGAAGATAAGGGTATCCTTCAACGAGTATACACCCAAAACATCGACAACTTGGAAAGGGTTGCCGGTGTATCTGATGAGTTTATTGTTGAAGCACATGGTTCCTTTGCAGAGGCACATTGTGTCAGCTGTCGCAAAAGCTATACGTCGCAAGAAGTATGGAATAAGCTTATTGATAAAGCTGGGTCTCACAAGGGTATACCCCATTGTTCATGTGGGAACTACATTAAACCCGATATAGTCTTCTTTGGCGAGGCATTACCCCAACGTCTTTTCAACCAATGGGATGAAGATGTGGATGATGTTGATGTTGCAATTGTGGCTGGAACGTCCTTAACTGTGTATCCATTTGCGCTGCTACCCAGTGAAGTACCTCGTAGAACTAGACGAATGCTTGTAAATTACGAAAAAGTTGGTGATTTTGTTAAGGGTCGGAGAACTGACATATTTATATCTGCTGATTGCGATACGATAGCCAATAAGCTTGCGGCAGCTTTAGGCTGGGAGCAGGACTTGAAAGATTTGGTTGAGAAGGTTCTGGAAACTCATAAGGAATATAAGCAAAAGAGAAAGAAGGAACAAGACGAAGTGAAACCTGATGATGTTACGAAAGAAACAACCAAAGAAGCTGATAAAACAGAGGCTAAGCAAAAACCCAAGCAAGATAAAGCCGAGACTAAGCAAGCTGATGAAACAAATTCAAAGCTAGATAAACCAGAGCTGACTGATGGTAAATCGTCTGAAGAAATCGAGGATAAATTATCGAAATTGAACCTTTAAATACCCTAAATATTATCTCTTTCTATACAACCGAAAGAAGAAACGCATATTCTCCAACTTCATTGGATAGGAAACCTCCTTTTCATTTATTCTGTACCAGCAGCTTTCAGAACTATCAACAATTTCCCATGCACCATTATCATCATTTGGCTTCCCTACTAAAATAGTATCCACCAAGAACTGGACTGGGAACTTTTTGGTGCCCACAGTTATATGAGAATATGATCCAGCACTTTCAGCAATTAGTAAATATGCTCCCTTCTTACAATTGGTGTTTAATCTTTGAAGAAACTTTATGGTTTCCGATCTCTTTGCACAAAAAAGTTCATTGGTGGTGAATAATAAAGTAATGAAATCAACATCAAACCCTTCATTAGATATGACTTTGGAATCCAAGATATCTCCTTCAATAAATGTCGTATTCAACTTTTCTGGCTTATATATCCAATGGGATTTGATATAGGATGTAAAATGGGTGACTACCGTACTCCAATTGGCAATGTCTACTATAGTAACATCCAATTGAGAATCGGAGTTAGGATTAAACTCCTTTAATCGACAAAATAATGATGCAATCCCTACTAACTCTGAGGCAGCACCTCCTCCAACACATAAAACCTTTCTTTTCTGGTCCTTATCGGCAAGGAGTCTTTTGATGGCTTGGAATGACGCAAAGAGTGATGAATACGATAAGGCTCTGGCTGGAGTCCATCTGGAAACATATGCAAATCGTTTATTGTCAGTATCAAATGCAGCCATATAATCTCGATTATATAATGCTCTCTTGACCTCCTGGACATGATCATGAAGCGTAGGAGATTGTAAGATATCTTTAAGTACTTCGTTGAATAAATCAAGTGTTCTCTTAGGCTCAATGCATGATTCAGAAGAAAATGGTATAAGTTGTCTTTCTGCCCCCAATTCCATGTCCTGTATCCCTTCTATTAAAGAGGTCTCAGCAGGAGAAGCTGCTGGGCCTTTACGAGCACGTCTTCTTTCTATACGTCTACTCATATTTCCAATTGTTATTGAATCATAATCAGCGTAGCCCTTGGTCTTCTGCTAATAGTAAACCTGATGGAGTGATGAGATGAGTGTCCGGGTAACACAAGAAACATCACGACGTGTCCCGACCAATAATTATGTCATATAAATCAAAGCGAAAATCCTCTTCAAGCTTGCGATGGAGTTTTATTTCTTTCTTACAAATTATCAATCTGTGTTACGGCAAGTCTCCCAACAAGTTCTTTGGTTAAACCTTCGCGGTTGCCTTAGAACAGTTGTGGTGATGGTTCGTAGCAGATCGGCGCTCGAGAAGCGAGTTTTAATATTGTGCTGCTTTTCATTAGTCTTGTCTGTTGGGTTATACCAACAAGTCTTTTATTGTGTTTGAGGCTACGTGTGTTTCATTGGTCCTTTTTCGGAGGTTGAGCGATGCGATGCGTTTAGTTTAGCAATGAAAGATGGCAATACTGTATGAAACAGCACAATAATGTTCCTTCGGGGATTATTAAACAGAGTAGCTCCGTCGACAGATTGTAGATTAAGTGGGTCGGCTTTGAACTCTCTTTAGTCTGATTCTTTGGAATCAGATTGAAGATTGCAGTTCGGCCACCTATGGTCCACAGCAACATATTCCTGGACTCTGCGTAGGCCGTCGGCTGTTGACGATTTGAGTAAAACCATGTTGCGGACATTTGTCTTGTAAATGTAGACTAACATACAGCGTAGTATTGTGCTATATGACTACGTTGTATTAATCCAGTCCATTACGCTGTACAATACAATACTACTATACTGTACTGTTCTACTGGGCGTAATCTGCTTGATCCGGTGATTGCCTCATATCAGCTTTGGCTTTTGTGTCAACAGCAATTCACGATTCATTGCAGACCCAAACGGGAGGAAGCCAATAGTACTTCATCATCGACAACAGTAACCATAAGATGCAGCATCATCACATACTGTTGACATCACCCAATCACGAGGCCATACAACATGGGAGACAAAAGGTATATCTCCAAAACCGGACTGGTGCATCCATGTTGCCTCTGCTACCGGATACAGCACGGCCAGACTTACAATATGAAACCGGAAATGAGTCTGAGGATGATTCGTTCCTAGCAGAACCAACCGAATCACATCAAGACTTGAATTATGTGGAGTTTGATTTCACCAAACAGAATAACCAATCCAACAGTTCATTGAACAGAGCCATGTCATTTATGCAATCTAGTGATAGTTTAGTCACCCAACTGCGAAACACTACGACACTGAATAGTGTATCATCTACAAGGAACAGTATATCATCGCCTGGAATGGCCAGAAGTCTTTCCCCGGTTCAAAAGAAGGTCCATACGACCGCAATCAAGGAGAATCACGATGACGAGGACGTGGATCCAGTGAAAGCCACGGCCAACGATAAAGTTAGCACGGATGTTGATGAAGAGGATGACTTCTTTAATGATAAGGATACTGCTTGGAAACATATCAAACAGATCACAGAATTCGACTACTACAACGATAGAGGGGATTTGGAGTTTAAAGGTGAAACCACCGATCCTTTCCTTGAGAACTTGGCCATGACCACTGGGTATACGAGAATAGATACCGAGGAACAAGTGGCCAAATACTTGGAACTAGACCGAAAAACAGACTTCCTTTTCAAGGACACGGTTCCAGATAAAGTGGCACAGTATCAAGACATGGAATATAATTCTGATGATGATTCAGGATACCATGATGAAGCCATAAACTCTTCGGATACGTTGGAATCTACAAGACAAATGCTTACCGAGAATCAACAATTTGCATATGTTGCAGCCACAAAGTTAATAACCGTGGAAATGGCCACTAATTTAGCCAAAATCAAGCTTCCAGCAAGCTCCAAATATTCTAGTCAATTCAATCTTGGTCAAAGAAACTTTGCAAATTGGACCATGTATGTTATGTTGAAGATGTATGAACATATGAAGTGTTCTGAAGAAGAACAAGCCATGATAGAGAAACTTAGTGTTCATGGGATTGAAATTGATCCTTTATTGGATTCATTAAGGAATGATCCTCATCAAGTTCCTGCCACATTACGTAAGAATAAGAAGTACCATTGGAGTAAAGAAGCTCCCTATGATTTAAGATGGGTCATTGTATGTGATTTATTCCTATTACTTTTAAGTGATGGTTATTTTGATAGTAGATCAAAGACATTACTATTAACATTTGCCCAATACCTTGGATTAAGAGAATTGGAAATCTTACAGTTTGAAAGAAGACTAACAAGTAGTCTCGATATTGAAACTAATAACAAATCCATTGAAAATGATGATGAAAAGTTAATTGATAAGATTTTGATTGATAAACAAATTAAAAAGAATAAGAAAAAAAGATTGGCTTATATTGGTATGGCAACTTTAGGTGGTGGGCTTGCAATAGGGTTATCAGCTGGGTTATTAGCACCTGTTATTGGTGCTGGGTTGGCTGCTGGGTTAACAACCATAGGAATCACTGGTTCCGGTGGGTTTCTTGCGGGAGTTGGTGGAGGTGCAATCATTACCACTGCAGGTATTGCTATTGGAGCCAATGTTGGAGCTAAAGCAGGGTCTAGAAGAGCCGGAGATGTTCATACCTTTGAATTCAAACCCCTACACAACAATAAGCGTGCCCAATTGATTCTTACGGTATCTGGATGGATGAACAGTGATTTGGATGATGTTAGATTACCATTTTCCACCGTTGATCCAGTAATGGGAGACATTTTCTCTTTATTATGGGAACCGGAAATGTTACGATCTATGGGTCAAACTATAGGAATTCTTGCCAGTGAAGCCTTATCTACATCAATTCAACAGATTTTGGGAGCAACCATTTTAACTTCCCTTATGGCTGCAATCCAATTACCAATGATTTTATCCAAGTTGTCTTATTTACTTGATAATCCATGGAATGTTTCTCTCGATAGAGCATGGAAAGCAGGCAAGATATTGGCAGATAATTTGAGTGAGGGGAACTTGGGTATAAGACCCATCACCCTTGTTGGGTTCTCATTAGGATCTCGTCTTATCTATTCATGTCTTACGGAATTGGCCAGAAGAGGGATCTATGGGTTGGTAGAAAATGTGATTATTCTTGGGTCTCCAGTTACAGTTAATGTTGACCAATTATCTTTAGCTCGTTCAGTTGTTAGTGGACGTTTCATCAATGGGTATTCCAAAAAGGACTGGATTTTGGGCTATTTATTTCGGGCCACTAGCGGAGGTCTTATGACCGTTGCAGGATTATCCCCCATTGAGAATGTTTATGGAATAGAGAACATAGATTGTACGGAGTTTGTGGAGGGCCATATGGCTTACAGACAAGCCATCCCCAAGATTCTAAAGGAACTTGACTGGGAAGTCTTGAGTGAAACGTTTGCTGAAATCGAAGAGCCCGATCCAGAACAAGTGGAAAGACAACGAAAATTGGTGGACGAGTTTGAAGAGGCCAAACAGAAAATGGAACAAGATATTGAAAATGGAAAGTACAAGAAGAAGAGCTGGAAGTTCTGGACTAAGCCTTCGAAAAAGAATTGGTGGGATACAGTTGGTAATACAGCAACTACAAAGAATACAGAAGAAGCCACATCTACTGAGTCCAACGATACAGGGGCCACTGTACCCAATAGGGAAACAGAAGAGTATCAAGTCGAGACCGAGACCGAGACAGAGACAGAGTCCGGTGCTTTATTCGACATCGATGCCTTGAAAAATGAAATCAAAGACATAGAAGCCACCACCCAAAAGGCTCATCACTAACAGTAAGGTAAAACATAGCCAAAATTTGTTATACCCTAAACCCAACGTCCGGGTAACACGTTGTCTGGAAATTGAGGTGAAAAATTTGGAAGAAAATTTTTTTCCTACACTTAAAATTCGTTTGACTGATAAGCTTGACTCACCATAACCACATAGATTTAAATACACCAAGATGCCTACCATTGGAGTGGATAAGGCTGACCTTTTTGAGTTATTGGGTAAGGAGTACACCACCGAGGAATTTGATGAATTATGCTTTGACTTTGGTATTGAATTAGATGAAGATACTACTGAAGAATGTCAAGGAGATGAAAGACCTCAATTAAAGATTGAAATTCCTGCAAACAGATACGATATGTTATGTATTGAAGGGATTGCTCAAGCTTTAAATGAGTTTTTGGGTAACACCAAGCCTCCAGTTTATACATTAAAACCTTCTACTCCTGAAGTTACCTTGACGATTAAGGAATCAACAGCTCAAGTCAGACCTTATGCTGCTGGAGCCATTTTGAGAAACGTTAAATTTGACCAAAGACGTTACGACTCATTCATTGCATTACAAGATAAATTGCATTCCAATTTATGTCGTAACAGAACATTAGTGGCTGTGGGTACTCATGATTTAGATACTTTGACTCCACCTTTCACTTATGAAGCATTAAAGCCTACTGATATCAAGTTTGCTCCATTAAACCAAAGCAAAGTCATGGATGCTAGTGAGATGATGGAATTTTATGAACATGATAAGCATTTGGGTAGATATTTACACATCATTAAAGATCTGCCAGTCTATCCCGTGATTCTTGATTCCAAGAGAACTGTTGGTTCCATGCCTCCAATCATTAATTCTGACCATTCCAAGATTACTTTAAACACAAGGAATGTTTTCATTGATGTCACTGGTACTGACAAAACCAAGACTGAAATTGTGGTTAATCAAATTGTTGCCATGTTTTCTCGTTATTGTGAAACTCCATTTGAAATTGAACCAGTTAAGGTGATTTCTGAACATAATGAAGAAACCCGTGTAGTCCCCAACATTGAACCAAGAGTTGCTCCAGCTGAAATTTCTTATATCAATTCCTGTTTAGGCTTAGAATATTCTGGTGAAGAAATTGCTGATTTATTGAAGAAGATGTCTTTGAGCGCAGAACCTTCAACCAGTGAAAAGGATATTTTAAATGTTAAGATCCCCATCACCAGACCAGATATCTTACATCAATGTGATATTATGGAAGACGCAGCTATTGGATATGGTTACAACAATTTAAAGAAGACCAAACCTAAAGGTGATTCCTTAGTTGCTGCTCCATTACCAATCAATAAAGTTGCTGATATATTAAGATATGCGTCTGCTCAATCTGGATACTTGGAAGTTTTACCCTTGACTTTATGTTCACACGATGAAAACTTCAAATTCTTAAGAGTTGAAGATGATGGCACCACTGCTGTTAAGTTGGAGAACCCTAAAACCATTGAATATCAAGTGGTTAGAACCTCGCTTTTACCCGGAATTTTGAAGACCATTAAAGAAAATAGAAAACATTCATTACCCATCAAAGTCTTTGAAGCTGGAGATATTGTCTTAAAGGATCCCAAGTTAGAAAGAGGAGCTTTCAACCAAAGAAATTGGTGTGCTATTTATACTGGTAAGAATTCTGGATTTGAGTATGTTCAAGGTTTATTGGGTAAGATTATGCAAACATTAAGAACCCCTTGGTTAGAGAATCCCGAATCAGATACTAGAAGAGGTTATTGGATTGAAGAAGATGAAAAGAATACTACTTATTTCCCTGGTAGAGGAGGGTCTGTTATTTTCAGAGTTCAAGAAGGTGAAGAAGGTAAACGTATTGGTTCTATCGGGACATTACATCCTGAAGTGATGAGTTCCTTTGAGATTCCTTATGCTGCTTCAGCAGTTGAAATCAATGCCGAGGTGTTCTTGTAAGATATATAGATGGAGCATAGTATAATTGATAACAATATGATGTGTCACATTTTAACCCGTTAGCCCTCTGTATGCACACGGTGCACACACGACCTGTGAGGCGGAAGAAAAAGTGACAATACTTTTTAATAACAAATTGAATAGGAGTATCCTCACACCAAGGAACAATTGATAATTAGAATCATTTACATCACCATAGAAAGTGAAGACATTTTTTCTCGGATATCTATCTCCGGGTACTTGATTGTAATTTAACTCCGTCTTAGAAAGGTTATCATGAGTACAAGAGCACCTTCTAGATCATATGATATGATCATGAAGCTTTTGCTTGTTGGAGATTCTGGTGTTGGTAAGTCATGTTTATTGTTAAGGTTTGTTGAAGATAAATTTAATACTTCATTCATTACGACTATTGGGATTGACTTTAAAATTAGAACCATCGAAAGCAATGGTAAGAAAATCAAATTACAAGTTTGGGATACTGCTGGTCAAGAACGGTTCCGGACAATTACTACTGCTTACTATCGTGGGGCTATGGGGATCATTTTAGTTTATGATGTTACCGATTCCCGGACTTTTGAAAATGTAGAAACTTGGTTTCAAACGGTTACCCAATATGCTAATGATGATGCTCAAATCTTTTTAGTTGGGAATAAATGTGATGATGAGGAAGGTAGACAAGTTTCTTCTGAACAAGGACGTGCTTTAGCTGAGAAATTGGGTATTTTATTCACTGAAGCTTCAGCAAAGACAAATGAAAATGTTGATACCATTTTCTATGAATTGGCTTCACTTATTCAAGAGAAACAACCAGAATATTCCACTGCCAACGATCAATCTGGCGGTGCTGGAGGTGTTGATGTATCTAAACGTGTTTCGGGACTTACCAATAATTGTTGTTAATGTATATGGGACTAATCAAATTGTATTGCAATGTATTGTACTGTATTGTAATGTAGCATAGATTTAATGTTGTGGCTTCCAAACACTCCGAGCATATCTATAGCATGATCGTGTTAATCTACGACGACGATATTCAAAGTCTGCCTCAAGAACTTTGACCTTATCATACATCCAGCCATCATTGGCATCATTCTTTATCATCAATGTTCTTGAAAGTGCTCGTTCTTCAATCAAATCTTGAGGAGCAGTGTCAATTTCCCATGAATTCACATAAGCAAAGTCAAATTTCCAATCTTTAGGTGGGATAACATCCCATATTTCAGATGCTCCACGTGGCAACCCCCGGGATCTTTTAGGATCATCCAAATCAAACACTGACGAACAATAAACAGTATTTTTCCATTTGGGTTGAGTCGAACTTCGATATTGAAGCTCAAACACTTCAAGTGTTCGTGTTTGTGGACTATCCAGAGGGAAGATCCCTTTGGTATCAAAGGTCTTGATCAAATTGTTCTCTTCACTTATAACAGATTCAGATTTGGTTCGCTTCTTGCGTTTAATTTTTAAAGTACTTTTCTTATTATTCTTCAGCATCATGGCCAAATACTTTTTACTGTTGGGATGGCATAAAATTACCAATACCCAACCAGTTTGAATGAAGATAAGTTGCCAGGGAATGTATACACCCATCACTATAATCACAAACGTAACCACAAGTAACCCATAGAACACAGCTGTTGATAATTTTTCATTGGCAAATCCAGTAAGATCATATCCAAGTTTTTCAACAACCTTTAAGGTCCGAACAACATCTGTCATACCATTTTGTAGATGTTTCATATTGGATAATAAATTGGCTTGAGTATTAACAAACTGTTCTCCTTTATCAATAGTATCAATGACTTCATCTATTGCATCTTCTGGAATCTCAATAGTTGCTGATTCTGCAACTGTTGATAGGATCAGACTTGTATCAGTAGTAGTTTGATCCAAATACTCAATAAGTATACTATCGTCATTAGAAGAATTGAAATACTCAATAAGACTTTTTCCTCTTTTCTTAACAGTAATAATATGTGGAGTTCTAATTGGATGGCGATACAAATATCCAGGAAGTATCCCTTGAACCAAAACTATCAACATCGGTAATGCCAATACCAAATGAGGCCATTTACATACCATAGTATAGAAAACAAGCACCGATACCGTTTGAGAAGGTGACTTCCAAGTTAATACATTAATAGCACCTTTTTGTAATGATAAAAGAGGAGTCAATCGTTTACTTAACTCCTTGAAATTATTAGCTATGATCCAAATAGAAAAGCCTGGTTCTTTATCATCATGATCATCATGATTATCTTGCTGTTGCTGCTTCTTCGTCATAGTAGAATTGGTGATAGTGCTGGTTGTACTTGATTTTGAACTTAACCCTAATCTACGAGAGCCTGATACAGAACCTGAACGTGACCCAGTACCCGAATTTCTTCTGGATCCACCAAAAATACTATCAACGATTCGATCGGAGAAATGGGAACTATTACGTCTTTGAGACTTTGCGGCCACCAGTGCCGACTCGGCCATCAGGCCAATATGAAGAATTGTATCCTCAGAAAGTTGACCGGTATTATGACCCTCAGCTTCTGGTAGTGTATCATGTGGTGCCATCATGGATTGATATTATGGCCTTGTGACTTTATGAAAAAAATATGATGTATCATACTATCAAAAGAGAAATGTGGCTGGTCTTATATAAGTTCCAGCGGATATGACTAGTCACATGATATTCCCCAGATTAATTTCCAAGTCCAGAAATTTTACCAGAACCTCCATCAACATAGTCGTGCAGTAACCGGTTGCAAATCGAAGGAGTATTTAAAGTCTTGTGAAGCAAATACTTTTGGATTTAAGCCCCCAGATACTATTTACATTTTCTTCTTTCCTCTTTCTCTATCTACATCTTATAATGACGATAACCCCATAAATTACGTAATATGAGACAAAAAGACTATAAAGATATGCTGGTAAGATATCATTTAAAATCATACCAATCAAAAGGGAGTATTGACTTCAAGTGGCACGCCACCATAAATCAAATATCAAGAACTTGTCCAACAGGCATATGGACGCGCTGTTTTAATGAGCCAAAGAAGGGAAGTTGGCTTCGTTAAGTTCAGCAGCCTTTGGAGAAGCACTCTTCTTACCGTTGAACTTCTTAGGACCCTTCTTGAAATCTCTAGCAGCAGGAGCTTGATCAGCAAAAGTAGCATTGATTTCCAAAAACTTCTTTTCCTTTTGGTTCTTTTGTCTAACCTTCTTAGAAACAGAAGAAGAAAAGAATTCATCTTGAGACTTTTCAATCTTTTCAGAAGCACCCCACTTGTCTTCAGCACCTTCATTGGCCTTTCTAACAGCCTTGACGGTGGTCAATTCAGCTTGCTTGGCTTGCAATTCGGAAAAGTAGTCTTGTAAAGACTTCTTAGGAGCAACATCAGCAACAGCAGTTTCGGATTGTTCTTCCAATTCTTCGACGGCATCAGCAGCAGCTTCAGTCTCGTACTTCAATTCCTTGTTGTCATCACCCCATCCTTGCTTGACCTTCTTCTTGGAATCAGTCTTACCGGTTCTAGAGTGCTTGTCAAATGGCTTCTTGGAGTGCTTGTTTGGAGTGGAAGCAGGAGCAGAAACAGACTTATTGTTAACCTTGTTCTTGAAAGCAGCATCGTTACCAGTAGCTTGCTTTCTGTTCTTGTTGGCCTTAGCAGGGTCAGCAGATGGTGGAGGAACATCAGCCTTCTTAGAAGAAGTGTTCTTCTTAACCAATTCCTTGACAGGGCTCAAGGCTGCTGGTTCATCGCCTTCAACATCGTTACCCAAAAGAGCGTACAAGTTCTATCACCACAAATGTTAGTAACAAAGTTCAATTCAATTCATTCAACAAAATATTTGCAAAAGAATATACTCCAATCGGGTGATCCCTCCCCACAAAATTCTCCACAATTCCTCGTTTCAATCTCCAGTGCTAACAATATCCAGTTGTTGTTACTCGTATTAATTTGTTAAACGAACTCGATCCCTTACATCAAGTACATACCTTGTTTTGGAACGACATCTTGATATGTTTGTTTAGTCTTATACTGTGGAAGAGACATTATGAACTGGAGTCTTTTACTCTCACTGAAAAATTTCCACCCACCCCAACGACGAAAAATTTTCTGTGACAGTCGCACAAACGTATGTTTGAGACTGTACGCGTAAATCTGAGTATGGACTAACCCCATATCTTCGTATATTCATAATTATTATACAATTCTGGACTGCAAATATAAGGGTTTTAAAAAGTTGACTAGTTTCGTTATAGGATGAAGAATAAGTTAAAGAAATTGTTTGTTTGTTGTTTGTGGAATTTCCTCAATTGATAAAGTGAAGTGAACTTCAACTTGTTAAAACCGTGACGTCTAAGAAAATGAAGTATAAATTATATTTCAGTCAATCTCAATATACGGGTTAGGGATACATACTAACTGTTGCATTGTGATCTGATATTTAGTGATCTGATATTTATTGTTAAATTGAATCTCATTTGACTAACTTGTTTAAGGTCACACGACTACATGGTTATCTCACACTACAATACACCCAACTTATGTGACATTATACAATTAAAGTCTAATAATATTATTAGAGCAGAGATGAGTTGATCTCCAACCCCAAGAACTCTTCACCAACCCTGGCAAAAAAGTTCTTCACTGCATTCCGTAAATCAGGTGATAACGTACGACCTAATAATTGAACTGCTAAAATGTATACGCTTTTAGCATAAGTCTTAAAGTGGCCTTCATCAAGTTCAACATAACCTTGTAATATTTCTATTACAACAGGCTTCCAAGTTGAAATGTTTCTTTGGTGACTTCCTTCATCAAAATTAACATATCTTTCAACAATATTCAAACAAATAGGTAAGGTTTTGTCAAGTATTGTTGTTTTCCCTGCTTCATCAGCCTTATCGTCATCACAATAGGCACGAAACATAATGTTAATGTAAACCGCAGATGCTGAGGATTCTTGTTTCAAAAGATTGGGCAACCTTTCTATAACGCCTTCATTCCATAACTTATACCGAAGATCGTAATTATCATTGAATTTATTAGCAAAATCATAACTTCTATGCAAAAGATCCGAAACTTTGATAAGGGTATCATAAGGAACAGACTCATAAAAGCTATCGTTTTGAAACAATTCAGAGAGTGCTTGAATCAAAAGCAATTGCAATACACTCTTAACAACAATTGACAGTTTCTCTCTTGATTTTTGAATACGACTTTCAGCATTTTCATACGTATTGATACTTAATTGAGATGGGTTTGGTTCCATGTTATTACCAACGTCCCCCTTTTCGGAATCTGTCGAAATTGAAGCTTGTTCATCATGATCAACAGACATGAACAATTCCTTTGCGGTTGTTAATTCAAATAAAGTGGAGAAGGCATCGTAAATAATGACCCAATGATCGTCAGTAAATTTTTCAGCATTATCAATCAATAAAGTGCATAAGCACTCTCTTCCAATTTTGGCAATGGTGTCATTCTCTTGACAAATACATCTGATGATTAAATCCAAATATCCTTCCAACATACCATTCAATTTGGAAAAATAATGAGTGAATAAATCAACCACTCCCTTTAATGCTTGGATCAACGTTGTTGAAAGCCAGACACTCAAGTTATCATTAGTGGTGTCAACACTAACTTCCCAATATTCGTTCAATATTACAAACGTTGGGAATAAGATCTCTTTATTGATTTGTTCCCAAAATTCAAGATCAAAGTATTCCCCATAGGTGGTAAGAATATTAAACAAAAAGTTTAAAGCACGAGATCTTACTTCTAACTCTTGTCCAGTCATAATAATATCGTGGAATCCTAATAAAAGTGGGAACCATAAGTTCTTAAAATTCTCTGCGTTATTTTCTTCCAGACTTAACTTAAGTGGTCCTTTATTGAAGTCATGTTCACCAAAATGAATTATGGCAATTTGCTTAATTAATCTCCCCAATACTTCCAATGAAGATAAACTTATCTTTTGGAATCTTTCATTCTTCGCTAATGACGTGAAACAGGTGACAAGCTCGGCAAAGGAATCTTGGCTTCTGACAATGTCAATATAATTTTTGTTGATTTCCTCTGCAACTTTGAAACTCTTTTTAACTAATGACTCTTTATTTTCATTGGCTGCTGTTGATAAAACTTCAAAGATTGTTTTCCAACCAGATTTGATTAGTTTAGCTTTAGAAAGTATTGTGACATTAATACATTCTAAAACCCAATCTTTAACATCTAAAGATGCACTGTGTCCCATGACATACCCAAATGGTTTCAAGAATTCCCTTTGAAACTTGAAATGTGCCAATTCATCAATTTCCAAAAATCTATCAGACATTTGTTTCAAAGAATCTAACGCAAAGATTGCTATAGCTTCATTCAGATGGCATCCAGCATTTGTGAATGAAGTCCCGAGAATACTCCATAAATGGGCCCATTCGAAACGAACCCGAGTCATGTTATAATAGCAAACATCAACCGTCTTCTGTAACGAGAACATTCGTGGATTCTTGCTTTGACCAGAAGATTCAATTTCATCAGCTGCCACTTTAGATAATGCAGTGACAAATTCAAGAATACTATCACCACTTAAATTGGCACTATTGGAATAAATTCGATCAATTGCCACTTCAAATTCAGTCTTGGTAATCAAATCTGCAACCTCGGGTGACAAATGTTGATTATGAAATTTATTAGAAGCAACTTGAGATTGACTTGGAGTCCCTGGTGAAAACAAAAAGTAGGAGGAAGTAGTTGTAGTGGAGGTGGTTGTTGATTCCAATGAATCCCTATTAACCAATCTAGCAGTATTAACATCAGGGATTTGCCCTTGATCAATACCTTGGGCTATCAATTGTAACCGTGAAAGTTGAGAGATAGAAATCAAGATTTGTGCCCATGTTTCACTGTTCAAATAGTTACCATCTGCAATTGCAATCTCAAGCATTATATAAATGGCTTCCACATTCTTAGGCTTCATTTCAGCATAATTGTTCAAGTTTTGAAATTGAACAAGTGCTCCAATAAATGCTACTCTAGCATCATCAATGTCAAACATACAGGAAATCCTAATTGATAATTTGATACCTTCCAAACACAATTTAGTTACATCTTCCTCATCATACTCCTTAAAAGGTGGGGTCAACCCAGCCAAAACGGACATCCACATGGTATCAAAAATGGATTTAACATGAAGAATATTTGATGCAACATAATACGTAGTGTCAAGAGTGGATTGTATTCTTCCCTTTTTACCCAAGTTCAACAATTTTTCAGTCTTGGAAGACATTTCCTTCGAGGCATGTAAATAAGCTTCCAAATTAACATCCCTACCACCAAAGAAACTTAAAGATCCATTATTATTCATATTCAAATCACCAGAAATAAGAGCTGCATGTTGTTCTGATTGAAGTTTGATTTCATTCGATCCAATCTCATCATAAATTCCTCTTAAAAAGTCTAAATCCAAGTCTTCTCCATCATTAATTTTGCTGTTGTTTCTGACAAAACTGTCAAATGTCATTCTATTCTTAATTTGAGGGGAGTGCAAGTCAGTGTTCAACATCACAACTGAATATGCCAAAACATAACCAGCATCTGCATTTGCAAAGACATTGGGGTTACCGGAAACATATCTTTCAGCAAATTTCATCATAAATCTATCAATTTTTTGTGCTTCTCCTGGTAATCTAAATGATTGCAAGAACATTCTCAAGGCATCAACAAATGCAGTATTATTGAAATCCATTTCATCCACAAATGCATGCATAATTGCAATATTAGCAGCATCTCCTTCACCTAAGTAATCTCCAATGGTGGCCTTATCTAAACCATCTGTTTCCAATAAGAATTTGGCAATATCAATTGGAGCGTCCGATTTAATGAATCCATTTTCAATTAAAAAGGGAACTCCCTTCTTAGGTTTCTGGTTGAATCTTTTAATACCATCAAGTAATGCCTTCTTCCTTTGTTTCAAACTTTCAAATTGTTCTGGGTTATCAATTTCAGTAGTTGATTCACTAATCGAGTTTCTTGCTTCCAGTATTGAAGTGCTTGAATCAAACTGGGCCGATCTGGATCTGTTTAAGGAATTATGAGAAGAATTTCTAGCCAATGGAGTGGAAGAAGAAGTTCTAACTCCCTTTTGAGCCCATGAATGAATTGATCTTAAAAACCCAACAATACAACTAATGGAGGTCATTTTCATGGCATATTCTAAGGGAAATAAATGGTAAATTTCTGGTTCTGGTGGTTTGGATGACATGGTAGAGCTTACCAAATTGGAACTCTTGCTAATATCATAAACCGATATTCCCTTCCTTCTATTTTCTCTAAAGTTGGCCTTTTGAAGTGGAGTCACCTCAACTCTTGTTAAGGAAAGTCTGGTCAAATAATCCAAGATTTGTTCACAGATATTTGACATCCCGGCATTACAATCATAATTCAAATAAAACTCAATAATGCATCTGGAATCGTTACAAAGCCTCTCAATAATTGATAAAAGATATCTTTTTTGATGAGGAGTTGAGGTTTTCATTTCAGCCACTGGGAAATAGATTTCATCCCAGAAGACAGGAATTTCTCTCTTAAAATCAGGTCTTAAATTGGAAATAATCAACCAAAAGATTTCCAATGAAGATTCAAACACTGGGGCCAACGGCGAAGCAGCATTCTTGATTAATGATGATAAAAGATAAGGCTTGACCGAATCAATCAATCTTGTTGAACCAGCTCCAGAAGCTGTTTTAAGAGTCACATCATGACTTATGAATATTTCAATGTGATTCTTTAAGATGGTATGCATAAAATGCAATGATAATAACTTGGATCTAACTGAATGAGATCTCATATCTAGTGTTTCTGTTTCCAATACCTTGGAAGATAGCTTACACATTGATCTAAACACCAAAAATGCATCTTGAATAAGTAATTCTTCTTCAGAAGCATTTTCTGGATTAACATCAGGACTATTAGCATCGTCTGCATCATTAAACTGTTCCAATTTGCTGATAGTTATTTGTTGTTCTGCAACACTGCTTGTTTCCAAATCATCGTTATTAAGATTATTATTAACTTCAGAAGTGCTATTGTTTGTTCCTGTTTTGGTAAAGATATAACTGCCGGATCGAAGTTTTCTATTTTTGAGGACCTTATCATGAACCCGCAAGTATATGGCATCCACAACCTGGGTCAAGGTACCTTGAGCCAACGCTTGGTTTCGTGGTGATAATGAAAAGATAAACACATTATAGATGATTCTAATGGCTTGCAACAACTTCTCCCCATGACAGGGCATAAGAAGAATACTGTGCATCAAAGCTCTAACGATTTGCAATTCAATTTCCGGTTCTGTGGCTTGGAACTCAAAGCATTTGGCAATGACATCAATTGCCATTTCTGTCATGTTAACCTTCTGTTTCGGATCATCAAATTTGGCATAGTCAAATAATTTAGCGAAAAGGTCAATGGCTTTGGCTTGAGATTCACCTTTGGTTTGTTCACAAATCACCTTCAAGGCATTGAATATAACATGAGGATCTCCATTGGAAGTTTCATCTTGTAACGAAGCAAGAGCTTGTTCAATTGACAATTTAAGTTGGTCATTTTTCTTGGTGCCCTTTGACTCTAAAATACCTTCAAAAGTTTTCTTAAAGATATGAGTGTTGTCTACTGTGGCATTGGCTGCTGTTGCCAAAAACATTGAATCACGACGTCTGTCTGGTGTCAGGGTGCCGTTGGTAGATACTGGAGGTATGTGATCGATTTCAACAACAGGAGTAGATGGTAAGTCAGGGGGCACATCGATTGAAGACTTGCCATTGTCAGTGTTTCCGTTATGTTTCAGTGCTTCATCTTTGTTGACTTCCTCTTTTGGTTTCTCTTTTGGTTCCTCTTTTGGCTCGTCTTTGGGACCTGAGGTACCGTTAGCCATTGGTTCCTCCTCAGGCAACGCTTCGTTATTCAGTTCAACCGGAGAGGTCAAATCGTCTTCTTCGGTAGACATGACTTCTTCCGTGTGTCAAGGACCTGCTAGTACCGGTTTTATCCGAGGTCTAATTGAAGAGATTTGCTGAAAACGGTTTACGTATTTTGGTTGGTATTTTTTGGAGTTGTTGATATCAATTTGGTTATGGTATGTACACTACCGGGCTATACTGGTCTGCATACGGTTAAAGGTATAGACTGTTACTTTGGGTAATACTATAAGGTATGGAATATATTACTAAATGTGTGGAATATATACTAACGTTCTTAGAACTCACTCAAAGCAACAGCAGTGGCTTGGAAATCGTCGTGAGAAATGGAAACATTGACGTTCTTAACTCCGGCAGCACTAGCAGCCTTCTTAGCTTCACCAGATAAAGTAACCTTTGGAGCTCCATTGGCATCACGAGTGATTTCAATGTCCTTCAAAGAAGCACCTGCACCCTTAGACTTTACACCTAAAGCCTTGAAAACAGCTTCCTTGGCAGACCAAGTACCGGTGAATGAAGCTTTAGGGTAAGAAGACTTTTGACAGTAAGCAATTTCTTCATTGGTGAAGTTTCTTTCCACAAAAGTTTCGTTTTCCAAGTTAAGTTCAGAAAGTAACTCAACATCAACGCCAACACCTTTAGAAGATTTGTTTAAAGTCGATAAGGCTTTAGCAGTAGAAGTGGAAATGTCACTAACATAAGACTTATTGGATTGGACACACTTATTGTTGAAAGCCAAATCCTTCTTATTATCATCAACCACACGGGCCAAAGGATCCAAGTAAACTGGTTGTTCCAACTCATCACCATAAGGAGCATGTTCCTTAGCAACAAACATACATTCTCTGGTGATAGCATTATGCATGTATCTATAAGATTTCTTGTATCTGGCAGATACCTTGGTGGCATAATCTTGATAAGTGGTCTTATCCAATACAGCATACAAGTAATCAGGATGGACCACAATGGCTTGAGCACCCTTTTGACCAAACCCAAAGGAAGTCACAGAAACAGCCTTAATACCATCGGTTTGAATGGATCTGGATGGATACAAAATGTATTCAAATTGTTCCAAAACCTTATCAACATTATCGGCATTTCTGTTACCAGGAACAATACCGGTTTGTAAAATTTGCAAGGCACCGTTCAACATCCAAGCACCAGCAGCACCCTTTGGATGACCAGTTAAGTATTTTTGGAAAACACCATAAACTGGGTTACCTTCAGTTCTACCCAAATGTTTCATCATTTGGTTGATGGTAGCAGATTCATTCTTATCATTAGCAACAGTAGAGGTACCATGGAATGAAGCCACTCCCAAATCATCAATGGTCAAACCAAAAGTAGCCAAGGATCCTCTCAATGGTGCAATTCTTGGATCAGATTTATAAAAGAAGTTACCCCATTGCTTCTTAGCATCGGAGATTTGACGTTTGGCTTCTCTAGAAATCTCTTCAGCTCTTTCCTTCAAGAAATCGTGTTGAGAGAATTCAGAGCCAAATTCTTCCTTAGCTAATTCAGCTTCTTCATTCAAGTATTGGAATTCGGATTCTTCCCATTGGGCAATTTGTGCCAATCTTTGTTTCAATTGTCTGGCTCTGTACTTGATATTCAAGTTCAGAGTTGGGTATTTCAATGAACCATGATGTTCTCTGGCAGTGGTCAAAATACCCTTACCTGGAGCTGGAACAGATCTACCAATCTTATCGGTGGCAGTAGCGGTCATGGCCAAAACACCATAGATTGGAACACCCATTTTAATGGCCAAATCAGCATTCATAATAACTTGAATACCAGAACCTTGAGATTCCATAAACCCATTTCTAGTGGTAGTAGCAGGTCTAGACATTTCCTTTGGAGTTCTACCATGTTCAAATTCTTTAATGGCATTAGAAGTGGCATTCATATTGGCGAACTCATAAGATCCTTCTTCTTGGAAGTCATCATAACCACCAACAATACAAATCTTAGCCTTACCCAGTAAGATCACTTCAACACCGGAATCAACAGATTCAACAGCAGTAGCACAAGCACCAACAGGGGTCTTGATTGGACCAGAGGATGACAACAACAACATATTAACCCAAGCAGCCATAGTGTTGATAAAAGATTCTTGCAAAATATCATTCTGAACAGGTTTGTCAGAATATCTGTCCTTGAACATTCCTCTCATGGCTGAAACACCACCCATACCAGAACCAGAACAGTTACCAACTTCAGAAACATGAACATACTTATAGAATTCATAAGGATCAGTGACACCAGAAGATAACAAAGCTTCAACAGTTGAAACCAAAACGTATAAAGTGATTGGATCAACTTGAGAAATGGTATCTTCAGAAATACCATATCTTTTAGCATCCCAACCGGTAGGGATTTGACCAGCAACCAATCTGTCGAATCTAAGAGCCTTTGGAATGAACAAAGTGGCTCCCTTCAAGATTCTAACGGAATATTCACCTCCTTCAATTTCAAAGATTTCACACTTTTCACCATGTTCATGCTTATATTGTTCAGCAACTTCCTTTGAGGCTTCAAAGGCTTCCAAATCATGTTGAATGACAACTTCTTGGATCATCTTCTTTTGCTTTGGATCGTAACCATGGAACAATTCCGGTTCAATCAATCTGATACCAGAATGGTCCAAGATTTCTTCTTCATATTTAGCCTTGATGTCCTTATCATCAACAGGTTGTTGAGTCTTAGCATCGATCCAACCAGTGTATGGTTTACCCTTCAAGTTACCATTGTGGTATTTGATCAAACCCATAATCCAAGCCATTTCAATGGTACCTTCCATAGAGAATTCACCATTGGCTTCCATTTCCCATCTGGTTCTTGCATTACCCCATGGACCAACTTCAGAGAACCCAGTGACTACAATGGTAGATTCCAAGTCCAATAAACCTTCCAAATCTGGTGCAAGTTTCTTGATTTCATCATAAGATTTCAAATTAGGGAATTCAAACTTCATGTTTGCTCTTGGTTGAACAGTAACCTTGGAATAGTTGGCATCAACATTATGACCATTTACAACCTTTTGTTCAATGGAAGATTCAATGGAAACTGCTCTTCTAACGTCAGCAGTATCAAGCAAATCAACTCTCAATTTGGAAGTGAATTCCTTCAAGTTTTCAATAAATTGCAACCCACCATTCAAATCAGCCATAACAGGTTCTTCTTGACAAAGTTGAACCACTTCAGGAGTTAACAAACCCAAGATGTTGAAAGCCATTTCCTTTTGAGAAAAGGTTCTGACTCCCAACTTTTCAATACCTTCAGCAATGATGTTGTTAGCACTCATTAACCCAGTACCTCTGGTCCAACCAATGATAGCACCACAAACTGTCAATTTAGTGCCCCAATCTTCAGAGTACCATCTGTTGAATAAAGTTTCCAAAGAGATCTTGGATTCAGAGTATAACCCATCGAAACCAAAAGTACCATGGTTTGGTGATAATGGCAAAATACATTGAGCAGGTCTGGTATCAGTGGTCTTCTTGGCCTTGACAGCACCCAATAATCTAATCAAGTTGGTCAACATAATTCTGTGAGCCAATTCGGATTTAGAATCAATGGAGTCAATACCGTTACCGTTTTCAGGAATAGCAGCAAATGGAATAATAACATCCAAGTCCCAGCCTAAACCACCCTTCTTTGGATCGTCATAGATGTAACTTACTAATGATTCAACATCTTGTTTGGACCCTTGGTTGAAGGGAACAACAACTAAGCATGATCCAGCAGCACCATATCTGGTGTACATACTTTGATAGTATTCAGTGACCTTCTTGGAGAATCTGGAAGTAGTAACAATAACCTTAGCACCACCAGAAATTAAACCTTGTAAGATTTCGGCACCAATGGAACCAGCACCGGCACCAGTGATCAAGACATACTTGTCCTTGAAAGTCAAACCATTAATGGCAGCAGATTCCAATCCATCCAAGTACATGGAAGACAACTTGACATCGTATTCCCAGTTGTCCTTGACCTTAGTCTTCAAGTGTAAGAAGGGTAAAGTTTCACTTGGAATGGTTGAGGAAACAGGCTGCAAGATAGAAGTCTTATCAGGCAAAGAAGCAATTTCGTCATCTTCAGAAGCAGTCGAAGCATCATCATCATCGGAAGAGGAGGAAGTTGGGACACCGTTACCGGTAGCTTCCTTGGTGTTGATTTCAGAAGAAGATTCAACAAAATTAATCAATTGTTCATACAACTTTTGAACTTCCAATTTGGTAGACTTGGATAATGAAGCTTGCTTGGTAATAGCCTTATAAACTCTGGCCAAATCATCATGAATGGTTGGTTGAGGAGTTTGTTTGGTCATGTCACCACCTTGGGCCATTTCATAAACGTATTGTTCAAACTTACGAATGGATTCCTTGTTGGCTTCTTCATAGACAATCTTACCCTTTGAATCCACAGTAGTCTTAGGACCAGTGATATAAGAGACATCCTTGTAAACCGGATCAACGTCCAAAACTTGCTTACAGTTTTCAATCAAATGTTGACCCAACTTCTTAGCCAATTGATAAGTTTCACCTTTATATTCAGGGCAATGATCAATATGATATTGCATAAACTTAATCAAAGAAGGAGAAGATCTGTTCATGATTTGAATACACTGATCAATGGTTTCTCTATCGATAGAAGTCAAGTTGCCAAAAATGATATCAAAATACATGGACAATAAATCTTGTCTTGCCCAATTCCAAGAAGAATCATAAGTTCTTGACTTCTTTCTGGAGAAAGATGGGTTGATACCCTTGGCATAGAATTCTCCATGTTCTGCTTCCCATAAATCCAATTCCTTCTGTAAAACAGCCAGAGCGTCCTTTTCCTTAATGAAAGATTTCTCACCTTTATTTAAGTCAATTTGTAAGTATCTGGCTAAAGTTTCCAATTGTTGTCTGGCCAAGTTCTTATTTTCAGCAGTCATGGCATCCAAAGCAGCGGAATCAACAACTGCACCACCGGCACCGCCAGCAGCACCACCGGCACCAGCAGAAGCAGAACTCAAAGAAATACCACTGATAGTGGCATACTTTTGAGCATTGGTATCCAAGAAAGCCTTAGCATCAGCTTCAGAACCCAATCTTGTGGCTGGTTCATTGGCTAAAGCAACCAAAAGAACAGAATCTTGTCTACCTTGACCCAACCCAAATCTTGATTCCAAATACTTTCTAGCAGTGGTAATAGAAAATCCACCAGGCATTTTGGAAGACATTAAACGGCCAATTAAAGAAGTAGAAGTCTTACCCAATTGACCAGAGAAGGTATCTTGGAATTGTTCGGCCAATTCTTCCAATGGAGTATCTTCTGGCTTTTCGGGTGTGGACCCAAATTCCTTACCCAAGTCACCCAAGATTTCGTTTTGAACGGTGGACTTACCGTTGACCAAATCCTTAATGGCTTTAGACATGGGGATGGCATCCAATGGTTTCTTCAACTTTTGAGCCACCAAAACGTGGATCAAAAGTGAGGCCTTGACTGGTTCATCTGGAATGGACTCAGCAGGTCCAGCAGCAGGAGCTGGGGCGGCGGCAACGGCAACTGGAGCGGCAGCGGCTGGAGCGGCAGCAGCAGGAGCAGCAGGAGCCTCTTCCTTAACAGGTGGGGCAATATCAGCTGGATCAGGAGTGTAGTAAATCTCCTTAGCATCCTTGGAATAACACAACACTTGACGTTGTAAGGAAAGAGCAGCATCATAAGATTCGTACTTGGCCTTAATGGTTCTGGAAGCCATACCGGCAAGGGTAGGCGATGGACCAATTTCCACAACTCTTTCAGTGTTGTGTTCCTTGAGGAAAACATCTTGAGTTTCGATCCATCTGACTGGAGAGGCGAATTGGTAGGCTAACAACTCTGTCAAAAGAGTGTGGGCCAACTCTTGTTCGATTTCAGGCTTCATATTAGTATTGAAAATCCTTAAAGTTCAAATCAAAAACTGTATGTGACTGGTCAAATTATGTGAAGAAGGTTGCAATTTATATGGTAGTGGACAAACACTTATCCGGACAGGAATGTTGAGTGTTGGGCCATCTCATTCGCCATACAAATTCAGGCATATAGCAAGATGCCCAACATCGTGTTTGTGATCTAGTTGGTGATAAGCAAATTGGTTACGTAATGTGTTATGTAAGCTAAAGAGATATAGTATGTGAACCTGTTAGTTTAGGTTAAATTGCTCCGGTTAAGAATATTGGGTTTAATTCTGTTGGTTAAAGAATTGAATATCCTAAAAAGCTAATACTAATACTAGGATTAACAGTAACATTCGTACTGGCTTTAACTCTAGCTGTAGCTCTATCTCTAGCTTCAGCACTTATGCCATACTACAGCCCTCCTTCTAACACTACTACCATAACACTACTACCATAACGCTAGTAGCACTAACACTGACACTATCAATGGCACTAACATTGTCATTGGCTCTAACACTATCATTGGCACTAACACTAACACTAACACTCCTCTACTCAACTTAGTACCAATACAGGTGTTACCCGGACACAATATTTTATTCTGCACGAAAATTTTCCACAGTAATCACAACCTCTTCCTCTTCTTCTTTCTCTTCTTCTTTCTCTTCTTCTTCTTCTTCTCTTCCTCTTCAAGATTCTCTCTTACTACGTGACCCCCCTACACAAAGGGATCTGATGAATATGATAATGATTATGATATTGACCAGATACCTGTGTAGTCCGTGTTTACTCTGTAGCTTACCCAAGACGTCAAGCCTTCCCGCATGCCCTGGACTTATTCATTTAGGACCAGTTTAAAGTGGTACGGGGGAATACTATCGTGAAACTATTGGGAGAAGAATATTGGTCAACTCCACCCTGTTCAGATGTCACATGTTGTATTTAATACGCTTTCGTGAGTATGTGTTTGATTGGGACTATTTTAATTGATCTACAATGACTGTAATGACTGTAATAACAAGTATATTGAATGGTAATTAAGAATTGAATAAAAAGAATCTGGGGGGTTATGCTATGCAATTACACAACACTTTGAAGATGATTTGGTGGGTTTATTTGCAGATGCTTGAGAAAGTCTTTGAGAAGCCAGTTTCTCATCAACAGTTGAAGGCTTTACTTTATCGTTATTAGTGGGACCACCATTTTTAGATACTCCACTATTATCGTTACCATTACCACCATTATTTGATCCATCGGCCATCTCCTGTTGTTCTTTCTGTTTCCGTAACTCCTTTTGCTGTTTCTTCTCGGCAGAAGCTTGTGCCTCTTTCCGCATAATCTGTCTCACAACATCAATGAATGCTTCGTCCACGTTGGTCTTGTACATGGCACTGGTTTCATAAAATGGCACCATCCCCCATTCTTGAGATACTTTGATACCATCATCAATGGAAAGAACACGATCTTGTTCCAAGTCACATTTGTTCCCCACCAATACCATGGGGACATTATCGCTATCTTTAATTCGTAACACTTGCTCTCTTAAGGCCAACAATTCCTTGAGAGAATTCTCGTCAATCACAGAATAAACTAAAAGGAACCCCTTACCCGATTTAATATATAATTCTCTCATGGCTGTGAACTGTGCAACCCCGGCAGTATCCAAGATCTCCAAATCACAAGCTCTGCCATCGATCTCGATTTGTTTACGATATGAGTCTTCAATGGTGGGATCATAACTCTCGACGTAGACTCCAGAAACAAACTGGACTGTGATAGATGATTTACCTACCCCACCAGCACCCAACACAACAATCTTATAATCTGCAAAATGTTAGTATTATTTATAACCATTAACAGTTACTGCTATATCTTATTACATACCTCTCATGATGAAGATGAAAACAACAATGGTCCAATAACTTTTGCTTCTTCAACAAACGATAAATAAACTGGTGTAACCTGCGTTATGCCCCGGTTGTGTAAGCAATCTACCAAATGTTAAAGTTTAAACGGATTGTTACGTGTCGTGTGTTGCTTTGCCGATGGCTCATGTATTTCCTATACAGAGCCTTCGCTTAAAGCTATTGGGGTTTGTGGTCTGGAACGGGGCAGATGTTTACGTGAATGGTGGTCGTGCTGAGAATTACACCGAAAAACTTTTATTTCGTACAGTCTTATTTACCTACAACTTCTCATCAGCTCCTAATGGCATAATGTTAGGAATTGGTCCAACAGGTGTGATCCGATTAGGATTAATTGCAATGTGACTCTTTGTATAATGGAACTTAATATGATCGAAATCAGTGGTCTCTTTGAACCCAGGAATCTTCCAGTATAATAATCTCAACCAGTAATGTAAATGAGGATAGTCATGTCTGACCATTCGAATGTTACATTTGAAATGTTGATGATAAACACAATCAAAACGCACAATCGTGGTGTATAACCGAATATCGGCCTCAGTCAATTGGTTGCCCAAAAGGAACTGTTTCCCAACTTCATGGTTTTGCTTAAGAATGGCTTCAACCCTATCCAAGTTCTCAAACACGTTAACCACTTCCTTGTCATAAACTTCTTGAGATGTGGCAAACCCAGATTTGTACACCCCGTTGTTGATATTATCGTAAATCCAAGAGTTGATCTCATCGATATCCTTTTGTAAATCCTCAGGGTATATATCAACAGCACCATATTCACTGGGCAATATGGAATTGAAACCAGTATTGAAAATACGTAAGATTTCACTGCTTTCATTATTAACAATAGTTTGTTCATGTTTATCCCATAATACAGGCACGGTGAATCTACCTTCATAGTCAGGATTAGCCTTGAAATATAAATCTTTGATTCTCTCAACACCGTAAACATGATCAACCGTTCCATACTTCAAGTCTCCAGGTCCTTCAAGTTTCTTTTGTTCTTCAGCAGTCAGAAACCTCCACCCCCGCTCGTCCATGAGCCAATGAACAACACTCACATCAATGATATCGCTCAATCCCTTCAATTTCCGAGCAATCAATGTCCGATGAGCCCAGGGACATGCAAACGATACATAAAGATGATATCTACCTGCTTGAGGCTTGAACTTGTCACTGGGGGTATTCCCAATGAAGTTGCGGAATACAGATGGTAATCGGTGGTAAGCTCCGTCTCTGCTTGCGAATTTCAAAATCTCAATCTTCAGCTTAGCGTCGGCCATGTTATTGATATTGTTACTTTGTTGAATAATTGACTTAATAAAGGTGTTCAAATAAAATAGGACTCAATTCCTTACTTAAATACTTGTGTGGGGAAACTTACTTGCTTTAAATTACTAATGTGTGGTGCCTGATAGTGTACGGTACCCTTTTGTCTCTAGTGGTATACGCACGACCACCTGAGTGAGTGTATATGACTTTTATGTAATAATGTAGTAATTAGCAATAGCAACACTCACAATTAATAACAAATTGGTCATTGTGCATTTACATAGTGTGATATTTTAGTTACTAGCTTTGCTCTACACCGTTACACAGTATTCTAGTATTGTATTCTAGTATTATATTCTAGTGAACTTATTCTATCACAATATTACAGCATGTTATCCTGCATGTATACACAACTCTGAACATCGATGACTTTTATACTGAAAACCATCGATCTATGGTTAAAAATGCCATTTCTAAACCATAATTCATGAATAAACCAAAGGCTTTAAAAGAAGGCCAAGTGGTGTTTCGGGTCCAAGTCCCACCAACAAGCAAGCGATCAAATATACGACAAAGTTCATCTCCCACGGTTCACTCGTATATTTGCTCTGGATGCTCTCGAAGATTTGCTCGTAAATCTGATTTGACCCGACATTTAAAGTCTCATACTGAACCCAAATATCAATGCCCCTACTATAAAATATCCCCCACATGTCATAAAAATGGGGGAGCGTTCCATCGATTGGATGTCTACAAACGACATTTGAAATTGGTTCATTTCATACGTGATGTTCATAAGCAAAACTCTCTATTAACAACAGGCTTAGATATGGGGACAAATCTGTCCGGTTGGTGTGGTTCATGTCAGAAATTGTTTCCCAATGCCAAAAGCTTTATTGATCATGTCGATGGCTGTGAAAAATTAATATAACCTTAATATAACCAAATAGCATTGTACAAACTTGTTTCTGTAATCAACTCTCATCATCTTCTACTTGACCCCCTGTCTGATCAAAGTAATCTAAAATGGCATTGTTGGGGTGAACAATGTAAATAGTTCTCACTTGTGACTCAGCTCCATCTTCCATTGATTCAGATCGTAATCCTCCATCTGAACTACTAGTGATGCTCATAAGTATTCTATCTGCCACTAATTTCTTCAACACTTTAAAGGCAATCTTCCGTTCGTTATAATATTCTGCCTCGCCTTCAATCTCATCTTCCTTCTGAGCCAAGTAGTAGTCAACTATCTCTTGTGCGGTAAGACCTTCTCCTCCACGAACATCATCATCTGTAATACACTTGACGACATAATTCATAATGGAAAGATATTTGTCGTAGGTAATACTTGCCTTGGGTTTTCGTATTGCTGGCTCTTTATTTTCTTGTGGATCAACAACAGCAGTAGTTTCTTGTTCAATATTATTATTATTATCATTATTGTCGGTACTGGTCTCAATGTTAAGGGCTTGTACGCTAGTCTCTTCTTCTTCATCTATTTCAATGTCTTCCATTTCAACCCTAATAATAGATTGTCTTAATAAATCATATGCTTCATTGACAAACTCTCTTTCAATGAATTCACTGCAATTGGCTCTAGCAATGGCTTCAGATAACCGAATCATAGATTCCAATTGTCTGACGGTAATTCTATAGGAACTTCTACCCAATCCTTGTGCATCATCAGCTCTCAACTCTTGATACTTTTCAATAAGAAACTTCCGAGCTTCAGCCTTCATAATAGGCTTAAACAACCGAGCATATTGAATATACCGATTCACTTCTTCAGCTGAATAAGGTGGATTTATGGCCTCATCTCTAAGCATATGCAAATCAACAATATGACTGGCTAATTGAGTATCAATCCTTTCGTTACAATCATCCAAAATAACAAAAAATAAGTCAAAACGTGACATAATGGGTGCTGTCATGTTTAAATTGGCTCTTAAACCAACCTTCCGATTATATCGACCTCCAATAGGATTAGCAGCTGCCAAAATACTGGTTCTGGCATTTAAAGTAGCATGAATACCTGCTTTAGCAATTGAAATGGTTTGTTGTTCCATGGCTTCATGAATAGCAACCTGGTCCAGAGGATCCATTTTATCAAATTCATCAATACAACAAATCCCATTATCAGCTAACATTAAAGCCCCAGCTTCAATAGTATATTCACCACTTTCTTCATCTCTAACTACAGCTGCAGTTAACCCAGCAGCAGAACTTGCTTTACCACTGGTATATACAGCTCTGGGTGCCAATTGACAAACATATTTAAGGAATTGAGACTTGGAAGTAGAAGGATCTCCCACAATACAAATATTAATATCACCACGTAAATTAATACCATCAAAGGTTTTCTTATGAACACCTCCAAGTAATTGTAAAAGAATTCCCTTCTTTACCACATCATGACCATAAACAGCAGGAGCAATGGATTGAACTAAACGATTATAAATATGATTATCACGAACCATTAATTTTAATTGGTCAATTTCTGGATCAGAAAGGGTACTAATAAATAATTCTTGTTCATCTTCTCCATTATCTTCATTTCTATCAAGGAGAGCTGCATTTATGGCACTATTATTACTATCATCCAGTTCTGTATTATTTCTAGTAACCATTGAAGAAACATGAGTAGCATAGAAGGCAATCTTATAAGATAGATCTCTTACTCCCAAAGCTTTTAAACCTGTGACACCACTATTTAACTCACCCATTGATTGCTTATTCTCTTTGACCGATTGGGGCTTAACTCCGGGCAACCCCAATTGGGCCACATCGGGTATAACGATTTCAGTACCGGTGAACTTACATCTATCACCTGGTTTTGCTCTTTCCACCGTTTCACCTCTCAAGATCACATCCAACGTTCTAGGCATTGAACCAGTAGGGATTTCATTGGGGTTCTCTTGGATTCTTACTCTTTGCCAATCTATGAATTGAGATTTAGCAACATTCAAGGTAAAGTATGATTGGTTTTCACATGAAGGACATGCAGTTGGTTCAGTGTACTTGAAGACTTGATCTACACCTTGAATTATAGCTGCACACATATCACAAGTGAACGTTGCCTTGAATAATTCTGGTCTAACCTCAGAAGTTCTAGTGACAGTCCCCAGAATACCCATAAGTGTTCCAATGTTCTCTGTACGCAAATCTCTAATTCTCAGAGTTATAGGCAAATTATAGAATGCAATTTGAAAGATTCTTTCGCTATCCAAAGGATTCTCAAGCGAAGTGGCCGTATCAGAATTACCATTATCCTCAGATTCATTATTATTATCAAGAACATTTGTTCTAAGTAATTTGGGATAATGTTTCCTAATAACTCTTTTCAACCCTTTAACAAGGAAAGGCAGAAACCGATAATATTGCTCCAAAATAGCTGTGGCCAACACACCTCCTTCAACGGAAAGTAAATCTTGAAAATTCACATAAATTGTACTTTGTTCCAATTTATCCATGGCTTCAATCTGCTGGATGTATAAAGGTGCCAATTGTCCTTCAATAGCAAATTCCAGTTCCAAGAATACTTCAAACCCTTCTTGAACCTTCTCCCCCGTAACATCAACAACCTTGGGAACTCTGATCAGTTTTCTTTTCCCCACCACCATTGGCTCTTCAGGGATCGATTCAGTGGTCCCATTACCAAAAATGGGGGCACCACCACCACCATTGGTTGCTTGAGATGATGATGGTCCTTCACTGTCCATTCCGGGCATGGAGCTACTCCCACCGAAACGACCGGAAGAAATCGCCCGGGACGATTCAAGCATGTGTGCTGCATCCGACAGCATCGTGTGTCTCGGAGACGATACAAAATGTGACATGTCAGATTTATATTAGTATTGATGGTGATAAGACTGTTGATTGATATTTATCAAACGCGTTTGAGTTTTTAATTACATTTCCAGATTAAGTCAAATGAGCGCTACCGGTGAAATATCACGTGACATAGACAGTTAAACTGAAGAAACCCACACTACTACTACGGTACTATAATATATTATAGGCCCCACTGATTTACATAATACAATGTCAGGCTCTATACGTTGGTATTCTGTGAAACCAATCATTCCAAGTATGTGGCTCAAAAACGCTTTCTTCTTGACAATTCCACTAACCATCTAGAACCTCAATTGCTTCTGCTTAAAGTGGGTAAGATCTTGGAGTGTCGGAAACATGAAGATGCCGATCTGCTTTATGTATCACGAGTTGAAACGGGAGACGTTCTAGAATCCAAGATTCTTCAAGTGTGTTCTGGCTTGGTTAATTATGTTCCAATAAGTCAAATGCAAGGACGTGAAGTGGTTGTGTTGACCAACTTGAAGGCAGCCAAGATGCGTGGCATTAAATCTGAAGCCATGTTGCTCGCAGCTGAACGTCCAAAGGACGAAGGAGCAAAATTTGAAGTAGAGTTGGTATCTCCTCCGCTTGATAGTAAAATTGGTGATGTTCTACAATTTGTTCCATTTACTACTGAGGGCCCATCAAAGACGTTGAAGAAACTGATTTGGCAACAGCTCCAACCTCAATTGAAGACAAACAGCAAAGGAGAGGTGGTTTACGTTGAAGAAGATGGAACGCAAAGAGTCTTGAAGAGTAAAGATGATGGCGAAGGAGCATTTGTCAAGTCTCTCTTCAATGCCACAGTCAGATAAGATAATAATAGTTATTTTTTAATTCGTTGTACATAGAATTAGGCCTTGGTGAATCTCAAATAAGGCTTGACCTTCTTGAAATCACCAAACTTCTTAGCAGCATCAGCATCGGAAACAGTAGGAGGAATGATAACATCTTGACCTTCAGTCCAATCAATTGGAGTGGCAATGCCCTTCTTATCGGCCAATTGTAAAGCGTCAATAACTCTTAAGATCTCAGCAGAGTTTCTACCGGTAGAAGCAGGGTAAGTGATGATCAATCTAACCTTCTTATTAGGGTCAATGATGAAAACAGATCTAACAGTGAACACTATTCCAGCGTCGATGTTATTGAAATCAGCTTCAGTAAGCATATCGTATTTGAAGGCAACTTCTTTAGATTCATCAGCAATGATTGGATAATCAAACTTGGCTCCTTCAGAACTAACCTCTTCAATATCATTAATCCAATCTTTGTGAGAGGCAACATCATCAACTGATAAAGCAATTAACTTGACCCCACGTTTACTGAATTCAGGCTTCAACTTGGCAAAGGCTCCCAATTCAGTGGTACAAACAGGAGTGTAGTCCTTGGGGTGTGAAAACAACACAGTCCAATTGTCACCAATGTATTCGTGGAAATCGATCTTACCATGGGTGGTATCAGCAACAAAGTTGGGAGCAGTGGATCCAATTCTAATTCTTGGTTGGTCCTCAGCCTTGAAGGAAAAGAATCTGGCAGCTGGAATACCAGTAACAGCAAGTGGGGCTCTTACAGAGGCACGTAACAAAGTTCTAGCAAGCATAATTGGGTCTTGTAGATGAAGAGAAAAGGAGTGAGTATAATTAATTTTCAAAATTGGTATTTGAGAATTTATAGCCAGTAATTTCACGTGGCCGTAGTCACGTGACATCCCTGGGTGCAAAAAACACATACCCTTCCATACTTCCATGCATTGCTTTTATTCATCCATTCCATACATTCTTATAAACAGTTACATATCGTTCATAAGATTGGCATCAAACCAACCTAAAAAGTCATCGTCCTGACTCTTCTCTTCATTAAGCCACCCATTAGTCTGTTGCTGAAAGAAACTGTACATGTGATTGGCCAATTCATTATTATGAGCAGGTAATCCTTGGATATTCGAGTCCATTCCATCGGGAATTGACACTTCTCCCATGTCATTCATATTATTTCTTGATGATGGCAAGAGTGGTTGTCCAGTCAAAGCATCTACAGGAGTTTCAACCATGGACGCCATTGGAGGCTCCATTGAACGAGATAGTGTTGGAGTATCGGATGTCTCTTGAGGGTAAAATTCATTGACATTGAAATTCATCTTGTGTTCTTCAATGTCCCCGCCCATCACTGGCCCTGTCATTTGTTGTGACGTCATTGGCTGTGTCATTGTAGTAGACGACATTTGTGGTGCAACAGGTGTAAATGAATGCATTGGAAGATTAGGAGTTTCAATTTGTGAGGATGATGTTGCCTCCATCTTTGGTGATGTAATCACATTCTTCTTGGAAGCTGCTCTTCTTATTGCTCTTTTTGATGAAGGTAAACTTCCTTTCTTTTGAGATCCTGATGATATTTTGTCTTTGATACTCCCAGTGGCACCAAGCATAGCTAATGGGATACCATTAATGGCCATAGGACTATCTGTTCCAGTGTTAGATCTTGCTTGTTGCATGGCATGATCAGTTGGTACTAAAGTTGTAATCGTGGTACCATTGGGGGTGATGGAGGTCATTGCTTGGAAATCTTCCTTTGTAATTTGATTATAGAACGGTAGTGGAGCCAATTTACGGTTTTGGACAGCTTCGGTAGTGATTTTGGCATCTTCAAACAGCTTTTTGTTTGCAATAGTTCTCCTACGTGCTTCATGAACACACCAAACCAAATCATAAAATAATGAAGCAGTCAAATGTGATCTCATCCGAGTAATGATGCTACTTCCTGCTTGGTAATTATCTTCAAGGAATATTTCAGGACATGAATAAAGGGCAAGATTCATATTTTCCAAAACCTTTGCGGTACGACTAATATCATTCTGCAAATCCTTCCAAGATGATAAAGTATTTCTTAACAATCTGTGGACAGTGACAATAGACTGACGTGCACTATCAACACAATTATCAACCAAATACCGAGAAACATGTAACTTAAACAATAAAAGAACAGAATATGTCAACGACTGTCTAACATAGATGGGTAATTCAATCAAGTGCACATTTTTTAGCATTTGAGAAGTGACAGTGATAATTCGGGTGGCTGCCGTGTAAGCTGTACTCACGTACTTAACCTGATCTTCAATGGGTGTACCTGGAAGAAATGCAAAACAGCACATCATTAAACGAATGTATAAATAATACACTTCGACTGCAGACCCTTCTTCTATGGGCAATTTAAATCTTAAACGGTCCAATTCTCGGTCTAAGATATTCAATGAACCTGCACGATTCAGTGGCTCTAATAACCCATCGGATCTGGTTACTGAAATACCCATGACATTAACCAACTTACTTTGGAAAATCGATAACGATATAAGACATCGGAAATTGTTAGGCAATGTATGATCAACACGGGCATTCTCTAATAAATAATCCGTTGTACTGATGGAAGGGGGTAACCCTAAAGTGGATGACCAAAATTGATCATTAAAATATACAGCAAGCCATGATCGAGTTCTCCAGCACTCGGAATCAGGTCCCAATGAAGCTTGTGTACGGCTAAACTCTTGGATAAACTCACCTCCACGATGCAATCCAAGTTGTAGTGATAAGTTCTTTGCCAAACCAATAAATCTATAAGATGAATCGTCAAGGACTTTTTCATTTGGTAGTGGCCAAGTAGCCAAAATGATTAATGCTTGTATCACATGTGTTGATCTTGGTGTTCGTATCCAGCACGTCTCTATTGCAAGTTGTTTAATAAGAGAGGCCAAAGACATGTACAAGGTTGGCTCTGGTTCTGATAATGCTGCAGTACAAATTACCGTCCAAAACAACAATTGAGACTTTGTGTATAACTCCAACGCTGACTTCAGAGTCATAATAGGCATATAAGGAAGAAATCTAGCAATGAAACGATCATGTAATTCACTTGCCTTTTCCAACAGTAGTCGAACGTCGCCAATAATGAACTCTGAAATGTTAAGCACAGAAGTATCCTTTTTCTGATCACTAATGGAATCTGCTGACTCTTGAATCAACAGACCAATTTTCGTCAAGGTGGTATTATTACTTATTATTGGAGGGAATGACGATGTCTGATTGGTGAATGTCTTTTGTGATGGTGTCTGATCTTGTTGAATAAATTGTGACGATGGTATCGTGTCGTTGATTATCGACCTTTGATGTGGAGTTGAAACGTTTGGAGAATTGGCTGGTATAGTGGCTGCCCCTTGAGAATTAGAATGAATGCTTGAAGTCGTAGGTGAACCGTTCTGAGGATAATAAGTTTGATTCAGTTGTTGTTGTTGTCGTTGTTGTTGTTGAAGGAAAATTAGATTATGTTGGTTTAGAGCTTGAGTTAAAAGCGATTCATTCTTCGTGAGTAACTCGATCTTTGCTCTTAATTCATCGACATCATTTTTCAACAGTTGTATTTGAGAACCCTTTTTAGGTTTGAACTCTGGATCTATTTCACATTTGAGCCCCATACGTTCGCATCTGGTGCATGGACTGGGGAACAACTCTGAAGCATTGCATTTGATCTTATGTTGACGACAATAACTGCAACTTGTAACAGGCCTATGTTTACTGGCAGCAGCAGCAGCAGCAGCAGCAGAACTGGAGGAGGCCGACCCCCCCGTACCTGGTGCGAAACCTCCTGAGGTTGAAACATTCGCATTACTTGAAGCCATATCAAAGTTCCCGGGAACACTAGACTTTTTCCGTTTACTTTGGATGCTTGTTGATGATATTGTTGCACTTGCATTTCGCTTACCATGTGAAGTGGGCGATCCATTAGAAGAAGCAGCCATCGTAGGAGTTGATGTACCTGCACCGTTCAATTCCGTGCCAGAATTCAGATACTCTGACTGTGATTCTGTTTTGGGATATATAGACTTCATCATTAAAAATCAAAAGGTTATGGGACTCTAGATGGCTTCTGCTTGCTTATTCAACCTCTGTATATTAATACACAGAATTTGGTTGTGTGCAATATGCCAATACTAAAATACTTGAAGAGGTTTCGTTACGGTTGCCACCTGTCACAGTCAAATACTCGTCGGATATTATCTACTGCTAGTTCCTGTTATGAATAGATTGAAAGAATAGTTGATATTGTTCATGATCTTAAATGGGAAAAATTTTTTGACTTTATTTGGGGTCTTTCAAAGACGCTTTGTGTAATATCGCACAAAACAGTACAAATATAATCATACTACAATATATAATATATATATATATATATATGTACATTAATATGTATGTGTGATCTGACTGCTATTTAATTCGAGACTAAATACATATTTTCTGCGACAATAGTTTATACTTGTGCTTGTGATGAAATTTAGCGTGGTCTTTGCTCGTACATTATATCCGATTCCAATATTTTTCACCGTTCAGTTTTGTCTACAACTTAATAGTTACACCTATAGTTGTGGATTGCATTATTGACAAAAGACGCAAATAGTCCGGCATCAATAACTAGAAATCCCCCTAGTAAGTCCTGTGATTTACAGCACCAATGTCATTTTCTTGTACTGATGGAATAGATAAATAAAGGCATACATGCGTTTCGGCGAACGCACGACATTTCTCTCCACTGATCTTTTTGATAAAAATTTGCTGGCTCTAAGGCTTTAAAAATAGATGTTTACGGCAGTGTATTAAAGACTAATAAAGCATCCGACGGAGCGGCACGATTTAGGCTTATACACTAAATAATACAATTGTTTCATAACTATTACATTTTACATATAACTTTATCTTACGAGCTCACTTACTTTTCCAATGTAATTCAATTTGAATTCCACCTTGAACCAGATCTACCATTGATTTAATTGGTAGAAAACGGCATACCTAATTCGATCGGATCATTCGCCATTATTTACCGTAACTTAACTAAACCGTTTCCGTTTTGAATATTGTACGTCACCAATTGCTATGGTGTAACAAAGAAGAGATGTGCCGGTACCGGCCTCAAATCAAAAAATTTCTTGTTCCCACCAAGCTACAGTCATTCACTTAGTTATTCACTTAGTTTCACATACTATCCGTCATAATAAGCATGCACTATTACTCATTATCTTCATCTCTTGGATCACCAATTCCATCTTCATAAATAGCAAATTGACAATCTGCTTCTGGTAAGCAAGGACTATCATATATCTTACAGATTCTGTTTTGCCCACGACCTTTCTTTAATGATAATCTTGTGGTTGATGCATGGGCAATGATGTTCCCTCCTATCGGTTTCTTTGGGTCTGGATTATACATTGAAGCCATCCCATCAACTTGAGCAACTACTTGGTTGGTGATAACCACAGCAATACCAAATTCATCAGCCAATCTTTGTAACAACCTCATAAACTTTGCTACTTGAGTTTGTCTATTTGAAAGTTCTCCACGACCAGCAAAATCAGTACGATATAAACTCATGATAGAATCAACAACTAAAAGTGAAAATCTAGATTCACTCATCATTTGTGCTGCTTGTGTAAGCAAATTATATTGATGTTCAGTGTTATAGGCTCTTGCATATGCCACATTGTCCAAACAATCATCTGGATTCATACCATACCTTTGAGCTATCAGTACAAGACGCGTGGGACGGAAGGTACCTTCAGTATCAATATATAAACATTTACCTTCACCTCCTCCCATATCTATAGGTAATTGACAAGTCACAGCCAATGTATGACATAATTGTGATTTACCAGTTCTGAATTCACCAAACAATTCTGTAATAGAACCGGTTTCAATACCACCACCTAAAAGTGTATCCAATTGCTTGGAGCCTGTAGTAAGACATATTAATTCAGATCGACGATGATGAAACTCAGTGGCTGTAGTAAACCCAAGAGGTACTATCTTTGCTGCTTCCATAGATAACTTATCAGCCTTTGCTTCGCTAATACCTTTGATGGTCATCAAAGTCTTTTTGGATGTGTAAGCTACACTTTCAATAGTACAAAGACCAGCAAGTTTAAGTTTCTGAACATCATTCTTAGTAATACCATTACCTTCAAGATGATCAACTGAAAGTGGTTGACCATCACTTTCATCATCCACGTCAGGTACGGACGCGACGGTAGTATTGCCTATCTCCTGTGAGGGCATCTCAGTTTCAAACGCGTCTTTCAGAACGACTAAACAACTATTAGTAACAGCCTACTGAACACTGAATAGTTCAATCCAACGGCAAATCACTTGAGGTAAACATCAAAACGCGTACTTTTGTCATTATAGAAGGAGTCGTGCGTTTACCAGTGATAGGCTGCAAAGTGGTATAAGGATTTTTAACCACACTAAAGATCAAGATAGTGCTATGTTCCAGTCTCATGATACATTATGTCTTATAGACGACATGGCACACGTATTGTCTCATATTGTCTCATATACGCATTGTAGTGCCCTATAGCGTGATGCCATGATGTCTGGCATGATACATACAAATGTATGTCCAATTTAATTGAAAACGTGTACTACCTGAAAGCTACTAGGTACCAGCAAACCTGCGCTTACAACTGAAAGAATGTGTGAAAACGCCCTTTGCAACTCAGAAAGCTTATCACGTACACAATAACGGTGATGATGGTTCGAAGGGTTTTGATGATGATCCGTGCGATGCATGTATGTACGAGTGTGCAGAAAGGGGATCGAGTATAATTTTGTGGGGAACAAAGGAGGAGTCATACCATGGACGTAATGTTTGATACACAATAAAGTCATATGAAATTAGGACGCCATCATTGTTGATAAGGGGAAGTCTATGTAAGATAATTACGACAACAAATGAAATGATTATTTGCTTTATGCATTGAAAGCCTCATATGTGAAACGTGTTTGACACTGTTAATTGTTACGTTATGCTAGGTTATGTTAGATTACGTTGCATTACGCTTGAAGTTGCAACATATCTTTGGTACTTGTATTGTTGATGATGCTTAAAGGAGGTGGTTCAAGCATCGATCTCATCAACGGTTATAAGATGATCTGAAGGGGTATTAAAACCTCCTTTCCAACTCCCAAGCACAAACACAAATACAATGAAATGAGTCATTACAATAGTTCAATTATAAAATTGTCAGGACTTAAAGAGTTAAAAATATATATGGCTAGAGTGTGCAGCCGTCACCAAAAGTTTAGCCCTTGCATTGTGAAAGCTATCAAGCATAATCAGATACCCCTGAGGCCCTGTAGCACGGCATTTCGCTGGCACTGTATCAGACCGAAGGATAAAGTTGATACTTACGACATTTCCATCAGACAGACAATTTGGATACAATTTGGATAGTAGTAATGTTTTACCCCAAGGTGTTCCCTTCTGGTCCAGAGTGGTCTATTTGTGGATTCAAGTTCTTTTTTGAGTTCGCCCTTTTTTGGCCGATAACGACGTTTCTGGGTGGAACAATCTTTTTCAGTAAGTAATGCATGTTACAACATTAGACGGACCACACAGATGGAAGTAAGTAATTTAACCAAAGAGGAATTACAGATTTTTGACGATGAAGGGAGAAATATTTAATGAATGCGTGGGTGTTTTACGCTGTCTGAATCAGAGGTGTTCAGTAGTTGGTTGTCCACGAAGCTCGATGTAATGAGTAGTAAGCTTTGCGTTATGTGCTTGGTATTTTCCTCTGTACGATTGTGTGTTGTTCCTACTATGCTGCTTCTTCCATGTGTCTGCAAGTAATTACATTCACCGTCCTCAACCCACGTCATTTGACGGCCTAATTGTGTGTTTACCTTTGGGCCTAGTCAGGTAGACATTCTCAACTTAGACGAAGGGCTTTGCTTATTGAATCCGGTTTTGTGTTCCATCCACTCACGGAAATAAACAACAACAAAATCCATAACCATACCTAGTTCTGTCTTTAGTTAAACTATTAGTTGAGTCAGACTCATCAACTACTTTCTTTTCTTTCACAGGGCTAGTATCGACATCAGTTACTGTCAGACATCAACTAAGTCGGACTTCAACTACTATTAATCTTATCACTGCTGTCAATCACTTTTACTGTTACACAACTACCGTCAACTACTATCTTATCATTACTGTTCTGTATCTGTTTGGTGGAACATACTCTTCGTACTTGTTGATAACTTCCGTCATCATACCACCCACCAACATCTACAGAGATACGTTAGAACATCATTTGGCTAAGTCTTTGTTCGTGAATCTTTGTCCGTGAAGCTTTGTCCGCCAATCGTCTTTGTCCGTGAACCCGATAGCACACTCTCTACCCTTGCAAGATCCTGACCCAGAGAGCCCGTTGTTCTTTCCCATTTTATTCTAGTATTAAACCCTGGGAAATTATTTTTTTGTCTGTCGGATCTTTATTATTTTTTCTTTTTGGATTACGACTTTTTCTGTCGCATTACTGCCATAACTGCAAGGAACACACCTCGAAGACTTACGTCTAAGAAAGGTTTACCCCTACATACATACCCCTGGAATTGGTGCCTAAATTATACAAAAGGCTTTCAAGGCTTCCTAGTCACGCTCTACTTTGTTCCTGCGCTGACTCTTTTGAGGAAAGGTTCTTATCTCTAAGTAAAGTCCTGTCTCCATTTAACTGGCCCAATCTGGCTTTGTCTGGCCTTTTTCATTTTTCCTGTCGGAGACGATGTCAACTACTGTCGTATCATCAGCAGCCACTAGTCCTGTTAAAACTAAACCTTCGTCCCAACTGACTTCATATTTTAGTATTAGTGCCACGAGTCCCAAGAAACAACAACAACCTCCAAAAACCCACCTGATGATAATGCCGGGTAATAATGAGGTGGTGCAACAAACATCATCAGCTCCAGCACCTACAACTCACGAGAATTCCTATAAACATCAACTGGCAATGGCCACATTACCTTCGCAAAGTCTAAGCATATCGAGTAACCTATCCAAACGTGTTCATAGAGAAGTTAGATTTGGAAATTATATTCTTGGATCAACGCTTGGAGAAGGTGAGTTTGGAAAAGTCAAATTAGGTTGGAGAAAAGATGGGAAACAACCATCTCAAGTCGCCATTAAATTAATAAAACGAGAAGCATTGGTAAAAGATTCGGAAAGCGAAATCAAAATCCATAGAGAAATTAACTCATTAAAGTTATTAAATCACCCTAATATCATTAACTTGGTGGAAGTCATGAAATCAGGGAAGTATATTGGAATAGTACTAGAATATGCTCTGGGTGGGGAATTATTTGATTATATTTTGCATCATAAATGTTTAAAAGAGAATGTTGCAAAGAAGTTATTTGCTCAATTAGTTAGTGGAGTTGATTACATGCATTCTAAAGGGTTAGTTCACCGTGATTTGAAGTTGGAAAACTTATTATTGGATAAGCATAAAAATGTGGTAATAAGTGATTTCGGGTTTGTCAATTCATACAATAAAGATAAGAATGATTTGATGAAAACAAGTTGTGGATCTCCATGTTATGCAGCTCCAGAATTAGTGCTAACTCAAGCACCTTATGAAGGTAGAAAAGTTGATATTTGGTCCTTAGGGGTGATTCTTTATGCTATGCTTTCAGGATATTTACCTTTTGATGATGATCCAGATAATGAAGATGGAGCAGATATTGTTAAATTGTACCATTATATTTGCAAAACTCCTTTAACATTTCCGGAATATGTCAGTCCATTAGCCAGAGACTTACTTCGGAAAATCATTGTTCCTAATCCAAAGAAAAGAATCACCATGAATGCCATTAGAAATCATCCTTGGCTAATGTCTTATGCCAACTTATTATCAATAAGACAACCGGAATGGGATAAATTGCATAGAGAACGTAAGGGTACAGAATTAGCAGTTATGAATTCGGGTCATAAGAGGTTCTCAATGATTAATGATGTAACCACTTCATCTTCCCTTTATACGGGTACCGGTGGTGGTAATATACCTCAACTGTTACAATTCGGGGGTGGAGGATCAGGAACTACTCCAAGGTCATTTTCATCTTCCACAATCACCAATTTGTATGCTAATCCTTCCACTTCATCATCCTTCACCAATGCAGTGGTTAAGACCACCAATTCATCAACACAAATATCTTCCTTAAGCAGTAATACCTCCAGATCAATGGTTTCTTCTGCGTCACTGTATTCTCAACCATTTGACTCCGCATTGTTCATTGTTCCACACAATAGCGATTCAGGTACCGCACCAGGCACTACCATTCAAGGTCCAATAGCAACTTCAGGTACGCAATCCAAATCCAATTCATCTTCACCTCAAAGAAGGGGACATACCAAAGCCGCATCGATCTCCACACCTTTTGCATTGGGTAGTGGTGCGTCTACCACAACGTCGGCCTCGTCTACTCCATTCTTTTCAGCCAGTTGTGCATTACAAGCAATGGTAAATGATCAAACTCCTGTTTCAAGTCCTAGCCCTGAACTGACATTATTTACTGGTAAAGTGTATCAAACTGCTGCCTCTGGAGGTGGAGGTGTTAGACCAAATGGGTACACAGGATCTATCTTTTCTACCATCACTGAATCTCCTTCCCAACTGCAAGACAGCGCATCAGAACGGAATGTAGGTGATGCAACACCTACAAGGAGAGAATTTGGTATCTCCAATTCTTCATCCTCGAATACTATTAGCAGATTACCTCATCACAATAAGAAGCCTCGTCCAACATCTTATCATCCAGCATCGTTATCATCATCTTTAGCTACTGCACCTACAACAAATGATACCGAAGGTAGTGAACAACCCCAATTTATGGCTGATTATTGGAAGAATCCCAGTTGTCTAGCCATACCACTTTTATCTGGATCACCTACCAAATCACCACCATTTGAAGGAGTTAGCAATGAATACGGAATGAGTGGGCAACCTTCACCAACTCGAGCTGGATCCATTAATTCAAGAAGAAATTCTGTGGTTGCTCATGTACACGTTAATGGCGTGCTACTGAATGAAGATTCCAGTAATAAGCGGAATTCTGTTTTGAGTTATTTGGAGGATAAGATTGAAGGTTTAGATTTGTGTCCACCTATTGAAAAGAAGGTCTCCAACACTAATGAGAAAAGAGGAGAAGTGAAATTGACTATTACCCCTCAGATTAATCAACCTCCAGTGTTTGATAGTCAAACAAGTTCACCTGAAGTGAAGGAGGTGATTGAACTGAATCCCTCCATTGTGAAGTTGGCCAACATTCCGGTACTAACGGAATCAGAAAATGTCGGTGGTCTTGAAGAGAAGAGACCTCCGGTACCGGCCAAAGAAAAGCCGTTGCCTGCTATCAAAGCTCCACCACCTACTGAAACAGATATGGTTCCGGAAACATGGAAGAAACCAACATCATCAGTTGATGCTTCAAGAAGATCTAGCATGTATGAAGCGAACAAAGAGAATAGTCACATGAAACAGCAGAAGAAACGGAACCGGTTCAGTTTGTTGTCGTTCTACAGCTCATACAGTGGGTCGACCACCTCAGTGAACTCCATGGCCACCGTAACTGATAGTAATAATGTTATTGCTAAAGCACCTGGTCGAGATTACACCGCCCAAACACCCAAGAAGGTCTTGGAACCAACCAACATTACTAACAATAATGTTATTAATAGTGGTCACCATCAGAAACGCGTAGAGTCCAGTGGATCGCTGAAATCGACTGGATCAAGGTCCAAAAAATCATCAGCCAGTTCAAGCAACGGATCAGCAAAGGAAGCCAGTGCTGCTCGGAAGGTGATGGACTTCTTCAAACGGCGTAGTGTTCGTATTGGATGAACAAGTTGTATTTTAGATTGATTGTTTGATTTAATTGTATTTAATTACGCTCTTTAATACTATGTATCACATTATGACCTATCATATCTGCTTTACTGTCTGAGTATGGGATATACTCTGGCTACGCTTGTCGTTGCTTTGCTGGTTGTATTTGTCTGTATGCTTTTTGCCACCAGTGGTGCACATATATAAATAGCGAAACTTTTCCTCCAAATTACATCAACACTCTTCTCTTCACCATCATGGACAACGACAACACTTCCGAAGACGATGATATTGGAGACATAAATCGTCCGGATCTGTCGGCAGACACATCGGAATGTGCCCTGCAGCTTGAAACTGACTCGGTAACTGACGTCGACAGTGAAGCCTATTCTGACTCTGAGTCAGAGTCTGAGCCAGATTCTAATCTGGACCAAGATTTGGCTACGACTATCATCAATGAAATCAGACAAGGTGACTACGTCTGTTTGGTGTGTACGGGAGAGATCGATGCTAATGCTAAGGTATGGTCTTGTGGCAACTGCTATAGAGTGTATGATCTTGACTGTATACGAGATTGGGCCCAACGTGGTTCTTCAACCAATAGAGAAAACAAAACTTGGAGATGCCCTGCTTGCTCCAAGGAGACAAAACGTATCCCTTCGAGATTTGCTTGTTGGTGTGGCAAAGTGACCAATCCCAAACCTAATCCCGAAAACCCCTTCAGTTGTATGAGCATATGTGATCAAAAGTTCACCAATTGTATTCATTCGTGTACTTCGGTGTGCCATCCCGCCAAACATCCGCTCTGTGGGGCGTTGGGACCCGTTATGAAGTGTCAATGTGGTAAACATGAGCAGCAGTTGCCGTGCTTGGTAACTCCGTATGACCAAGGTTGGAGATGTGACACCAGCTGCGATGTAGAGCTTTGTGAATTCGGTCATAGATGTGGTAAGGGATGTCATAAGGGCTTTTGTGGTCCATGTCAGGAGTTAATCACCATGTCTTGTTACTGTGGTAAGGAAGATTTGACCATAAAATGTCTGGATAAGATTCTTAAACGAGGTGAGCTGTGGATTGGGGTTGGTAAATGCTCACATTTGAATGAACAGTACTATGATTGTGGATCCCATTTTGAAACTGTTGGGTGCCAGCCTTTCACAACCCCCCCAAAATGTATTTATTCCCCTGAATTGGTAACTACTTGTTACTGTGGTAAGACGAACGTGGGAGTTTTAAACAGAAGCAAATGTACAGACCCTATTCCTGAATGTGATAATGTCTGTGGGAAATTGCTACCATGTGGTTGCACTTGTCGATTCAAGTGTCACGAAGGTCCTTGTGAATGTTTCAATATTCTTTCTTCACCATGTTCTTGTGGGAATGGTTCATATTTGGTTCCCTGTAAGTTTCTTCAGGCGGGTCTGTTACCTAAGTGTACTCACAAATGTACAGTTCTCTTGAATTGTCGGAAACATTACCATAGAGAGGAATGCTGTGAATACGAACAAATAGGGTTGAAAAGACTAAGAGAACGGAAGAAGGCATTAAGGAATAACACTCGTACTAATTCTGATGATGACATAATGACCATTGAACCGGTACATATCTGTACGAGACCGTGTAATAAGTTGAAACAATGCGGAACACATTATTGTGCCGCTTTATGTCATCTGGGCTCATGTGAAGTATGTTTGGAATCCACCAATGATGATTTGGTGTGCCATTGTGGAAAGACAGTTCTCCAAGCACCGGTTAGATGTGGCACTAAACTTGTGTGTCATGAACAATGTGTTCGGGATAAACCCTGTGGACATCCTCAAGAACCTCATGAATGTCATGATGAGACCATTGAGTGTCCCAAATGTACTACTACAGTTACAAAGGAGTGCAATTGTGGAGCTAAGAAGGATATGAAAGGTGTTTTATGTTCGCAGAATAGTGTTCTTTGTGGTACAGTATGTACCAAGTCGAAGCTGTGTGGACACCCTTGTATGAATGTATGTTCTCCCAATTGTACCAAACATGACATTCATTCTTCTTCTTCTGTTTGTCAATCCATGTGCAAGAAAATTAGATCACTGTGTCCTCACTATTGCAAGCTTAAGTGTCATGCTAATAAGCTGGGGAAATCCCCCAAATGTGATGCTACTGTGTGTTCTCATATGGTAGAAGTATCATGTGCATGTGGCAGTTTGAAGATGAAGACTCCATGTGGAAGTTCTTTAACAACAGAAAGTAATATTGGGAAGGTATTGGAGTGTGATGATCTTTGTTTTAGACATCAAAGAGATTTGGAATTAAAGAAGGCTTTTTTTGGAAATGGAAATGGGAACTCTGCTTCTTCTGCTACTGCACAAGTAGAAGAACAGTTTCCTTATACTAAGAGCATTGTGGACACTTATACCAAACAGACTACTTGGTGTTCAAGAATGGAAAGCTTTATGAGAGAGTTTGTTGAAAATCCTGATAAGCGTTTTTATTACTTCCCAATAATGATAGCACCTCAACAGCAATTTATTTGTGAATTGGCTGATCTGTACAAACTTTATCATGAGATTCTGGGAGACGAATCATCTAATGAACAACAAGTTTTGATTGTACTGGTTGAACAAACCGAATTACCTTCGTTAACTATTGAGGCTGCGATTTATGAACGAGAGAAATCATTGGAAAGCATTCGTATTCGTCAAGAGAAAATTGATCTGCTGTTTATGAATGCCATTATCATTAAGGATGTTTTCTTTGGGGTAACAAAGGAAAGATTGGAACGGGAATTCCTGGAAAATCCTCTTTCACAGAACGGATGTATTGTTAAGTTGAGAGATTATGTTTATTACAACACTGAAACATACTTAAATTCTACATCAGACTCTGAAGCAGAATTATATGCGTTAATGAGGTCTATTAAGAACAGTCTCCGTACAAAATCATTGGCATTTGAGTGCAAGTTAGGGTTGATAGATGAAGAAGTACTGACAATTTTGAAGGAGACCATTAAGGTAGCCTCTACACCAACCAATAACACTACTCCAGCCAATGACGACACTAGTGATGGCATTACTCTTACCGCAGATAACAAAGTGGTTTCTACAGACGATATCATTGAAGGTATTGAACGTACGAAGATTGATGAGATTGAGCATGAATCAAAGGAATTCGAGTCGACGGAATTTGAGTCAACCGTTCCCAAAAGTCTGAATGTGTATGATATTCTCCTGACTTAGAATTTAACGTCTATATAATGCTGTTTATTGGTCGTCTTTGGGTTCACTTTTGGCTTTCCCATGTGACCTTTTCCGTCTTGAGTTGGAGCTTGAAGAAGGCTTTTCAGGCTCAGGTTTTGATTCTGTTTTCTTCTTCTTAACACTTAAAGGATTAGGCCCAGCCGGACCCTTCCTCTTCTTCTTAGAAACAGTCAGGGGGGGGTTATTTCCACCATTACTTTCTTCTGTGACCGGTGATTTTGGTTTGGCGATCTTCTTTCCCAACTTGGCATCATTTAATCCACCAGTGAGTTTCTTTGCCTCTACTTGAGAAGTGAAATTGGCAGTTGCTTTAGACATTGGCTCCATGACCATGACAGAACGATTCATAAATAATAAAGGGACACCTGGAACACGCCGGAGCTCCTTACGTAGTTCTTGATCCATTGTAGCAACAACATATCTGAATTTATTGGCCCCACCAATGTTGGTGATATCAGCAATGCAATCCAGAGGTTTCTTTGGGTCTTTCTGTGAATGGTTACATCTTCGCCGCTCAAACGTCTTGGCCAATGCAATCGCCTCTTCGTTCTTGGCGTCATAGAGTGATCTGATACAGCATTGAGTTATCATTGGTTTGACTTCCCCTTGTACTGTTCTTTCTAGTCCTTTGTGAAGCTCAAAGGATGCTCCCACACAAGTTGACACCATCTCAGCATCAACTAGCACTTGATATGGCTCTCTGAACTTGAACGCGTGTAGATACACGTTCATCTGTTTCTTGTATGATTTAGCTCTCTTTTGTCTCATGATTAAGGAGGCGATTACTGTCTAGTGGAGGTGATTACTTGAACATTACGATAGGATATTTAATGTCGGTGTACGGTTTGAGATGCTCATCGCACAAAGTTGCACAAAACTTTATATTATATAATACATTACGTAATATTTCGTTTAGTAGCTTTGATTACCATTGGTATCATCCCACCAGTGGGTATCGTGAACCTTCTATGACCTGTAACAACCACGGCTGCTCTAATTGTCCCAGCATGCGAAGTTACAGAAATTATTTCATCTTGAGGGGCATCAAGGAAGATCTGCTGAAGTGCGCCATTAACTCTAAGAAACTGTTCATGTAAGAGCTCGCGTTCCTCGGGTGGATACAGTTCGTGTCTTACATCTTGTTCCGGGAACCCATCTTCGAAAACAACAGTTGGAAATTGACAACTAATGTCGTATTTCGTCGACCGTTTGTTACATGGATGTAACCCCATGGTTTCTCTAAGGTTCTCAAGTACCTTGGGTTGTGGGATTTCAATGTCGTTCCATGTACCGAATAATGTCGCTAACGAACGGTTACAAGGTGAGACATAAAACCGAGTAGGTACCGGACATCCAGATTCAAGTTGTTGTTTCCAACTGACATTATTGGCTACTGCTTGCTGTTCACCTAATGGCGTAAGTTTAGCATCAGGACCCCAAGTAATGTCGCCATCAGTGGACCGGACTTTCCAGTAATTCCAGTCTTGAGTGTAACGAGCATATGCGACATTATGGAACCCTTGTCCGTGTCTGGCCATGAACAACAACTTGTAGACGACATTCAGTGGAGCTTGGGCATTCAATTGGTTGACTTTTTGGATGGTAGTACTCCAGTCTTGTCTGGCACCGAAACTTGTATTCAAATAGTCAAAAGCCATGTCTTCTGTGTCTGGGTCTGTTTGCCAAAAGATGTCGTCTACACACACAAAGTCGTATGGATAAACAAGCTCACCATTAGGATGTCTGTCGTCCTTATGGTCTTGGTACAATTGATAGTAGAGACCTTCATGCTCTTCAAAGCCGTAGGCGTCTAATCTGTCTCTGGCGGTAGCTTCAAGTTTCATGATGAAGAACAAATGTCATAGAGAAACAATAGAAGTAACGGTTTAGTATTTGTGATCTTGTAGTCATACACCCTAACACCATTTATGACGCATAAAACTATAAAGAACAATGTCGCAAACTTGTGCACTTGATATTTGTTCATGTTTAGGAGACATTACGCTAGAATGTCCACAACAGTGATCATAGTTCATGACTATACAGAGATAATATGTCTGACTGTGATTAAAAAGTATGTATTTCTTCATAATAAACTAGTAAAGTAAAATATGTTATAATATATTAATGTCATGATTTGAAAAGACTGATGTAAATGTCATCAATAAAAAATGTCGCATACATTAACCTATAAAATCAACTATTCTCGACCCATGGCCTTATCTTCCTTTATTGCCTTACGCTCCAACTCATCCCAGTCTTCACCTTCACTTTCTTCAAACGATCCTTCACTACCACTTCCGTCACTTGAAAAGTTATCTTCTTCACTGTAGGCTTCTTCATCATCATCATCTTCAGGTTCTTCATCGGTGACTTCGAATTCCGATTCTTCTTCTTCCTCTTCCTCTTCATCAGAATCTCCATCCCCAGTTAGGAAGGTCCAGCCGCCGTCTTCGGCAAAGAAACTATAAGGATCAGCTTGAACTGTCTTCATAATAGCTCCCCAATTCAATGACATTGGACCTTCACTATAAGGAATATCAACGTCTGTTAACCAATTCTTTACATCCTCCAACAATTCCATTGGTATAGTATTAACATGAACAACTGGTTTGGAAAAGTCCTTGAACACAAAGACCATATCGAAATTCTTTAAACCAAACTGAACTCTTTCTAAATGTGCAAGTTCAATCTCTTCCAATGTTAATACCAAATATGGTGGATCCACCAACAGGACCAAACAGTCTCTTGTTGGCATACATAAAACTGCAGATCTAAATGGTACACCTTGGAATCCCAACTCTCTAAATGGCATATCCAAATCAATCATACCATGAGAAGATTCAGCAATTAATTCGGCAAACTTCTTAAACTCTTTATCTAACAAAGCTTTCCTTTTACGCTCTTCTTCTTCTTGTTGCAATTCATCCTCATCTCCATATCTGTACCTTCTCTTTCTACCTCCAGTTTCATCGAATGCCATGTCACTAGCTTCACGATAGAATTGAATATCAAAAGACTTTCTCTTCCCAATCATGAGTGGACTCTTCAAATGACAATGTATAATAACAATCAACTCATCTTTACAAGGCTGGAAGAACAAGTGTTTAATGTTGGAGAACAATATATCAACTTTTTGATCACTCTTAAAGGCAGATTGATATCTTAACCCATTTTCATGAATTTCCAAAACTCCTCCAATCTTTTTGGTATCTGGTTGTGGTCTAATGAATACTTGTTCCAATTTCTTAACACGAGATCCCTTTAATTCATTCAAATTAGCTTGAGTGACAACATCGGCCAATTGTTTCCTTTCTTGTTCTCTTTTAACTGCATCTTTCTTCAAATCTTGGATTGCTTTGAAAACATCAACCATTCTTTGTCTATCTCTTGATCTGAAGGTCATGGATCTAACAAATGTATTATCAGGAGAATCTTCATATGGTAAATCATTTTTCCGTGAAGCATTCCCTCCAATACCAGGAGAATTAAAATTCAATCTTAAATATGTGAAATCACCTTCTTCATTGGTAGATCCATTCTTGAATGAATTGATATGGAAGGGCACAGGTCTACCACAAATAGGTAAAAGGATAGTTTGATTTCTGTAATCAATATGAATCTTTAAATCTCTAACACTGTTAGGTATTTGTGATTCTCGAAGATATGATTCATATCTCTTGAAAACTGGCTTCAAATCAGAAGAATCCGTAGCATCTGCTTTAGAAAATCGGGCTAATCCTTCTTCTTGCCTTTTACCATGTAAAATACGTTGGGCTTCTTGTCTTCTTTTTTCTGCATTAGCATTATCATCAGTTTGATTTGACTCATGACGTAATTTGGATTTTAAGATTTTAGAATTAGCCACAGGTTCAACTGAATTAGTTCTTCTATCTGAAGAAGAAGCCCCTCCCTTCTTCTCGGATTTAATCTCGGACTTAACCTTATTGCTGTTAGCTTCTTGCTTTTTGTTTGGTTCATCATCATTGAAAAAGAATGATACTTCTGATCTTGATTTGGGATAATTAGTCAATAAAATCGGATCTGATTCAGTAACTTTGAAAGTATCGGTTAATAATAACCCATAATTTTGTAACTTGGGGTTTTTGGCCTTTGTGTTGGTCAAATTATTGAAACCAATGGTTAAAGAGAATACTTGACCATTCTTCAACTTTCTGGTATTTTTACCATTCAAAATAAATGAAGAGTCTCTAAACTCAATACCCATAAGCCAACCACAATTTTTGGTGAAATTAGCCAATAAAGAAGGGTTCTTGGTCTTGATAAATTCTGTGGCACCTTGAAAGACTTCTTGGGCAGTTTTACCTTCTTTCAAAAAGTTTGAAATTATATGAGCTTGTAATTTCAAAAGGAAATCGTAATTCTCTTCAATTTGAGGGGTTGGATCAACCAAAAACGTTCTACCAATATTAGAACAATAAGATTTATACCGAATACCCAAAGAAGCCAAAATAACTCCCTCCCCTACTAATCTTTTATCATTTGATAAAGCACTGGGTCTCAAATCATATTCTCCACCGCTTTGAACTATGGGGGAATAACACCATTCGGTATTATCAGCATCAAAGTCTTTCAATGGGTGTAACAATTTCTTACCCATAGCCAGCTTGGTATACCATTTGTTATCCTTTTCTAATGAATCTTCCAACTTATCACTAACTTGGGCATTCAGAGTCTTCAATTCTTCATCAACAATCACCATCATTTCTTCCATGAAGCCATCCATCATCACCACAGAACATTTAGAAGCTATTTGAGTATTATTATATTCGTCCAGGTCCTTCACTTCCATGCATTCACTGATTAAACCAGAACAATCTTCAAATTTCAACTTCTCCTTATCATCCTTAATAACTTCTTCCCACTCATTGATGAGTTTCCCGCGATACTTGTCCTTAACAACACTTCCAATAGCATTGCCATCACCAAACAGTTTTAACATGTCCAACAACTTGACAAATAACTGACGGTTGTGCTCCGCGTCGCCGGTTCTAGCCCAGATCTCCACGTCGGACGAACTGGGGGAAGGCTTGTTCAATAATGGACGTAAATGTTTGGCCTTAGCCTCACTGGTAATAAAGATCGCCTTATCCTGGGTGATAAAGAGTAACGTCTGAAGAAACTCATACCCTAAAAGCCATATCTGTAATACCGTGGACTTCTTATAAGTGTTTTCATCGTCACTAGCACCAACAAAGAACAAGAGTCCCGTCTTAGACAAGTCGGTGTATTCTTGCACAAGGGTTCGCTGAACCAACGACAACCGTTTGTGAAACGCGTTCACGTCAACCTTGACGTCAGACATAATCGGATACAATTGGATTGATTGATGTTGGTCGATAAATGTCTGTCTGTCTGTTGATAACCTGTTGGTGTTAGTTTTCGTTTGCAGAATTTTTGTCAAAAACTTTTGGACCGGTTTTGTGTAATCGCGAATTCCGCGTGTTTGTGTAACATAACCAGGAATCAAATAAACCAAGCTCACACGTAAAAGACTGGGAACTTATGCTATGTTATTATCACCTTTTAGCAGCTATCATCAAGATGTTTAGACAGTCCAAAAGGAGGACCGCGGGTAGACGGAATTTTGACACGTCTCGAAAAGACTTGCTAGTTTCCAAAGTGGCAGGAAGCACCAAGTTGTATGGCACACGCGTTAGTTTCTACGATGTTCCACCAATTAACGAGATTACCCTTGAACAATTTGAAACATGGGCTATAGACCGGTTAAAGGTATTGATTGAGATCGAAAGTTGTGTGGCACGGTCCAAGTCTCTCAAAGACATGGAAACCGTGTTGAGACCATTGTTGAACAAGTATTTACCGTTATCTCCATCGACCACTAAGAATGAAGAAGAAATACGTGAAGAACGAATGAAAGATCATTATTCTCATTATATTTTGCGATTGGTGTTCTGCCGAAGTGAAGAGTTACGGAAGAAGTTCATTAAAAACGAAGCATTACTTTTTAAAATCAGATATAACTTGCTTCCTCCAAGAGAACAAGAAGAGTTCATCAATTTGAATCTGGATAAGTTGTCATGGGCATACATTTCATCCACTGAGAAGGAACTACTTTTCGAAAACTTATTTGCTGCCACTAGTTCTGCCATTCGGATGGCCATCGACCCCAGTATGCTGGCATTTAGCAACAATGAACAATTGCGGAATCATATTAAAGTTAATGAGAGTTTTATTAAATTACCCTTTGAAAAAGTCCCCAATTTGGTTAGTTCAAGATCAGTGTATTTGCTCAAGGGGTTTGCTTATGTTCCAACCGCTTTACAATTGAACTTATTGGCTGTTGAGTTCCAAGACTCACTTTCCTTGAACTTAACCCGGACGTTTCAAATGCTTCCAAGATTAGAAGAAGATGATCGCCTTCTTCCATTGCTAAACAACTTGAGTCATAATTTTTCCAGTATTCAACTCCATGATTTTGGCGGTGATAATGGAGGGGGGTCCAATTCTGATATAACTGCTCAATCCATAACTTCACCAGAGATCATGAAGCATTTCCCTCTCTGTGCCAAACACTTGACGAGGAATCTCGTTGCCAATTCCCATTTGAAGTACACTGGACGTCAGCAATTGGGTCTTTTCCTCAAGGGGATTGGTCTTTCTGTAGATGAAGCGTTACTGTTTTGGTCTTATCAATTTACAAAAGGTTCACTGGGGATGGGGTTGGAGAAGTTCAACAAAGAGTATAAATATAATATCAGACACACTTATGGGTTGGAAGGTGCTCGTACCAATTATAGACCCTGGGATTGTGGAACCATTTTGAATAAACCTCGACCTAGCAAATCAGAATATCATGGTTGTCCTTATAGAGATTTATCTACTGATTCACTTATTATACAATTACAAGAAATGGGGATTGTTGATCAGCATGAGATAAATGGAGTCATAGATGATGTCACCAAGAATGACTATACCATTGCATGTACCAGGGTATTTGAATTAACCCATAAGAAGGAACTTGGACTACGTGGAGATGCCAATTTGCACATTAACCATCCTAATTTATACTTTGAAAGATCACGACAATTAGAGAAGGCAGAGAAGGTTGAAGAAAATAATACTAATAAATAGATAAATAAATAAATAAATAAATAAATAATGAATAAATAATAAATAAATAAATAAATAAATAAATAAATAAATAAATAAATAAATAAATAAATAAATAAATAAATAAATAAATAAATAAATAAATAAATAAATAAATAAATAAATAAATAAATAAATAAATAAATAAATAATAATAATAATAATAATAATAATAATAAATAAGTATAGGATTAAATGTCAAGTGATAACCAAAGGTCTTTAAACTTAAACCAACTTGCACCGCTACCACAGAATCCTACCCAAAATGGAGTCAAACAACCGTCTCTTAAAGACCAATGTAAAACCAAAGGTAATTGAATCACTTGTTGGAACAATTGGACTTGCCATGCTTTATTCCATTTGCTAATTGGAGTGTTTCTAATCAATTGGGCAATTTCTAAGGCCAAATACAACCCCCAAACCCTACAACACCAAATATAAGTTTCAAAGCTCCAATAAGGGTTATCGCTGGTGCCCACCCAATTATGATCAAGAACCCAACCGGCATTCTCAAGTCCTTCAAGCACGATACAGTTGATGGGTTGGAGAACTCCAATGACCCGATCGGAGAATGACTTGGCCAGCAAAGGGTTACCAAACTCGGCAAATTCATCAAGAAGCCAAGGGATATAAGTAATATTATCTGTTAACCGATTGAAGATCCGTATATCTGCAATATAGGAGGATATACGTTTCAAGTACTTAGCCAAGTTCGATCCCTCGGTGGGTGCATCAAAATGTTGTGGGGCAGTGGTCAAACAACATTTACCGTTGGATTTGGAGATATCAACGCCTGAAACTCGGCGTATAACCAGTGAAACCACCAGCATGAGTTTATAGTACAGTTTGAGAAGGAACCGCTTGATTTCAGGCTTGTTTTCAAGAGCCGAGGCCACCATTAACGTCAGGTAACAAATGAAATACAAGTTGGCATCCATGGTTGAAGTCTTCAGCAAGATTTTGGTGGAGACTTCGGAGTAGAACTTCTTGGAAAGAAGAGTTCTCCGAAGAAGACCAGCCAATCTAAGAAGCAATGCAAGAGGAATTGTTTTAGACATAACTATTGAGGTAACAGGTAAGGAACAGTGTATAACCATAATATTATCAACAACAAATATTGGATCTAAGGAAGCCCTGGTTGTTTTGGGAAACTCGATCCGAGGTGCGAAAGGTCGTGTACCGCGTATGAATGGAACGCTACCGAGGAGGTGCACTACAACAATTGGGTATAAAGTCACTGTGTGTGTGACGTAAGCAATTATAACATATATCATATATAGATGGAAATTAATTAAGTAGTGAAACAAATGCACATGTGCACATAAAGAAGTAAATAGAATTGTAAAAAAGGCAGTCATTGTAAATCTAATGTTTATGACCAGAGTCAGAAGAAGAGAGACCAGATCTAAGAACGGTGTGTTCCTTTTCAGCATATAGTTCACGAGCATGTTGGTCTGCAGAACCCACAACTTCCAAAACCACTTCATTGATCTCTTCAACTTCATCTTTCACTTGGGGCAATAATAAGTTCAAAATAACTCCCAAAAACCCAGTCAACGCGAACCCGGTTTCCATAACCAAGATAATGGCACTAAAGAACCCTTGCTTACCCTTGTTATCTCCGGTGTACGTGAAAACGTTCGAGAACCAATTTGGCACTAAGATAGACCCTAACCCAGGTAAAATAGATGCGGTTAAAAGGAAACGATCTCTTCTGGACATTTCTCCACTACTCATGATCTTAATACCGGAAACGGCAACAGAACAAAACAAGAATGAAGTCATCCCACCAAGAATGGCCTTGGGGATAGAAACAATAGCAGCGGCAAATTTAGCAAAGATACCCATAATGATCATAAACATAGCACATCCATAACCAACATAACGGTTTGCGCATTTGGTAACAGAAATCACACCGTTATTTTGAGCAAATGTAGACATGGGAGTAATGGTCATCAAACATGATAAAACACCAGACAACCCATCGGCAAGGACCCCCCCTTGAATACGAGAGTCATACAATTCACCTTCCACCTCTAAACGAGACACATCTGACGTAGCAGTAATGTCACCAATGGCTTCCATCATCAACACTATAAACACCGCGAGGTAGGGTAAGACTATTGGACCATAAACTTGTAACTTGAAAGTATGTTTCCAAATAAATGTAGCTGCTGGAGCAATCTTGATACCATTGGGAGAAAAATATCCACAAGCAGCACCGACAATACAACCGACCAAAAGTCCTATGACAACAGCACAGGACTTCATGATTGGAGAACCAAACCGTTCAGAAAGAATAATCGTCAAATAAACAAGGAACCCTAATCCAACAAAGGAAGCAGATCCCCATTCCATTGGTTTGGCTGGAGCGTTACAAATAGCACCTATACAACCAGAACCTCCCAACCAATCATCGAACCCAGTTTCGACCAAATGAGCACCAATAAGGAACACCACTGGACCGGTGACAATTGGAGGGAAAACTTTCTGTAAAACTTTAGCAGGGGAGAAAGAAAGGGCAATTTCAAGTAAAGCACATACAGCACCAGTACCTAAGATTCTTCCGTATCCATCAGGACAAGGTAACTTAGTACCATCTGCTGCCACTGGACAGAATCCAGAGGTATAGAATTCTGGGAATGCCAGAGTAACAATTGTGATCGTAGCAAAGGAAGTGCCCACAACCGATAAAAGTCCTGTACCGATATAGTAAGGAGTTCCGTAAATATGGAATCTAGTGACTTGAATGGAAGTTAAGATCCCAGAGACAATTAATGAAGTAGACACCAAATATTGTTGAATATTAAGTGGTAAATTAGCAGCACCAGCAATGATAATTGGAGGAGAAACAACACCCGCCAACATAGCTAAGGCATGTTGGAAACTTAATACAAGCCATAATAAAATTGGCATTTCACTATTTAAAGCAAAGAATGGTTGTGTTTTCATCTCCTTACTGACAAATGGAATTTGAGGAATGAAAAGGTACCCATAATCATAATCACCAATCCAACCTTCTTTAGTGGTTAACTTCTTTACAGTCTTTCTTCCAAAGGACTTGGCGCCATTAACAGTGGGGAGACCCATTATGAGATGAGATGATCTTAAGACTAACGAGATGAGATAATATCCAAAAAAGACAATACTCGTATTTGGGAGATGTTGTTCACTTTATATACCAATGACTCGCTTTAACAACATGCAGAAACTAACAATTAGATAGCAACATAAGTTTAGCCTTCTTAGCTGTAAGAAGTATTATCGGAGACCCCCAGACCCAGAAAAAATATCTGTTTCGAGGCTTAAGATAGCCTCCTGATCCTAAATGAAGGAAAGAAACGCAAATTGTCTTCTTTGATGCACCGTTAACTGTGAATCAAAATACAGTCTTACTTCATTGGCAGATAGCGATAGCGATAGATAAAGAAAACCAGACACAAAATTAAGATTACAAAACCGGCACTCACCGAAGCGTTGCCCAATAGTAATCGTCAACTTATGGTGAATCGACATGAACTATATGCAATATACATAAACAACAATAACAATACCACTTATTGTAGAACATGTATTTAGCATTATCTGACTTGATATTATTTGATATTAGAACCGTTTTCATTTGCTAGTCAGCTGGCTTTTAACAATTTTTAGTGACCTGCATATACCAAAATCCAGCTAAAGTACTTTATAATGTGCTCCCCCAAAAAGTCATCTTCTGACTTGGGTGCTAGAATAATTACATGTGCTGATGCTTTGATTACATACTACCAGGCATGTAGATGCAAGAAAGATAAGAAAGATCTTTATTGATGGTCCCTAAGCAACTTGTAGGTAACCCATCCATAAGCGTTGAGAAGAATCCGGTGATGATAGAACTGCATTTTGTGATGATTCCTTGGGGATTACCCGGTTGAGTGGATCAGTTTACCGTATAATGAGTCTTGTTGTCAATAACTTTGTAGGCCTCGTAGGGCGAGTGGTATAAACATAGTAGAAGCGAAGAGGTAGTTAAAAGCGGAATTTGGAGAATAGTATTTTGTCTGTCTGAAATTTACAATTTTTTTACGGTGACTACCGAAACCTGCGTAAATGCACTTTTACTTAAACAATAATTGGTCATATTTGCTTTTTAGCTTATCAGTATTAAAGATAAGTTCGACTAAACGCTGAGCAGATAACGTTCAGCTACTATCCATGCTTCAAAGCACATGAAAAATTTACTGAGTTGAACTGCACTAACAAAATAATGGCATGGCTTTGACCAACTTAAGTGAAGACTATGCTACATGATGACTAAGATTTGAGTGTCTCGTTAGATTTTCTTAATCCTTTCCTATTAGGATCTGCAATGTCCGCCCGTGACTGTTCACCAGTTAACAAACAAATACGTAGATACGATAATAACTTAACAAACTGAAGTACTGTCTGGTACCAAATCGGGAAGGGCAATGGGCTTATCGGTAGCTTTGTGTAAAAGACCACGACTTTTGACAGGAGGTTGCTCAATCCCGTCATGGCGTTTTTTCCTGTGAATCGCGGCAATGACCGAGCACCATGTTCTTGGCTGTAGTAGCATATTGAATCGGTTATAGCAAGTGAAAGGTTACCTCAAGAGTGCGGTAGAAAACCATAAGCGGAACGTAATACTTATTATAGGCTTCGACGTGACCGAGAAGAACTGCACAATTCTATTGCTATGAAGTAGCTATCTTGTGTAGCGCTACCTTCTGCGATCTTATCCCATTTAGGTTTACTCAATTACTCATTGTTGCCAAGTAATGCAGGATGGTTGTTCATTATCAGGACAGCGGAGTACTCCATCCTATACTGAAAATACACACGACAACGTCACAAATGACCTTTGAAAGTTCAAAGCATTCAACTCTTCAGAGCCTATAATGCCAATTGCCAGCTTCCAATGCTCAATATAGTGTTGAACGCGTGCTCCGTTTCAATACTGATTGAATGTAATATTTGATAACGTAAAGCATTTCATTTTCTGTCTTATCAAAGCGTCCAATCTTCCACAATGGTTTGTTTTATAAGTACAACTCCTTAATTATAACCACACATCCTGCGGCTGAGAGATAAACGATAGATATCTCCGTAATTCTAAAGTCACTCCATCTAAAGATAAATGTTTTTTTTATGTCTGGCCATCAAGCGTTTCCCAGACAAATTTTTTGGACCAATGTATACCAGTAGGCGACAGAGTGTAAATTGCACCCATTGCTAAAACCAAAAACGTTAAAACTTACTTCATAACGTAAATAGATAATCAATTCAACTACAGCTCGGTTTGCATACTTTAAAATGAACTTAATTCTCCATTTGTATTCCCCATGCTCTTTGTCTATTTTGGTTATTTCTTCCAGTGGAGATCGCCGAATGTCACACAACATCGTCTCCATGTAGTTACACCATGTCATCGTAGTATAATATTCATTGAAAATCCATTCATGCTTTGTTCCATGATGATATGAGTTGGTCAAACGGCGATTAAACGTTTTAATGGAGTTATTCAGGCAACCTTATGCTGTACAAAATAATCTCCAATGTCACCCATGTCATTAGTATACTAACACATAAGAAGGCATTAAAAACCAAACTAGAAAGGCTGTAATAGCCATACAAGATTACAATTACGCTATCAAAAATGTTTTATAAAAGAGAACGATACTATTAGAGTTTGATTATAAAACGAGCCACTACTATAAATGGATTAATTACTACCAACCAAGACCGATAACTTCTGTACCAGCTACAAATGACCTACATTTAGAAGCCGAAGGACCTATGATGATAATTCAATTTCTATTACACCTGCTTTGGTTCCAGAGCTGACAATAATCAAATTACTGTCATCCTAAAAAGGTGAAGCTATAGGAGTTGAAGAAAAGTATCGATCTATGGGAAGAATATCAGTTATTGCAGCTAAGAATTGCTGAATGGTACTTCAGTACTGTTTACGTTTACCTTTCACTTTAGCAATAGCAATAGCTACCTATATTGGTGTCACTGATATACAGAAATTGTTATGAGAAATCTGTACTAGCTCTGGTGAAGGAACTTCAAGCCTTAGTTTTGCAAACCATCAAATCTGAGTTTCTTTATGATAGCACAATGGCGTGAATACTAACTCATAACACCTTGGACGCATCCTCATACTGAATGATGATGTCTTGGATAATAGAGGGCCTCTAGCAGACATCATATATGTCTCGCAGGAGGTAAGTCAGAACTACAAAACTCCTCTAAATAATATTTAACTGATGCTAGGATAGCTCAGATAAATCTGAGGTGGCGATCAATGATGTACGTTTACCGAAACAGTATTCCATCTGCACTATTCTTGCAGGCCTCCTAATGAAAGTACTTTTTGGCATAAAGGTACACATATCAAGTTTCAACATCATAAGACAGACTTAATGAGCCTATCTTTGAAGAATGAATAATAATAATCGTTAATAACACAATCTTGGATTTGAATTCAAACGTGTGTTAAGGTAACCATACACTTCTACTTCTTTAATTACACGGATAAAAGACTTTGGTGTAATTAATTCAGTAAGCCTCAAGACAAGGGAATAGCCAAGTTGGTTTCTGGTACCTTAGTTTCAACATTATTTTCTTCAGACCATAACCTTGTTGCAAAAAGATATTTGACGTGAATAAAAAATGGTCCATCAATTAACCACCAAAAATTCCACTTGGAGACATTCAAACTCCCCAATAGGATGAGAAATCAAGTTATACTCAGTTAACTACTTAACTACATTACCAAAAGATATTAGACTGACGTGAAGATTATTGAGCTTATGCACAGTGTTGGAAGCATAACCACCACTGTAGAAGGAGCACTTCAAAGTTCAAATAGATGTCTTATCAACAACAACTCACCGCAGCTCAGAGGAGCCTTACATCCATCTTTTGAAGTTCAGCGATGTATTAAGAAGAAAGTAAGTAATATAGTGTTGAAGGTGGGTCTTGAAAGAAAAGTCTGCGTCTCACCATACAGACCCTTTAGATGGGACAAAATACAAAAGCGCAAGAGCAAAGTTCGTGGAAGTATTCCAACATCCTTTACTATTCATTGTTATACTTTGTGTGCTACGGGAAACCAACACACGTTTTAAGAAAGTAAGCGTTACGTCTGTCTTGGAATTGACAGCAACTTCATGATTTAGAATGATTCGGAGGATAAGTACGTCAACAGATATCAGATATCTTCCAGAATTTTCAAATGAAAGACCACTCTTGGACATTGATATCTCGCATATTTATGATGAGGTAATACTAATGATAACGAGGTATCCATATTGATCATTAGCACAGTAAAACACTATTTGGGCATATTTCCACCAATAATATATGAATGCTACAATGTCTATTAACTAAGGGCCTTTTTTTGTCACTGAATTAACCTCCTTATCAAGACTTTTTCATAAAACAAATCTAGTTTACATCAACGACACTACGTCTTACCATCTTCAAGCTCCACATTCTGCTTTATATATCCAACGAGACCTTGCAATTTTTGAGTAGCATAATCGTCCAACTGAGAAAGCCTATTCATTATTCCTTCGTTCATGTCCAGTGCACGTTCATTTTTCGCAGCCAGGACTGCGTCTGACTTTCCCGGAGCAATAGCATCAGCACCTTCGTCACCTTCATCATCTTCATCTAATAAGTTTTCACCTTCATCATCTTCATCTTCAACTTCTTCGTTGTCTTCTCTCCCAAGGCCATCACCTGCAACGGCTTCTTTGAGCTCGTCATCAATTTCCATCTGAGATGAAGGTTCTTTAATATCATCATATTCTGTTTGTAAGATTTTTGTAATCTTCAGTGATTCAATAGGTAATTCCTTCATGATTCGATTTAATTTGTAACGCACCAATCGTCTCATTATCTCTGCACATTGATGTACAATCCACCCATCTTGAGAATCAGGCTCATCTCTGAAAAATTGATCTTCCTTCATTTTACTACTAAAAGTAGCTAAAATATCTGGATCGAGAAAGTCTCCAACTTGGTACGTAATTGTAACTGCCTTAGATTTACCATCAAATAACAAATTCTCATGTATACTAAAATCTGCCATTCTTCCTTCTGGCACTTTATCAACGTCAATTGACAGCGGGAGCCTTCTGTTTTCAGAAGTGTATGCTATGCTAGGATTGTTATTGAAATTAACTCCAGGAGTACGGAAATATTCACTTTGATATCTCCAGTACTTTTGATTTGATCGGGGATCAACCCCATATTTGATGTTGCAAAACCTCCATGGCCCCGATTTATAAATATAAGTAACATAAGGTAATGCCTGTTTCAAAGCTGAAAGCAAATGAGGAGGTGCAATGTCTTTCAAGTGCCGTCTTAACCAAATAGGCTTCACAGCAAAGACACCTTCTAACCATCTTATACATTCTAATAATAACTTATCGGGACTGGATTCTTCAAGGTCAGAACTAGTTAGCGATGCAAGATTCTGTATCAACGGTAAACGAGGTGATAATGGTGGATCAGCATAATAGTCAATGATGATGGTATGTAACTTGAGAGTATCCTTTTTAGCAACAACCTTAACTTCACCTGATTCTGTTTTAATTGTTGTTGTTAAAGGATTCTTTTGGTATCTAAAATCAAAGGGATACTTAATATTACTGAAAACAGGTGGAGGTGGTAAGTGGTGATCGATATTAGCATATGAATCTGGGTCCTTGAAGTCCTCAATACCTTGAAAAGACAGATGCAGCGTAACAAATTTCACAACGTTTTCATATGTTTTGGCACCCATAAACTCGGTGGTGAACTCTTGGACGTATTTATTATTCTTAGTACTAACTTGGAAATCAGCAATCAGTTTGAATGAATATGTTTTATCTATGATAGCCACAGGTCTTACTCTGTACTTGCCACTTTTGCTTTGAGCCAAAAGGTCTCTCACTTTGTAGTTATCTGGATTATCATAATAATCTTTAGGCAATGAATCCTTGGGTATTGATACTTTGAGTAGCACTTTCTCGCTAGTGCTTAATATACTTTGAATTGGATGATGATATGGATCTTTAGGACGTAATCTTAACTCTAAAGTACTGGCTCCGGTATTCTCTTCACTTATATTATTGTTAATATTAAGTGGATTTAATTTCTTATCTCCGCTGTTTAAACCTTTATTACTATTCGAGGAAGAAGAAGAATTGATACTCGGACTCTTTAGACGTTCCTTCAAATTCTTCATATTATTCTTAGTGCTTTGGCTCACAACAGTCAATGCTCTTCTTGTGTGCAGTGAGTTGACTGCCTGGGCTATTTTATCTTGACCTCCAATCATTTCAATGGCCTTAGCAGTGTTATTTACTATTAATGGTAATTCAACAGCCGCCACATGAGGAATATCCATTGCATGTTTATGAGCTATTGTTTGATTCTTTGTCATATTGAAGGTTGAATTGATCAAGTGGATGTTAATTGGGTAGGGCTTTGATGGCTAATGTTTTTGTTTATATGTATTCTCAACCACCCTCGAGTTCAGTCGGAAATAATATACCGAGGGTAAAGCGAACACAGATTTTGTTTATCTCACGTGACTGGAATTTTCATGTTCATTCAACTCTTTTCTATTTCTGACAAGTATATACAATGAAATAAGCTTCATTATTTTTATTTTATGCAGTAAATTCTTGTTGCTTATTTTGGATTATGCCTTTAACAAGCTTCTACCTCTTGAATAATCTTCTACGTCTTATTTGAAGGTCCTTCATTATTTACGTGCCCTTACCAAATATACTCATATAGTGATGTTTCCTCAGAGCAATGGCAATTTAAGTAACATCTCTATTTCCGTTCCAATAAAGCATTCTCATGTGTAAAGTCCAGGTAATCGCATATAATGCTTAGTCAGTTGGGTATACGATATTTACGTCCTTCACTAGGTCTCATTGGTAAATTGAGAAGTACTGGTTTTCCTATTAAAGGTCCACTAGTTCTTACCTCTAGAAGTATACGATTTAGTGCACAATTACGGGATTCAAAACAGAGACAACCTGAAAAGCCAGATAAGCCCATTAAAGAAGATATCAATGAAGATGTCAAAGGAAACAAGTTAATCCAAGATGACAGTCAACAAACATCTCAAGAAAATGCGTTCAAAGCTGCTATAGAAGCATTCAAACTGGATAGAGTACATCGTAATCGTATAATACGAGATCACCTTTTACTGACCACCAATAACATCTTCAGTCGAATACGAATACAATGGAAATGGCTAGTAAAGAAATCAAATAACCCATTCAATACAGATGATTATTCTGCTATGTTTTCATGGCTCATGATGGGGAATGCCTTGTTGATCATTCTTGGTACCACTACATTCTTCTCGATGATTATATTTACTCTCAATACTGTTTTTGCTCAAGAGTTTGTGGCCCAGAAGTTGGGAGAGTTCATTACTAAGAATTCCAATTTGACGGTTACTTTTGAAGAAGCCATTGTTCCTACTTGGTCTGATGGGAAGATTAGTTTCAGGAAATGTTCTTGTAGTAGAAGACCTCGGAAGATAAAGACTTTTGTGAAGAAATCTCAAGCAGAAGCTATAGCTGATACAGAGGAACAAGTTGAAGAATTTGATGATGGAAATTATACACAATTTGATCTTACAATTGAAGAAGTCAGTATTACTTTATCATTTCGTAAGTGGTTAGCCGGAACAGGTATTATAAAAACCATGGAAATGAGAGGCATGAGAGGTGTGGTAGATCGTACTAATGTTCATTGGGATCCTGATGATGATGCTACTAATTATAAAAATATTGCCCAACCTGGTGATTTTGAATTTGATGTTTTCAAAATGGAGGACGTTTTATTTGAGTTAATGCAGCCTGCTGGATTCAGGCCGTTTAACGTTGCCATTTATAATTGTGAACTATCAAGATTGCGTAAGCATTGGCTTTTCTTTGATTTTTTAAATGCTGATGTCATGAATGGAGCTTATGATAATGCTCTTTTTACCATTCATAAGAAACAACGATTACTGGATTTCAAAGTGGGATCACAGTTAACAACAAAAGGTAATCCTTGGCAAAGAGTAACAAGATGTCGTGTGGATTCCCTTAATATTGACCATTTAAATACCGGGTTAGAAGGTCCATTTGGTTGGATAACTGCTGGTAAAGTCGATATGATTGGAGATGTAATGATCCCTAAAGAACCCGACCAAAGTATCAATGTGAGTGAGATTGTTACCATTATTGCACATTCCATTAAAAAGGAAGCCACTAGATATAAGAATCCAGAAGTAAAGAAACAACAACATCCAGATTTACATATGAGATTGACCAGAGATGATTATAAGGATATTTCCAAATATTTTGTATTGGATTTGACTATCAAACTTCACAATGTACGTGCCATGGTTCCATTCCAAGCTCCTGAGCTTTCATACATCAATTATGCATTGATAAGGCCCATTGTTGCTTACATCAACTCCAAAAATACCTTTATTGAGATCCACAGTAGAATTGTCAAGAATATGCAAGACTTTAGTGGTTCATGGACCATCTACGATTCCCTTTTAATGGACGATATTTCCGAAGAGGTATATGATAGTTTTGTGGATTATGTTGCGGATGAACAAGAAAGATATACCCGTATGGCAAAGGTTGGGTTCTGGTCGGTTCAACTATTATTTCAATTAATAGTGATTGGACTTGGGGCCATTTCATGAATTTACATTCTGAGCACCAATATCAATAATGTTGTATAACTTGCTAAGCTTATAGCAGTGAGGAGAATGACGGAATTACCACTGGTTTTAAAGTACTCCATATCCTTTTCTGGATTATAAAAAACATCAACGGAAGCAGCCTTGTATATACCTAAGAAATAAAATATCAGTCCGTAGATGGTATAAACCATTCCAATGGGTAAGAATTCTCTGGAGAATAACTTAATTATTAAAATAGCAAATGATAAACATCCAATGGCTGATCGGGTATAAGCACCTTCATATGTTCTTTGGTAAGCTCTAATGTCTAACTTTAAATTGTTAGCTAGGAGATCGAGTCGTGATGGGAGTCGTTCAACCCTTGGAGATATTGGACTTGGCAGATTGAAGGTAATCTGATCGTTTGGATCTACTCCTCGAAAGGTTGGTGTAGACATGGGTCAAATGAAATAGTATACAAGTATAATTCAGTATAGTATAATCAATGCCGGAGTTAATCCTTTTAATTAAGACTCCATGGTTGGTTTACAAGATTTCACTACTCCTTACTATGCAACTGAAGGGGTGTCGTGATCTTGAGCCACATCTTATATGCCCGGTGGGTACACGAATATGAAATATCCACGTGAAGTAGCACGTGATCTTGATACTGATTGAAGTTGTATATTTGATCAATAGTATTTGAAGTTATGGGTTTATTCATTCCACATCATTGTTGATTACTTATACACAAACATGGCATATCCCAGACGGTATTGGGTCAAGTTGAAAGTCCCTAAAAGTATACTTGTTACATTACCCGATTTCCCCACACCTATATCTAAAACTCGACTCAAGAAGATTTCTGCTGAAGAAAGAAGGAATGCATTGGCAGCTGCAGCTGCAGCTTCTTTAAACCCCTCTGGAGGTACTAGTGGCCTTCTGAATGTCACAACTGGAGTGAATTCAGCTTCTCCTTCATCACCTGCTCCAAGTGAAACAGCATCAATATCAGTTAATACATCAAATAAGATTGCCCCTCGAGAACCATCAACTGCAGGTCTTACAATGAATACAGTCACTAATACATCAGCATCGCTTGATCGGACTGGGAAACATGTTCGAAAATGGACGCGTAAGAAGCACACGTTTAAGACTTTTACTGGATTTACAGTAGAACGTGTAACTTGGAGAACTGAGACCCAAATCACTCTGACAGATCCAGCAACTCCCAAGATAAAGACAGAAGTATGAAACTGGAACAACAATTCGATATTATCATCTTGATGATAAGTAATGTTGCTAGAGATTAGTACGACTAACTCCTAGGATTAAGTATTTGAATATGACATAGGGAATTATAATATGAATTAGCCATGAAGATATTCACTTATTATACGTCTATTATCCCAGTAGATATGACCTTTTATTATCACCATTTGCAATTAATACTTTTGGTTCAACCGTAGCAGGATTAGTATTGCAAGCACTTACATGATGTTCACTATAATAATTAGTCAATATAAATATACCGCTCATTACCAATCATGTAAATGGTCAATGTGATCAGTCATTTCAATTTATCAATTGTTACAGGTCAGATTGTCCATGGTTAATATGACATGTAACAAATTAAATCGCACTGAAAAATTTACTATATAAACCCATTGATAACCCGCTTACTTTACCATTTGTGATCGATGCTTGTGTCACAACAACATTTAAGACGTCATGGAGTCGCATTGTTGTATCAGATGAGACATCATTATCGTTGTTGTTCGTCTTCAGTAAAGCCCACTATAGATACATCACCATCATCATCATCATCAACTCAGAATAACTATACTATCTCGAATAAACAACAGTTATACATAACTGATGAGATGGCTCCTGGATCTATATTCTTCTTACCGCATGGAACTCGTATATTCAATCGTTTGGTTCAATTTATGAAGAACCAGCAAATCAAATATGGGTTTCAAGAGGTGATAACTCCATTGATATATAAAACAAAGCTTTGGCAACAATCTGGACATTGGGATAACTATAAAGAAGATATGTTTAAAGTCCTAGGTAACGATCCCACAAAGGAAGAGGATATTATAGATGATGATGGTAGTGAAGGACTTCATGATTATGGGTTGAAACCTATGAATTGTCCAGGTCATTGTTTAATATTTAGTAGATTTGAAAGATCATATCATGATTTACCAGTCAGGTTTTCTGATTTTTCATCATTGCATAGAAATGAAGCCAGTGGAGCTCTTTCTGGGTTAACAAGGGTTAGAAGATTCCATCAAGATGATGGTCATATATTTTGCGAATTAGGTCAAATCAATTCTGAAATTAAAAATACCATTCAAATGCTTAAGGATGTTTATAAAGTGTTTGGCATTGAAGGAGATAACATTGAGTATTTTTTATCAACGAGACCTGAAGAAAAGTATATTGGAGATTTGATTACTTGGGATGAAGCTGAGTCTCAATTGACAGATGTACTTGATGAAATAGTGGGAAGAAAGAAATGGGAAATCCGTGATGGTGATGGAGCATTTTATGGACCTAAGATTGATGTTTTATTAAAAGATGCATTTGGAAAGAAACATCAAGTTGGTACTATCCAATTAGATTTCAATTTGCCTGAAAAATTTCATTTAAAATATAGGTCAGCCGACGGTTCTGATCTGAATAGACCAATAATGGTTCATAGAGCAGTTTTTGGATCTCTTGAACGATTCCTCGCCATTTTATTAGATCATTATCAAGGTAAATGGCCATTTTGGCTTAATCCCAGACATGCAATTGTTTTACCAGTTAATCTGACTCATGTGGAAGCTGCTGAAGGCATTCAAAAGCAATTAGTTGGTGATATTTTAAATGATGAAGTACAAGTTTCTCCAATAACCGGTTATAACTTTTATGTGGATGTGGATAGTAGGAATGATACTATTGGCAATAGAATTAAAGATGCCATTCAAAAAGGATACTCTTATATTATTATGGTCGGTGATAGAGATATTGAGAATGGAACTGTTGCCATTAGATCCAGAGATAATAGGAAAGTGTCCAATATGACTCCCATAGAAGTTAGAAACATGTTTATTGAACTTGAATGTCAATATAAGTGAACCTGTAATTAGACTTTTACATATACTTTTACATAGAATTATGATTAATGCTTACCGTAGCCCTTTGATAATAAGATCTTTTCTATTTCAGCCCAAAAATCCTTCACAATCATCTTGTCTCTGAATCTTTTGTCACCTCTATCAACCTTAATCTCATGAACATTCCAATCCTTTATTTGTTTAGGAGGTACATCACTCAGATATCCCAAGTAGAAACCAGCATACTTTTGGAATAATCTTTCTGGTTGTGAATATTTATACTTGGAAAATTGCCATGCTTGACCGGTGGTGAATATAGCAATAACTCGATCCCAATATTCTGGTTTGGTAAAAAGATCAACGTTATCTACCACCATGATTTGTTGAGCAGCTGAATCCAAGTTTTCAAAGTTATGTTTAACAATAACAATGTTGTCTGATCTAGAATATGATGATGATGATTTGCTAGGTTCAACAAACACTCCCTTTTCAAGAAAATCCTTGACGTTGCCAAGAGATAGTAAAGCTGTGGTGGCAGGTGAAACAATGATAATGGGTTGTTTCTTTGGTCCATTACTATTATCTGAAGAAGATCTAAAGGATGAAGAATGTTTACCTGAAGATTGTTTCCCATTGATCAGAGCTTTTTTCAATTGTTGAATATATCGATTGGCATCTTTAACCAAATATCCAAAGTCAATGTTTTTGGTTCCTCTTAAAGCACTATTATGGTCTATACTCTCTCTTTCATTATTTTGAATTCTATCTAATACAGGATCAGCTTTTTGTTTCTTGCTTCTATGGTCGTCGGATATCGTTCCAGTAGTAGTAGTAGTGGATTTAACACCTCCATCCGTTTCTTTAGAGTCCTCTGCTTCCCGAATATATCCATTGGTATCTGAATTCCCATTCAACCATGTGGTCAACTCGGTCTTAACCACAAATTTGAAATCAGGAATCCCATACTCTAAACATTGGTTCTTGTAGTCAACGATCGACAGCTTATCATGAAGCCAACAGAACACAACTGCCTTTAACGTTTGAGGTTCATTATCAATGTATAAATTGGTTAACTCATCCAATGGATACTTAAGGTCATTATTTTTACCAAACTTAACATATGTAGCGTCTTTGATGGTTGCAACTTCATTGTCTCCAGATAAAAGAACCACGGCTTCTTTGTTCGCAGTGGCAGCACGAAGCTCTCTCAATGCTGTGCTGTTTACCATCGTTTATGCCTAGTGTTTTTCACTTGTTAGTTGGCTTCTGGTGGTGATAAATTTTTGATGTTTGTCACTCCAGATAATTTTTTTTCTCTCAGTTCGCGCGTTACTGCATATACCGCAACGGTTGTATCATTACCTCTCAAAGCTAATACTAGTGACATTGATATTCGTGAGGGAAGCAGATACACAGTAATAACCATTATGACCTCCAATGGGGTTGTAAGTAAAGCAGAGATTATTCAATGGACGGAGGAAGCGCTCTCTGCTCTAAAAGATGCACGGATACTATGTACAGAAGCTAGCATTATGCTAGAGAAAATCAAGCACACCTTAACCATTACTGTACCTGATAAGATTGAATACGCAGAGTTTTTAATAGAGAAAGTTGGGGTTCAAAATGGTAGAATTGGGTCTATAGTTCAACAAATACAAAAGAAAGTTCAAGGAGATTTGATTGATACTTTTGAACGGAAATGGAATAGTCAAATGATTCCTGCAATGAAAATATTGGATGATATTCTAGGTAAATTAAGTGAAACTAAGATACCAGAATTTGTACTAGATCCAAATAATGAGGATCCAAATGACGAGTCAAAGGGATATCATCGATATCTACGAGATTTTGTATCCGATGATGCCATTGAACTGCTTAAATCCAATATACATATCCATGAAACTCGTGCAAGACTAATTCATAAAATGTTAAAGGCAAAATTTAATCTGGATGTTTTAATTCCCTTCCAAAAGCTTCAAAAATTTCAAGATCTGATTGGTGGTGACATTCAAAAACAATTGCAAGTCCTTGAGACGTTGCTGTATGAACTAAAGGATAAAACGGGGTTTACTCAAAACGTTTTAAAGGAAAATGTATCTTTGGAACTGGAACTAGTATCACTTCTCGAAATGCTTACAAAGCATTATGACCAGTGTTTACAGGGAAAGAAGTTGTTTACCAACTCTAGAACAGGGTCAGTCATTGCTATTGACTCAGATATTCTCAGAAATGATTCGCAGGCTGTACCAGGAGTCACTGAAGAATTAAAGACTCTTTATGACATGGTAAAACATAATAATGACAGAGTAACTAAGCTTGTTGATTCTAGACTGCCATATTTGAACACTGAGCGTCTTGTTGAATATTTGGATCGTATACGTCATTACCAAGCCACCAATATCGTGGGGTTTCTGCAATTGCTTTATGGTTCAGAGAAAGAGTTGGTTATTTCTTCTGTTCCTGATGAAGATGAAGATGATGGTGATGTACATGTGGATCCTCTTGATACGTATATCTCAATGGTGGGGGATCTTAGTTTCCATTACAACAAGTTCTATCATATCTACAAGACCAAATACCTTAGTGAACTTCATAATGAACAATATGTGTTCCCTAGGAAGATTGTAAGGTTGTTGACCGAGTTCTTTGACAAGGACATGTTACAGTTACAAACAGAAGAAACGGAAAGACGAAGAGCATGGCTCGCGAAATATGGTGACTTCATCCCTAAAGAGTTTTGGTTACCAGGAGAACAGAGTCAGCCTCACGTGGTGCAGGTAATCACTGAAGGTGTTGATGAGAACGAACTTCGACATGATCTGGAGAATGAACAGAGACTCCTACAGCTTATACGACAAATGAGGGACATGAAGTAATGAAAACGATACTCAGTCATTGTAATAGTAATCGCTCTAATGTAGTCATCTTGTGTCGTCTTGAATCATTCTACCATAGTTATCTTGAGTCATCATGTAGTCTATTCCATAGGCATCTTTATCTTTATGAGTGCGAAAATCATAACACTCAACTAATTCATAACTACATTCAAGCATCATCATCTTTTCCCATGTGTCATGGTAGGCTTTATAGCCTTCAGTAGAGGCAACGACAGTGTTACCGCCAGCGATGAGTCTCAAGGACCATCTATGATGAGTGCTGCAGTTTTTGACCGAGATCTGTACGACTATTCTGACATAGAAGAAGATATAAATGAAGATGATGAGCATAATCACCATCATCTCCATGATCACAGTGCATCGCCACCACCTACAATAGCAGACCAGTATCAGAAGTATGGTATAGGTGCTCGGCTTTTGATGAAGATGGGGTTCCAGCTGGGTAAGGGATTAGGTGCCAATGGTGAAGGTATAGCAACACCCATTGAGACTCAACTACAACCAAAAGGCATGGGAGTTGGAGGAGTCTCAGAAAAGAATAATAGTAATAAACATCAAGATAGGATTAAGGATTCGACTAGTCAACTGTTGGATCAATTGCCCAAGTTGTATCAACTATTAAAGCATGTTGAGAAACTACCGATACAAATCCCCAGTTATTACATAGAATTGAATAACAAGTGCTCTCAGTTCAAGACCCCACCGGTTACAGAAACCGAAACACAGGCGTATTTCCAACTTGTTAAGGAAGTTAAAACTGCGTTCAGAAATCTATCGGAGTTCAGAGATGCCTATGTCCAATTAGACTCCAAGAAAGAATATCTTGAATCAAGTATTGCCGATTGCAGACGTATGTTACATCTAGAATCTACGGCAGCTGAAACCATATATGGTGTTCTAACTGGGCTACGAGAATTGGAACGAACTTCATCAGACATAGATCATGATGTTGTTGTTCTACAGGCCTTACAAAAACTACCTAGTTGCAAGGTATATCCTAGAATCAGAGAAGTCTATGTTTCTGTAGCCAAATTGATTGTACCTGGGATCATCAAGAATTATTTTGATAAGGTATCTCTGGATCTTGAACCTCTCTATCGAATGACTTCAATGTTCAAAAGTATTGCTTATCTGACTGATGATCCAATGGAAGATACAGAGCTTACTGTTTGGGATGCATATATTATCGAGCAGTTAAAACCGTTTGTGGAACAAGTTTTGGATCCTCGTATGAAGAGTGACCATTGGCTTTTGCTAAATAGAATTATCCAGGACAACGATAAACTCTATTGCAGTGAAAAGAATGTATGGATGGAAGTATCAGAAATAGTTCTTTCTAAGCTAAACCGCTTTATCAAATCCGAATGGGATTTAGAGGCTTCAATAGATATTTGTGGGTATTTATCTCGAATAATGGAAGTATTTCAACTTTCCAAACACCCACAATTTACGCTATTGGTTGATGAAGTAGTCAAGATATATCTTGATGTGTTCAGTTCACAGCTGGAGCATTGTATCTGGCAAGCACCATATAAAACTGCTATGAATGTGCTTGACTGTTTCAGTTTTGGTTTCTTGAGTGGACTTACAAAAGTGGAGACCCTTAAAACCACTATTTTAGTTGGAATTTTAAGTTTCCTAACAGACTTAAAATGGGACACTTCTCTTTGTTATGACAAATTGGATATTGTATTTGAACTTTTAATCAGACAGTCAAATATCTTTCCTAATTGGACTACAGTTATCATCCTTGAGTTTATGGTACTTAATCCGTTTGTTCTTCATATTTGTCATCTGATTGAAGACACTATCAGTGTGAGCAAGCAGATCCATTCGTTTTACTATTATCTTCAAGACGTTATACGGAAGTATATGCTTCAACAGGATGAATTCAAAAGTCTCTTCAAATGGTACATGAATATAACCTTAGAACTAATAGAAAGTTACACGGCAACAGGGGTTGTTCATATGAAGGAGCTTCCCAGTATTAATGGAGATATTCAACCTTCAACTACAAAACTAGAACAAGTTATTTTAGAGCAAGAGCACTCGGTGAAGGGTCTCAAACAGACACTGTATATGACAACGTTTAAAGATGTTGTTGAAAAGTATTGCGAGGAAGCTTTTATTGGTATGACCTTATTACAATCCCATAGTATGAAAGGACAAGTTTTTCAATTTTCTGGAGCTGATATTTCAAAGCGGATCTTCGGCTATATCTCGGATGATGTGCTTTATGTAAGCGACCAACACACTGATCTTGAGTCATTTGAGCCAGTGAGTCTTGACGAATTAAGAAACATGATAGTGGAGACAACATAGTAGAAAATCTGCATGGTTCATTGTATTATATAAGAGTTTTAGCTAATTGAAGTAATTATCCACTAGCGAATAAAGTAGTTGGTATATTGTCCAAAATCGTCACGTGATACATTCTTTTATCACCAAAGTCGTACGCATCTCGACAGCATATTAAAGAAGTGGAACAATAAAGTTGCTACTACTAAGATACTTACTGCTTGCTATGATGCACAGAATTATAAGGCAAATGCCCTTACGGGCAATCTCCGGTCGAGCCAGGTTAGTCGCCACCAAAAGGGGATACAGTAACTTTGAAAAGATGAAGAAGCACTATGACAATATCGCGATCGAAGGGTCTCTGGAATCAACAGCCATTCTAAAGTATATGAGATTGGTGGGTGGAGTTTCAATCATAGTAGTGATTTGTTCCATCATGTGGGCCAGTACTATGGTGTCTCCAGTACAAGAGCCTTACACTTTGGACTTGAGCAAGGATGTCAGGGAAGAAGAAGAAGAAGAAGGCAAATAAAATAGTGAATGTGCACCTGTAAATAGTTTGATTAATGTATGTTTCCGAACCCATTTTATTATGAGTTAAGACGTGGTTATAAGAAGTAATATTTAAAGTGTATAGAGCTCAATACACTCACAAAAATATCTGAAGATACTTCAGTCGGAGAAGATTATTAGAAGCATTAGTTAGATTATAAGTTGTGTAAGTCTATCGCTTCAGGTCGCTAACGATTCCGCCTTTGATTAAATCTGACACCATCTTACACAGAGACTGGTTCAAGGAACTAGTGATTCAAATGCCTGCCCTTGAATAAATCCCTCAGTCACGTGCCCGGTAGTTTGTATATCAACACTTTTTCGCGTACTTCACATAAAGCTTCTATGTGTTATGTCTGGAGCGCAGCCTGCAGTATCTGTAATGATTTTACGTACTATGAAAAGTTTATTTCCGTCCATTATAGGATGAGAGCGACATTTTTGACACATATGCGGAGAAACGGTTCAGGGTGTTTCTCCGAGGGCGTTGGGTGCAAAACAAAGATACTCAAATCCAAATCAAAAAAGTATGCATCAATAGTGTAGCCCTCATTGTGGCGAAGATTGGGAATTTATATTAATAATCATTTTAAGCGCCCCCAGTGGTATATAATAACCAGATGTATCCGTATAAAGAATAAGTTCACAAATAGTACCACCACCTTATATCTCTACTATATAATTATGTCTTCTACAGTTTTCGTCACCGGCGCTAACGGTTTTATCGCACAGAATTTGGTCAGCAAGTTGCTTGAAAAGGGCCACAAGGTGATTGGCCAAGTGCGCTCTGGGGAGAAAGGCACTCAATTGGCTAAGATTGTGAATAATGAAAACTTTTCTTATGTTGTTGTTCCTGTAATTGAAGCAAAGAATGCCTTTGATAAGCCATTGAAGGATCACCCGGAAGTGGAAACCTTTTATCATACTGCTTCTCCAGTTAGATTTTCTGATGAAGATGTTGAGAATCAAACGCTTATTCCAGCTATCAACGGTACCAAATATGTTTTGCAATCCATTAAGGACTATGCTCCACAACTTAAACATTTTGTGTACACCTCTTCCGCAGGTGCATTGGTTGACTTTAATAACCTTTCAATTGTTAATGAAGAATCTTGGTCTCCAATTACTTACGAGCAAGCCAAGGGCAGTGGGGTGGGTGCTTATGTAGGGTCAAAGAAGTTTGCTGAACAAGAAGTATGGAAGTTCCGTGATGAATACAAGCCAAAGTTCTCTGTTGTGACTGTTTTACCTTCCTTTGTTCTAGGTCCTAATGCTTATGTGGCCGATTTAAAGAACTTGACATCAACTGGTGCCACTTTTAGTAAGTATATCAATGCCAAGACTAGAGAAGAATTGGAAGACATGCTTCAATTCCCTTCTGGCGTTGATATTAGAGATGTTGTTAATGCCCATGTCTTTGCGGCTGAAAATGAACTAGCTAATGGTAAAAGACTTGTTTGTCATAGTGGTACATATAATGCTGATCTTGTGCTTACCATATTGAATGAAAAGTTCCCAGGAAAGACTAATCTTAAGCCAAGTGAGCAATCTTCTTCTCAAGTACCCGATGTTATTGATAATAAGGCTACTAAGGCTTTATTGGGAGAGTTTATTTCCATTGAACAGTCAATCACTGATGCCATTGACCAGCTTGTTAAGAATGGCGTTTTTTAATCTGGTATTATGTATATGATCACTACTTTTTTAAATCTGACGAGCTACAATACGAGTCGCCTTACCCAGTTGTAAACTTGAAAAGTAAATATGGTGTTTTCATAGTAATTCGGAGTAGATCCTTTTATTATGTGTGGTCGTGCGTGGCCTGAACCTGTGTTGAATCGATTGCAGATAGAGGCTGGATGCTTAAATCTAAGGTATTTAGTAAGGACGCTGTTACCTCGGCCCGGGTATTACAAACAAAAGCTTAAGATCCAGCTTAACGTACAAAAAATGAAATTAAAGGGTTCACCTCCTCTTCTGTATTCCACTTTGGATATAGTATGATTATGTCACTACTTACCTAATTAGTGCAGCAGGGTGCTTACACTATGATGGCCGGTATTGAAGCACCGTGATCGATGCAAAACAACACCGGACAAGGAGATTAAGTATTAACATAACAGAGCCTTACTTTGTATAGCAGAGCCTTATTTCAAACGTTTGCCATCATGAATATTTATTGTATCCAGTCAGTTTACCTAATTGTACATTTGAGACATAAGTAATCCATACCAGACCTGTTTGTATATAGTCAGTGTTTGTAGTTGTAACAGTGTATCGGTAACTGCGTACTTTATACCCGACTTATGGTCGTGCGCAGGATGAAAAATTTGTCAGCCAAGTTGAACTTGACCAAAGTATTCTTCAAACTATTGCCACTAATCTTCTTCACTAAACATGTTTACTAGAGTCGGTAGAGTTGCTAGAGTTGCCAGGGTGGCTCCCAGAGTTGCTAAGGCTGGCATGAGACCATATTCCACGGCCAAGCCCACTTCTTCCTCTGTGAAGATTACTCTTGGAGTTGCTGTTGGTCTTCTTGGAGCTGAAGCTATTTATTTGTTGAGTACCAAGTCTGGAAAGTCTGGAAAGTCTGGAAAGGCTAGTGAATTGATTGAAGCTGTCAAAGTTCCTGAGGTGGCGGAAGAAATCAAGTCTGTTGTTGCCGAAACCACTGAATCCGTTAGTGAAGGTGCCTCTCAATCTGTGGCTGCTATTAGTGAAGCTGCCAATGCTATCTCTGAGTCTATTCCTGAAACCATTTTGGATTCTGAAACTGCTGCTGCAATTTCCGAGACTATTGCTAAACTTGAAGTAGCTGTATCTCAACTTGAAGAAAAGTTTGATGGTGTTAAGGACCCCAAGAAGCTTAACGAAGCCGTTCAAAAAGTTGAAACCAAGTTGGAACAAGCTGTAGATGAAGTAGTGGGTGAAGCAAAGAGTTTGGTAACAGAAGAAAGCGAAGACGATGATCAACAACAGCAAGCTGCTTACAACCCAGAAACAGGTGAAATCAATTGGGACTGTCCCTGTTTAGGAGGAATGGCTCATGGTCCTTGTGGTGAAGAATTCAAGGCAGCCTTTTCATGTTTTGTTTATTCTGAATCGGAACCAAAGGGAATGGATTGTATTGAGAAGTTTGAATTGATGAGAACGTGTTTCAGAAAGTATCCTGAAGTCTACCGTGAACAATTGTACGAAGATGATGAAGAGCCTGAACCTGAACCAGTGACCAAAGCTAATGATTGAAACATAGAATTAGAAAAAGCTGTACATAGTTTGTAACTCTATATGTAAATATGCATCAATGAATAAAGAAAGAACAGTTAAATGTAATCATAATTAAATTGAATTGAAACGGTGGTTAGTCTTGTTAACATGCACATCTTGAAGCGATTAAAGGTTCATTCAAGTCAATACTATCAAATCCTTCAATGTTACGTCTGGCTTCACCTTCATTCCCATCCTGAAGTTGAAGCTGTAGACCCACTTGAGCCACTCTTTGAAATACCTTTTCCACCAACTCTCTTTGCTTACAACTAACCTCTAATAAGTCAGTGGTCCAATTTAATATATAATCATCGATAGAAGCAGTTTCAAGGTTCCTCGTGACTAGTTCTCGAATCTCTTCAGCATCTACACATCGGTCCCTATTTCTATCTATCTTATTTCCAACGATTATAACTCCGGGTCGGGTAACGTGACAATACTCAAGAAACCTGCTAAACCAATCACGGAGACTTATTACTGATTCGTAATTGGTGACATCATATACTAGTACCACCACATCCGTGCCTCTATAGAAAGCCTGTGATATTGAATTGAACCGTTCTTGACCTGCGGTGTCCCAAATTTGAAGTATAACTTTAGTGGTAGAATCCATATCTAACTCTGGTTGATCGTTAAACGGAACAACCAGATTTGATGCTGTTTCGGATAAACTGGTGGTGGTACTAGTGGTATTCGGATTAATATCTCGTATCTTGGTTGATCCATTGGGAACATTAACTGTATACGTTAAATAGTCTCCCCCTATTGTGGCCTTGTATGCATTGGTAAATACATGATGGACATACTGCAGTCGCATACATGTTTTCCCCACTCCCAGATCACCTAATAGAACCACTTTAAGAGTATTGGGACGATGGGGTTCTTCCATTATTATCTGTTCGCCAACAGTACCCTCTTCTCTCTTGGTACACCCTATGGTTAGCTGAAAAGGTCCCGTTACCATTGACTGATTGTTGGTTTAAAACAGTAAGTGGCCTGTGTATAACCACCCTACGATACGGCGGTGCGGTGTGACGACCAAAACATCAACAGAAAAAAAAAAAACCTAACCTAACACCAAACGGATTAAAAACATCTTTACTTAACAAAAGCAATCAACAAAGCGCTTTATTTTATTTTACTCCAACGGATAAACTTACCCGTGCATATACATACATATCTACACATCCTATTAATATAAACCAATACTCGAATCATGCAGATTTATTATATTGGATTAATCCGTACCACAGGAGGTAAATCACTTGAATTGAGTTCCGCCAAGGAGTTATCATCATTCTCCTTCTTTGAACGTAGTAGTATCAACCAGTTCATGACGTTCTTGGCTGAAACTATTGCTGAGCGGACCGAGGCTGGTCAAAGACAAAGTGTTGAAGAAAAGGGATACATTTGCCATGCTTATACTCGTTCTGACGGATTATCTTGTGCAGTTATCACCGATAAAGAATACCCCATTCGTCCTGCGCATACTCTTATGAATAAAGTGGTTGATGAATATTTGAGTTTACATCCTGCAAGTGAATGGTCTTCGATAACTCAAACCACTTCGGCCTTACATTACGATTCCTTAGATACTTATATCAAAAAGTATCAAAACCCTGCTCAAGCTGATTCAATCATGAAAGTACAACAAGAATTGGATGAAACCAAAGTCGTGTTACATAAAACCATTGAAAGTGTTTTAGCCAGAGGTGAAAAGTTAGATTCATTGGTTAATAAATCCGAAGCCTTATCAAGTACTTCTAAGATGTTTTACAAGCAAGCAAAGCAAACCAATTCATGTTGTGTGATTATATAAGTATGGACCAGATAGTACAATTAATAGTATGTAGAGTAATAGTAATAGTATGTTAATATTAAATTATGTTATGTGTGCTAGGTTTAATGCCCACTGTTATATTGTCTATTTATGGCATGTTCGCTCTAACCACATCAAATGCTTTGAGTAACTTACGACGGGCTCCAAGGGCCTTTACACCTCGTTGTTCCAATTGTTGATCATCCAACTCAACCAAGTCTCTCCACAGAATATCCTTCAAGGAATCTGTGTACTTGTGTAACCGTAACAACTTCAACCATGCAGGGATGTTGTTCAACAACTCTAAACTGCTCACTTCGGCCGGCATCGAACTAGGAACCATAGAACTCGAAGAATTGGGCGATGTGCCGGTGGAAGTGGTAATAGAACTGGTGGAATTGGTATGGTTCATATTACTCGAGGCTTGCTGCTTAGAACCATTGTTCCCGGTTTTAACATGATACATAATCGATCGGTTCCCAGTATTGGATCCAATGGGTGGAACACTGGAAGAATTCAAACTTCGATTGATTCCAGAAGTCTCATCAAAATTAGATCGAACATAATTGTTAGGACTTCCTAATACTTGAGAAACAGTGGTGGGTCCAGAAGGTGTCAACGAAGAAGAAGTTTGGGATGAAACACCATAATTTTTCCGGTTGGAATCGAGAGCTACTCGGGAGTTAATCGTAGCCAATGCCCCTAATTTCAAAGCATTTGTATGGGCTGTAATGTCCATTTCTTCCTGATTCCCACCACCACTAATCTGAATACTAGGAGACTTGCTACCTTGGTTCTGATTGGCTGCCGCAAGCTGTAAGAAGTTTGTCTTTTCAAATAAATGAGAAGCAGGAGAAATGGCTCTTTCCGGGTTGGATGTACTAATAGTACTAGAACCAGAATTCGAAGTCCCGAGTGGGACACTAGCAAGTTTGCTCGAATATTGTGCTGATGGCGGGGTACCTGATCCCGCATGAATAAAATTGTTGTTGTTGTTGTTATTGGTATTGTTATGATGACCAACAGGTAACGATGTCATTCCGGAGCCAGTTCTTAACATAGGATCAGCAGATTTGGGTCTTTGCGTACGAACGTCCATGTTTTGGAAATACTGACCAGAGTATCTATAATTAACTTTTGGTTTGGGTTGCTGCAAATCAGAGTATTCATTGCCAGATATATCAACGTTGAGCGTGGGGTTGGACTTTACTGTGGGAGCAGCGATGGGGTCGACAGCTTCCGAATACAATTCTTTCGATTGATAGGGCGACGTATAAGACGAATATTGTTGTTGTTGTTGTTGTTGTTGCTGCTGTTGCTGTTGCTGTTGTGGAGGCTGTGGTTGTTGCTGCATCAAAACTTGGGAATGTCCTGTCAAATGGGAATCCAAGTGAGATTTGAAAGTAAGTAAAATGTCTAATGGTAAGTTGTTGCACCAATGATCAATCATAGTGATGATTTCTTTAGGGTTCAAATTTTCAATCCAATTAGTGAAAGTCAACAAGTCATTTACATAATTATTCTGCTGCGGTTGTTGTTGAGGTGCCAACGTGTTAGATATCAGATGACCTGTTCTGAAGAAATCAACAGATTGAGGTCTTGTGGGGATTGTATGTTGCAACAATGCTGGATGATGATGGGTAGAAGTAAGAATGGAATCTCTTGAAAACGGGTTAGGGGTTGTAGAACCAGTTCCAATGATATCGGATGAAAAGGCACCACCATGAGAACGAATGGGATGTAACAAATGTCCTGAAGCTGGGCCCGATGAATTTGTGCCTGAGCCTGCAAGTGAGGTGGAAGTTGGAGTGGGAGCCGGAATTTGGGAGGCCAGTGCTTGAACAGTTGATATTGTTGTAGGAGCCGCCGCCAAGTTTGAACTGGTGGTTGCAGTTGTTCCCATACCAGTAGGAACAGTATTATCATTACTATTATTGTTATAATTGTTATTTTGGTCTCTGGCACTGGCAATACTATTATTACTACCTGAAGAGTTCATACCTGTATCTTTATTCAAGTCCAAATCCAAATCAATAGTCAAATTTTCAAATTCATGCTGCATGTTATAACCAACGCTTTGTTGTCTTGGATAAAGATTATGGATATCTTGCATCTGACCCAAATGACTCGAGGGAGCACGTTCCAACGGAGGAGGAGAAAGAATGATGGGTCTTTCTAGCGGTTGATGTTGATCCATATTATAAAGCTATAAAAATTGACAACAATGACGGCAATGGCACCAATATCTTGAGATGAGCCTTTATATATGTACCAAGACTTAGTTTGGTCTGAACACCTACAAATCAAATCAAAAGTGACCTGTCACACTTGGTAAAGAAAAGTCCTTTTCTCTAAGCTCAATAATTCAAAATAACAATCGACACTCTAACGTCCACTTGACCGACCAATTAATGGGAGAATGAAAGTCGAGCTAAATATAACTAAAATTTTGGCACTAAAGAAGAAAGTAGTGTCTTTTAATTGAACGATAAATTTTTCGATGCGAGTTCCATCGTCCACCTTCATCAACAGATCTGGACTGTATATTAGTCGATGGTTGTAGAGACAATAGAAGTTATACCATGGGCAGTATTAAGTGAAGTACTATTAGTACCTATTGCCAATTCTGTATAGGTTATACCCTTATGGTATCATTAACGTTGTACAGGCGTTTACCGTGCTTGATATGAAAATGTCGCTTTTCATCACTTACTAGTACCGTTCCTATTGGCTACTGCTATTCATTGGGGTTATACATATACATTATAAAACTAAAACTCTTCAATCTCGGGCGAGCCAAAATTCCTTATTCTCACTAATAATGTTGCAAGTGTATTGTAGTTCAGGTAACAATTTGACGACATTATTGAATAGCTTTTCAGCAAACGTGTTAATAAAGAAGATTTGACCTTTATGGATCATAGGATTAGCGTCCAAGATATCCTCCAATTTCAGAGGCACCTTATTATACCTAACTTCTTCATGTTCATTTGCTGGTGTTGAGGACGAAGAAATCCGCTCTTCCAACTTGGCAATCTCATCAAACTCTCTAGAAAGTGTAACTGCCCATTGGGAACTAACTCTTAAAGGACGAGTGACGTTAGAAATATCGGCACATTTAATCAAAAGTGCCAGGATTAATTTTGCTCGTTGAGGATGATTGGAATTGGCATAATCAAATTTATTCAACCGATCAATATACTCAAAATGTTCAGCCATATCTGTAGCCAAAATCGATGATATAATCAAGTTCTTAATGGTTTCGTTATCCTCATCAGTTTTCTGGTTTAAAATTGATGGCCATCCAACTGAAAGAATTTTCGACGTGAATACTGCGGTATGATAATTCTCCAACACTGACCGACCATTATATATTTGACAAATGGGTGAGTTATACTTGATCATAAATGCATTGGTAACTCCAGGATGTCCAACATCATGTCCTAATGCTGCAACCAATAATCCCAACAGTTCAATAGGAGTCAAATATTTATAACTGATTTTAATGGGTAAAGCAGCCAATTCCACCACATCATAAGTTCTTCTGGTAGAATTAAGAAACCCACATTCATCCAGCTTAACATTCACTTCAAACTGTTTAAAAATAGGCAAGCAATCAAGGCGTACAACATAATGGAAGCATGCTTGTAGAACATCAACCGCATGACGGAAATTGTGGAAAGGTGATCCACATCTATAACAATCTCTAACCAAGAACAAAAGACATAACAACTCATTCTTTGTAGGAATATGTAAATCTGTATTCGTAGTATTTTGAAACTGTAATGCATAGTGTAATATCAAATAAGCACAGTATACCAAATCATCATTGGATAATTCATTGGCCGGAAATGACCAATGGCCGACCAAATGACAAAGTTTGGCTAAATGAGCTTGAGAAGTATTACTTAAAAGTGATAGAAAGTCGATTTCTTCAACAAGTATCAGGAATAAAAGTTGCAAATGACCCAATTTAAACGGTGACGTTCCCGTACTCCGAGAAAGAATGCTTTGCATGGTATTAACAGTTGAATCCAAGGGGAATTCATTCAATAATACTGGAACAGATGAAGGGATCGTGGTTTCAGAATAATCATCAATATTCTTTTTGCCTGTTCCTGTCCAACTTTCAACACGAACAATTCGTTGGCCGATAAAGGCATCGATAACTTTGATGGCTTTGTTTACGTTTTTGGCCTGTTCTTCCAACAAAGACAGTGCAAGAATTATGGGGTGAATATGGGAAAAGAATTGCGTCAAGATAATCTGTTTATCTTCAAAACTTAGCCCATCTAATTTGGACAACGATGATGATGACGGTTTGCCATCGTCTAAAACAACAACGGTGGCATGGTTTATTTCGGTTTCGATGTTTCCTCTTTTGAAAAGTACGGTTAATATATCATTAAAGGAAGAGAATCGTTCAACAGAAGCGACTTCAAGCGACGTAGGAATTGACACCTGACCCGAATACGTTAGCACCAATACTTCTGCCATACTAATATTATTATTGATATTGTTGACACTATAGGGGAGATACCGTTCAAGGTATTAGGAAAAGTTCCGGCTGGCAGGACCGTTGGAAATAGGATGGACTAAAGTGTGGTGAAACAATAGTGGATCAGATAAGGTTTTTTTTCTTCGGACTAAAGAGCAAGCAAACAAACAACGATGATAGCAGTAACAATAATGAAAACAACACAAGTAGAACAAGAATATATGGGTTGGTGGTGGTCGTGGTGGTGGTGGTGGAGGTGAAGAGATTATTGGAGTATATGTTTTAACTTCGAATCACCACCACAAAAAAGCTCACACTTTAATAGGTGCACACTCTCTGATACAATGGAAGTGGATGCATTGAGCGTACAAATACTTTCAGGTTGAGCGAGCCCCAAAAAATTAAGGCGAGCGGTCGTGGCAGAACATATGTTTCTGCTGCCAATCGAAACCAATTCTATCGCTTAGTATTAATTGTCGCGGTACACCGTTCCTTGGTTTCAAACCATTTGACTACAATGGGGCGTTCAATCGCATATTTGATATATTTTACAGCTGGAGTCATTAGCCTTTTGGTCTGTCACGGCGGGGGGGGGGAACTGATGGGAATACTAGTTAGATTACAATCTACATACATACCAACTAATGATGAATAAGTGTGGTGGAGGTAGATTCTTATGGGGTTTTTGTGACTAAATTCAATAAATTGTTAACCAGTATAAGCCCAGTACATTTTTCACTCCATTCCATTGGTGGGCAGTGGGTTTTTTGCATGGAATGCACCGGCTCCTAAAATGTTGTCTTCGCGTGTGGGGGGATTGTCACCTCCATTTTGTAACAATGTCAACCTTAAATTTCATTCCTTCGGTCGAGCTAAATTGATCCTTCGTTCGATCCGTCAATCAGGTACGCACTTATTACTATACTTCATCGCATTACGTCGACGGGGCTAATTATAACGGTATCGTATGATTAAATTAAACACATTTTCAATAATGCTCTCTAAATTCTTTCCTCCTCTAAGTCTGCTTCCACTTTTGTACGTAGTATACTCCAATTGCCAAGACCAATATTAAAGTTGTCAATGAAATATACATTTGCCGAACTCGCCATTCTCTAGTGACTCTTGCTTGTGCTTTAAACCTACTCCCAATGTAATCTAATACTTCTAAACGTTCACCGAGTTCATCGAACAAAAGATGCTTTTGCTCATTGACCTCTTCTCTGGCATCAGATAACTTTACATCCATAGAACTTAACATATCTCGTAACTCATTGAGCTTACTCATTGAAAGGACTAACTCTTTTTGAAATTTACCAGAAACATTCTCGCTTGAATGTTTCAACAACAGTTCTGCTTGTTCCAAGTTACCGTTCAATCTTTGTAAGTACCGTTCAATCTGATCCAAAGTTTCAAACTGGATCAACAGACTGCCTTTGAACGCTTTACTGCCATGTAAATCCAAGACCACCGATTCCAAAATCTGACTCGTGGCAGCAAACGATGAGGAATAATTATTATCAGATCCTCCAAGAGTATCAGGATCATCCCCCCCCTTCTTACCCATCTCTTCCATAACAATATTATCCAAGTTAAGTAAACATGAGATTAGCTCCTCACTACGAAGCTCATTGATGGCAAACAGATCATAGGTGATGTTCCCATTCCGAACCCCGTTCAAAATATCTGTTCCGTTCGCATTACCTCCACCGTTTGTAACAGGCCCGCTGTTCGTACCAGTTGAAAGCTTGAAGCCACTACTACTCTTCTCTCCTCCAGCTCCAGCTCCAAGTCCTAAACCAGATACTTCCTCATCTTTAACGGTGGTTTCATCTTGAAGTAGGAAAGGATCCATTAAGCCTTGCAATTTGTCCACATCACCAAAATAACTATCCACTCCAGTACGTGACGATCGCCGTGGTTTGTTCATATAAAACTGTTCCACCATCTTCTTTTTATCACTGTCTCCCGATTGAGATAACACTCTCATTGAAGTAGGAGTCATTACAGCAGGTCCGCCTCCTATGCTTGGACTACTCACTGAAGGTGTTGTATTTCCACTACAACTGCCACTACCACTTCCACTACCATTATTATTATTATTATTATTATTATTATTATTATTATTATTATTATTATTACCTTTCTCTATAGAACTCCGATTACTGCCATCGTTAAATCTAAACACTTCATTACTGCCAGATGTACCTCGGAGCCCACTTCCTGTTTCCGGACTCCATACGTTGGATCCTGAGAAAATCTCCCCACGTTCAGGTAACGCTATTCGGAGTTTGGGTCCGCTCATGGCATCTTCCATTAAAGAATTATGGGAGATTGTTCTTTTACTGCTTGCTTATGTCATTTGTGAGATCACGTTTATCGTATGCGCTAGTACTGCATATAAGAGATTTCCAAACTAGTATAACGTATAATTCAATACTAACATTTATCACTAAAATACATTTTCTACTTTCCAGCAGAAGTACGGACACCAGCACCACTAGCAACCAATTGTAAAGCTTCTTCAGAAACTTCCACTTCAGGTAATTTAGCCCTATGACGACCTTCGGGAATAGCAGGTAAAAACCCAATCTTGATCAAATAAGCAATAATGGTGCTTACAGTATTCAAGTTGATTCCAACCCCAGCAGAGTAATCAACACCAGTGTATTCAGCATCCTTCTTTAAGGAGATAGAAGCATTGGTATCATCTAATTCCGGTGCCTTTGTGTTTTGAGGTAAGTTATCTAAAACAAAATGCAACAAGGGGAATAAGGCACTATCACCTCCACTGGTAACAAACTTCTCCAAGTTCTTTCTCCATTCAATGTAATTATCAACCTTGACAGCATAACCCAACTCTTCCAAGGAAGAAACATACTCCACAAATCTTTGTCTGGGGTTGCCGGTCACGTGAGCAACCGAGTATTCATCTGCATGAGGAGGATGCAAAGCAGTAGAAGTCACTATACGAGCAACATGATCAACAGGAACCATATTCACGGTATTGGAAATGTTAGGATAGCTTCCCAATTCAACACATCCCTTCAACATTCTCAAAAGGAAATCATCGGTGTTGGCAGCACCATTCTTACTGAATCCGACAACATAACCTGGTCTGGTAATACAACCTTTCAATCCACGAGTACCTGCTTGTCTAATGATATATTCAGCAGCCCATTTGGATTGGCCATAACCAGTACCCAATCCCTTAGAAGACCCTTGTAAATCATCCAGTTCAGGAATACCCTTGAACCCATCACGAAGTCTATTATCTGATAAATGAACATAATGATCAGTATCGATTGCAGAAGTAGAAGACACAAAAGAAAAGTATTTGGCTTTACCTTGACCACACAAGTTCAAGACGTTGACAGTACCAATGACGTTAGGATCACGTAATTGTGAATAAGGGTAAACCCAATGAACCAAAGCACCATTATGAATCACCACATCAAGTGTGTCTGTCAATTTAGTCCATTCCTCATTTGCTAAACCAAATTGAGGAGTGGCTAAATCTCCAATAACGATTTCAATTTTTTCAGTCCATGAATCACTCCAAATACCATAAGTCTTACAAGTAGTCCTTAATCTTTCCAATCCAGCAGTTCTGTCCTTAGCACGAACATGAGCATAAATCTTGAAATCAACATTAGGACGGGTAGTAAGCAAGTCATGGACAATAAAAGAGCCTAAGAACCCGGTAACACCAGTTACAAAGACATTGATGGTCTTGGTGAAGTCCAACCCCTTCAAAGAAGCATATGAAGGTAACAATAATTTGCTAGCAATGTCCTTAGCATCACCAGCATAATCAACAACGGGAATCTTTTCAGCGTCATCTTCTTGATCTTCACCAGTTGCCAATTCAACGTCATCACTTTGAATGAACTTTTGAACTTCCTTTGCAAACAGTTCAATAGTTGGAGCCTTAAAGATGACTCCCAAGGGAATATCAATGAGCAATTGCTTTCTTAATTCAAAAATCATTCTAGTACCCAAAATAGAGTGACCACCCAAGTCAAAGAAGGAATCTTGCTTTGAAATAGAAGCTGGTCTATTGGGCAAAACTTCCAACCATAAGTTCTTTATGGTTTCTTCCAACTTGGTGAAAGATTCTTGCTCCAAGTCTTCACCAGCAGATGAAGAGATCGCCTGAGCTACAGCATTCAATTGAACAGTATCAGGGAATGGTAATTTAGGTTTGTCAACCTTACCATTAGGATTCAAAGGTAATTTCTTCAATGGAACAATGATGGTTGGAATGGCATACGAGGCTAACTTCTTCTTTAAATAACCCTTGATATCTTTAATTAATTCACGATAGATAACCAACCCTTCAACAATAGGGTCGTCATGCACATCTTTAACGTCGGAAACAAACGTTTGCAATTCTTCACAGTTCTTAGGGACAATATAGGAGATTAATGTGGGATCTTCATTTTTATCTCTCTTGACCAAAGTGATGTTTTCTCTAACCAAAGGATGTTGAGACATGTGAGTATCAATCTCACCCAATTCGATACGGAACCCTCTAATTTTAACTTGATCATCGGCTCTACCACAGCATTCAACATTACCATCCGGTAAATAACGACCCAAATCACCAGTACGGTACATACGATCTCTTGGACCGAACCATCCTGCCTCTCTCCAAGGTTCACCTTTAGCATTTGCTTTCTCATTGTCAATCCATTGTTGAGGATCAACGTACCAGTTAGTGATGAACTTCTCGTTATTCAAATCAGGCATCCCTCTGTAACCCTCGGCCAACCCAGCAGCCCTGACGTAGATTTCACCAACTTCACCAACACCACAGGTTTGAGAACGATCGTTACGGTTAACAACCAACAATTGAACATTGTACATACCAGTACCTGCAGGCATCACGTCCTTTAAGTTCTTTAAATAAAAAGCATCTTCCTTTCTTGATTTGATTTCAAAGTAGGAAACAGAACGTTGGGTCTCGGTGGTACCATACATATTAACAATGTAAACGTTTTCCGCCAAAGTTTGTAATCTTAAACAATCTCTCTTGGTTAAGATATCACCCACAAAGAATGCCTGATGTAAGGAAGGAATAGGAGTAGTAGCTTGTGCACTCAAGAGTTGTCCCATTGCAGGAGTCAAATGGGTCACCGAAGCACCGTATTCAGCCATCCAGTCAGCCAACTTACCTGGGGTACCGATATCATCACTAGTAGGAATCAACAATTGAGCACCAAGGAAAAGTGGAGTAAACATATCTCTTTGGATAGGATCATGGGCAATACCTGACAACATGGTGAACTTATCGTTTTCAGACAAGTTGAATCTCTTAGCCATCCATGGGAAATAATAAGCAAGTGAATAATGACGACCTAAGACACCCTTAGGGATACCTTCAGATCCACTAGTGAATGACAAGGTTGGGTTAGAATCAGGTCCAACAATAACCCCAGTGGGTTGATCCTTGAATTTGGTATAAGCTTCCAAACAGTCTTCAGATTTTCCTTCCAATTGGCCACCAATCAACAGACCATCGTCATTGACCTTCAATTGAGGGATCGTAGTGATAACATCCAATTCATTCTTGATATAGTCAACAACCAATTGGTCCAAAACACCGGCCTTTTCTAAGCCAATTAAGGCTCTGGGTTTAGCAACAGAAAGATAAATATTTTGTCTTGCTGGTGGGTAAGCAGGGTCAATAACAGAGAACGTGGCACCGGCTTTTAAAACACCCATCACAGCAATCATCAAGTCGACACCTCTATAAGCATAAATCATACAAATATCTCCCTTCTTGATCCCGGTATCCTTCAAGTAGTTACCCACAATGTTAGAAGCTTGGTTAATTTGTTGGTAAGTGAATGTCCGGGTCTTAGTTGAAGGGTCCATGAAAGACTTGGTTTCAACAACACAAGTTCTATCGGGATGCAGTTCAGCATTCTTCATAAAGATGTCTTGAATAGCACCTCTGTAACCGGACCAATCCAAATCTAAAGTGGGGTCAGGTAAGGCTGCCTTCTGAGATGGGGTAATCAAATTAACTTTGGTAATGATCAAGTCGTCGTTGGAGTCAGCTGCAACTTTAGAAAATTGAACAAACTGTTCCACCAAAACTTCAATTCTTTCTTGCTTATATAACAAGGAATTGTAGTAAATGTCTAATTGATTACCATTGGTGAAAATGGCCAAATCACGTACAGACCCAGTCACAGTTGTTGATAACTGTTTAACCTCTTTATTGTGTTGGTAAGAGAGTCTAAACAACGCTGGATATTCTTCAGATTTAGTGGCATCCTTAATTCTTGAGGCGACTTCATCTAACAGATTATAGTCAATGTTCTTCAAACTGGTATCGTATTGTTCTTTAACCTTGGAATGCAACTGAGAAAAGGTCCATTCAGGAGCCACTGTCAAACGCACAATAAATGGAGTTCCATTACTCACATCATCAGTAGCAATCACAATATCATCATCACCAGTCAAACGATAAATCAATGCCGCAAAAACGCTCAATCCAAATACATGGTCAACACTTTGAGATAATGTATAAGTATAATTGGCCTCTACCACTTCATTATTATGGGGCTTCAAGTAATCGTGTGGAAGCACAGACAACGTTGGGCTCTGTAAGTATTCTTCCCAGAATCCTCCCATATTGTACTGAATTAAAATCCACTGTGAAGGATGAAAAGAATCACGAATAAGAAAGAAAGTATAAATTTGAAGAGAGTTTTATTCGGTTTTACACTCTAAAATTTTTCAACGGGTATATCTCCATAATCTAATGGTAGCGCGTGAATTTGCTGTATACTGTATATTGTTCTACCCCAAATCTAACGCCGCAAAATCTCGACTCACAGAGTTATGAGTCACCGGGCACTTCTTATCGATTATTGGTTGGTGCACGCAGCGCCTATGGCTGGTACGACCTACAAGGCACAAGGGAACAACCAATCGTTTATATAGTATAACCACATGTAAATGTCATGTTATTATTACAGTACTATAGATTTTGTCAGGGTGACAATGATGATACACTTTACTTTACTAATTGTTGAACAAGAACTGAAGATCTTCTGGTGTCAACCGATTAATAGCCGCTTCATCATTTTGAATAGTTGCATTAATCATATCTGCTTTCTTGTCTTGTAGTTCTATAATCTTCAGTTCAATACTGTCTTCGATACAATACCGTATAATTTCAATGGGTCTTTTCTGTCCAATACGGTGAACACGATCCATCGCTTGCCATTCAACAGTAGGATTATACCATGGATCCATAATGAAGATACGTGAGGCCTCTGTAAGATTAAGCGCAATACCACCAGCTTTCAAAGAAACTAAGAAAACCTCCACATACGTATTCTCCATAAAATATCGAATAGTGTTATCACGCTGTTCTGGAGACATAGACCCTTGTAATTTCACAGTTACAAATCCTGCTCTTTTCAATCTCCATTCAATTAAATCAAGCATAGAAGTGAATTGAGAAAATACAATGGACTTAATGGTATTCTTTTCAGATCGAATATTATATAAATCTTCCACCAATGCCTCGATTTTGGTTGAAGATTTCCAATCTCCTGAATGATTAATCCGATTGACAATCGATGCCTTATTGAATTGCTCTTCGTCCACTTCAAGTGCAGGTTGTTCCAAATCTATTGACAATCCAATGTGACAAACAGGGCATTCTAACTTCAGTGTACTCCCATCAAATCCTTCCACATATTCTTGAATACACATTCGACAAAACCGGTGTCGACATTTGGATTCTATGGGCTCTTCAGCTTCGTCTTCACACAACTGACATATAATTACTCCCTCCATATGAGTTGTGGAAGAACTGGAACCGACTTTCTTCAATACCAAATCGGGATGATCAGCGATTTGACGCATCCGAGTAATTAAGGTGAAAATGTTAGCATAGTTGTTTAAAACGACACCCAGTGCAACATAATCATTGAACTGTCTCTTGGAGTCACTATAAAGCGACATATACAAATCCTTCTCCTCAGGATTGAAACGATAATTTTTAACTGTCACTGTACGTGGAGGTAAACCCAAATCGTCAGCTCTTTCAAGCTTCGTTCTTCTAAGCATAATATGACCAAGTAGTAATTGAATGTTATTAAAACTTTCCAATCCATCTCCAGCAATACCATATTTCAATATATTTTTCAACATGAAATGATTGAAGAAATTTGTATGAAGCATAGGAGCATGACCACAGAGATCACATGTCCTGTAGTTGGAGAACTTCCATTCGTCACTCTGGCATTCGCATTTAGTACAGAAATACTGGTGGAATGGATCTAATTTAAGGAATCTTATCAAAGAGTACATTTCTCCAATTCTATTCTGAACTGGAGTACCTGAAAGGCACCAACGTTTGGAACATTGTAAGTTATTAGCAGCTTTGGAGGTATTTGAAGTTCTGTCCTTGATATTATGAGCCTCATCCAATATCACACGATAAAAGTTCACTGAATGTAAAGGTGATTTTTCTTTCACCAACCCAGCTTTTCGTTTAAACCCATACTGTTGCTTCCGATATACCGATTCCAACACTGAATAAGAAGTAAGAATCACATCATACTTCATCAATTCTTTAACATCATTAGTTCTTTTGGCTCCATGATAAAGTAAGACTTTCAATTTCCCCTCATGAGTATGAGACTCTATTTCATGTTTCCATTGCATCAAAGCCACAGTTGGACCCACTACCAAATTGGGACGTTTAGTTAAATCATTCATCATTAGACCAATTGTTTGAATGGTCTTACCCATCCCCATCTCATCTGCAAGAATTCCTCCTCCAAATTCTCCTTCTTCTTGTTTAATCAACCAGTTCAAACCTTCCAATTGGAACGGCAAAAGCTTGATATTCATGCCTTCTGGTTGTGGAGCTCTTTCCACTGGAATCGACTGAATTGACCCAAGATATGGGAACACGTCTTTTAAGTGTGGATGTTGTTCATATAGTTTATTTGTGATTCGAGTGAAATAGGGTACTTTTACCTTTGGGGGCTTCTTCTTCTTAGGGGGTGCTTTCTTTTTTGCTGTGGTCGTTGTAGTCGTCTTTCTTCTCCGCTTTCGAGTTTCTTGAACAAATCCTCCATCTCCAATCTCTTCTTCAACGTCACTATCGACTAACTCTATTGCAAGGTCTTGGGTCGACCCGTTTCTTTCAGCTGGTTCGATGAGCTCATCATCCTCCTCATCGTTGATTTCAACGCGCTCATTCTCCTCATCGGGTTGGAACTCTTCTTCTGAAATCTGCTCAGTGGCACTATCACTATCTGAAATTACATATGTCACTTTCTTGACTGTCTGTCGACCTCTAGAACGCGTCTTGGGCATGGTTGCAATGTGCTACAAGTGAAAAAAGAAGTGGGTTGAAGATCTGATCATTGTACTAAACTTTTTCGCCTCTGCAGCCCATTTGCCCAAACGGGACGTTATCGCGAACAGGTACAAAGTTACTTTAAATCCGACTGTGGCTAAGGAACTCCGATAAGGCTAGAACAATTTACATGGTGATGTCAATTGAATTACATGTGCTTAATAAGTTCCCACGATACATGTGGTTGCTGCTCCGCGCACAAATACATCTGTACCGCCATTTTCGATGGAAACATTGAGTGTCGCATCACGACCAATACAACGACCCTGGGAAAGCTTCAACTTCGTGTGGCCAGATTTTAAATGAGCACCCAAGTATGCTCCTACTGATCCAGCACCAGACCCACATGCCGCATCCTCCTCTAACAGATCACCAGGACAGAAATTTCTTAATTCAAACTCTGTTTCTGAAGATTGGTCCTTCCCAAAAGCACTAATACCCGACCAATTATATTTGTGGGATAACTCTACCATATAACTAAAATCCGGCTTAAGACCTATAACCGACTCATTATCATCCAATTGAACTACTAACCATCGTGGACCATCGTCTACGAGGACTGGTTCAGTGATAATTTTCTCATGAGACACGCCCAACAGCTTAGCGATTTCTGACATCTGGGTCGTTTGGTCGACCAAATACTCAAATCGATAGTAGGGTAATTTGAATTGTAATTCAAGATTCCTCAAATCGGTTAAGGATCCAATGGGCTTGATTTCCACCAAACCAGCGGCACACTCTTGTACAAATAAACCCGCTGAATTTGGTTGGATCAAGCCCAGTTCAATAAGGGCATAACATGACCCAAGGGTTGGATGGCCAGCAAACGGAAGTTCGCCCAAAACAGTGAAAATTCTAAGTCGATAACTGGCTTCCCTAGTGGTGGGTTTGAGAACAAATGTCGTTTCAGCCAAATTGGTCCACCGTGCAATTTGTTGCATCTCAGAGTCAGTTAAATCATCCGCATCGTAGAACACGGCAACTGGGTTACCCTTGAACTTTGTTTGCGAGAATACATCTACTTGTTTGAACGATTTGGCGCTCGACATCACTAGAAATCATATTTGTAATGTAAGTCGAGCTTTTCAAAGCGATCGACGTGAGATTTTATATACCGTTTACCTTCGCACTTCAATCCACAATGACTCACATGTACACATATAATAGTTTACACCTTATTTGGTACTACTAATCAGTAGAACGACGATGTAGATAATTTACCAAGCCCTTGTTATTTCTAACTCAGACTTCTACTATTGTTCAAAATAATCAATGCAACCTGCTTTCGATGTTAATGTGATTGCATATTCAATTGGAATTGAGTGCTTTATACCTAAAACTACATAAATAGAACTGCTCCATTTCTATCTTCTAAAGGTATTATACAAATAATATCATATAGATCTACGAGGTTTATTCCACTAGTATACAGTAAATTTCAAAAAAAACCTATATGCATGTATTAATAATTCATATTATAAAAGAATGGATTTAAATGTCCACATTATTCATTCAATTGCTTTGCCTCTTCAGCTTCTTTACGTAAAAGTACAAATTCTTCGTCTTCTACTTCTTCTATTGAAGGCAGGATGGTTTTTGACAAATTTGACTTGGTAGATTCATCGTCAGATTCTGCTTCGCTGTCACTAGGTGTAGAAACGTCGGAGTGTGCAGCCTCTACATCTGAAAACCATTCAGGAATAACCTTCTCTTCCTCTTGTTCAGGTGAGGGTTCATCCTTCTGAGCTTCAACATTATTTTCTTCCTGAGCAGTTTCTTCACCGGTCTCTTTGCTTTCAGAAGCATCGACAAGTTTTCCATCTTCTTTCTCGGCTTCATCAATAGTCTTCTTTGGGATACTAACTTTTAAAACCCCCTCTTCCCTGTTGAGCTCGTACGCAACAGATTCCCCATCAACAGTTTTAGAGTCATATCCAAAAGACTTCTCAAAATCGTCGGAATTAGAGTATACCTTCAAAACATAAGAGTCTTCTTCTTTAGCCATACGAAGCTCGTAAGATTGGAATGAACCGTATGGCTTATGAACCCGAATCTCATAAGTCAGAGGAGTTTCAAATTGATCAACTTTGGTTACAGAGTTAACATGACGGATAAATGCTTTCTTGCTGTCATTTCCTTCAGCAGCACCAGCACCAGCAGCCTTTCTCTCGGCTTCGTTTCTAGCAGCCTCCTTTTTAGCAGCTTCAGAAGCAATCTGTCTCAAAACACCAGCATGAACTTCGGCTTCAAACTGCCTAGCAATCTCCCTTTGTCTAGCAAGATGTCTTTGTTCAGTTTCACTTCTTTTCGCAACTTCTCTTTGTCTTGCAGCTTCTCTTTGTCTGGCAAGCTTTTGTCTTTCAACTTCCTTTTGTCTTTCAACTTCCTTTTGTCTTTCTACATCTCTTTGATGTAACACATATGCTTGAATTTCAGCTTGAATTTGTGCTTCTCTTTCAACTTCTCTCTGTTGCAAATACATAGCGACTTCACGCTGTCTGTGTATGCTCAATTGTCTAGCATATTCACGCCGTCTTTCAGCTTCTTCTTGAGCAAGCAAGTTTCTTTGAAATTCAGCAATGGCATACTCCCGTTGCCTTTGAGCCTCTCTAGCATATGCTCTTTTTCTTTCGGCTTCATAATGTCTTTGAAGTCTACGGTATTCCCTTTCTCTTCTAAGACCAATATCGTAGTCAGTTAACTCAGAGTCATAGACGTATCTAACAGGAACCTCGGAGGCACAGTAGACTCTAACAGGTGCATTTCTAGATCTACTGGAGTAACGTGAACTTCTGAATGAATCCCTTGAGTTGACATACGAGTCAGAAGGTAATGTGTAGTAGCTAAGCATTAGTGTGGTCGTAAATTTTGTTCTTTTTGTGGTTGATTTGATGAATATAAAAATCCTTTCTACATTTTCAAGTTCTAGTTATACCAATTGCCTTTTATAGCTCATGGTTCGTATCTACTTATATTTGTAATCGCCACCCCACAAGACAAGGGAAGGTTGTTTATGGAAATTTGTAGAAGTATTTCGCAGCCAAATTGGGAATAAATCTTTTTCTAGAACCTTCTGTCAAAATTAACTATGTCGCAGTGGAAATCGCTTGATGACAAAAGAGGATTTACAACGACCATTTGAATTTACCACGACCATTAATAATTTAATCGACCTAATTTCTAATACTTAACGCCGTCGACCGCACCGGTCGCCACCACCATCATTCGTTGTGGCGGTGACTTGTAGTTCACAACGATAAACGCCCAGCACACAATTACCTTAAACTTAAATCTTTAAAACGTTTCCTCTGGTTTATTTATATATATATATATATACATATAATTATTAGGCTAATTTACATAATGAGACCGGTGATCTAAGTGGTACCAGCAGCGATGGCTCTTTCTGTTCTTTCCACATCGTAGTAGAATTCTGTATACGAATTGTCAAAAGTGTGGACTCTAATAAAACCATCTTCTCCTCCACTGGTATATCCTGAACCATCTGGATGAACAGCAATGGTATTCAAAGGACCGAAATGACCCTTAACACGTCCAATATCTTCTTCAAAAATCTTATGATAAAATCTGGCTTCAAATTTACCTTGATTTTCAGATGTAGTTGTAACATTACGAGCTTCTTGACCACCTCCTAAAATAACGTAGTCCTTCAAAGGAGTAATGGCAGCAGTGTTCATAGGAGCATCAGCTTTGTAAACCTTCAAGATTTCAAATGATTCCAGATCAATCAATACGGCACATTTATCCTTTGATGACGTGATGAAATAAGAACCATCTTCAGGTGCTAATTGTATATCTGTGACGGAAACGGTTTGTTCTTCATTATGGATACCGTGAGCTTGAACGGATTGAATGTATTCACCAGTAGAGGCATCATATTTGGAAATTTCACCCTTTTCATGACCAGCAATAATATATTTACCATCTTGAGAGAATTCTGCAACTGTTACCTTTGAGGAGTCTGGCCTAGTAGGAATAGTTAAAATAGGTTCAGCTTTTTGGTTAGAATAGTCTCCGTCATAGTTCACAGCGTAAATCAGTATAGTACCAAGTTGACCCATAACTTGATCGGTAACAGATAATAATTTCTTATTATCAGGTGAAAAACTAACTCTTCTAACAGGAGTTGGTGCAGCCCAAGTATACACACAAATACCATTCTCAACGGTCCATAACTTAATACTTAAATCAGCAGATCCAGTGGCACAGAATTTGGTTTCACTATCCACATCAATCGACCATAAAGTACCTTTATGACCTTCTAAAGTTCCTAATCTTTCACCATTTGAAGAATACCAGATGGATGCTGTGCTATCTTTTGCCACAGAGAAGATTAAATCACCTTCTCTGTTGTATTTTACTTGCGTTAACGAACGCTCATGACCCATCAACTTAATTGGTCTCATTTTGCTTGTTGGCTTGTTGATATATGAATGGTTAACACTACAAGTGTTGTAGATTTTGTATGAAGATAATTTTTCAGAGAAGAGGAAAATTTTTTTATCCTCGCACAACCACTGCAAAATAGTGAAGCTTTTGTGTACGTTTGCGACCAATAAAGTGATATAATGTAAAGGTACGTAATTAACTATAAGTTCTTACATTAATTTCAACAGACATTCTCAATGACCCGATTTTGACCATCATGTTGACCGTATTCTAACTTCAACTTTCTGGTGAACAATTCAAGCATCCAATCGAAACAAAGCTTGGTCACAGCAGGATCATATCTACCTTTACTTAATTCATCTCTAACAAAAGCGTGTTGAGCATCATTGATTTCAATGAAAGTCATGGCAATATTATTTTGTCTTAAACGACTACGAATCAAATCACGCCCCTCTAATGGAACATGATTGTCCTTATCACCGAAGACCATCACCAATTCACCAGTAATATCTCCACACCGTTCCAAAGAATCATCATTTTTACCTTTACCCAAGGCATGGATATGAATATCCGTTGCGAAGAAACATGTGGCAGCCTTAACTCTTTGATCAGTGACAGCAGATCTAAAAGCCAAATGGCCTCCCAAACACATTCCGGTGGCACCAATTAACCCATTACAAGTAGGCAACAGAGTCAAATAATCAATGGTCAATTTGTTATCTTCATCATATGATGCCAATTCCTTTTCGATCTTATATTTATTACCCTTGTCAGTTCCCACATCATCGTAAGCCAAAGCTTCTGGGCCTTCGAAATTGTGGTAAATGGAAGGACAAGCCACAATGAAGCCTTGACCAGCAATGTCTCTAGCGAAACGAGCAACGGGTCCAGTAACTTGATAAATTTCACTGTAAACTACAACACCGGGGAACTTGACATTGGGGTAATTTGGAACTTTTGGATGGAAAACAAAAATTCTCATGGTGGTCCCGTAGGACGTCTTAACATCATAATAAGAATCTTCAATCAACATCGTTACTCAATTGACTTTCTACAAAGAAAAGAATGATAAACGAAAAAAAATGAATACTAAGAACAAAGTTACTTTAGTTCATTCCCCACTCCTTAAGTATTATTGCGGGAATTTGCTCATACGAAAATTGGTTTGTACGGTATAAATTTTTCGCTTGCAAACTCAAGTAAAGTACCTTGTACCATTAACATATACGAACCGTAAATAACAATAGTACTATATACACTTTTAGATTGTTCTATCATTTATCAATTGTGGTGAAATGGCTTCCTGTATCCATTCATCCGTTTACATGGTACAACTTAATACCTCATGGAATTATAACGTGATACTTACAGCGTTTCATCCTTGGATTAGTAAAATTCTACCTTATTACAAATGTCCCAACTCATCATCTACTTTTTGGCTTCGGCTTTGCGGGCATCAGCTACATATTAAGATGTTAGTATGATCACCATTATTTCAGTTAATACCACCACTTTCACTTAGTTACATACCTGCAGCTTGTTTGGCTCTCATCTTTTCTGCATCACTTTCCATACGCTTGGTGGGATCACCCTCCTTCTTCAGTGCTTTCCCGGCTTCTTGTTGTTTCTTCAAGTTTTTTGCCCGTGCGAGATCTCTTTGATTTCCTCTAGCCATTATGAGAGATGGACAACTAGTAAAAAAGAAGGTGAGCTTTGAGTCCACTGATCACCTTTTAGTTTCGGTACGTGGGTTATTTTTTTTAACAATTACATACACTAATGGTAGCGCTCCGCAGTATAAATATAACACATAAAATCTATTTTACACAGACTAATTACTTCTCTTCTAAATCAAAGACTAAATGGCCATCTGATTTAGGATCATAAGGAGTCAATAAGAATTTGGAAAATTTCTTCAAGTTATCAACACCTCTAATTTCACAACCTAATAACGGCATCTTAACCAAATGATAATCTTCATACAATTCACCCATTTGTTCCAAATACTTCTTTTGCATTTTCCATCTCAGTTGACATCTTTTACAATCATCATCTTCAGCAAATAACAATTGGTTAACAACAATGGAATTGACATCCATATTATAACTCATCAATTCTTGAATCATTCTTTCAGTTTCGTAAAGTGAAAGGAACTCAGAAATACAAACACAAACAAATGTAGTTAAATCAGGATTAGTAAATTGTTCATTGACTTCACTAACATTTTTTTGCACTTCATTAAGCTTTTCAAAAATATCTTGTTGGTTCCCACCTCCAAGCATATTCAACATGGGCCCCAATTTACCAGATAATTCTCTAAACTTACCCAATAACTTCTCTAAAGTTGCAGGTAATTGCAAAAATCTCAATGTATGACCAGTTGGTGCAGTATCAAAAATAATGGTCTTATACGCTATGGACTTCTTTTCATCACTACCACTGGAACCATCAGTAAGAACCTTTTCAGTCGCCACCTTTTGATTCTTGATATGCTTCAAAACTTCCATAAATGACAATGCTTCATCAATACCAGGAATGGATCCCGTCATATCACTCATCATTGATTTTAATGGATCATTAGGGTCATTATTATATTGACTAGCTTGTTGTTGCAAATCACTCATAGCAGCATCAGGGTCAATTTCCATACACAGTAAGTTGCTCAAGCCTTCAACTGGTCTAGCATCTTTCCCAAACTTTTGACAAAATGCGTCGGATAAATTATGTGCTGGATCAGTGGAAATTAAAAGAAACTGTTCCTTAGGATATGCTAAAGCTAATTGAACTGCAATAGATGAAGAGGTAGTGGTTTTCCCAACACCACCTTTACCTCCAACAAAAATCCACTTAAGGGTATCTTGTTTGACTATTGATTCTAGTGTAGGCTCTAATTCAAAATCCATCTTTTTGGTGTTAAGAAATGATAGGTGATTGATTTAAAAGAAGAAAACAGTTTTAATAAATGTGCTGGCAAAATGTCGCCTCACAAAACAAATGTCGCACTTCCGGATTGGTCTACCTGGAAGGTTCTATACCATAGAGAAACAGAAAGATTTCATATACATGTTTTTGAGCCGTACCATTAATGTATTTCAATGCTAACTATACTGCAACGGTTAAAATGGTATTTCCTTTGGTGAAAAATGGTTTTGTAAACAGTATTTGCTATTATCTACAGTTTTAATGTAATTGACCATGAAGGCTCACACTTTGACGTTGATGACAAAATGGATTCTATAGTACAACTCTACCCTACGATTAGAACACAGTGTAGTTGGTATTCTGCCATGATGCCTATGCTTTTACAAACATGGTGCGCTCTCCATGTGAGATGCCAATAACGATACCATTTGCAGCAAGTAGAGATGAACAAATTAAAACGTACTTAACCAGAATACGAATGGCTTTAGCCTAGTGCCCTGCGTCCCTCTTGATAATAACTTCATATTTTTATAGAAAAGAATACTTTTTACATTGAATACTTTCTCTCAATTAACCCTCGATGCAAGGTTTTATGGTATGGTAGACCCAACACATCATAGTAAAGTATTCTAAAACTACACAGATTCACTTCATCTAATGGAACCGTATGATTTTAACTAATATAGAATAGTAGACATCAACATCAGTTCATCAATATAATTTTAGTCACGGCTACGCAACAACTGAGCTTCATTACGTAATAACGGGAATAAATAGTAAAAAATAATCAACAGCATCTAAATTTGAGACTACAAACAGAATGCTGTGACATTAGGTAAATACACTCATATGTACTCAAGTAATTTAAGGCGTTATCTTTTGTGCCGCTGTCTTAGACTTATTAATGGAAAAAACCCACGTTGCAATACCACCATGGCCACTGACATATATACCATGCAATAGAACAATAGAACAATTACAAATGTGAGACGGAAGACCGAGGGTTATTCATGGGAGGATAGTAATAACAACAGTGGTGAAGATATATTCCGAGGGTAGGTCCGGGAATCGGACACAAAAACTATGTTTGTTGGGGGAATGTGTCAGCCTTATCCTGGGATGACATTGACAGGCCAAAGTATAATAACATCCAGATACAAGTTGTGACTGAGTAATCTGGGCCGTACCTTCTAGATGATAATAACAAGTTTTGACTGTGAACGAGGATGAAATTTGCAAAGGTTCTCCAAGAGACTTTAAACGCAGAAGACATTCCCCAAGAGTGGGTTCTGGCAGCTATTCAGTATAAGGCATTGAAGAAATATATTGGGAAAGTTGTTCAAGAATTGAAATTCTTAGGATTTGAACAAAATGCCATGAAGCTATTAATCCATGATTCGGAAGATACTCAATCCAAAGTTATTGATGTGGACCATGATTATAACCCAAAGAATCCAGTTCTTGCAGAGTACATTTTAACCAAGGCTATGGATAATGGGAAATCTGGCCATTCTATTGTACCTATGCTTAAAATAACCATTGATTATAGTGAACAACTGAATGTTACAGATGATCAAATGTCTACTATAACTGCAAACATCAAAAAGAAAATCGAATCTGTCCTTTCGGTGCCATCCTCTAAAAGAACACAGACAAGTCTTCGAGAAGAGTTGAGAACGCAATTTCAAGACCTTAATAGTAATAATAATTCCAGAATGCAATCCCTTGATCTGTTGGAAACATTAAACATTAACTCTGATAGTGATTACGATTCTTCAGGCGAAGAAAGAATCTATGAGATTAGAGAAGAGAATGATGAGTATAAGTTATCACCCACCACTTCCCACGTTAATTCAAGTCGAGAGAATTCCCCGCCACCACCTCCACCTATGAAATCCACTAGAATGCCTAGCATAGATGATAGTTTATCCGACACTCAAGAAGAGCCACCTGTTAAGCAAAGAAAGCAAGAAATATATATAATGTTGAACTCTGACGTCAAATTCTTTGATATGTTGAATGAAGAACTAGAAAGCTTGGATCATGTTAGAGAAGACGAAGAAACCAAAATGATTACTCAAATCACCGATCTTTCTCAAACCGTATCAAGTCTAGTTGCACCTGGTAAAAATAGTCGAAGATCAGATTTATATTTATGGCGAGAATTGTTCCGGATTTATTTGGATTCAGAAGTTTATTTCAGATATAACGATGTTAATTCCAGTGCAGCTGAAAAGAATATGGAACAAATAAAGAAAAACCTTGAACAATTTTTAGAGAATGTCAATAAGCTGCAAATCTTAACTCAGTTCAAGCAGAAGAAAAGTCTTGAGGCTTTCAACGAATTTATAAAAATGAATTTCCATTTGCTTAAAGTCTTGGAATATCAGTATTTGAACTCAGAAGCCTTCAGAAAGATTCTTAAAAAGTTTGATAAACAAACTAGTTTGGGTGTACAATCCAAATTCCCTGATTTAGTACTGACAGACCATATATTCTTCTCGGGGAAGAATTTGGCAAAGACTATTTGTTATATCATGCAAGATAACCTTATCACCTTGGTTCCACAACTTGAGGATTATACATGTCCTATTTGTTGTTCTGTAGCGTATAAGCCAATTAGACTTGAGTGTGGCCATTTATTCTGTGTGCGTTGTTTGGTGAAGATGAAACAACAACGTAATGTCAACTGTCCCATGTGTCGGTATGAACGTGCTATTGAGTTGGCATCCGGAGCAAATTTGGACTTGGAAGCCATGGACATTATGGAAAAGTATTTCCCCTTGGAAGTCAAGGCGAAATTGAAGGAAAGAAGTACTGAAAAGTACTCGGACTTTGCAGGGAACAGAGATAACAAATGCAATGTATCATAAAATAGGGTATATACATACTAGTACTATATATTAAACTTCTGCTTAATCAGTATACACTTGTAACAGTAATATGATATACATAAGCACTACCTACTTCCTTGTAATAGTTTACACCTATAAACAGTATACACTTAGTGTATACCTTTCACCGTATACACTTAGTGTATACTTTTCACCGTATACCTTTACTCCTTAACTATGGTATTATGGTCATATTTGTGTCGCACTTTGTCCCTAATTACAAATACAATACTACATGTCTCTTTCTCCATCATGATTGACAAACAAACCAAATACGATAGACAATTACGATTATGGGCAAACACAGGACAAGATAACTTGGAAAGATGCCATCTCTGTATGATTAATGCTGATGCCACTGCTTCGGAAACACTCAAGAATTTGGTTCTTCCAGGGTTAGGTAAGTTTACCATTGTAGACGCCGGTACTGTTTGTCCAGGTGATCTTTCTGGTAATTTCTTCCTTACAGAGGCTGATTTAGGGAAGAATCGAGCTGAAGCCTTGACTCGGAACTTGCTAGAACTCAATCCTGATGTTGAGGGCAAGTGGGTGGCGGAACAATCAATTGATTCTTTGGATGCTCAATTTTGGGATCAATTTGATATGGTGATAATATCCAATTATGTAAAGGGGTATGATGAATTGGTTCAATTGCTTTGGAGACAAGACATCCCGTTACTTGTGGCCACAACTATGGGATATTACGGGTCTTTACATGTTATACGAAGTGAAACTACGGTGGTTGAAACCCACCATCCTTCTCAACGATTCCAATTATTCTTAGACAAGCCATGGCCAGAACTACAACAATTTGTAGATTCATTTGACCTTGAAACACTAGATGAGACAGATCATGCACAGGTGCCATATATTGTGATTTATATTAAATTACTTGCTCAATTAAGAGCATCAAATAGTCCTATCCCTAAAACTTACCAACAGAAACAACATTTTAAAACCCTTATTGAATCCTTATCTAGAGACATTTCTCAAGAAACAAACTTTATAGAGGCTTCAAGCTCCCTTTTCCGTACAGTCCTCGAAACTGAAATACCGCCTTCAGTAGTGGAGATCATGAAAATTGCTAGTAAGTTGGACCTCACCCAAACATCATTATTCTGGATCTATGTGAAGGCTTTAGAGAACTTTGCCTCAAAAAATGAAGGACTTTTACCGTTACCAGGAACTCTACCAGATATGGCATCTAACACGGCCAATTATGTGCAACTTCAAAAAATATACCATCAAAAGGCTATTAAAGACCGTGAAGCGTTTGCTAAAGAAGTTCAGATTCTATCTGCCAGTTTGGGAAGAGAAGAAGCAGATGATTTGAACCTGGATTTGATAAGTAGCTTCTGCAAAAACTCTAATCTTTTGTATGTTTCCAAAGGCTCGTACAAACAAGTCTCAGAGCAAATAGTGAAGGATTGTCTTGTCCCAGGGAAATATAACATATCTGCAGTTTACCTATCGTTGTTGAATACTAGGTATTATTTTAATATATTTGGTTCACTACCTTCAATTAAAGATTTAGAATCTTTTACACAATTGGCATTCGATGTTATATTTAAGCCTTACATGTCTTCCATATCAGACATTCCAGAATCGGTTATTTTGACTTTCACAGATGTATTAAGTCATAATACAAATTCCTACCATAATTTAGCCAGTTTTATTGGGGGGATCACAGCGCAAGAGGTGTTAAAAATAGCTACGGCTCAATATATCCCACTTGATAATGTATTTGTATTTGATGGAATAGTCTCAACCAGTCAAAAGTGGAAAATTGAATAATATTACAACTGAGCCTATAAATCGTCAAATGATCCTTGCATTCCAGAAGAAGAAGTGGTCTTCTTTTTTTTATTGGACCTAACAATGTCTTTCCAATCTTCCTTGACTTCTTCTTCATCAGATGAGTCCTTTTCCAATATTTGCTTTTCTATAGCATCACGTTTACGTTTCATCTTTTCTCTTCTTTCTTGTTTTGTCTCTTTACTTTCAACTTTAGTGGACCAAGCTTCGTTCTTTTTTTTAAGTTCCTTTCTCTTCTTTGCATCGTTGATCATTTTAAGTTTATCTGCTTCCAAATTTTCTACTCTGACGGTTTCCTTTTGCTTATCAGCGTAAGCATAATTATCAAGGTCAACAGGATCTCCTAACCAACCACCTTCGGGTATCAATTCATTCGGGATATATTTTGTTTCAGGCATTTTGGGTAATCTTAATAGACCATAACTTTTGGCCATTCCCAAATAATCAAAGGATTGTAATCTGAAAATTGATGATGCAACATGTTTGGAATAATATTTCATGAATCCAACATAAGCTTTAATTGATAGTTCATGACGTGCTCTATCATCAAGCAAGTATTGTCTAAGTTTAGTATTGAAATTAATTCGGAAATCTTTGGGAATCTTTGGAGCTGTTTCTTCAGATAATATCAAGCCTTTCACTTCCATGAATCCAATATAATCTTCTTCCCTTGTGTTGTTATTGAGCATCACTATGGCTCTACCGACTTTATTGGCTCTACCGGTTCTCCCACAACGATGTAAAAACACAGCAGGATCCGTTGGGGGGTCTAATTGAATGACTAGATCCACATCAGGTATATCAATACCTCTTGCGGCCACATCTGTGGTCATCAAAACAGATTTATTTACCAAAGAGTTGTCATTGGTAAAGGCTTCCAATGTCTTGAGTCTGGCTTTGGTTTGTAACTGTCCATGAAGGGAATAAAACAGTAACAAGTTTTTCAGTAAGAGATTATGAAACACATTGTAAAAGTATTTGACTGATGTGCATGTGGGGAAATACACTATGGCTTTCTTATAGTGATATTGAGTAAGCAATTCAATTAAAGACAAAATTTTATCTTCAGAATTGATCATCATGTATTTGATTGAAAGGGAAGCAGGGGCAGAGCCAGATCCAGTGGTAACTGCGGGGTTTTTAGATTTAACAACCACTTTAACTGGGTTGTTCATTCCTGTTCTAAAGATGGAATCACCAGCAGTAGATATGGTAGCAGAAAATAACCCTGTTCTTCTTTGCTTTGGTAATTGTTTTAAGATCAGAACCACGTCTGTCTCGAAGGACAAGTCCAATAACTTATCTGCCTCGTCTAGTACGGCTATTTCTAAGGAAGATGTATGGACATATTTTGATTTCATGAAATCAAGTAATCTTCCCGGAGTCCCAATTAAGATTTGATGACGGTTATCCACAAACAGTTCAATATCTTGTCTAACACTTGTTAAAGAACCTACTAACAATTGAGTAGATATATTCTTTTTGTCATCCGGTAAATATTTAAGGATCAGATCGAAAACTGATTGGATTTGACTTGCCAATTCTCTAGTAGGTGCTATAACCATTGCAAGCATGTGACCTTTCTTCACTGGTTCAGGAGCATCATCTCCTTCAGATACGGAGTACATTCTTGTGGAAACCTTTTGTAAAACAGGTATAGCATAGGCCAAGGTCTTCCCGGACCCTGTAACGGCTTCAACCACCACATCTTTGTTCTGACTAAATAATGGGATAGCACTGGCTTGTACTGGTGTCATGGTTGGAAACCCCAAAGATACTATCGCATCTTTGAGCCATGGATGAAGATCACATCGAAGGTTCTCCCATAGTAAGGATCCTTTTTTAGTCTCCATTAGGAATGGTATATATAATGCCAAGTATCTATTAGACGACTCTATTGAAAGAGCCAGCAGAAATGAATATACGCTCGTTCCGCATAGTCGACCCGAGATATGAGAGTGCGCGATGAGGTAAATTTTTCAGAATAGCATCAACCAATTGACCGACTCTTCATGCGATGCCTAGCCAGGTTTAGACCACAGACAAGAGCCATGAGTACTCAATACGGGCTGTGGACCCGGGAGCAGTTGATTGCACGGGTTGTGGAGCTTGAAAGTCGGGCGAAAGGAACTGCAGTAAACAGAGACGAGTCTATCAGCCGCATCGACGCAAACGAGCTGTTAAGCAACGTCAATAACGACCATACTGAACCAATCAAACCCAAGAAGAAACAATTTGATTTCTCAGCCCACCCTCAACGTTTTATAGCTCTTAGATTTGCTTATCTTGGATGGAACTATAATGGTTTGGCGTATCAATATGAACCTACTGAATTCCCAACAGTGGAAGGGGAAATTCTAAAGGCTCTCGATAAGGCAAGACTTATCTCCGAACCAGAACCAACTACATGTAATTTCAGTAGATGTGGAAGAACAGATAAAGGGGTCAGTGCCATGAATCAAGTGATTTCTTTAGATGTGAGATCCAATTTAACCAAGGATGAACAATTAGATCCCCAGAATGACCAAAGGGAATTACCTTATATGAGCATACTCAATTCAATGCTTCCAGCTGATATAGTCATAACTGCGATATGCTTAAGACCTCCAACTAATTTCAATGCGAGATTTAGTTGTTTATCCCGACACTATAGATATCTCATTCACAAGGATTCCTTAGACATAGCCTTGATGAAAGAAGCAGCTGCTAAATATGAAGGTCGACATGATTTCCGTAACTTATGCAAACTAGATGGATCCAAGCAAATTGTTAACCATGTTCGAGAGATCATCTCTAGCAAGATCATTCCTCACGAAACTGATGAGAATTATGTTATATTTGATCTTAAAGGTCTGGCATTCCTTTGGCATCAAGTGAGATGTATGGTAGCCATTTTGCTTATGGTGGGACAAAAGTTGGAGAAACCTTCACTTATTGATGAGCTTTTAGACGTTGAAAGGAACCCTCAAAGACCGGCATATGCTATGGCTCATGATGTACCCTTGGTGTTATATGATTGTGAGTTCCCAGAAATGGAATGGTTCCCATTCATTAAAGATGCCACTAGTTCTAAAGTCAGGAGAGAAGTGGCTCGAATGCGTGGAGTCATTCAAAGCTATGAGATTAGAGCATTGATGGGTAACTACATGAAGCAGGCCTTCTTTGATAAACATCCAGATACAGATAAAATGTACACTGGATATGATGTACTCAATTCTGGTGATGGACAAGGAAGACTCTATAAGAAACATTTACCAGTGATGTCTCGAACATTAGGAGATCCAGTTGAAATGGTTAATCAACGATGGCGAGATAAGAAGAAACGGAAGTTAGAAGAAGAAGAACGATTGAGTAAAGTTGAATGAATGTATATAGTTAAAATTAATTAGATATCCAAGATGGTTCCCAATACTGCCATTCTCCCTTAAGTCCTTGAGTGTCTAACCAAAGTAATCCTTCCATGATCATTTCCTCTATAATAGTAGCACATCTTGTCACGTCCCAGCCATAATTATCATGTAATAACCTATAAGTAACGAATCCACCAGTAAACAGACACATTTCATAGATGTTTCGTTGATCAACAGAGATGCCTCCATCTTTAGAGGATCCTCCTGTGATACTTGAAAACCTTAACCAACTACTATTGTTACTTTGCATTATTTCATAACCATTTCCTAACTCCTTTAAAACCTCTATACATTTTGTAACATCATTATCGGTCACCTTGAGCTCTAAAACACTTGTTCCTGAAGTTGTGTTCAATTGTGATCTCAATTCCTTCAAAGAAATAAGACCTCCATTCATAGCTCGGGTTTCCTGACACACTTCTACTATTCTTAACAGAAGAATGGTATAATATTCTTGTGGCTTATCTACTCCATCCGAAATCCCAGCTCCCAAAGAGTGGATAAGAAGTGCAACAGGATCTATACCTACTTGTTGGCAAAGTCTTGTAAACTTGGTTCTGAATTCAGAGTTCACTCGTATGGTTTCTCGGTGATCCACAGAAAAGTTAACTATTGCAGATTGAAGTACTGATAATTGCGTTGATAATTGGCTGGACTGTCTCTCATTTATAAGTCTTCCAAGTTCAAGATAAGCCTCTCTATTATATCGTAGCAGCATTGTAAATGTAAGTTAGTACTCCGATAATCTTATCTCTGACTGTAATATTTAGTATATACGTACATGATTATTTTTTGGTGTCATGTGATCAATCACGTGATAATACTAATTGAAATAACTGTTGGTACCTCGTTAATAGTTAAACCTCTCCGCCATTAAACCGTACTAAACCTGACCAAATATAATCGCCTTCATGTGACTGTAATATTATTCGCCTTAAATTTCAAAGTAACCGTTCTTTCATTCCATCTCTGCACATTGAACCGATTATTTACCCAATACTCCCGTTTAGGGAATTTATGCTGCCCATTATTATTATTATTTTAGCCCATGCAATTTATTTACTTATTCCTTTATTTCAAGGTTGCAAACTATGTGGTCCGCCTGGGGTGATATCAGTGTTAATTCTTTCTTCCCACGGTTCGTTTGAGGGGATGCAAGATTGGTAGCGCGCATCGGTACTAGAATATATATCTCCGGCTATTCGGTTATATTTTCAACTACAAATATTCACTAAGAGACTCAACTATTAGAACCTTCTCTAAAGAAAGTCTAATATCAGTACGCCGTTATCTCATACTACATCCATATATCATTAACGCATTAGAATCACCTTAGACCTCCCATCCGATGACTATTTCTCCTGATCCAAAATATACTGTGGAACCTCCACACGAAATTGAAGTTAGACTTCCAAATGGTGTTTCAGGAACTATTGCGATTCCTCATGCCACGGCTTTTGATGGTGACTTTGTGGATGGACTCCATCCTCCAACACATAAATGTGCTATTATTTTGCATGGACAAGGCGGTCACAGAGATTATTGTTACCAGAAACATTTGGCACATCGATTGGCCAGAGATTTGGGAATGTATTCACTTAGAATCGACTTCCGAGGGTGCGGGGAGTCCGAGGATATTGCCGACCCAATGGTGGGCCGGGTCCTAGAATCTGATATTGAAGATATTGAAGAGTGTTGTCGTTATATGATAGATTCCAGTTTAAATCCTTTGGGTACTAGTTTCACTATTCTGTCGATTGTAGGCCACAGTAGAGGTGGTGTGGCGATGTTTTTATGGGCATGTAAACAATTAAAACTGACAAATGGAGGAATTACAGTACCCAATTTAATTAATTGTTCCGCCAGATTTGTATCTCACACAGTTACGGGGAGATATGGGTTCAAGCAAGATTCAGTACTCATTAGTCAATATCGATATGGAAGATACCAACCAGTTCCTTTCACCAAAAAGGAACTTGAATCTTTGGCAACAGCAGATTTGGAGCCAATCAAAGATTTACCGCTAGACACTTCAGTTCTTAGTGTTTATGGTATGAATGATTCAATAATTCCACCTAATGATTGTCAACATTATGCCAATGCATTGAATAGAGGACCATTTTCTCATCGTTTGGAATTGATACCCGATGCTAGCCATAATTTCTTTGGATCAACTCAAGTTAAAGATCTTGATGCTCATGAAATTTTAAGATTGCCTATAACCAAATATAATGTGTTTAATTATAATTATCTCGTGGTAGATAACATTATTGATTTTTTGCAACCTGAGAATGAATTACAAAGGTTTGTTGCAGCTTCTCGAAACGTCGGGCATTTACCTAGATGGAAGAAAGTTGAAGGAATTTCCAATTTCCGTGATATGGGTGGTTGGAAGATAAATCTTCCTAGGTTCCATGGCCCTGGGAAGACTGTCTATGTTAAGCCTAATTTCCTATATCGATGCGCACTGACAAGTCATGTAACTGAAGCCGGCGTTGCCACCATGAAGAACGAATTGGGGATACATGCTGTATTTGATTTACGTTCAGATGGTGAAATCGAGAAGGATGGTGCTCCAAGAGAGTTGATTGAGAAGCATGGTATTAAATGGATCCACGCTCCCGTTTTCACTAGTGATGATTATTCACCTCAAGCTATTGCAATGAGATATACCAATTTACTTACTTGCTGGTCAACATATGTGAATGTCTATGATAACATGTTGGAAAATGGGGTTTCATGTTTCCGTCTGATATTTGAGTATATCCGGGATGAACAGAAGCCGTTTGTCTTCCATTGCACTGCAGGGAAAGATCGCACTGGTATTTTGGGGATGTTGATACTTTTATTGGTTGGAGTTGATAAGAATACTCTTGCAAGAGAATATGAATTGACAACAGTGGGGTTACGTCCTGATCATCCAAAGTTAAAGGAAGGGTTTATGAAAGTTGTTGATAAATTCAAATCTGATAATGAAGATGTTAGTGATTTTGAACAACTTATTTCTCAAGGAAGAAGTAGCTTTAACATTTATGAAGATGGATTCAATAATTTGATCAGTTCTCGATATGAAGCCATGTTATCCACCATTGAAATGTTTAATAATCCCAATGAAAAGTATGGAGGAATCGTTAACTACATGAAGGAATATTTGAAGTTCCTGGATGATGATATTCGAACCATTTATAATGTTTTGGTATCCACAAGTCCAAGTTTTTCCTTTAGTGGGAACTTGGAATTTGTTCACAGTACAAAGACCAATGAAGCTAAATTGTGATGAAACGTAGAAGAAATTTATGGTGTGTATAATTATATGGTATGCTTATTAATGCTATTTCTTACATGATTGGTAATGGACGATTCTTAAATATCAATTTGTTGTATATGGTATCCACAATTGATACATCTGTTTTACTTGGATCAGACAGAAGTCGAAGCACAAGTAATGGATTCTCTAACTTAACTACTGACCCCATCAATCGTTGTGATTTACCAATAAACAATGTACACTTTCGAGAATCAGTAGCATCAAAACTTAAACTCCCAAACTTCACTCCTTGATAGATTTTGTCTATCGTAATATAATTATCTAAATATTCTTGTGGGAACGCGTCTGCCAGCAACGCGTTTATTTCTGGAGGTGTATTGAGCTCTCCCTGTATTTCTAGAAGACTTAAACCATGGGGAGTTTCAATGAGAGGACCATTTGGATCTGATCCTTGTAGCACGTGAGGGTCGTACGTAACTTCTACTGAAGGCATAACCTAGAGGGCTTTGAAACGGAATATTTTCTGAATAAAGAATGTACTTGATATAGTTGGCATCAGTAGCACATTACTAGCACATTACTAGCAAATTAGAAGGTGGTCACGTGACATTAGATACCTTTTGTGGGAAGAAGGACACAACCTCAGTTCATGGGCTCAAAATCATCTACCAAGGCTTACAGTGAACAATCATATAACCGGTAACGGAGAAAAGGATGTTACTGAAACCAAAGTTAATTTTTACATGCTATGTTTTAATTGTATTTGCGGGGGTGAGTATCATCGTAGGATATTGAACCGAGATGCCGAGTCTGCCAAGATGTGTTAACACAGTTTGAAGGAAAAAGCCACTTAACGACACAAAAGTCCATTTGTTAGTAAATAAATGTCGCCCTTGCTCACATCACTTAAACCACATGACCACTAACGCAAGCATGACTAGTAAAACATCTGCAGTAGACTTTGCCAGTTGACCTACCTAACTATCTAACATGTATGTCCTTAAATGTTGTAAATGTTTATGCAGTCAGTTTTACCAAGATCTAAACGAGAGGTGGTTTTGTGAGCGTTAATCGGTATTCCAATCATTTTCCGAAAACGCAGACATACACTTAGTTGTACCGAGACTTACACCAGGATATCAACCATGTACTGTACTTTGTATAACAAAAGCTTTGCTTAGTTCTAACTACAGTGGTATAGGTGAATCTTCCTTTCCTGGGCCACCAAGTTTTCTGACAACTTGTATAATAGGACAAATTACTACATTTCATACAATATGATAATCTGCCACATTCTATCATGTGCTCAATGTTACTCTTCGGAAGCATAATAACTAAATATACTCGAATGCTTTGCTTCTCTTTGCCGAGCGCATTTCGGGTAGTGTTGTTGTTTCTCCCCATCTATTGTTCTGCCCATCTCTGTAAAATTCTACGTTGTTTCATACTGCATGTTGCACCTATACGACATTTTCTCCTCGACTGTCAGCCAAAAAATATTATGATGCAACAAACATCTGTGGGGCCGTTTCATGGAAACTTTGGTGCATCTCCCCTCTTCCCCTCTAAACTTTGACAAGAACATTTGTGTTATCAGTCATGTGTTTATGTAGCCTAAAGTAGTCTAAACATATAAGAAGGTCATTGACTTCTTTGCATTACTAAAAAAAAACAAATCTGTGTAGTAGAACTCTTTCCACATATATTTGAAAGCCCTTTCTGTCAGAACTTATATATCCCTATTAGGATTTTTCGTCTGCACGTATAACGAAACCAAACAAATAATACGGTGTGAAAATTTTTTGCCCTACCATTGTTAGTACACTTCCTCCTTATACTTACTGCCATTTAAATAGTATCAACACTTTTTTATCATCCCTTAACTCTTTCCTATTTCTAATAATAATAGTCAGCCAATCATGTCTGAAGGGGAATACACAGCCGTTCATGGGTTGATGCAATTGATGCGTTACCAAAACAATTATCCAAACCTCATGTCTGGTGTGGACAAGTTATCAGCACAAGCAAAGAACTTATTTGGACCTAATCCTCCTCCAGTGTTGATTGACTATGCATTGCAATACCAAATGAATTTGTTTGGTGATTATCCAACTTCTAAAGATGTTGTTCCATCAGCCATTTTCTCTGCCGTTTTTGGTATCATCGCTATTATCCATTTGGGGATTTTCTCTATTAACTACTCTCGTGGGCATTACTTTTGGCTATCTTTGGGTTGGGCCTTCTATGCCATTATGAGAACCATTGGCTGGATTCTTCGTATTGTGTGGTCTAAAGATTTAACCAGAACAGGTTTGGGAATTGCCGATGAAGTGCTTCTTCTTATTCCTGCTGTATTATTAATTGCTTTCAACTTGATTCTCGCTCAAAGAATCTTTACTTGGAGACATCCAGTTGGAGGGTCTCGTAAATTGTTCTGGGCCTTTATGATGATTTTATATGTCTTGGTTATTGGAGTCATTGCCATGTGTATTGTTGGTTCTGCTGTTCCTTACTTATACTTCCTCAGTACAGCAGCTGTCAGTAGATACCAAAAGGTTGTGGAAGCCGCAATGATTCTTTTATGTTTGTATTCGCTTACTGCGGTTTCCTTACTTGGATTGGCTTACTTTTTAAAACCCACTAGAAGGGATGAAAGCTTGTACACTTATCAACCTTGGTGGATTGAATCATTTGCTCCCACATATTTTGTTCGTAAGGGTGCGGAAAAGGAAGCTGCCGTTTCGTTCCTTAAGAGAAACCGTAACCAAAGAAATGCCATCAGAGTCATTGCTGCTACTCATCATCATTATAAACAAGTTCATGGTGTTACTAACGAAAGAGGAGCATTGGGCCATAATGTTTCACTTGGAATCGTCAGCATTTCAACCGTTCTTATTTTGATTGGATGTATTTTGCGTACCGTTGTTGTCTTTGAAAAAAGATACCAAATGAACTCTGGTCCCGCCACAAAGCCTGTGGCAATGTATATTGCTTGGGGTTTGTTTGAATTCATTATCAACGCCATGTACATCATTGGAAGAGTTGATTTGAGATTCTACCGTCCAAACAAATTACCAAACAATGTCCGTGACATTAATACAGCTGATCAAACCCATGTTATCCCTTCAGATGACGAATTGGAGGTTGGTGACTCTGAAAGTTCCGAAAAGCCTGGTCCATCTTCAAGCTCCTTGGAACAACATGCCAATGATGTTACTCCTCCAGAAGCAGATTTAATTGATAACACTGAAGACAAGAAGAAGTCTGAAAATGTGGAGAACGAGAAATAATCATGTTTACTGACATCCGTTTTAATTTATATGTATTTCATTTTGTATTTTATATCACTAATTTAATAATCTTTACCCAATCGGGAAATTTTTGTAACTCCATACAAATCGTAGGTTGCTACCACATGCTTTTGGTCAACTTACTGATACATCCAAACCTCTTCATGTCACGTGACAACATATTTATGCAAAGTTTCTGCTAACCTTTCTCTTTTAAGAAAGAAAGCAGACTATATAAGCAATCACATACGATACCAAATGAAGCGTCCATTTCCTAGCTTTGAGCCATTTAATAGGAAGAATAACATAAGGGCCCATTCAAGTCAACTTGTAACCTGGCTTCAAATCAAGAATCAATGTATCTTTTGATTCAGTTTTATTACCAAGCAAAAAGCTTTCAATTAATTTCCTATCTATGGGGATCATGGTAGAGTCCTACTGTTCAAACGTATCAGTAGGAATTTCTTAATTACAGTCTTTTACAAGTATACCAATTATTCTCGCGTATATATTGCGGACTAATTATAAAGAAGTAAGGCACTTCTTTATCCGATGGCTACCTATATACCCGGTCCGATTTATGTCGCAAGTATAGTAGAGGGTTACCCGCACTTTGGCATTTTTTACTATACAAATATACTGGTGTTAGCTCCTCTACGCTGTTGAACGCTTGTAATAGTACTCCATATTACCATATTACACCATGTTAAGTTCTTTGCTGTTGGCTGCAAGTACTCGTAATTGGCTACAACAAAGTTTTATACGTTATAGCTCCCGTAAACCAAAATGTCCTCCTCCTACTTTAGACACTGGGTGCACTCATTGTCAAACACCCTTTGAAAGAGACCTTTCCAAACCTCTAGCACTGTCACAGCCATATGTGGATAGATATGTTATTCATCTTAATCATAAGTATTCAACTATGGCAGATATACCGTCTCGGGTGGTTCTGCCGCTTTTAACTACAGTTAGAGAATCTCCAGAGGTAATCCAAAGTACCTTAGGTATAATCGAGGGTGCGGATCATCCTACACATGACAACGAGCAAATGGTGGTGAGATTCTATCCTGAGGGGATTCTTGCTCGAGGAACAGTAGAAGCTATTTCTCTGTATTTAAAATCAGAATCAGATATAAATAGTTTACAAGTGGAAGAAATATCAAAACCGTTAGTAATGGTGTGTGGGCATGCTGCCAGAGATGCTAGATGTGGTACAATAGCACCCTTATTAGTTGAAGAGCTTACAGCGGTTGCAAAGCTTCAAGGTTTGGATTTTGATGTTGGTTACATCACTCATGTTGGCGGTCATATATATGCCGGTAACCTTATAATTTTTAAGAGGGGCCAGCTTCCAACCTGGTATGGCCGAGTTGATCCTCACCATATTCAAGGGATTATCCAAGAGAGTGTACTTGGAAATAATATTATAGATGAATTGTACCGGGGTAGATAAATCACAAGATTGGTAGTAGACACCATTTTAATAAGTTATGCTTTATTGCCGATCGGCGTTAAAATATGAAACGATTGTTACACAATCGCGGCTTAATTTACATCATTTTTTTTATCTATTATTAATAAAATATAATAAACAGGCGTTTATACACAATGTATAATTCATATGCACAAGAATTGAGAAGAACTTTAACTAATTAAACATCTTCTCAAGCAACTCAACCACTCATGGTCAACATTCTTAATCCCAGCTGGATAACTTCATGGTACCATTGTCTTGGTAGTTGATATGCATCTTGAAAGCATCTCTCAAGATGTGTGGTTCGTGTAAGCACTTCTTCTTTTGAGCGTAGAAAGTAGCTCTATCAAAGTAATCTTGTAATTGGGCCTTGAAATCAGGGTGAACACACTTGTTGATAATTTCTTGGGCTCTTTCCTTTGGAGCCAAACCTCTCAAATCAGCTAAACCAATATCGGTGACAATGATATCCAAGTCATGTTCGGTTTGATCAACATGGGTAGCCATAGGAACAATACAAGAAATACCAGTTGGATCAGTCTTGGATGGTCTAGCAGATGGAGTATGCATAACAGATAACTTGGCGTTACGCAAGAAATCAGCAGAACCACCCAAACCGTTAAGCATACGAGAACCGTTAACATTGGTGGAGTTAGCATGAGCGTAAATATCCACCTCAACAGGTGTGTTCAAGGCAATGACACCTAATCTTCTGATAATTTCAGGAGAGTTGGAGACAACTTGAGAACGAAGACACAATCTAGAAGTAAACTCATCCCAGTTGGCGTAGAAACGTTCGAAACCTTCTTCAGTCAATCTAATCGAAGTAGCGGTAGCATAGTTCAAAGAACCTGATTCCAAGAAATCAAGGAAACCATCTTGTAACACTTCAGTCCAAACATTCAAGTCCTTAAAGTTAGAGCCAGCAAGACCCTCGACAACAGCATTACCAATGTTACCAATACCAGATTGCAATGGGTGCAAGTTGTAAGGCATTCTACCTAACTTGACTTCTTGTTCGAGGAATTCAATCAAGTTATCAGAGATATTTCTTGACATAGCATCAGATGGAGTATTTGCAGGAACCTTATCACCTTCATGAGATTCGACAATAGCAACAACTCTTTCAGGATCAACTGGAATAGCAGTTCTACCAGTCTTGTAATCAACGGAAGTATGCAAGTATGGAGGTCTGTGGGGGGGGTTAACTGGCAAGTCAATATCGTGAATACCTTCAAAAGATGGAGTCTTGGTGTTCACTTCAATGATGATCTTATCAGAAACTGAAAGCATTTCAGGAGATCCACCAACAGCTGGACCTGGGACAATGGCACCATCTTCAGTGATAGCAGTGGCTTCAATGATGGTGTAATCCAACAAGTCATTTTCCTTGAAACGGGTATAATAACCATAAGTCAAATCTTGAGGAAACATGGATAAATGTTTATCAAAGAAAAGCATACGACCATCGTTAATGGCAGCAGAAATGGGTTTACCAACTTGATGTGGAGATCTTTTAATGATCATGTTATTTTCGGCCCAACGACCTTCTTCGGGACCAGCAGAAGCTCCAACAAACAAATTGAATTGCAATTTACCTTGTAAGTCATTCTTTTCAACATGGTCAGCTAAAGCTGTTGGAATGGCCTTTGGAGCACCGACACCGGTGAAACCAGACCAACCAAGGTACTGGCCATGCTTAAAGAGATCAACACATTGTTCTGGGGTTCTGAGTTTCTTCAAGTAAGGAGCATATCTAACTCTGGATTTAAGAAGAGCGGACATTATTCTAAGTTATTTATGTACAACAATAATACGTATCGAAATAATTTAATATTATTAAGGTTTGTTCTGGAACACTTCTTCTGGAGGGAAGGTTAACGTAACGTATCTAGTCGCCGTACAACCACAAAAGAAAGAAAGAAAAAAGAGAACAAGAAGAAGAAGATAATCCACTATTAAAGGTGAAAAACTTGGGATTTCAACGGCTATTTAAATGGTTGCGATTTTTTTTCACCGAGTGTGATACCAATAATAAACACGACGAAATCGGAGTTGGGTTTGTATGGTAGCGCCGCGATTCCATTTTTGTGGAGATTGGGTAAAGAGAACGAAAGAGGTTTTGTGGCTGAAGATTTGTTGGCAGCGCAAGGGGGGTAGCGATGAGGGGCAGACAGTTTTGGATAAGAATAGATCTCATATAGATAATGTCAAGGCTTATTGACAGCGGTCAAGAGATGTATTACGTTGTTCGCCAAAAGTATAAATAAGTTCAAGGTAAAGATAAAAGAGTGGTATTATTATTTATTAGCGGATCAATCGGTTCTAATCAATGTATATGAAGGATAAAATTTATCTGGGGTGATTTGAGTGGGTGGCTATGTATTTCCCCGGAGTTTATTTTGTGGCCAATCAGCGATCGCTTAAGTCGGCCATCAATATTACTATGGTTAAACCTAATTGAGCAAGATGAGTCGATAATATCATGATCATGAGTATGCGTATTAGTATTAGTATGAGTATGTGTATGTGTATGAGTATTAGTATAGGTATTAGTATAGGTATTAGCATGAATATGAGTATTAGTCGTAGTGTGCTGTTATAGATGATACTGCTTAACGTAAATGTATGCATTGTGTAATGTTTCAGTACCAAAGTCGATCTTTATTCAACAATTCTTTACCCCAGATCCTGTCGTCCGCAATGACTCTGATTGGCCCATAAACTCCAGATTTGGTGACCCCGATCGCTCGGAGTTTGGCAACTCCGGATTACCCCTTTTGTGTGGCTCATGGGTACCCCGGATGGGGTGAGCATCTTGGTGAATGCTGATTGGCTGGAATGCAAACAATATAGTGCGTCTACATTTCTAATGGTCAAAATACATTTCCTTTAGTAAAAACAACCACTGAAATTATGTATCAAACTTATCAACAAATCCATTGACCTTAATATACATGATTACAAGAATGTTCCTTGACAGATGGAGGGGCATCGATTATTTGGTTGGGCGAAGACAACTATTCCCCTCCTTTCCTTAATTCCCCTCCCTGCCCAACACCACAACACCCAGATACGGGCTAAAAAAGAAAACTACAAGAAAAAGAACGAAAGGCACACATGTTCGATTCCCGGTCGCGTCAATCCTTCTATTCCCCACAGTACTGTAACAGATTTTACTTTGTATTGTTGGGACAAGGTTATACCAAACTCGTATAAGTCAAACCGTGGTCCAAGTTATACGAGCACTGCGTAACCACAGTTTGTACTAATCATCTGCATCTAACTGTGTAACTGTCATATGCATACTGCTTACTTCTTCTCAACAATTTATAAATAGCAAGTCTATTCATCACCTCGGCAAATAATTCCCAAATAATACCAGGCTAATCTCAAAATGGTTACCCGGACATCTTCATCCTCATCTGTTTAAACCTACTTGGTTTACGATCTCCTTCGGCGTAAACCGGCTCAAACTCCTTATCTTCATCGGTAGCTTGTGTTCCTTGATTCTCATAGGCGAACTTTTGTCGTAAACGATGATAATCTTGACGTACCTCTTGTCCCAATACATCGTTGGATAACCCATAATCTTCATTCATATCATCATCATCCATTGGTTGATCTTCCCAATCATTCTCTAGAACTTGTTCAGATACAATGGGACGGTTTTCTTCATCAGATTCCGAGGCATCGTCATCGTTGTCCATGAAACCGAAATCTTCACCTTGATCAATATCCCGTGCTTTTCCCAGATCAACCACTTTATTATGTCTATCTAAATCTGACATAGATGAAATAATATAGTCACCTCTTGTGGCATCAAGATCAGGTTGCATTCCATTATCGTCATTCTCATCATACATTCCCATAACATAAGCTTGAGCCATAGCATCTAAGTCTCCTCCATAATCAAGCTTGACAACTTTAGGTTTAACATTGACTTCACCCTCATCCTCTAGTTCATTCTGTATGGTAGGTATTATTGATTTCTTGTTCACTAATGCTTGTTTAAATCTTGATGTGACTGGTTTTTGCTCTGGTTCACTTGTAAAACGGAATGCTTCCACCGGGCTATCCACTTCATCTGATTGTTCTGGATTCTTGCTCTTATCTCGTTCAATTGTGGGCATTTGCTTTCTATTTGAGTTTATTAATGGCATCATCACCACTTCGTGCGGATTAAAGTCGCCCCGTTCAACTATATCCGAAACAGGTTCATCCTTTGTATCTGATGGTTCAGAAACTTCATTCTCTATTATGTCAGAAACAGGAGTTTCATGAACATCTTTAATAACACTCTCCTTATATCTATTTCGAGCTAACTTAAACCGACTCACTCGTCCAATGTTCATATTCTTCATCTCTTCACTTACATTCTCTATTGGCACAACATCCACCTTGTCAGCAAACTTAACACCTTTCTTCTTCTTGTTACTGCTTGCTTCTTTATGTTCATCTACAGTGTTCTCAATATCATTCTTCTTTGCATCTCTTAATTTCTGTATTTGATCCCAAAGCATTGAATTCCCCTTATCATGATTCTTGAAAAACTTTACTTCTTCAACATCATCTTCGTCTTCCTCATTTTCGTCCTCGTCATCATCAAATTCAATTTCCCAATCATCACCAAATTCTCCACTCATATTTTCATCACCAACTTCTTCATCTTCAGCCATCTGGTCAAACATTTCCAACTCATAAAGGTCACTGGCATCAATACTACGTTTCTGACTAAACTGCTCCATGCATTCTTGCTTGAGACGGAACTTATCATCCGCAGAAATCTCAAGCTGATCAATCTTGTCCAATAGCGAATTGGCAAACAAAATCTGTTCAGCAGCACTGGGGGTTGCAAGTTCCATATCTGAAATCAAATCTGCTATCTCTTGTTGGGCATCAGTATCGTCAATATGGTTCTGATGAAACTCCGTGTCACTCACAGGTTCAATCTTTTGGCTAGCTTCTGGTTCAACGTCACTAGAAACATTCTCATCGTTTAGTTTGACTCCGATCACGTTCCCATCCTCATCTAATTCTTCAACAATATCTACATACGGTAATCCTTCTTCATTCACCTTGGCATTGTTGGTGGCAACTTCTTGTTCTTCTTCTTCTTCTACTGGCTCGTTGGATACTTGCTCAAACTTGGTCAAATGAGACATGGTTTCCTTCGCATGTTGTAATTGAGAGTCAAACTCGGTGATGGTTGAAGCCAACTCGTGCAGACGTCTTTCCACAAACAGTTTGGCGTCTTCATGATTCATTTGAACAAAATAGTCTCCTCCTAAATGAACCATATGTGAATCATTATCTTGGGTTAGTGCCAGTGCCAATTGCACATACAGCTTCTTTGTTTCTTCAAGAGCCTTACGCTTGCTTTCAAGCCTGTCTATAGTCGAGGCAAGAGTCTCCAGCAACGATTTATCCCAGTCCATTAAGTGTAATGAAGTAATGGAACAACTGTTACTGACCCCATCTCAGTAATTGAAATCTTGAGATCATAATTGTCATCGGGTTCAATTCGCGAAGTCGTGCACCAGAACCGAAAAATTAAACTAAACATCAACACTAAATGTTTATACTAAACAACACGAACACCAGTTAGCAAGTATCAAACAGTTACATCAACGTTATATACGAGCCCCTCCACTATGGCACCTTCCCCACTTCAAATTAAATCCAACGCCGTGAAACGATTGATCCAAGAAAACAAGTTGTATTTGGACGAAGTCGAAGAGAATAAGCAATTGGTTGCCAAACTAGAAGCAGATGGTGGTGATGTCTATGATATTAAAAAGGCAAAGCAGGTTCTCGATGAAAGTGAACGTATGGTAGCTCACATGGGAAAGCTACTTGATACTCATCGTGGAGCACTTAAAACATTTTTAGAGACTTACAAAGGGGATGAAGATACCAGTGAAGCTCAATCCCTTTTGGAATAACATAGATCATATATATATACTATGTAATAATCTATTGATTTTGTTGTTGCCATTGCTTGAGATCTCGTTCCCATTCATCCTCTGATGTTTCCAATGGTTTTTGAAGGTTTTCCTGTTGTAATTCCTGTTCTAGATCGTGTTGTTGTTTCTCATACTCAGCTTTATTATCCACCCACCTCTCGTGGATATCAATATCTTGTAACTCCTTCAATCCCCCAATGCGCATGGCATCTGTCCACACTGTATCACCACCAACCTCGTTGGTACCAAGAGCATACCCCATGGCCTTGTCTACAACCGTAAGCAATTTGATCATGGACTGTTTGTCTTCTATGGCGAGCACTTCAAATTGAACCAAGCCGTAGGACTCTATCAAGTCAGCAATGGCTTCTGTGAGTCTTATGAAGTTTCCACTCAAGGGCGACCGTTTGAATTCAGCCTCCACGTGAGGAATGAGATAATGTAAATCGTTAACATCCGTATAATAGTCCAATTTGTACGGGAGTTCATGAGCAAAATTCAGCACCATATCTATTTTCGATAGCACGTTGACTTGAGGGAGATCCAATTGAAGCATCGCTCTAAGTGCAAGCAAAAGCACACTAATATAGTTGGATGCTGGCATTAAATAGTTCACATCAATCAACTGTACCACACAAAGTCTTAGTTGTTTGTTCAACTTCCGGAAGATCCATCCTAATGAGTTATCATGAGTGAACAATTCCACTTGTCCGGGACAATCAAACAATACATAGTTTCTCTGTTTGAGACAAATATCAACTACTTTGTCTATGAATTCATTGGCCGACTCTCTGAGCAGTTCCATGGCATACATAAGGCCTCCGTTGGGACCCAAGTTCGTCTCTGTCATTACGTCTTCCAATGTTATAAACTCTCGTATGTCTAAGGCACATGGATATTGGAGATGATCATTGGCGGGGTCAAGGTTGATTATGGCGTTCTTTCTTCCTAATGCATTGAGAAATTGGTGCATCCCATAACAGTAAGTGGACTTTCCGCTGCCTGGCGGTCCTATAACTACCTGACCAAACATATTATTGGGGGCGGTAACAGTAACAGTAGTAATAGTAACCGTAACAGTAGTAACAGTAACAGTAACAGTCCAGTAGTAAGATCATCACCTCAATTCGCACTAGTTTTGTGTGACATGGCACAAAACTGCTTCGACAAACCTCAAATCTAAAACTAAGGGCAAACATCTTAGGCATACCAGCACACATTTGTCTCACATAGATTCATACTTAACTCCATTGCTTGACAACCCTTATCTCCAAGCCATGTCAGAAAGTGAGTTTTTGAAGAAGACCGTGACTGTGTCGCCCCTTGTGCTTTTAAGTGTGGTGGACCATTACAATCGAGTGGCCAAAGATAGTTCCAATAAGAACAAACGAGTAGTCGGGGTGATTTTAGGTGACAACAGTGGTGATATCATCCGTGTAACCAACTCATATGCCATACCTTTTGAGGAAGATGATAAAAACCCAGATGTCTGGTTTTTGGATCATAATTTCATTGAATCCATGGGTGATATGTTTCGGAAAATCAATGCAAAGGAGAAGTTGATTGGTTGGTATCATTCTGGACCCAAATTACGTCAAAGTGATTTGAAAATCAATGATATTGTGTTCAAGAAGTTTGTTGGTAGTCCATTACTTTTAATTGTTGATGTCAAACCCAAATTGGATATTCCTACCGATGCCTATATTGCCGTTGATGATATTAAAGTGGATGGTTCAGCAGCTGAAAGAACGTTTGTTCACGTTCCCTCTTTGATTGAGGCAGAAGAAGCGGAAGAAATCGGTGTGGAACATTTGCTTCGAGACATTAGAGATCCCGCTGCTGGGAACTTGTCTTTGAAGGTAACTCAAACATATAAATCTCTTTTAGGATTACACCTTAAATTGAGAGAAATTGCAAACTATTTAGAAAAGGTATATTTGAAGAAATTACCCATCAATCATACTATTTTGGGTAAGTTGCAGAATGTTTTCAACTTGTTGCCCAATTTGGCAGCGATAACCGATACCTCCTCCTCCAACTCCACCACTTCTACACTGGACGAAGAAAAAAATGGTTATAATGACGTTAAGAATTTATCTACTGCCTTCACCATAAAGACAAATGATCAAATGATGATGGTGTACATTCTGACGTTGATTCGGGCCATTATTGCTTTCCATGATTTGATTGAAAATAAGTTAGATAATAGAGCCACTGAAGGTATTGATAGTGCTGCTAGCTCTAGTGCTGCAACGGATGGTGGTGCTACTGCTGTTAATGGAGAAGGTGCTACTGCCGAATCCAACGATGAAGGTTCACAGGATGCTTCAAAATAATCATAGAGGTTATATTAATGTATTTTACTATACTAATGTGTAGCTATTAGAAGAGCCTACAGTAAAGTATCCTAGAGTACCAAGGTCGTGCGTGAACCGTCCAAACTTTTCTCTGTGGGGATTGAAATCAAGTCTTCCCGCCAATCACTACTAACTAAACACACTCGTTACCCAAACCATGTCTAAGGTTATTATGGCACCAGGGGTCAGTTTTGCCAACTACTTCTTCCATAATACGAGACGGTCGTTTCCTGTCGACATTTTTGGCAATACTATCCGGAGTCGAAGGATTCTCGGTGGATCGTCCGTATGGAATAGAAGCAAAGCGTCAGTCACAACCCAAACGGCCACACAACATGCTACTACGACCATGCTGTCCGGTCTGAACGGTGTGCCACTTCTAACGAGTGTTTTGACGTGTCAAGATCCTATTAAAACCAGTAATGAACCGTCGACAACTCCTACAACGACTGCTGCCACACAACATATTCCGTTTAAAGTGTCACCGATAGAATCGCTGCATCAGAAAACCGGTAACACCACCAAAGGTGATCGGACGATTACAGATTGGCGTACGGCCATTAAACCATATATTATGCTTACCAAACCAAGGTTAACTATGTTGGTAACACTAAGTTCTATTTGTTCGTATGCCCTCTCTCCCAACTCTGTATCGCTTGCCACGCTTATGTTTCTCACTGTTGGAACGACACTTTGTTCTGGTGCGGCAAATGCCATCAATATGGGTCGAGAACCAGATTTCGACCGACAAATGACGCGAACAGTTGGTCGGCCCGTGGTGCGAGGTTTGGTGACATCGCTTCAAGCATATCAATTTGCCGGTGGTATAGGGTCGCTTGGAGTGGCCATGTTATATTATGGTGTTAACCCCGTAGTAGCTGCCTTGGGGTTTGTCAACATAATCTTATATGGATGGACGTACACTTCATTGAAACGGAAACATATTATAAATACCTGGATCGGTGCATTGGTTGGTGCGATTCCACCATTAATGGGTTGGGCAGCAAGTTCGAGTTTGGCTATGCCTGGAGCTTGGTGTCTTGCCGGGTTACTTTATGCATGGCAGTTCCCCCATTTCAATGCGCTTTCACATAACATCGCTGATCAATATAAGCGTGCTGGATACGTGATGACGGCAGCAGAGAACCCCAAACTTAATGCCCGAGTTTCCTTGCGGTATTCGTTGTTGATGTTCCCCATATGTTTTGGACTATCATATTTCGAAGTCACCGATTGGATGTTCCAATTTGATTCGGCCATCTTCAATGGTTGGTTGTCATTGCTTGCATATCAATTCTGGAAACAACAGACTATCAACTACGCTAAGGGTACGATTCCTACGGAAGAAGGCCTAAGACTTGCCAGTATCCAAGCAAAAAAATTATTCTGGGCCTCAGTATGGCAATTACCAGCGATCTTGATTCTTTCAATGCTTCATAAAAAGGGCCAATGGGATGGCATTCTCTATCATTTGGGTCTAAAGGAAGCATCAAATAAATAGCTATGATCTTCTCTTGTACATATATATTACCACATATCATCAGGATTTTCATTCAAATGAACTTGTCCACCAATGGCTATCACATCATCTATAGCCTTAGCCAATTGGGGTTCCTTCAAGACCGTAGCTATGACTCTGATCTTGTTTCTAATCTTTATTACCGTCTTTTCGTATTTCTCCACCACTGCTTCATCGTTTGAATTATCTATCTCCTTTAAATAAGTCTCTAATTGGTTTAAATGGCATTTAATACGTTCATGTTCTTTATCATCGCCATATTTGTAACTCCACCATTCCCATAGTCCTTTGCAGTACCCTACAACGAGAAACCGTTGGTACCCAGTTTGATATCCATATTGAAGTCCATCTCGATATTGGTCTGCTGCTCCCTGTGCCAAGCCAGACTCAACTCCCTCTCGGTAGTACTGGCCTTCCACATTTAGCGTTTCATCAATGTCTATATCGGGAATGGACCCAATCAATTTGGTGTCACTGTTCATGAGATGCGATGAGATGAGCCTGAGATGAGCCTGAACTTGAGATAAGATCAATGGCCTGGAATGGGATGGAATGAAATAAGCTCGTGATGAGGTTGTAACAAGCTTGTAAATGAGATAGTAGCAAGTTGTAAATTGTTCTTTAATTTATCATCGAGAGTTACTTCGAATATGCTTTATAGGTTTGTAATTATGATTACGTAAGTAAATGACCAAAGATGACAATTTGTTAGTAATTCGTTACGTAATCAATATTTTACCCCAAACTTCTTCATTGAATATCTGTCCGCTACTTCTACCATCTACTTCTTCTGCAAGTCATGGCTCGACGGCAATTGGAACGGGGATATGACTCCGATTCGTCGGGTGAAGGGGCATACGATTCCGACGGAGAAGCCCGGGTTTCTGAAAGCGAACAAGAAGAAGAAATACAAATGGAGGTTGAACCAGAATTGAATGAGGAATCTGAGGATGATTTATTTGCGAGTGAAGATGAAAAGGCGAGTAACGCCGATGATATAGGAAAAGATATCCGTACTGAAAATTACGTCGACAATAATGATGACTTCCATGCTGAAAATTACGTCGATGATGGTCCGCCTGTTTCTGCATTCAATGGTGATTTTTCTGAATCCGATAAAGAATCTGATAAAGATGATTGGGACTATTCCGATAATGATGTCAAGTCCACGGCACATGCACACCAGAAACAATTGGATCAAACAATTAGTCGACAGAAGGCATTGCAAGAAGAATTGGAGTCCATTGATGTAACAGAATTAGTGGAACTTTTAGTGTCATTCTTGGAGCCTAGTGAGACACCGTTGGAGGCATTGGCCAGACTCGGACCCCCTCTGAAACGACATCACGGTAGAAGGAAAAAAAATAATAGTGCTTCATCCGACGATTCTTTGGAATCAAATAGGAAATTCAAGGTGACTCAAATCACAGAAACATGTACCAAACTTGAAAGACATGGCATAGTACGGTCATCTGTATATGATACAAGCAGAGAAGAACTCATGCGATTAAGTCGCGCTGCTGCTTCGACGAGAGGAGTCAAACGAACTCGAGATGAAACTGAAACCGAAGATAGCAATCCGTATTATGACCTTAAACAATGGGAGTTCAAATGGAATGAAGATGATGTGGTTCTTGGACCTTATACCTCTTATGAAATGGACTATTGGAAGGAACAAGGACATTTTAATGACACTGTCGTAGTAAGGAAATCCAGAGGACCATTTATGTCCATTACAACCATTGAAAAGTTCCGTTAGGTTCCCATGTAATTCAATATTGGGAAGTCGATATCTTTAGAAATGGCTTCAATGGTGTTCCAAGGGAGATTACATCTCCACCGGACTCTTGGGTTCAAGATATCAATAGTGGTTGTCCTTTGAATGTATCCTAGTGTGGCTAACGTTGCAAGTTGTGAGTTTAGGTCCACGTTTCGACTTAAAGTGAACATGGCATGTTCTGTTTCTCTCCTATGGATTTCTCGTTCGGATAAATCTTCAATAAATTGTGGTTTATCGTTGAACTTATTCAACAGTTTCGATTCATTTCGATATATCACCGATACAATGGCATACAACCGTTCCAATTCAAAGAAATTCGGTTGTAATAATCGGGTATCGATATCTTCTTTGGCTACAGTCAGAAGCTTTTTGACTTTGGAGTTCTTTCGAAGTAAATTGCCTCTAACGGCCTTCAATTTGGAGAAATAGTGTAGATCATTCTTTGGGTCAATAAAAGATGCCAAATAGGATGCTATAAGTAAGAACTTGGAATGAACAGGAAGATCGCTTCCTTGGTATTGTCGTGCGATGTCGTTGTCGTCGTTGTCATTGTTGTCGACCGAAAAATCTTTAATGGCACTGTTAGTTAATACTTCGTCTGTAAATATCACGTCCTTCAAATCTCGATACACTCTCAAGAAATCTGTAGCAGGATACTTTCCTTCGACAACAGGGGCTATGAACTTGGGCCATGACTTCAGGGCGATATCTAAAAGAGTACTAACATCTGAACCCGTGTATGAGAAAAATAGGTCGACCACCATTTTTGCGAATTGGTTCCAGAATTCAAGGTAATTTTCAGCACGACCATCACTTAATTTAGCCTCTTCAACAAATTGTTTACCCTGTAAAATGGCCGTAACTTCATCCTGAGTATACGGTCTAAAGTATATAGTGGGCACCCCATGGGTCACCACTTCCGATGGAGGTTCTGACGTGGTGATCACTACCACTGTGATGTCATTGAATGGTGCTTGTTCGTGTAATCGTAATAGACCTGCCAATAGATCGGTATGAGCTTCCATCGACTGATCAAACCGATCGAGAACTAGCACATGATGTTCGTCGTAACCAGTTTCCCGTTTGAAGTGTTCTAGAGCAACTAAAAATCCCGGTAAGGATTCACAGAGATTGAGAATGTGTGTCTCGTTCCCCTTATACGTTACTATCTCATTCGTTTTGCTGTAGTCGACCCCGCTATCGTCTCTGAAACGGGAGAAACAGCGCTGTAGAAGTATCTTCCGAGTCATGCACTCATCACAGCTAATGAAACTATGTTTCACATTGATTGACTGTAAATACCGGGCTGTGGTAAGAGTTTTGCCTATGGCTTTATGGCCATGTATCAATAAGCTTGGGGTGGTTATATCCACTTCTGGTACAATAAATGCCGATAAAAGTGCTAGTTCCGCATCACGGAACCGTGGCACTAGTTCCGGGGACCCGAGGGGTTGTAGATTGACTGTTATGGTGGAATAATTGGGGAGTTTATCACCAAGAAAGTAAAAGAAAACCATCACACACGATTTTCGTTTATATCAATTTTAATCGCGAATACCTCAATGTTACATTTGTGGACGTAATCTACAGTATAGCTCGACGTAATTCTCATACCGACATAAAGATATATATACATATAATGCTATAAATTACTCTGTTAACACACCTTGAAGAAGTTCAAGTTTATACGCCTTTGCAACATTCGTAAACGTTTGGATTTTCTTCTCCACCTCCAAATAATTCACCGTCTCTGTCCAAGGACCCGAACACTTACAGAACTCACTCATATTATCTGCTCTCACCAGCTTACACTTTGAACATACCAAGTCTTGGTGTAAGAACCGTACGATAAGCTTTTGGTATTGGCCAATGAGTTCTTCCTCGAGTGATACCCGATGATAAGGTCTTTGACAGTTTTTGCAGCTCCAAAGCAGCTCTGGCTCGTCACGGCAAAAGTCAAGGTCTCTAATGTAATTACAATAATCACATATAACGTGAGGAACCTTTAAAGACGTTGAAGGGTACTTGAATTGAGCCTCGGGGCTAAACTCTTTCACTTCAAACAACGCCAACAAGTCTTTCCTTAGCATTCTGGTTTCAATGGTCCGTTTGGTTGACAACCCAAAGATTGCACACAAAAACTTGACCAACTCCAACGTAGGATTCTTCATGGATAAATAGGAACCAGGTAATTGAGGGAAGGTGTATTCTTCCTTCATTTCTGGGTTCAAGATCGACTCGATTTGACGTTTGTATAACCGCTTGATTCTCTTTTCAAATGGTCCTCTAAAGATTTCAATCACACTGTGCTCGGCATCAGGACCGTCGTTACTGATGTCGGTGCTATTCTCGAGTTTCCGTTGACCGTTCAAAATGTGCTGGATTTGGGTGATTCTTTGCGTACCATTGGTGGTAGAAGATAACGATTCGTTCTTCATTTTGGTTATGGAATCAAGAAATATCACGAGCCAATCTTCAAACTCATTCTGATAAAGAATGGGCAAGTAATTTTTCAATTGCCATTGGTTGACTGGCTCCAAATCTTGGACTTCATTACTGGTAATAGCATAACAGCATCTCCCACCATAATTGTATTCGTCCATCCATATTAAAATGTCCCAATATCTTGAGATGGTCAAGTCAAGGAAATTAAACATTGGTTTGGATCGAGCAGCTTTCAAAAGGTATTGACCATAAGCATATGAATTTTCCACGGAAACTTTGGTTGTTTTAACCAAGAGTTTGTTTCTATTAGCAAAGATCACCATGGCATTCATTTTTTTGAACTCTCCGATTAATTGTAACAACGATTTAACAGTCAAATTATGAACATGATAGTGTAATGCAAACGAGTACAAATACGAGTCTCTTCTTTGAACCCAGGTAACCAAATTATTCATCATGGAGTCTGCATTATTGCTACCTTTCAATGCATCGTCCCACCACTTCTTAACCATTGATCTTAAGGTGTTCAAAGCTGGTACAGAAAAGAAATCTTCAGCTATAGTGGACCCTCCGTTACTCTTGTCACCAACTATAATGTCATCTGCCAATTCTGCACCCTCTGCTTCATTAATTAACGAACTGGTTAAAATGGTATTGATGGTTAATGTTCCAATATCAATTTCAAGACAGGCACTTTCATATATTTCTGGATTGTTGATAATAGGGAAGTTCAAACTATCATAATCAGGTAAAGAATCGTTTTCAATGCCTCCCAAATCAGGTAATGGGTTCGGAGACCACCAAAGAACAATGTTGTTGTCTATTAATCTTCGGGAGTATTCAATGTCAATCAAATGGCCCATATTATCAACCTCAAGGTTACACAAGGGAATATTCCCATATCTGGCAAGCGATATTAAGTTTTCAATCCAAGATCCAAGCACAAAGTAATGATTCACCACTCGTTTGGATATTAATTGTTGCCAACCTACTGGTGGTAATGATAATTCTTTACCGTTCATTTTAATTAGTGGGAACCCGGAACAAGCATTACACCCATTTAAGATTTTGGATATAGTGGTAGATTGAATAGCCAAAAGACACTTGTTTCCTCTTCTTCCCTCGGATTGGATCTTATTAATGTACTGGTTCAAATGCTTAAATAGTTTGGCTTCTTCCGTATGGTATGTGGTTTCGAATTCAATAGAACTTTGATAAGCAATGATCTTAGTCGAAACTTTTTTCTTTTTCACCATGTATGACTCTTCATAGACCTTATTGATATTGGAAAGGATCTCTTGAGCATTCGTATTGGGTTTTAATATGAAGATTCGACCGTCTTGTTCCCAGGTTTTAAATATAACATAAATTTCATAACCATTAACCACCAAATGAAGAATATAAATAATATCCATTCGGAATTTCGCCATGTATTTGTTGTCATTGGGTAGTTGAACTCGTTGTAAATCTTTAAAATTGAACCCATTTTTCAATCCCTTTCCCAAGGACCCAACTCTGGTATCATCAAAGGAAATGGTGTTCCCCAACTCGATTACTGCCCTGGCAATTGAATCGACTTGAGTTTCATAAAGCCCTATAACGTTGGGATCTTGTAATAAGCCTCCAACCTTATTTAATTCCTCTTGATAAACAGTTTCAGGCATGGTAAACTTATATAGCCAAGTTCCATCATGACCATTGGGTAAAATGGCATTACTGTTATCGATTTGACAATTTTGAATGGTTCTTTTCAGCGAAAGTTCTGTTTTAAAGGACCCATAAATTTTCTTGGGGATGTGAAATATAAAGGTATGGATTTTATCGTCGATATTCACAAACACTTTAATTTCTCCAGGTTTCCCACTAGAAGTATACTGTAATATCTCCCAATTAGATCCACTAATACTTTCTGCTTGACGTCTCATCATATTTCCAACTGTGGACCTATGAGTTCCTTCGGTATTTTCACCAAACAATCTTCTTCGTTGTAATCTATTCTTCTCTTGAAGAGACCATTTGGCCTTTTGATACTCTAAAAATCCACTATAATCTTCAAACATAGAAGGACATGGGCCATTTAATATAGCTGTATGATATGCTTCTTCTTCTGCTGTTTCAGTATCATGAAGTTTGGCATTCTTTCTCTTCCTAGTAGTGACTCTGGCGATTTTCGGTTTCATATTTGAATCAAATTCATTATTAAAATCTTCAATATCTTTAATTGCTCTTTCACTTTTAGTGGTGATAGCATTAAAGAATGATGAAATATGACTTTGTTGCTTAGAATCTTCTCTTACAGCGATCTTTCTCTTTAACCAATCAGGATGAACCACCCGAGGAACAGGATTCTTAACTCCCTGTAGAGCAGCAGGTATAGTAATAATTTTTTGAACCACGGATGATAATCTTTCGTGATAATAACTCCAATCAATAACACTTCTGGGATCAAAATCGGTTAATGAAGGATCCTTTAACCATTTTTTAAGAAACATTTCCTTTTTATCAGATGAAAAAATTGACACCGGAATGGCTCTTTCAGTCACTGGAGATCCTATGGGTTTGGCACTAATAATATACTTACATGCTAACCCAGCATCTTTAACCATTTCTTCACCCAAAAATTCCCCTAATCTTTTGGCTGTAGTAATAGAAGTGGACTTTTGAGTCCCATATTCTTGTAAACTCTTTGACATACTTCTATTTTCACAAATAAGTTCAATCAAATCTTCATCTTCCAACATCCCACCCTTGGTGTCTAAAACATCCAACCAATTGTTAGCAACAGATGCCACTGCTTTATAACAATTATCTAAAGTATCACCTTCCAAAAATAACTTGAAAATATCCGACTGGAAATTTTTAATCAATTGTAGTTCACCTCTTCTTTTCAATTCAAACCCCTTCAATTCAGCTAACGATCCATCATCATTGAAAACTGCATATCTCTTCTTTAAGCCTTTACCTTCTTCCTTTGAAGTGGGTAAAATCATCGCCTTATAAGGACCATCCACTTCGAAAAAAATTGAGTTATCGGATTTAGTAGTATACTTGAAAGTATCATTATCGACCAAGTCTTGATATTGATGATTGGTAAACTTTTGATGGACTCGGAAATTTAACATCGAACAAGGATACTCTAAAAAGATCTTCTTACCATCTTTACATTTCAAATGGAAATTCTCAGGGAATGAAGTGGGTAAAATACACCAAATACCATCAGTATCCAATTCCAAAGGTCTCCCCAATCTTTCCACCAATGAACGAGCCATCTGGATGATTGTAGCCCCAGTTAAACAAGTGATACCGGCCATCTCCATTGAGTACCATCTGGAACCTTTCCTCATGACATAACCATAGAAGGAATTCAAAATAACCTTATGAGCAAGTTGTAAAGAGTCATACAAGATAATCATTTTTTTGGCTTCATCTTTAGCATGAACATCATTACCCAATTTAGAAGCTTTACCCTTCCATACTTTAGCCAAAGTCTTAAACTCATATCTTCTATCTCTAAAACTTCTAACAGTATTAACATAGAATGGGTTTTCTCGTTGACAAATAATGGCTTCACGTTTAATGGTGGTGGTTTGCTTGATTCTATGATAAACCTTTCTGGAATAATCTCCTAATCGTTTCTTAATATGACTTGCTTGCTCAGTATAAGATAATTCATCAAAAGTTCTTTGCGGCAACCAAGGTCTGGAAGGTGGGAACTTGTCATTTTGCAAACTTCTTTTGATCATAGAATATTCATTCATTTCAGTAGGGAAATATTCACCTCTCCAAGCCCATTCCAATCTTCTATCACAATTTTTACCTGGTCTATTGAAATCACAAGCTGCACAATCTTCTTCTGTTTTCATGGAATCAGGTTGTAATCTGTTTGAAGTCATGATATTTGGATACATGGATGCCACATCAACATGGTATATCAAAGGGTTTTCTCTTCTATTAGGTTGGTCTCTAAGTGCTTCTAATTGGCCTTTAATCTCATCATAAACTTCTTGATAGTTTTCAACATCAGATACCTTCTTGCCATTCTCCACTTCAATACAAAACTTGATTGAATCATGTAATTCACTAATTAATTCATCACATGCTTTAGGGTCAATTCTAAAATCATTGGCAATGTCTGATCGGAATACTCCGGCTTCCAATGATTCCACATGACCACCAACATAAGTTTCTGATTCTAAAAGATGTCCTTCATAAAACCTTTCAATGGGATCACTATGTTTATTGGGTAATAAAATCCCCTTTTCATATGCCTGAACCATTAAAAGCATCTCACATAACGTCCCCGTACCTTTCCGTAACACTTCATCTGGACTTAAAGGAATAATGGTACACAACGAAAAGATGAATGGGTGAACATACTTGAAATATAAATAGTATGTTGCCACAGCATCCGAAACTGAATATTCAGATAATAATTGTGGATGTTCATAAGCATAAGGAGTCATTAATTCTGGATCTAATTCAGTGGGGTTATACCCTAATTTAGCTGTAGTCACGGCTTTTAAACCTTGTGACCCTTGAGGTAAATATGAATCTCTTTTAACCCATCGGAAACAATCCATATGTACACAATATTTGGATTTATATTCTCCTTCGTTATCCTTTGCAAACCCAATCTCTTCAAACATGTCCATGTCGTGATATCGAGTTCTATTCTCCACGAATGGCCAATCAAAAAAGTCTCCGTTGAATGTGGCTATAACTGTGGGTCTAACATCTCTAATGTGTTCAAAGAACCTCATCAATAAACGCTTTTCGTCCGGTTCATTGAAGATGGTGAATAACCCGGGGTATTCCGGTTTAGGAGTGTACTCGAAATCATCAATATCTTGAGAGATGATTTCTCTATTGGTGATAAGAAACCCTTCACCATCAATCATATACGAGATCATCATGATCTGGTCGATTTTGGCATCGGGGAACTTCAATGGAGCCTTGGTGGTCTCGATATCGAAAGCTAACACTACTGGATCAGCAAAGGCGATTCTAGAAGAGTCTTCAACAAATGAAGTCACAGAATGTCTCACATACACATCGTACCATTTACCTACTCTTATGTTCTTGTCAATAGACACTCGAACATGGTATGGAACGTCGTACTCTCTGATGTCGTCAATATAAGTCGAAGGATCATTAAACGACTCAGACATCATTGTGGATGTCGCCGATGCAGATGTCGCAGCTCCTGTTTCATTATTCATGTTATTAAAGTTCATGATCAGATAAATGTCTCTGGTGTCACGTTTCAATTGGTTCTGCTTGATGATCGGACTTAAGATCCTTCGTCCCGTCAACAAATCAGAAACATTATGAAACGATACTTTGATCAAAAGCCTCTGGAGCCCCACCAAATGATTGGGTAATGCCAAATCGTCCTTTAACTCTCGGGTGATGTTCTTCACATGTGCAGCCTCGAGTTCTCTCCGTAGCCACTCTTCAACCTCGGCCTCGTGTCCGGGCAAACACATAAGAAAGAAGTACGGATCTAATTGAAGCGTGGCTTTGAAACTTCCTCCATCTTCACCTAAAAAGTAGTAGTCAACTCCTGAGTACCCAGCTAGGTAATTGTCACTGGGTATAGTTGTACCATGCATATTAATTAACCAACCTTTCCGAGGCTTTGTTCCGTCGTTCTCGCCGTTTTCTATCCGGTCAAACCCCATAATGCTATCTAATTGGTCAATACGGCTGACCAACTCTTGTTTGGTGATGGAGTCATTCAACATGGGATTATTGGCCACATACGGATCAACGGGTTCCTTAGACCGGAACCGGGAGTTGGATTCATTCCGTCTGTTCTTAACAAATCTAGCTGACCCGGATCCACGGAACTTATTGTTTGTAGTCATCACAGAGCACCGTACTGGAACAGTGTGAAGATGCTTACTAGAGGTGTATTAAAGGTCTTCTCACGCGTAACGCGTTAGAGATCTGCTGCTTACGTAAGCGATTGGTATAAATATGTAATGTATTACGTAATATGAAAAGTAGTATAACCACTGACTTTGTTATGTACTAAAATACTACTACAGATTATCATTCAGTACTATACTGTCATATAACACTAACTATATAATGTCTTATATTCTTATCGACTCATAAATAATATAATGGCACCTTGCATTATAACAGAATAGACAAACAAAAATTGAATTCTAATTCTTCTTTGATTAGCAGTAATTGTATTACTTGTTGAATTGGCATTAGGTAAAATCATTACCCGTAAAGACCTCATCAAGAACACGGCCAAATTTCCAATCAATCCAAACATGATTGGATAATAAATAAACCATGTTGTACCAAGTAAATGCTTCCAAGCCAATAAGACAATGATCACAACATATTTGTAGCCAGAGAAGCTGACTAGATCCCAGATGGCACCTTGGGTGAAACAATTTAAAAAGTACAGACCTCCAGCAAACACTCCTATATCAAGCAAGGAGAAGGCCATAGTTTGAGAAGCCAAATAACCAAATAATTGAGGATGAAAGTCACCTTTTAACCCTTGGAAGGCAGCCCATAATAAAATATAGGTGGTAAATGCCATCAATGGAATATACAAATCAGGAGCATTAATATCATAACTTGGAGGTGCTAAATGACTAACTTTTGATGCTGCAAGAGCTGCTGCTTGATTGGGGTCTCCATTATCATTCTCAACATATCCAACCTCGGCATTGGTCTTTCTGCTCCATGTCTTATTATAATAAGGGAACAATATGATCAAGAGTTTACGTACAACATATGAATTACTCACTTTGAAGTAATACTTGATGTTCCCATTGGTTCCAATGATCAGTGATATGTTTTGTTGAATGTACTGGTTGGATGTATCAAACCCAGTTTTGGCAAATTGGGTGGCCAACATGGTAGTTGGATCGTTGAAGAAGGACCCAAATTGTTGGCCTGGATTATTGAGAGGAGCCGTACCACCCATCTGAGGACTTCTCATGTAATTTTGTTGTTGTTGTTGAGGTATTTGACCCTGTGATCCATAGGAATATTGGTTGTACTGTGCTTGTGGTTGAGGTTGGAGAGGTACCTGGTGGTGTGGAGGCGATTGCTGTGAACCAGTCAGTCCAAATTGAAACCCTGAATTGTCTGGTCCACCCACTCCACCGTACTGCTGCTGCTGCTGCTGCTGCTGGGGGTTATAACCGTATTGGGGTTGTGGCTGAGCTGGCTGAGGAGAGAATTGATTCTGTGGAGGTTGGTACAGCCGTGTTTGTTGTTTTAGATGTTGTTGTTGCGTTGTTCTGTGTTGTTGTGAATGGCCTCTTTGATGAACCTCTGCTCCACCTGACTCCGACGTAGTGGCAAACGCCGAATTGGCGTATGGATTGTACATGTCGACTTTTGGCGATAAGCACTTGCAACTGGATGAACTTTAGAAAGAAAAGTAAAGGTAGCAGTGATAAATTTATGACTATGTTTAGGTTAACGGTAGAAAATTCAAATGGTGGTAACACGACTGTAATTACTTGATTGAGAGTCTCTTACGTTAGCTTACGTAATGTTTACCGTAGACTTCCCAATACAGAAGTCTATAGAAAATGCGGACGACGTTCACTCGAGACTGCCATCACCTGTTATATACAAAACAGTACGCAGTACGCTATTCCATTAAGGAGGTTCTACAGGACGTTCCAAAGTAGTAGTTGCTATAAACACAATACCGTCGTCGAAACCAATTCTATTCCACTCTACTTCTCTTCCACTTTAAGCAACATGGTTAGTGGTAAAGTACTTGTTGTGTCCAACAGATTGCCTGTGACTATCCTGAGATCTTCATCTGGATCCTACGACTATAAAATGTCGTCTGGAGGGCTAGTCACAGCCATGCAAGGGCTTGCTAAGCTGATGGAGTTCCAATGGTTTGGATGGCCAGGACTTGAGATTCCCTCGGAGGAACAAGACCGAGTCAATTCCGATTTGAAGGACAAGTTCAATTGTACTGCAGTGTATCTCAGTGACACCATAGCTGACTTACACTATAATGGATTCAGTAATAGTATTCTATGGCCCTTGTTCCATTATCATCCTGGTGAAATGAACTTTGACGAGAATGCCTGGGCTGCTTACATTGAAGCCAATAGACTCTTTGCTTCCGAAGTAGCAGAACAAGTAGCAGACAACGATATGGTATGGGTTCATGATTATCATTTGATGCTTTTACCTCAAATGCTCAGAGAAGAGATTGGCAAATCAAAGAAGAATGTTCGGATCGGATTCTTCTTGCATACTCCCTTCCCATCTTCTGAGATCTATCGTATTTTACCTGTTAGAAGAGAAATCTTAGAGGGTGTTTTAAGTTGTGATTTGATTGGGTTCCATACATATGATTATGCTAGGCATTTTCTCAGTTCCGTTGCCAGAGTGGTGCCCCATACAATGACTGTTCCCAATGGGATTGAGTTTGAAGGCAGATCCATTTCCGTGGGGGCGTTCCCCATTGGTATTGATGTTGATAAGTTCACGGAGGGACTTGAGAAGGCCTCGGTGGTGGATAGAATCAACCAATTGAAACAAAAAATGGGTGACATGAAAGTCATTGTGGGTGTTGATAGGTTGGACTATATTAAGGGGGTTCCTCATAAACTTCATGCCTTTGAGACGTTTCTTTCTGAGAATCCCGAATGGATTGGGAAAGTTATTCTTGTTCAAGTTGCCGTGCCCTCCAGAGGTGATGTGGAAGAGTATCAAAGTTTAAGGTCAACAGTTAATGAATTGGTTGGTCGGATCAATGGAGAGTTTGGTACGGTGGAATTTGCTCCTATTCATTACATGCATAAATCCGTTACGTTTGATGAATTAATAAGTCTTTATTCCATTAGTGATGTTTGTTTGGTGTCATCCACCAGAGATGGGATGAACTTGGTCAGTTATGAATATATTGCTTGTCAAAGAGAAAGACAAGGGGTATTGATTCTTTCGGAATTTGCCGGTGCTGCTCAATCTTTAAATGGGGCCATCATTGTTAATCCTTGGAACACAGAAGAATTGGCTATTGCCTTAAAGGAAAGTTTAACCTTACCTAAAGAAAAGAGAGCCATAAACTTTGAAAAATTATTCAAATATATCTCCAAATATACCTCAGGTCATTGGGGTGAAACCTTTGTCACTGAATTGTATAAGTGTGGAGCTTAACCTTCAATATGATAATAAATATAGTTTAATCAACAAAATCATTTAGTATGGGGTTTGCTGCTAAGTTATGACATTCTAAATTCTCTGCTGTCAATAACATATGTTTAGGCTGTTGATGATGAGATTCATTCTCCTTTTCTTCTGGACTTAGCCGTTTACTTGAACTTAAAACTTTACCTGAGGTTGAGCTATCACCATTAATGATATGCCGTTGCTGTATTTCTTGTGGCTGTAGTTTTAGTTGTGATCCAGTAGTGGTGGTGATCACTTGGGGTCGAATCCCAAGTCGTGATAAGAGTGAATTGTTAGCATAAACATATGAAGAAGCAGAGTTCGAAATATTCGATTGCTTCAAGATTTGGCTTTGTTGATAAAGCGGTATATCTGGTAGATGGTTCTTTATATTAGGAAATTGACGCGGAGGTGGTGGTTGATCTGGGGTATGGTTTGGTGGACTGTGATTGGGTGAACTCTGTTTTGGTAAGGCTTTTTTCCTAATCCCTTTCCGGGCCAACTCTTTACTCTCTTCTTCCTTGTAATGGGCAACATCAACATTGACATTTCGTACTGAATCGAATGCCGTCATCAAGTTGGGCATTTCTTCAGCTAATGTTGTTTTATGTAGAAGCATGGAGGTGGTGAGCGAAGATGACGAGTCCCGTCGTTCTCGTTTAACTGGCAGAACGGCTCCCCCTCCTCCTCTATTGCTGGTGGTAATAGAATGGACCAATGGTTGCTGGGACGTGAAGGACGAAAACATCGATGAAGGGTACCCATCGGAATCATAATCACCAAATTCTTCTGTATCCGAAGCCATAACTGGTGTTGGTGTTCGGGGCTCCTGTTTATTTATTGGTGATGATGGTGGTCTGTGATGATGAATATTGACAAAGCCTTCAACTTCATCAACTTCATCGTCTTCGTTATCATAATCTTCTTCTTCGTCGTCCTCTTCTTGTGCTGTGATCAGATGGTACATTTCCATCTGCAGTTGATAACTCGTCACCGCTGCCTGTCTCATTTTCTCCAACTTAAACGCATCAAACATCTTCTCCATGTCGTTCATCACTGCAAGACACTCCAACTTGGCGGTGTTGTCTTCGTTCTCTATGGCTGTGTTCAATTGACGCATTAGGTTGCCAATAAACACCTTGTACGCTGCCACGGTGCTTTGGTCATTGAGATCCATATTGTATTGATCCGAGGAAAGCATGGCTTCCAATTCACTACCAATACAAATCAAGCTCGCTTTGGAGTATGCAATTGACGTCTTATCACTCACCGAGTTCTTCAACTTGATACTTCGTAGCACCAAACTGGTCAACGTGGTCCCACTGTCACTGATGTATTCCAAGGGGGTCAAGGTCTTAGATTGAGCACTAACATGATCCAAATCACGAGTTATGGTTGCCAATTTGGTATTCATCTCCACGCATCTTTCCAAGACTTTCTGAGCCAAACTAACATTAAATGATTTGATACTCCTCCCGCGATCATCATTATCATTGAAATGGGTATCTGAGTTGATGTCAAGCGAAAGAAACTCCCATGACTTCAATTGCAAGTTTAGTTTCTCCAAGGCTTGAAGTATTGATAGGGAACCGGAACAAAGCTTCAGTACCTTACGTTCCGTTAGAGGGAACCCTTGGATCAATTGGACCAATGCATCTGATTTGGCTTTTGTTCGGTTAAGATCGGGATCTAGTACGAGTCGTAGAATTGGATCCGAGTATGATGACATGAGTAGAGAACAACTGTGGTCGGCGTTTAGAGGTAACGGCCCGTAAGTGAATAGTTAAGTCCAATGAATAGACGCTGATTGTATTCAGTGTGTGCTATGCAATAAGCCTATGCTATAACAAGTCACTGTAGCACGCTATAGCAACGTCGTGTAGTATATTGTAGGGTACTGTAGTGTAGGGTAATACTAAGCAGTGTGCTATAGTACGGGTTAGCGTATGGTAACCGACTGCGCTGCTCTCTAGTGTACTGTAATATACTCTGTGTGCTGTAATGTACGGAACAATATGCTGGTACCTCTATCGTACTGGACCTCAAGTGAATGGACTGTTTGTTAACATAAGTAGTGAATGAATTTCAATTGGTATCGCATGTTTTTTGTACCTGTTTTGATGAGGTTATTGTGTAGCAGAGTACGGTATAAGAGTTCAGTGTGTGTAAGAGTAATATACAGTGGATGCGTACACAAAGAATAATTATAGTATAAGAATATGATATAGTATAGAGTACAGTGTATAAGTACGGCAGTAGTAATCAATGTACTGTGTATTCCGTTGGGTATTCTGTAGTATATTTTGTTGCCTTCTTATACCAAATTCTTCTCCTTCAAGACTTTATCCTTCATCATATCGTACCATTCATTCATGGTCTGTTCCTGATGGAACGCAACAATTATCATTGTCATATTATCAAAACCAATCCCCGTATAATTATTGGCCATCACCAAACATTCATTCAATGCATATTCCGTAATCTTTGGAAGTTGCCAACCTAACCCCAACTTGTCTCTGATCAACTTGATCAAATCTTGATTCTTGAAGCAGTCCCAAATCCCATCACAGGCTATCACCATGAATTCGGGTCTAACATTATCAACAAGATCATACACAAGGAAATCCGGTTCTACAGTGATTTGATATAATTCGGGTGGCAAATGAACCAATTTCAGATGTTGTTTGGGGATCACCGATTCTATGGATTGCCTCCTTATTGACTCCGGAAGGTTCTGTAAAATGTACTTGTTCTTGGTGTATGAAAGATAAGGAGATTTGAATCTGAAATCACCAAAGGCTCGTGAAAGGGCAAGAATCTCGTTGATCCGATTGTTTAAGACATATCCATTGCTATTCTCCACTCTGATTCGTTCATTCATTATCGTAGGCTTATGATCATAAGACATGTTTTTTGCTTGTCCATCAACAGAAAGTATACACCGAGAATCACCCGTATTGGCCACAATGATGTATTGGTCCCGGAAATACGTAGCCACAATAGCTGTGGATCCACATTCAACCAAACTGGGGGTTCCTTCAAGTTGTTTATCAATAGCAAAGAAAGAATCTTTGATGATAGACTGTCGCTGAGTTAAGGAGACGGTCTGTTCTTGCAGTTCTTCCCCTTGTTTTAGTCTTCTAAAGATCATTCGAAGTAAATGTTGACTGAGATAAAGAGAACATTGTTTACCTCCATGACCATCAAATACTCCAAAGACACCTATACTTTCGTCTTCACGTAACTTAACATCATGAGCATCTTCCATACTCATTCTATACCCCTGCATTGATCCGATACAATACGTAAGCAGGTCATGGCTTTGATGCTCAATGGTCTTCTCCTCCACGGGTTTCGATAATAGTTGTCCCATTCTAATGGAATAGACGTTTTCTAGTGTGTTCTATGATCGTGTTCTATGGTAGTAAAATCGGTACCACCAAGTACTATGCTCGGATTCTTATTGGTGTACTGGTCTTGTGCAAGGGTTTGCTTTTGTTTTCTACTGCTGATATGAGATGTTGGGTAGCTCCGTCGGATTTTAGATACGGGTTTCGGTTAAAATCTAATCTGAAGGGATTGTTGAGGTCATTGCTATTGGTAACTGTATATAGAGCAGTCCATTGTTACGATACTATCACAGGTCACTGCTATCGTTGAACGTCATCGCTATCATTAGTGTCGCTACTACTGATATTACTACTACAACTACTATTGTTATAGCCATTTCTATATCAGTACCTTGCATTGTATTACTACTCTGTTCAGTCACTGCTATCACATTACTTGGACAAGTTCTTTTATCACGTGACTGGCTTCCCCACACCTTAATCCATTCCATCCTATACAATCTCATAACTACCATCTTTCCTCTCTTCTCTATCCTATTCTCCATTATAGTTTCATATCAAACTCTATTATTATCATGAAATTCCCTTCAATCAACAGAAACTCCCCCGCTGGCTCTTATGTCCCGCCTAAAGCATTCCCTATTGGTCCATTCCACAAATACCCCCATAACCCTATTCTTGTGCCCGACCCTAATATAGATTTTGAAAGCGGTTATCTCTATAATGCTGCAGCTATTGTCGTGGATAAGTACGTATTCCTTCTCTATAGAGCTCAAGATAAGGTGCACCGTACTTCTACCATTGGCTTGGCCTGGAGTGACGATGGGTTTAACTTTACTAAACTCACTTACCCCATAATTACCCCCACAGAAAAATGGGAACTTGGTGGAGGATGTGAAGACCCTAGAATCGTCCGTCATCCGGTTCTGGGCCAATTTATAGTCACTTACACTTCTTATGACAGATATGTTGCCAGATTGTGTGTAGCAGTACTGGACGACTTGCTTCATTGGACAAAGTACCCCAGTCTTGTGCCTGATTCGTGGATTGAAGTGAGTAACGATAGGAATGGACAACCTAAAATAAGACATCTGTGGTCTAAACTGGGAGCAATCTTCACTGAAAGAAATCCTGTTGATGGTAAATATTATATGATTTGGGGTGATGCTTCTTTGCATCTAGCACATTCTGATGATTGTATTCATTGGCTGCTTCCTGGTGGGGATTCGAACTCGAACACTTTCACCAGTGGAATTTTAACTCATGAAGATTACCTCGTTGAAAGTGGCCCCCCACCAATCAAATTAGATAACGGGAAGAACCAATGGGTATTCTTCTATAATGCCAGTACTGCTGGAAAGGGAAGGTTACCCAAGGGAACGTATTCTGTGAGTCAAATGTTGGTTGATTATGATATCATTAAACTGGGTCCTGTTGCTCGGTTAGAACAACCTTTTTTGATCCCTGAAGCCTCTAACGAAATCACTGGACAAGTTAATAAAGTTGTATTCTGTGAAGGGTTGGTTCAATTTAAAGATAAATGGTTACTTTATTTTGGTCAAGGTGATTCCCATTTAGGTGTAGCAATTGCAAATATAAAATAATGTTACCTATAACATATATACCTATAACCTTACATATGATAATACCTATAACCTCAAATATATATACCCTTATATATAACCTAATAAAACCTTAATCATTACTTCTTCTTCTTACTCCGATTAGTCTCTACTATATCACGGATCATCAAAGCTAAACACTCATCAACTGGACGTTCGTTATCAACAGTAATGAATCCACATCCCCATTCTTTAGCCTTCTTCATGCCTTCTTCAACCAATTTTGGTGCCTTCAATGGACTCTTTGTATGTGTACAAACAATCCATATAGGAGGAAGTTCATTTGGAATCTCCTCCATTAATTGTTGATGCTGTTGTTGATGCTTGTTTGGAACATTGGAACCAAGTTTCCACATGTTCTTCATTGCTTGTTTGAACAGATAAATGTCTGCTTCTTGACCTTGATTCCATCGTGACGTATAATAATGATACTCCTTCCACGCTTGCATAAGAGCCACTCGCATTGTATCCAAAAGACTTAATGCAGATCCATTGTTATCTGCAGCTGCTGCTACTGCACAACTGTTATTGGTGGCAACGGGTGTAAGTACTCCATCCAGTTGAGCTGACCCTGTGGAAGACATACAACTATACCCTTCGTCATAAGATGGGGGATGATCAGTGGGTACTGCAGAGTATACAAAGAAATAACCATCTATATTACCATTCATCTCACTGGCACCACTAGCCACTAAGAGTGGATTGGCCAGTACTGGTTTAGCCGGTTCATTGGCTAAATTATGTAGCTCGTCTTTAGCAAGTTTCTTATGAAGTGAAACCTCTATGAAGGGCACTACTTGATCCGGGTTAAAAGAGGGAGTATCAATTAGTTCCACGAGAATTGGTGATACTCTTGGTAACGGCCAATTCGAAGTGGAATTGGAGGACTCAGACAGTTCTAGTAGCTCTTGCTTAGTATTGTAAGTGGCATAAACACTATTTTTGGAATGGAGAATATACCCCATTTCATAAGTCCCATTCAACAGGTTTTCACTTGATCTTCGATTGGATTTGGTGGATGAACTTCGACGAAGTTTTTGAGAAGATGTTGAGCCGGTTTTGTTCCTTTGAAATGCGGTTTGAACGGTTGAACTTAAGGTTAAAGCACCTCCATTTCTAACAACTTCGGTTGCCAAATTCAGCATGATATCGGGAGATAATTCATCAAAAGCAGCTCTTGCTAAAGTGGTTGATGGTGTATATTCAACCAAAGTCGGATACACATGAGTAGTAGGATAATAAGTATCATTTTGACCACCCCATTGGATATTGGATATCAAGGAAGTTTTGCCTGCTCGTTTACCTCCAATGACAGCTATTCTAATTGGTTTATTGTCGTTAAAGGGACGTCCATTATTGACTTCTTTCTTCGAGCTTGTGCTATGTCTCATCTTGAGGGACTCCATCCTAGACAGAATATGACGCAAGTTTGAGTGTGTGTGTATTTGTTTGTCTATGCGTATAGATGTATGTATGTATAGTTGTATGTATAATTGTATGTATAGTTGTATGTGTATATGTATGCGTATAGAATGTTTACATATATTTGCGTGTTTAAATAGGTAGGGTATAAGTGTGTTTTTATGTTTATGTATGAAACGGGTGGGGTGCGTTCCATGGAAAGTTTTTATTGGGATTTGTGGTTCTCCTCGGCGATGACCGTGCGCGGCGCTAACCAAAAACCCTTACAATTTCAGGATCTAATATGGGGATACAATAAATCTCGTCAGGTTGCATGGATTCTCAGGAATTCCATATAAACGCAAGCCACCGCACTACTCTCCTATGGAATAGATATGAACTTTAGCATAAGTTTCGTATAGTTGCTTTATTAAGGAGATCAGCGAATTGAACGGAATTATATGTACCATATCTAACTGTATTTGTTAATCTATGGTACGAACCGAGAATACCGTCATTACGGGGAGCACCATAATGTACTTAAATGTCTGGGTTACAATGATTTATGCAACTGAGATACTACTACCATGATGTACTTACGAGATTACTTTGTACTGCTTTAAGCACTATCGTAGTATAAATATCTTATTATATCAATACATCACAAAACTATTATCCTATTCATTACGTTATCACCATGAATATATGCTTAACCTTTTGTTTATTATAAGCAATTGACCTGTAACTTTCTGCTACTGTGTCACGCACGACCTTGGTGGGTTATCTTCGGATATACGATTTTCCGTATCTGGGGCAAACATGTCAGAACCAATTTAATCTCACACTTTATTCCGTTCCTTCGAACATCCAAAGTGTACGTGGAGAATGGCACCTCCTCCTCACGAGTGTCACGTGTGCCAAAAGACCACCAAGACACTAGTTGAAGATTCCAAGCTATGTGTGCTGTGTCAAGAAGAAACCCGTCTTCTTATCGCCAGAGAAAGAGATCTGGAAGCCATTCATAAGCAGAGTCAAGATCAAGTAAATGCAATCTTTGATTTAATAGACCATCCTCAAATTAATTTGCTGTTGGATAAGGAGTTGGTGCATCTGACTAAGTTTCTTACTATTCAATTCAACAAGTTGAAAATGCTTAATCTCAACATTGAATTGAATACTATCCATGCAGCCATCGACAGTCTTAAGTATCGCATAAAGTATTTGAATGTTGAAGTAGATTTGGCTAGAGAAGGCATTGATACCAAAACCCAGGTATTAGCTCAACAAAGAAATGAGTTACTTTTCAAGTATCATCAAACATTGAAGGCCCTAGATACCAATGCTCAAGATTATCAACAACATAATGTTCATCAAATACGACGGCATGTGGTCAAACAAACCCTTGTGAAGTATAAAGCACTTAAACTGTTGGTATTCACCACTCACTCGAAAGAGTTGCTATTTTTCTATGGACAACCTATCATCGCATTTGGCGAGTTTATGTCGTGCAATATTCTTGTTCTAAATGACTTTTTGGAGAACTTGGTTCGACTACAAATCCATCTTGAATCTCTTTTCTCAATAGACTTGCCGTATCTCGAAGGTTTGCGTGCTTACCTTCCTGTGTCTGAGTTCTACAATTCCAGACAAGAGAAGGAGCTTGAGTTGAAGGGAGAAGAAGATCAACACTATGAAGAACATGAAGCTGAACAAGAAGATCAGCATCATCAACAACCATTCAATAATATTGTAGGGGATAATTCTGAAAAGGTGCTTAAGCTTGGTGACCAAATCAAGCTCCCCTTATCTTCAAAGACTTTGAACAGGCAACGACGACTTTCTGTAATAGATCCAAAGATCATCACTTCTTCTTCTTCTCGAGGCCCTTCACCCACTACTCAAAAGGACGAATCTTCTACAAAATCTGCTTCCAGAACAGCTTCACCAATGGGAAATAAGAAAATGGTGATAGTACCTCATCGCATTTTACGATTACCATTCAGCCGGCTCTCCATACGTGACTTCCTTCGTTTTCTATTGGTTCTTAGTAAGATTCTTATAAACTTTGATTACTTTCTCCTGCACGTTGGTTCTCGGGAGTCCACGCCTTATGACATGTACGACCTTCTACAGCAAGTACACGATGTCGATAAGTGTTTGCAGCCACAACAACAACAGCAGCAACAGCAGCATGACACAAGTGATAGGTCATCCATATCCACAGTTGATATCCAGCCAGTTATGGAGAAGCTATATGAACTTATCATAGTCAAGCCACTGAGTGACACAAGAAAGGGACCTCCTGAGCTCCTTCGTAACTTGAATGTTAGAGACTTTATCTACTCCTACAAAGTCAAGCATGATTGGGACGTCATTCAGTAGTAGTACAGATCTGTTTGCACAATGGCAAGTATCCGAGTGAAGACATAGCTCACGCCTCCATCCAATTCTTACAGCGAAAGATACAGTACAGAAATACAGAGATAATCTAGTCACCACCGGATATATGTATATATATATAGAAATATCCTTGAGGCTAAAAGTAGTTTTCACAAGGAAAAAGAGTTGGAAGAATGTTTTAAATAAAGCAAGGGTAGTATAGGTTTACACTAGTATGCCTTCTTCCCCGTACTATCCGCGCTACCGTTCATGCGTATTTGTGAGTCTTGTTCGGCGTAAATTTCTGACCGTTCACCACGCCGATTGGAAGAAAAAAAACCTCTTATCAACGAAATTGAAATTACAGGTGGACGCAGCACTAAACTATCCCGACAGCAATTCCCATCAATTGAGTAGACATGTTGTCCGATAAGGAATTATTTGAGTTGAACAAGAAGGCGGTGACCGAAGGGTTCAAGGTTAAGCCTCGGATTAACTATAACACCGTTCAAGGGGTCAATGGACCATTAGTTATCTTAGATAATGTCAAGTTCCCTCGTTATAATGAGATTGTCAATTTGACCTTACCAGATGGATCTGTTAGAGCAGGTCAAGTTTTGGAAGTCAGAGGATCCAAAGCCATTGTTCAAGTGTTTGAAGGCACAAGTGGTATTGATGTTAAAAAGACCAGGGTTGAGTTCACTGGCCAAAACTTAAAGATCCCTGTTTCTGAAGATATGTTGGGTAGAATCTTTGATGGTTCCGGTAGACCAATTGATAAGGGTCCCAAGATTTTTGCTGAAGATTATTTGGATATCAATGGATCTCCTATTAACCCATTTGCTCGTATTTATCCTGAAGAAATGATTCTGACAGGGATCTCTACCATTGATACTATGAATTCAATTGCTAGAGGTCAAAAGATTCCTATTTTCTCTGCTTCTGGGTTACCTCATAATGAAATCGCCGCTCAAATTTGTAGACAAGCTGGTTTGGTTAGACCCACCAAAGATGTCCACGATGGTCATGAAGAAAACTTCTCGATTGTGTTTGCTGCTATGGGTGTCAACTTGGAAACCTCCAGATTCTTCAAGCAAGATTTCGAAGAAAATGGATCCTTGGAAAGAACTACCTTGTTTTTGAACTTGGCCAATGATCCTACCATTGAAAGAATCATTACTCCTCGTTTGGCTTTGACTACAGCCGAATATTTGGCTTATCAAACCGAAAGACACGTGTTGACTATCTTAACCGATATGTCTTCATATGCGGATGCCTTGAGAGAAATCTCTGCTGCCAGAGAAGAAGTCCCCGGTAGAAGAGGTTATCCTGGTTATATGTATACCGATTTATCTACCATTTATGAAAGAGCTGGTAGAGTTGAAGGTAGAAATGGGTCCATTACTCAAATTCCTATTTTAACCATGCCTAATGATGATATTACCCATCCAATTCCTGATTTGACTGGTTATATCACCGAAGGTCAAATTTTTGTCGATAGACAATTGCATAACAGAGGTATCTATCCTCCAATCAACGTGTTGCCCTCCTTATCTCGTTTGATGAAATCAGCCATTGGTGAAGGTATGACCCGTAAGGATCATGGGGATGTTTCCAACCAATTGTATGCCAAATACGCCATTGGTAGAGATGCTGCTGCCATGAAGTCTGTTGTTGGTGAAGAAGCCTTATCAACTGAAGATAAATTATCATTGGAGTTCTTGGAAAAGTTTGAAAAAACCTTTGTGTCCCAAGGTGCTTATGAAGACAGATCCATCTTTGAATCTTTGGATCAAGCTTGGTCTTTATTGAGAATCTACCCTAAGGAGTTGTTGAACAGAATTAGTCCAAAAATATTGGGTGAATTCTACGATAGGGCAAGAGAAGCCGAGGATGAAGAAGACGATGATAATGAAGATCAAAATCAAGATAAGAATGGTGATTTGATTGACGCTTAAAACTATTTGACTTTGACTCTATATTTCTTTATTTCTAAACTCATTTGTTTTCACCATATTTTATAATAAACATTAACCAGCTTAATTGCATCTATGACTGTTGTTTCTTCAAGTTCCCAATGTAGTTGATGGCAGATCCAGCCTTGAAGAATTCAATTTGGTCCTTAGACATGGTATGTTTGGTGATGATATCAAATGTTGAACCATCCTTCTTGGTCACTTGAACGGTGATAGTACCGTCGTTGCCGTAATTGGCAATCATTTCTGCCAAATTCTTAGTGGTCAATAAATCTCCACTCAGAATCTTATCGTAATCAGCTTCATCAGCAAACGTCAAGGGTAATATACCTTGCTTCTTCAAGTTTGTCTCGTGGATACGGGCAAAACTCTTGACCAAGATCACCGATCCACCAAGGAACCGAGGTGATAACGCAGCATGTTCTCTAGCAGACCCTTCACCATAGTTGTGTTCAGCAACCACAACCCAAGGTCTTTGTTCTTCCTTCCATTTCATCATCAACTCTGGGATTCCATATTGATCTCCGTTCAAGTCGTAGGCCTTGTTAACTTCACCTGTTTCCTTATTGACAGCACCAATCAAAGTATTATAAGAGATGTTCTCCAAATGTCCCTTGTATTTCAACCAAGTACCAGCAGCAGAGATATGATCAGTAGTACATTTCCCTTCAACCTTCAAAAGAACATTTGTTGATAATTCTTCGCCGTTCCAAGGTTGAAATGGTTCCAACAATTGCAACCTGTCAGATTCAGAGGAAACATTGACTTCGACTTCCGGTTTGGGTTGAGGATTGGATTCAGGGTAAAACTCTTCTCTACCCTTAATGAATCCTGATGAAGGCAATTCGTCACCCACTGGAGGTTGAAACTTGAATAATGAACCGTCTTCCTTAACAATGGAGTCAGTTATAGGGTTAAAGTTCATGTCACCAGAATAAATCATAGCAGTCACCATATCAGGAGAAGTTAAAAAGTTCATTGTGTTTCTGTTACCATCATTTCTGGCTCTAAAGTTTCTGTTAAATGATGTAAAGATAGCATTGGTTTCAGTGGACTTCTTATCCACATCGGTTCTATCCCATTGACCAATACATGGACCACAAGCATTGGCCAATACAATGGCACCATTGTTTTCAAAAGTATCGATAAGTCCGTCTCTTTCAATGGTGGCTCTGATTTGTTCTGAACCTGGAGTAACAAAGAAGGGGATCTTTGGTTTCAAGCCTGCTTCTTCAGCTTGCTTGATAATGGACACGGCACGTGACATGTCTTGATAAGATGAATTGGTACATGAACCAATTAATCCAGCAGAAACATTTAATGGCCAGCCTTGTTCTTCTGCTGTCTTACCCAACTTGGAAATGGGCGTAGATAAATCTGGCGTGAAGGGTCCATTAACAGAAGGTTCCAATTGACTTAAATTGATTTCAATTACTTGGTCATATTCAGCACCTTCATCAGCTTTTAAGAAACCAAATTCTTTATTAACATTTTCAACAGCTTCAGCAATTGGTGCTCTATTGGTTTGAATTAAGTAACGTTTATGAGCTTCTTGATATGGGAATGTGGATGTGGTAGCACCGATCTCAGCTCCCATATTGCAAATCGTAGCCATACCAGTACAGCTTAAGGTTTCAACTCCTTCGCCAAAATATTCAACAATGTATCCAGTACCACCTCTAACAGTGAGTAATCCAGCCAAATGAGTAATGACATCCTTTGGACTACTCCAACCGTTCAATTTACCGGTTAACTTGACACCCAAAATTTTGGGTGCTTTCAATTCCCATGGTGTACCAGTTAATGCATCAACAGCGTCAGCTCCTCCAACACCAATGGCAATAGCTCCTAAACCACCAGCATTAGGGGTATGGGAATCAGTACCTAACATCATCAAACCAGGTACAGAAAAGTTTTCCAATACAATTTGATGAATAATCCCGGAACCGGGACCCCAGAATTGAATACCATATTTTTCACCACAACTTTGAAGGAAATCAAATACTTCCTTATTGGTAGCAATCGATTTGGTCAAATCTTTATCGGCACCGTCCTTACCAACAATCAAGTGGTCACAATGGATAGAAGCAGGAACAGCAGTAGATGCCATACCGCAAGTCATGAATTGTAAAAGTGCCATTTGAGCTGAAGCATCTTGCATGGCCACTCTATCAGGATTCAATTTCAAATATTCCAAGCCTCTAATATTTGAAACTGATCCATTGGCATTGGCTAAAGATTCCTCAGGGTTACATAAATGAGAATATAAAATCTTTTCTGCAAGAGTTAACTTTTGTTGATTGCCTAAAATCTTTCTAACTGAATCCAAGTTCTGTATCAACTTTGCATATGGAGGAGTTCTACTTGAATATTCCGATGGAACTTCATGAGTGTAAGCTCTGGATGCTAATCCTCTTCTAATGCCAGCACGTCTGACGGCTTGTCTTGCTGACAACATCGCTAATAATCTACAGAAAGAAAAGAAAGGAAAGAAGGAAAGAAAGAAAGAAAGAAAGAAAGAAACTGTAACATAACTTTTTTTTCACTTTATTTTGCAGGTGAAATCTGGTCCAATAGATATCTGCTTATGGAATTGAATATTGGAAGGGTAGCGCCGTTGTGTGATATGATGTTTTTTGTGTAACCGCCGTTCGGACCGCACTTTAGTGACTCACTTTGAGATGCTATCAACACCTTAAAAAGGTGCTTGTGCGGTATACTGATGATAAATGAGTCACACACGGTTATTGCCGTAGTGAAAAACTTATCGCCACGTGATCCGTCACGTGATTTTGAGTACATGATTATTTTATATTATATATTAAATTCTTTTTTTTAATTCTATTCATTAGTGTATGATATGCTAAATACATATTCTGTGTATGATTCTGTCAAACTCTTACATCTGTCCACTGAAAGTTCTTTTAACCCAACCACAATCACGTACATCATCATTTTGTGCATCAATCATATAGTTGGTATTAGGGTCACTATATTGTAATGATATGTCCCCAGCAGGTTTACTTATACAAATGAATGCTCCATCAGGTAAAGCACAACGCAATTGACTGCTGGGGAATGGGCATGGACATTGATTAGGTCCGTCCACACATGCTAATGTATCTTTGCAAAGGTACTTTGGACAATTACTATTAAGGACTTCATGTTCCATATTAAATTGAGGTTGTTGTTGTTGTTGATGATGATGACCATGACCACCAAACGCTTGATTGACAAAATCAAATATACTAGCGTTACATAACGCAGCAATAAATGATATTATTAAGACATGTGCTAGCATATTGGAAGGATTCAACCGAATGATTTCTTTATTAAGGGATGCAAAGTAATGATCAGTTCACCTGAACTTGAACACGTAATTTTCATTCTCATCAATATCTGTGTCACGTGATTATGGATGTCACGTGATGTTGTGTACAAACCGTAGGCCAACTTATTAGGCAATCGCTTGGAAGCACTTACGGATCAGAGGAAGGAACTTTGCCATATCCAGATGAGTTGCAAAGTCATTTTCTAAATCTAACAATTGGTCCTTAGGTATTTGTGGATTGGTGTTATTAATGTGAAGTGTATTACCCGAAATATCTATTTCAAAGGTAAATTCTCTTTCACTATTGTTTGCATCGATTTTTGTAAAGATGAACACCAAAGTTTCTTCACCAACAGGTTTAACTTCTAAACCAAAATAGGCTTGATACTTAAGTAATTCAGTCAAATCCTTCTTTTGTTGTTCTCTGATATCAACATGACGTTGATGTATCTTATCAGAAACACGATTAAATTCATCGTTTAATTGAGCCAATTGAAGTTCTAACCTTTCCTTTTCTTGTTTCATTTGAAGTTCAAAATCTTGCAACTGTTTTATTTTATTTTGTTGTTGTTCCAATACTTCAACATTGGAACGAACTTGATCTTTATATCGCAGTTGTTTCTCTTGAAAATCAACAATCTCTGAAACATATTGTCTTTCTTGAGACTTCAATTTGGTAATCAGAGTCACGTACTCTTTTTTTTCTCGTTGGGACTTTCTTCTGGTATCACTTAGCCATTCTTCGAAATGACGTTCAAACTCATCGATATTCTGTTGGAACTCTTCCACGTTAAACTCACCTACAGCATCAGTCATGATAGTATGGTAATGGCTTGTGGAGTATCAACTAGATTTCATTTGATTTGTTTAGTTTGTTGTTTACATTATATTAGGTCGTGTGCGTACCTGTGTAAAACAATGTAAGTCAAAATGCTACTAGGTTACCACCCGTGTATCTGTGAATCTTAACAAAATTGTAGCTTTATATAGAACTCATCTGGTTGGTGTAATCGCTGCTAAATAGGGATGTTTGGAGGCATTAAACCTGGGAACACAACACAGACCAATTATCTTTCCTATATTATTTCGTAAGCCATTGGCAAATATGAGTTACGTAGCTATGTAATATTATGCAGGTGGTTTCCTGGTAGTCAATTCCTAAGGTACACGAAGCTCATCCAATTAAGTTAATGGCTGCAAAGGGTGAAATCTAGTTCTCTCGAGTCTCGAAATTAAGGAGGAAAATATGTGGTGACAGTGGAAAAGGAGGCCGGAATGGAGGGGTTGAAAATGTGCTTGTCTCCCTAAGGAAACGAAACTGGAGAAGGAGAGAAGATTAAACTGTGAAAGGGTCTTGACTTAACGGGGGTAGTCATGGAAAGTTGGGCTATAAATTTAAATGAATTCAACCCATGGTAAGAAAAGCACGAGCCGGGATATGACCAAGGACTTAAGTATTAAATCTGAATATACAAGTTAGTAAGAAGAAACAAAGACACACTCTGGAATTGAACAAATCTTCTCTTCTTTGCGTTCTACTATTAAACTACTAATCAGAAGTCAGTGCTTCTTAGGTACATGACCTTTGGATAGATAGCAATTAAGAAGTACGCATAACCCATATAAGTAAAGTATAAGAGTCTTGTTACAGCAATGAACACCTAAGGTCATTGTCTCTAATGTCAGCCTTTATCAAGTTTAGTAGGTTTCGTATTGAATAAGATACGTTATATTCTTCAGTATTCTAGTGTAATTGAAGATGACATATAAACCACATTGTAAGTATATTTTCGCAGTAATTCCAGCCACTTGGCCTGGGTGTACCCCATTTCAACACCATAGTTTAAACAATGACTAAATCACAGCCACCGAATGCATCCACCACGAAGTAGTCCGATACATTTGTCTTTCTTAGCAGAAGTGCTAACAGAAGTGTATGAGATAGTTTGAGAAGCCATTTTTATAGAATTGATAGTATTGTTTGCAATTCGTATGAATTAAATAAATAATAGAACTCATAAACAGTAACAATAATATCATATAATATCACAGTAAAAAAGTATCGTATTTCATACGTTCAACAATATCCTTTATATCACCTTTGACTTCTTTATATGCATCATATTCCCTTATCCAACTCTTGATTAGGACTTTATTTTCTTTCATGATTATATATTCGGGATACTTAAAATGCGTTCTCTCTAACCCTTGTAAGGCAATTTCCTTTTCGTCAATAGTACCTTTCTTTACAACAACAATATCTTCTATCTCTTTACAAGGAATATAATCGGTATCAACGTAAACTTCCAATTTTTCCGACCTGGTATCAGGGAGCGCCATAAATCCTCCTTTCAACCAACATACACTCAACTCGTGGTACCTGTATAACTTGCCATCCGGTGATTCAACTACTGAGTATTCATCGTAACTCGACGTTTTATATTTCTCTTGTATTTCATCTTCTGTTATTATAAAGTAGAGTTCAACATCATGATTTATTAGATCTAATTTTATTTCTTCATGACTTTTCTTAAATGTATAACTTCCTTCATGTAAAAATAAAAGAATATCTTCACTGTCTCTCAATTCTTCAGGACTTGGTTCGTCTCTGTTTAATAAATAAATGGGTCTTTCTGGCATGCTGAGATACAACATAAATGAATTAGTTTACTCAGTCGACATTTATAGTTTACTCAGTCGACATTTATACTATTTTTATTGTTGGCATGTTGACACCATAGTACACGACCTCACAAAGGAACTCTAAAATGACTTAGCCGGCTAACCGATATGCATTGCGATGATACCAATAATAACAATAACAGTATTATTATTAATAACATACACATTCCTTTCTTCATGACGTCGATCTTACGAGCAGAAGAGCCTGTGCTTGCGTCGTACGAAATGAACACCGTACCAGTTGGGCCAAGCTCTACAACTTCCCCAAAGTCTTCCATAAGATTACTCACATTGAATACTTGGGGCTTGAAATTCATCAGCAAACATAGGAAAGCCCGTCTACATGCAATTGCTGACCGGCTAGCTTCAGCTCAACCAAATACTCAAGATGACTACGACATTGTGGCTCTTCAGGAAATATGGTGTCAAGAAGATTGGGATTATTTCAATACCATATGCCTGCTTAAATATCCATTCCGAAGGCAATTCAAAGCAGGTATTGTTAGTGGACCTGGTTTAGCCATATTGTCTAAATTACCCATAGAAGAAACGTTTTTATATCGGTTCCCTATCAATGGTCGGCCTTCTGCGTTTTGGCGTGGCGATTGGTATGTGGGTAAAAGTGTTAGTGTAACCATATTAAAAGTTAAAGACGACCAATCTCCTTTGGTAGCTCTTTTGAATACCCATATGCATGCTCCTTATGGACCAGGTGATGCATCATATTCATGTCATAGAGCTTGTCAAGTATGGGATTGTACCATGTTGATTAATTTATTGAAAAAAGCAGGGTTTGTGGTTATTTTAGTTGGAGATTTAAACTGTCCTCCAGGTACTTTACCTCATGACTTATATATTACTCGAACTGGCTTGGAAGATTCTTGGTCATTGTTTCATGAACTGCAACCTGATCTTATACAATATACAAAGGCAGAAATCGCTTCAATGGCACCAGAAGAACAAATCTTACTTGGTGGGGTTACTTGTGATTCCACTGTCAATACCTTTAGATTGAATCGGAGATTAGATGAAGCATGTCGATTAGATTATGCATTAATTGATTCTACTCGATTTGAAGTGGTAGATGCTTCTGTAAGATTCCATGAACGACTCCCTGGCCCTTATCATTGTTCATATTCTGATCATTTTGGTTATTTCGTGGAGTTGTCCTTATTACCAAAACCAGTATTAAGAACAATTCCAGCTTTAGAAAAGCAAAATGATGCCATTGAAGGTTTACTAGAAGAAATTCATCATTATTTATCTGATACCATTCCATTTCAAGAGGCATGGAGAAAATGGCATTTTTTTATATCAGTATTGTGTTTTATGGTTATTCAAGGCACTCTAACTATAAATAGAGTATCTGCATTTTGGATATCAAATTTGGGTTGTTTAATTGGGGTCACGGGTTTGATCAATGGTATGATTTGGTACTTTAGTGTTCGTTCAGAAAAGAGAGCTTTAGAAGAAGTACGTGAAGAAGTTTTGAATTTTAAGGCGATATCAAATCGTCAAAAGAAGTAAAGTTGTTTGGTTTCATTCGTTTATTGGTTGGTTAATCGTTCTTTTATTTTGGCATATAATTATTGTTATTGTCAAGATGCCATTAATACATCCTTGGCTATCTTGACTTATGGTGAATTACTCCCAGTTTTTATAATTAATTATTAATGAATTTAATTTTAGATATGAGTAAATATGAGAAAATATTTACTATCGGTACACTCTTTTTGTATGTGCTAACAATGACAGCTTCCTACTATATTGGAATTGACTTAACAATAGACCAGTTTTATTTTTCACAGAAGGGCGTGTGGTCTAGTGGTATGATTCTCGCTTTGGGTGTCAGTTACATTGTAATTACACAAGTATGCGAGAGGCCCTGGGTTCAATTCCCAGCTCGCCCCTTTTTTTTTATCATACTTAAAGCGTTGTATTGAACCATAGATGTGTACTACACCATAAGTAATACGATTAAAATAATGTTGAATAATTCCTTCAAGCAATTATAACAAAACCATTCTCATTCATTTATGAAAGCCTTACTTACGCTTTTGGACATGTTGGGTTTTGCTTCATGTAATATATGGATTGGTTTCGAATTGGCAATGTTTCTATATTTAAAGCTTTTTTATTACTTCAATTTTGTTTATATTTTATTGCAAATAATGGAATATATGTGTTACGACGTTCCTCTGGCCCCTGTTTGCTTGACTTTGGATTGTTGATTGTGGCAGCCTAGCAGAGACTAGGTGTTTGATTTTATGAATTCTTGCTTGAAAATGTTGTATCTACAGGATTTAATAATATATTGAACGTGGTTGTAATCAAAAAGACAAAATTTATAACTAAAAATATATATTAAGTAATAAGTACTACGTGTAATACTATGGTACTATTTTAGCTATTCGTCGCCTTTAGTAGGTTGTATGTGTACTGATTGTAAAGAGCCCCGCACACCGGTCTAGTCACGTGACCTGTACTCACGCTTTGCTTTTCCTATGAGCATATAAATGACTTACCCCTTAAAACATTCTAAATATCGGTCTATTACTTTCTTCTACTAAAACTTCTACTTTCTTGGAATACTAAAGGTCTAGAATCGATTTCAAGCAATTTATGTCATTGAGTAACGATATCATAGCTGTATCAGCCACTTGTTGCAACTGCCCTCCCGAATTATTTTGCAACCACTACAAAATTGTATCAAGTTGGGCCACATTTGTAACAGCCTTAGCTAGCGCTGTCTATTTTTAACTTGCAGATATTTCGGAGGCTATGAGTAGAATTGAAAGTTATTTGCCGTCAAATAGTTATGCAATACGGCTAGTCGGTATATTTCTTATAGTATGCTTTTAATTATTTGCAAAAGAGTTTCAAAAGAATGGCGTTTCCCATGATAGAGCAATTCCAGGGTGATCATTCAGCTACTATTCTATCCTCACTAGTCTCTCTTATTATTCTTGTTTAGTGGTTCTCGTCCTTGGCTACCAGGGCGTCATTCTTGGTAATTGGTAAATAGAATATATTTATGCCGGCAATCAACTTGTTGTTGGAAGAAACAGAAATTAATAACTACTAAGTGGAATAGCGTAGAATTACTATGACTATTTGTTAGTAGAGTCTGCATGCTGGCTCCTTTGACCAATAGTACGGTCTTGCAACGTTTAACCAGCGCAATCGGAATTTTAGCCAAGCGATCAGGTTTGCATAGTGGGCCAGAATAACTGAAACCTTTAACTATTTGTAGGTGCCAGTTTTAAATCTTTTACTGGTGTTTTTTATTATCAAATTTTCTTTCGAATCTTCAAATACTTATGGAAACTAACTCTAACTTTAGAGTGTTATGTAAACCCCCCCGAAAAAACTATGCTTAGACCCAATCCGCCTGCTGTCTAATGCCAAATACCATTGTATTCCACCCGGTGTTAAGCATGGGTATCTAGCCGCAATTAGGATTCACCAGACATGGAGAAAATCGAAGTACTAGATGCTATAGACGGACTTAGGTTTGTGTCTTCACAGAAGGGCGTGTGGTCTAGTGGTATGATTCTCGCTTTGGGTGTCCGTTACATACGTTGTAATTACACAAGTATGCGAGAGGCCCTGGGTTCAATTCCCAGCTCGCCCCTTTTTTTATTTCACCGGCGTCCACACCTGGTGAGTGGTAATGGTATCCTAAATAATACTAGTAGTACTATTTCTTACAAGTTTTTAGTTGCTTGCAGAAGGATATTCGAAGGATCCTTTATTTGCAAACGAAGACCCGAGGGGCTCATATAGACTTTATGTTTTGTTCTGTGGTCTTTCTGCTGTTGCTTGCGGCATACTAATAATCTTTTGCCTAATGGGGGCCAGATTCCTGATTGTATGCATAAATCGCTAATAAAATAAATACATGTTGGTAATCAACTTGTCGTAGGAAAGTATTAAATACAGAAATGTTTCAAGTAATAAGCATATTTCTCCACCACCCGAAATTATATCACTGGAGGTACACCCCCATAGTTAAGTAGTTCTTTAAACCATCAAGTTTGTTCTCAGAACTCTAACGGCTTAGTTGCTTTGATGAATTGTTTTCTATCTGATTCAACAGTTGTTGGAGAATGATTGACCTTTAATGCCACCTTGCCTTTCTTTTTTTTTTTTCAGTGGTTATGTGGTTACTTCGTGGTTGTCCGCTAAGGAACTATGATCTGCAACCTACTACAGATGTTTAGTACATCCTCAGTTATATAATATAAAGTCAAATACAGAATAATTCCCTTAACCAACCCATGGTTCTAATTCTATTATAATACAATCATTTTCATACATCCATCAAAGCTCTTCTTACTCTTTTAGCTTTATTCAGATGTTTAGTCAAGATGGATCTTAATAACATTGGATTCTTGATAATATTCTCCCAGTCGTTTTGAATATCCAATAAGATCTCCTGGTTCCCCCTTAGAGAATTCATAATCCATTGAAGTTTCAATTCTGGTGTCATTTGAGCATCCCCGCGGAACGCAAATGAATACACACGTGAAAGACAATCGATATCTTTTAAAAACTGCAAGACATTGTTGATATCAAATTTCAACTGTGATTCCAAATTAAGATAATAAAAGGCACTAATCCGACCACTGAAATATGATTTCAATCTTTCAAAGTTCTCACTGGCAGATTCCATGGTAGACACTCCAACGGATAATCCTAGTTGAGGATCAACGGACCGCAACAATGTTTCATTGATATAGGCATTCAATTTCAAGTTTGCTTCACAGGCCTTTATACTTTGGGATACTTCATGTAGATATTCTTCATCGTTATCGATGTTTTTGGAGTAGTGGCTTAACACTAACATGGTACATATGTTATGGTCATCTTTGACAAAAGCACATACGCTTTCAAACCATACAAAATATGAGGGAGGGTCGAACGTTAGACGCTGAAGACTCACATGTGGAGTGGAAGTTTTATGATTATATTCAAAAGGTGTTTCTGTGTATTGCTTCCGTTTGTGAGTGGCTATCATTATAAGTATAATTAATAGCGCAGTAGATCTTGTCAACACTAAAAGAAGGGAATTCGAATAATTTTATACTAACTCTGGCATTAAGTGAGTTTGAGTATAGGCTAGTTCCTATTTCAACCGAATAATACAACAATGAAAAGTAGCCGTACCTATTGCCAGATGATGTTAAAAGTCTCGCGAGATGTACTGTATAAATCCTAGCGGTCGGGTGATGAGAAGTGGATTGATTAGCCGACACATGATTCCTGTTTGGGTAAATCGAGACTTGTGCGAGAATGGAAGTATCAAGACCTTTTGAACTTTGTCGTATGCTAGATGGGTAGAACCTCCGAACATGTGAATTTAAACACCAAAATAGTTAACTCCGCATCTCCCCACACTTTGAAACTGAAAGTATTTAATCCTTGTTGATTTCAGTGTAATTAACTTCTTCTCGTTCGTGTTTCTCTTCTTCTACGTATCAGCAACATACGACACAATGCCCTCAAAAATCGATCTTAGAGATATACTTATTCACTATGGACCAGTGGACGAGTCCATTATCAACAATAGAAAGAAAATCACACTTGTAGGCTATGAAAGGGATCACGTGCTCCTCGAATTCTTCCAAATTGGCTCGCTGGCTGCTTATCCTATTAAAATCAAATATGATACGTCTCTTCCCTCTGCTTCAGGCTCAGGCTCAGGCCCAGTTGCTAAGGTTAGAGCAATGGCCAGGAATGCCGCTTTAAAGTTGGGTCATCCGATTCCCAGAACTCATCAGGTTGTGTGTCCAAGCTCAGTGCAGGAAGGGTTCATGTATGGTTTACTTTTGGTCCTGGCAATTACTAAATTCAAACCACAATGGATAAGAGTATTGGGAAGTTATAAAGGGCTTTCAGCCATTTCCAATTTACTTTTGAACCATGGCAAACAATTCTTCTCCGTAATATATGGCATACACGTGATTGAAATTTTATTCGTGATGATTCCTGCTTTGATTAAATATCGAGTTCCATATAAGAATTGGCCTTCATGGATTATCATGAACTTTATTGAAGGATTCTACTCTCTTCTTCGGTTCAACTCATTAACTGATTCAGACATTTAAATATACCTTTTTTTTTACTATATGTATATTTTTTTTCTATAAAACAAATGTTATAATATGCTCAACACCCGCACACCAAGCTGTACGAATACTATTAACCTTTGGGCAGAACTAGGTTGAATGACATGAAAACTTACTCATTAATTGGCAACTTGTCCGAGTGGTTAAGGAGAAAGATTAGAAATCTTTTGGGCTTTGCCCGCGCAGGTTCGAATCCTGCAGTTGTCGTTTTTTTACATTTACATACCAATAGTTTTTTACTACTACAAACTTGATATATAGCTTCTCAAACATAGGTATAAACATTTAATAGCTCATAGAGACATGTCATATCCATTGAATTCTCCCTTTTTAACTGTTTTGTCTCCAGTTATCAATTCATAGTGCTGTTATAAATCCAAGACATGATTTTACACGTGACTAGGCAACTTGTCCGAGTGGTTAAGGAGAAAGATTAGAAATCTTTTGGGCTTTGCCCGCGCAGGTTCGAATCCTGCAGTTGTCGTTTTTTTTGTATATTAGTATTCAACATATTGATCCATTGGAATAATCTAACATGTCGTTTAAATATGCATACAAGCATTAAAAACCTTTCGTTCTTCACATGCTGAAAATACTTCCCATATAAGTTGCTTATTTTTGAAATAACGTGAGATATATCACGTGACCGAAGAGCTCGTTTAAATTTTAGTATCTATGACTTCAACAAATACAATAATAAACCACCACTTTTCATCCCAATATGACTACAGCTAAAGTGGCGGTAATCACCGGAACTACTTCCAATTTAGGAATTAACATTGCGTATCGACTCATTGATGAGCTTCCGTCAACAACCAACTTGACATTGGTTGTTACTTCGCGAACTCTTCCTAGAGCCAAAGAATGCATTGACCAAATCAACCAGTACCGCATCATGCGGTATCCTACTCGGGAAGGTCAAGTAGAGTTTGAGTATGTGCTTGTCGACTTTGCCGATATGATATCTATTGTCTCGGCGTACTATGAATTGACCCAGAGATTTACGAAGATCGACTACTTGTTCGTAAATGCTGCTCAAGGTGTATACGACGGTATAGACTGGATGGAAGCGTTCATGGAAGTATTTATGAACCCCGTGGATGCAGTGACCAATCCTTCGTATAAAAAACAACGAGTAGGAGTCCGCTCCGAAGACGGTATGGGATTGGTGTTCCAAGCCAATGTGTTTGGACCTTATTACTTTATTCACAAGTTAATACCACTTTTAAAAGACGGAGGTAAGATCATTTGGATCTCTTCTCTTATGGGATTGGCCAAACATCTTAGCTTTGAAGATTTACAGCTTGTTAGATCAATTGCTTCCTACGAAGGGTCCAAAAGATTGGTTGATTTGATGCACTATGGTACATACAAAACATTGAAATCTGATTACGGCATTGAACAGTATTTGGTACAACCAGGTATCTTTACTAGTTTCTCGTTCTTCCAATACTTAAACTACTTCACCTATTACGGCATGCTTATGTTGTTCTACATTGCTCGATGGTTAGGCTCACCCAACCACAACATTCTGGGGTACATTGCTGCCAATGCCCCGGTCGCTGCAGCCATCAGTAAAGACTCACAGGACCAGAAATATAAAATCGGTTCTGCAACCACTGCGACAGGTAAGGCATACATAAAATACGAGGAAGTGGATGATTCTGGTGCAGAGGACGTTGTGGCTTATTTGGATACTCTTGTTAAGGAATGGGACGACAAGTTAAAAGACCAAATAACCAACTCCAGACAAATTTAAGAGAACATTACTTGATTATGAAATGTCTGAACTTGCTACGACTATTGATAAGTAACGTCTTTCCAACTAAAGTCGTATAGTGAAAAGTAGTGCATTACATTTAATTGCTTGACACATATACGAGCTCAAACATCAAAGGTACAACCACAATAATAAAGTGGAACTAATTTCTTATGTCGCTCTTCTAATACATTCAGATTGGTTTAAACATCGTTATAGTATCATCTCTGATAATCTCGTATCCTTATTATGAAGTGGGACACATAAATGCGATAAGATATTGTGCATCATTTTTACGAGATGTGCAGGCTTAGTTTCACTACTACATGTTCTTTCATTTCTTCACTTACATTTGCACATACGAATCCATCGGTACATTAAATTTTCACATGTACATTTATGCACATTCTAGTAACCTAATTCGACCGTCCTGTCACTACTATATTCTATAGTTTAGACAATTGCATCCACATCCGCTTGGACAATCTTGTGTTTCCTCCACTTGAGACCACCATTCCAAGGCACAAGCCGAATGCATAACATGCTCACAATTGGTGCATACAACAAGACTTCTTGTTACCAAAAGATTACAATAGTTGCAGTTCTTTAGCTTCTGTCTGTTGTGATGTTGCCAGCCATTAACAGTGGAAACACTAAGGTTCCCTTGGTATGAAGGATTCACAGTATTATTGTACTTCTCTCTTAGCCCAATCAGACACTTGTGAACCTGAAATTCAGGTAATGAACTACTCACCAAGTTCAAATCAGAATAGTTGAACTTGAGTATCTTCAACCGATTAATAGGAAGCCCCCAAAGATAAAGCATATCGGCATATTGCTCACGATATGACTTGATTTTATTGGCGTCTTGAGAACTCAATAACCCAGAGCTAAATACATTCTCAAACAAATCAAGTTCATTAGCGTTGACCAATTCAATATTAACTGTTGGAGCCCTTTCCAAGTTCTTCTTGTATTGTTGTTGTTGGGACCTCTTTGCAAATGTCGAATGGGGGTATAATCGATTTCTGGAATTATTATTATCACGTGAAGTGGTGGCTGAAGAATTCAACGAGATATTATAATCTAACGATGCAAACGATCTACGTTCGCTACTAAATCTTTTCCATTCTCCAATGTAATCGCCTAAGGAAGTTGTGGTATTCACGTGCTTCAAGAACTTCTTTGAGCCACCAACATTAAACCTTTCAGGTGTATTACTTTCTCCCAGGTAGTCGTTATTATACGAACCAAAAGATCTATTCCTTTGTGGTCCATATTCATTTTGCAAGCTTGTCAAGTTTCTATGAGGAGTCCCCATTTGCTCTTTGACTGATATCGAGTCCAGTACAATCGTGCTAAGACTTCCATATCCTCGATTTTTCAATGGTACTGGAGGGAGTGCCGAATAAGGTGTATGGATTGGAATATTGAAATGGGAATTGGCAGAAGATTCAGAATTTAATACTCCATCCAACCTTTCATATAATATACACGACAACATTGCCAACATTTGAAGGTTCTTCCTTTGTTCAAAGTAGTTGAAAATCTCTTTGATTAACCAATTATGCCCCAATGGATGAGACCCCCAGTAGAATCTGAAAGTCTTAACAGAATCGTTCAACCAATCTCTATTCGAGGGGAAAATATCTTGAGCTTTCTCCGATTGTTCTATGAGTTTTATGTCCTTGATCAAGATCATCTCTAATAATCTCCACACATCTTTAATCTCTTGAAGACCGTACTTCTCGGCAACTGCACTATTGTACCGAGCAAGATTCTCCGGTGTATCTCCTAACACCCGGTACTCACTTGCCAATTCATATTTATCCGGAAGTAAATGTCTAAAGTCAAAGATTCCAACAATGTTTAAATTCTTCTTTAGAGCTCCTCTCTTAATACCCTTTCTATAATCTCCTCCCTTACCACTTCCTCCATATTCAGACGATCGATGATTAGAATAGCTTACCCGACTGGTAAACTTGTCCAAAGCCGTACCGTTATCAATGTATCTACCTCCCAAGCCCATAGACTTGAACAAACCAGGCACTCTTGAGCGGGTTCGTATTTGATCTTGTAGCAACTCATCCAAGTCTGAAGTAAAGCTCTCCGACGATGACGACGACCTTTGAGAGCTATTGGAGTCATCGGACAGTGTGCTACAAATGGACAGAGCATCGCTGGAGGACCCCAAATCCAGTTCATTACCATTATCAGCATCTTCACCTTCATCGTCATACCCATCAATTGTTCTGTTAGACTCAGAAAAAACAAACGTACTATTCACCGAGGCATCCTTCTGCAGATGACTTCTATGGTGCAGGTGCAGGTGATTATGGTGGTGATGATGTTGATGGTGTGCAACACTGAATCCACCTTCTGTAAACCTAAAGATATTAAACTTCAGGAGTTCTTTATTCAGGTCCAGAGGATCTGACTTCGGTATGAAAAAGCAAACCAACTGTCCTGTGGGAGTCCATACGGCTCCACATCCTTTAGGTATGGGTGTAGAGTCAATTAAAGGAGCATTATCAGCAGCATTGGGTACTTCAAGACTATTATTATTACTCTTTAAACCTTCAATGGCTGTGTTTTGTTCCTCTTCTTCTTCAAGCGAATCAATGCTACCCACCATGTCCTCGGCATTGGCATTGGCAAGCAAGTCGCCTAACTCTTCTTCATCTTCCTCGTCACCTGAATTGTCCATTTCAACCATCCCTGGGCGGTGCTCATTCAAGTCGATCTCCCGGGTGTCTACCAAGTCTGTTGACCAGACATTTTTAGTTGCGTCTATGACCCCATCCTTTTCACCCTCTTCTGAGTCAACAGAGAGCATCAAGTCCTCGGACAACTCTATTTTATCACCCATTAAGTATCTCAAGCACGGCTCCAAACAGAATCGATTATACTTGTTGGTATAAAACTCACTGATTTTAAACAAGTTCTCTTTCATAGTATTTGTGGCTTGATCATCAAGTTCGTGGGTCTCTTCAATGTCAAACCTGATAAGATTTTGTTTCTTCAACCGAGCGATTCTCTTCAGTCCAGATACAGTTCTGAAATTGGAAAAGTCTTGCAAATAAGGATAATCCTTGGGAAAATGAATTGATATCCGAATAAATACAAGCTCTTGAACATGATCTTCATCTTCAATGATCGTCAACGTTTCAGTGACATCTTTCTCGTCTGTTTCAAGTATCATGCTGCCCTCGTTCTCAAGCTCCATAGTAATGGAATTCAAATTATGTGATGTCGAGTTATTCAATGGACTTAAAGTGCTTTGTCCGGCCAATTTCTCGGAAGGTCTGCTACCAGAAATAATTGTTGTAGTGGAGTTGGCTGGGATGGTGGATGTGGGTGAGGTAAGCGAATGGGTTATCGTCAGCGTGCTTGTCGTGGTAGCGGTCGTCACGTTTGCTTTGGTACCTGAGCTTGATGTACTTGACGTTGTGTGCTGTAACTGAGTCAAAGAAGTCGAAGACGTTTGGTTCGTTGATTGCCTTGGTCTCTTATTCGTGGTGGCTGTAGTAGTATTACCAGTAGCTGCATTTTGTGACTCTGCTGGCCGTTCGTCCTGTTGCTCCAACTCAATTTTTGGAAGTGGACCACGAAGACTCATTACTAGTTCACCGGTTGATATCGAAATCTGTTCAAATTTAACCTTGGGGAACTTATGGGCAACGATAGAAACTTCTTCACCTAAATTATTGGGTACATCAGTCGAGCTTTCAATATCGTTGGCAACATTGATCTTGGTAGTTCCATTGCTGCCTGTAAGAGATTTCTTCTCGTATTGCAGTTTATTATTATCACTGCTATTATTATTATTATTATTATTATTATGGCCATGACCAGCACGGCCCATTCTGACACCTGAGATCCAATCAAGATGGTTAATCTGCTTCAAATGTATGCTGCTCTCCATTTCGGATATCTGGTACTGGACTAATGATGAGAGCATATCTCCGTCGTTCTTCTTCACCAAATCATCGATTTCCACCACTGGTTCCGTGGAGAAGGTCTTGTATTTATATATTTGGCCCTCGTCACCTTTATTAAGCTTACACCCAACTTTATCTGGCAATGCAAAGGTTTTAACAACCTTCTTCTCTTCGTCTAAAGACACTTCCAAATCAGAATTCAGATTCAGATCCGGTTGTGAAGCTATCGACCCAAAAAAGTCTTGATGAGACGGATTGTAGTTGGCAATGTCATACAATTCCTCATCGTATGGCCACAACATCAAGTCATAGTCCAGCGATGACCACGAAACCAATTGAAAGTCCTGGTGGTGATTGGAAGACGGCGAAGTAAAGCCATCGTACTTCTCTCTTCTTGTTCTCCATAAAAAATCCTTTATGGGTCCGTTGTGGCCCTTAAACGAGTAATCTGGGTCGCAGTTAATGTGTTGTGGCTGTCCTGATTCTGTAGCCCGTCGATACGCTGCCTCATAGTTGAAGAGATGAATTGAGTCGTCCCCGTCTCTAAGGGGCATTATACCACAAGTTAAGTCTTGACCAAAGGGGAGAGATCTGGCTCGGGCCACAGGATAATCAGTATGAATAACAACCGAAGGTTGGAGTCGATCCTTTTTGTTTAAGCCGTCAAAGAACCCAATTTCGTCTACCAAAGAACTACTGGAGGTGTCAGTAGCCTTTAAGTCAGTCATCGTGGCCGCATCCTTCAAGTTCCAAAATTTAACCGTTGAATCATTGGAACAAGTGATGAAATTGGAAAGTCCACTGGAGAAATCAATGCCGTTGATTTTACCCTCGTGAGCCATGTTGACCTTGAAAAGTGGCGCAGAACCATATCGGTCGTCCCATATATAGAAATAACTATCGTGACTTGAAGCCAATTGATGGGAGTTTTCATGGTTCCATTTCACCTGAGTGGTACCTGCTCTCCATTCGGCCCATTTGGCCACTGGTCTCCGGGGGGTTCTCATGTCCCACCGTAGGATGAACGTGTCAATGGAACATGTGGCTAAGACTTCTGGGTCATACGGGTGGAAGTTAATGTCCGTGATAGCTCTGGAATGATGATGAAGGACTTGAGAAATGGCATTGTGGGACGGACGAGCAAGATCCCATAGCAATGCCTTTTGGTTCAGTGTAGATATGCACCATGAAGGCTTAGCGTTGTGATGAGGCGACCATTGAACGTCAGCTACTTCCCATGATGTGATATGATGAAGCCAACGAGGAGTCGTAAATGGGTCGTCCAAATCGATAATGAAGAGACCTCTCCGGCCGGCCAAGACGGCGTCTCGACCGTTTGGCGAGAGTGACATGGCACCGATGGCGCCATCCACTCGGATCAGGAGCAGGTTGCCAAAGGTTATGGACTCGTAAGGATTAGCGTCCTCCATTAATGGTAAGAAAATGGTAGAGGAGGTGGATTGATCTGGTTAATTTATACTGCGAAACTTGAATAGCGCGGTACGAAATATACACCGAATATTATGGATTATGTTAAAAGTCGTAGTATATCTGAAACCAAATTACCAAGTACCATACTTTACTACTGTATTATACAATAGTCTACTCTTTTATATATAATTTGATACTATACCATACCCTACTGTTCTATCCTATACTATCATTTAATGTACTATACGTTACCGTTCTATAACTGTGCTTATTGAATGATAACACTGTGCAATGAACACTTCTGGTTCGCGGTACAAATTAGTGCGAAAAGATCATCAAGTTAAAGTGGCAGTAACAGATAGTAAGAGTCTGTAAATCACAGACAATCAGTAACAATCAGAATATCAGATAGTCTAACCCACACTCATACCCATTACTCACAGCCACAGCTATAGCCATAGTTAGTCGTTTATAGTCACACACTTCTCCTTCGTTATGTCTGACACTAAAACTCCTACCCAAACCCACGACAGTCCAGTCATTGGTGTCCACCAAGAAGAAGAAGACGTCGATGAGTTGTTCAATGATGATGACGACGGAATCCCACAGCCTTCTGCTGACCACCATCTCGATTCAACAATAGTCCAAAGTCCAGCTGCTATCGCCGACCGTACAGACGATCCCATTGCTACCACGGAAGATACTAATGCCGATGGCCAAGGCAATGCCAATGCCAATGCCAATGTCGATGCCAACGCCGATGATGACGTTGAAATGCAAAATGCTACTGCCACCGACAACGTTGAAGCAAATAACACTGCAATCAACTCTACTAAACCACAATCCAAGCAACAACAACAACAGCAGCAATCTTCTAAACCCTCCAAGAAAAGACCCCTTCCAAAGGCATCCATCCCCCTGATAAACACAACTATCCCAGACTTGCCAGAGCTCACCAGAAAGGACAAGACTCTTAAGGAGGTGTTGGAACTCATGGACTCAGAATTCCAACCCATTATCCCAGACATTGTCACGGACTACTATTTGGCTAAGAACGGGTTCGAGACCTCGGACTTAAGAATCAAACGTTTACTTGCGCTTGCTACCCAGAAGTTTATCTCGGACGTTGCTCAAGACGCATACGAGTACTCCAGAATTAGAAGTGCTAGCGCCGTCTACAACTCTTCCAATCCACAAGTCAGAGCCAAGGCTTTGTTGCAGGGACAACAGTTTGCTAACATGGCTTCAGGAAGTAACATGGTCAATGGTAACGACGCCAATGCTGCTAATGCCGATGGTGCTGTGGAAGGAGCGAGTGCTAATGCAGGGGGTGCGTCAACTGCTGCTTCTGCTGCATCATCTTCAGGTGCTCATAGTGCAGGTAATCTGCAAGGGAAGGTGGTTTTAAAAATGGCCGACTTAAGCAGTGCTTTAAGTGAATATGGTTTAAATGTCACTCGACCTGATTTCTATAGATAATCATTACGTATATACTTATATATATAAAATTTGTTGTATATTAATTTACATTCCTGGGAAACCTGCACCACCACCAAATTGACTCATTAACTTCTGCATCATGCCTGGGTTTTGCATCATTTGTTGTGCTTGTTGCATCATCTGTGGGTTGTTCATCATCATCTGCTGTGCTTGTTGCATCATTTGTGGATTATTCATCATGGAAGAAAGTGGGTTACTTCCAGCAGTGCCTCCAGCTCCAGCAGCACCTCCAGCTCCACCTCCAAACATACTCATAGCTTGTTCCATAAAGTTGGGGTTCAGTTGTGCCTGTTGCATCATTCGTTGCATTTGTGGAGAGTTCACCATGGGGTTATTTTGCATCAGCTTGGCATTGGAGGCCATACTGCTCATCATTCTTTGTTGCTGCAAGACCATCTCAACTTCAACACTAGAACATCCAGCACCCCTGGCAACTCTAACGATTCTCAGTGGTTCTTTGATGAAGATTGTCCCGTCAGAATCCAATTCTTTGCCAGTCATAGAATCCATAATGTAGATCATGTTTTTTATTTTGGACGAAGTTTCTTCTTCACCAACTTGATTTAAGAAATTAGACATACCAGGAATCATCGATGCAATATTAGTTAAAGGTCCCATCTTTAAAAAGTTGTTCATTTGAGTTTGGAAGTCTCTCAAAGTGAATTTCCCTTCTTTGAAGTTTTCAATTGACTTTTTATGACTCTCATCATTCTGTAAGTTTAATCCTCGTACATGGTCCATTAACCCTTGTATATCACCAATTCCTAACAATTTCAGAATGAAACTGGCAGGTTTGAACACTTCAAAATCACCAATATGTTCACCAGTACCAATGAAAATGATAGGAGTCTTAGTGGCAGCAACGGCAGATATAGCACCACCACCACGAGCGTGTCCATCCATTTTTGTCAAGATAATAGACCCGAAATTGGACGCTTCTTTGAATGCCAAAGCTTGAGACTCTGCTGCTTGACCTATAGATCCGTCCATAACCATGATCGTTTGCAGTGGAGTGACTGCCTCACTAATTTGAACCATTTCATCAAACAACGATTGTTCTTGTTTATGTCTACCTGAAGTATCAACAATGATTATGTCAAACTGTTCTTTCTTGAATCTTTCAACACCTTCCCTGGCGATCCACACAGGATCTTGTTCAGAATAAGAGCCATAAAAAGGGATCTGCGCCTTTATGGCATTCTGTTTCAACTGATCATAGGCACCAGCTCTGAACGTATCGGCACAGACCAAACCAACAGTGAATCCTCTCTTCTTATAGTAGTTGGCCAACTTGGTACACGACGTTGTCTTACCAGCACCTTGTAAACCAACAAACATTATAACGTACGAGTTGGACTTCGGAGTAATCTTTTTACCGGAAGAATTGAGCTTTGCTGGGCCCTTTTGCTTTATATTCTTCAACTTCTTAGGCTGGGGAGGCTCTTGATGTGAGTCTACCAACTCACATAACTCGTCGAAAACAATCTTCTGTAACCGCTTACGGATGTGACTGGGGTTCTTATCATCTGAATCCTTAATCTGATTCTTAATGTTGTCTCTTAAACGTGCCACCAACTTGATGTTAACATCTGATTCCAACAAGGCGGTTACAATGTCCTTGATCATCGACTGGATCTCCTGGTCAGAGCCAGACTCCACTGAGGATAACGCATCTCTCAAACGAGTACCAAGATCTGCTAACACCATGATACGCGTTGGTAGATGATTGGTAACAGCAAGTGGGGTTTGTTACTTACAAACGAAAATTTTCTGAATGGTGATCAGCATCAACGAAGTCGTGCGAAACACAAACATACAATTATTAGTCACTGTAAAAGTAGTCTGTTTATCAGTCAGATAGTCGTCAGTATTATTCAGCAAGTCGTCTGCTTATCAGTCATTTATTGTATCAGTGTCTTTTTTTATAAGGTTGCCGACGCGAAAGCAGATATAAAAGCGAACCTGCGCAACTAAAATATCTGTGCAGAGTGGTTAGGTTTAGCCCAACAAAATGAATATGGTTTATGCTTGAGAACACAAGAAGTATAGGCATGATCAATAAAAGTTAATTGTGAGTATAAGCTTAAATAATGGTCCTCTTAGATTATCCATTATTTCTGCTACATCCAATGATCACTTGCACTATATGCCTAATGCAGAAATGATTTCCATGATTAGATAAGTCACCCACTTACAACCATAGGAGATCAACTTATGTGCCGGTCAGGTTCGAATACTGAAAAGACTACTTGCAGCGAATAGAATTGAAGCAAGCAATTGAGAGCAAGAATCCAGTACATGGCATGTGTCGAAGTTGATAACGATGATGATGATGATAATGATGACTATGCTTACTCCATGCAACGCACTGCGGTGCGCTGCACTGGGATTACGAAGGGGAAAGTATTCAAGTGAACAAAGCCGGCATTACTTTAGTCGACCTTCTCCTGATTTACGAACCAGCGAAGCATGTAGTCCTGCACCTACACAAAGGGACAATAAACGTGACTACTTGAGTGGTACAGCGACTTTGAAAAAAAACATACACAATCAACCAATAATAGCTGAGAGCAGTGGTTTGGAAAACTGCTGGGATTACGATTAAGGCTACTGCTCATTTGTTAAGCGAAAAGTAACTAAATATCGTACATTGAAGAACAAAAGAGTGAACGTACACACTGACTTCAATAATAGGTGAAATTCTATACATATTATTATGCTCAATTCCATGATCTGTATGGACTATTAGATAAGGACTTTATGGTGCGACATTCTACACCTAAATAATTTTCATTTGTGGTCGTTTCGATTCGGCACTGTCACGCATTTTCGTTGCAGCAGCAGGGCGACTCTACGGTTATGCATATTGATTGCACCACTATCTTAGTAATGAGCGTCACGTAGTGACCGATTAGCCGCATTGGCGACTAAAACTATATATGTTGGAACTTTGGCGAACTGTAGAACAAAAACACTAACTAAATAACTTTATTGTCACTTGGTATATTACAATTTTTTGTAATGTGCTTATAGCGGCTTGAGTATATCTAAAATTAATAATTAATAATATTGTTATCCCTCTATCTATGACGTCCTTGGATCCGACGGCCGATGGCTCCAATACTGGCAGCTCGTCATCAACAGCATCCTCAATAAACATAAACAATCGAGTGTCCAGAGGCTCTACCAGCTCTGGTGTCTCTGCTGAGCTGACACTATCGTCTTCTACTAATAATTCCTCCATAGCAAACAATAAGGTTCCACTTGGGCTACTTAGGAAAGCATACCGAAGACTCACTAACTCAGAACATCCCTCACATATCCAACTCCATTCACGAGTCCCCTCTCAATTAGCTCAAACTCAAGTCCAATCCCAAGCCCATGGCCAAGACCAAGGTCAAGTCAACCCTCCAGTCCTACCAAGGCTTGTGACATCGCCTATCAACAGTCCGCATCCTTCTCTGGTTCTGATGCCAGGCTCAGCCATCTCGAAGGACTCGCATATCTTTGAGCGTTCTGCAAGCTCAGGGAACATCTACGGTTCTGGAACTTGCTGTTGCCAGGACTTGGAACATGGTGAAGAAGTGTTAGTGTCGTCAGAGGGGATCCCAACACACTTGAACTTTGAAGACTTCACCATACCTACGTTAGATCTGACCACTGAGTTGGTTACAGATCCTCATGTTTCCTTTGAACTGATTAAGTTAAAGCTGTGTGACCGAAAACGTTCTAGAAGCTTGATTTCAAACAGTTTGATGAGCAGACTCGATGGTGATGGCTTAAAGGAAGCTGATGATGACACCTATGAAACGGAGGAGGAAGAATTTGGAGAAGCAGTAGAAGAAGGAGAAGCAGTAGAAGAAGAAGGAGAAGAAGAAGACGCTTTAGAATACCGTGAAGCTGACGATACTAAAATCTCTGTAGCAAGCGTTAGATCAGCACCTTATGCTATGCTGCTGCGAATAAGCCAGGTTAATGAGAGTGTCATAACTGATAATGGGATATCCGAAATTCCTGAGAAGATATCACAACTTCAACGCTCTCAATCATCTTCCAATGGAGATTATCTTGTGTTGGATTACTATTCATTCAACGAGTTGGTGCACCACAGACCCAAATATGTGAGCAAATCTAAAGATTACATTTTGGATCCAACTTCACAGGCAATGTCGTAATTATTCTGTAAATTAGAGTCGCTAAGGTACTGTGGTATCGGTGACTAATTTAATACATGGCATTTTGCCTGAGAGAAGGATTTTATTTAGAGAGTATTTTTTAGAATCGCCAAAAACCAGAAAGGAACATGTTCTACTTTGTGCAAGTGAAGCTTTTTTGCAGTATTTCTGCTGACTACCCCTTAACACATTATTTTTAAGCAGTACCACATAGTTACCCGGACGCACAACTTGAAATTTGCAAAATCAATTCGGACATGATCAAAGCATTGGTACACCAAATGCAAGGAAGGTTCCATGCATAAATCCCATATTTCGCACAAGTACTAACATATACATTGTATTTAACTAGCATAGACTCTAAATTCAACACATGTAAAAGGACAACATATTTAATAAAAGTATTATAATGTAAGTATATGTCTTCGCTGGTGAAAGATGCACCGTTATCTTTAACAAAACATTTGCATGCATCAACTCATGATAAAGTAAGCATGCTAGAAAACCCAACTACTGGAAGCGCGGCATTTTTTTGACATGACCTGGCTTCATTTGAGCAATTGAGGGAGACATGTGAACTACAAAGAAGGCTTAAGTGTACTCTCCACTCACACATCGCACACTGTGCCACTAGGGGGTACAAGCAAAGCACAATATTCCAACATAACTACTGCACTTTATATGCGCTACCAAACAAAGCTATACTATATAAAATCGCGACTGTGAGCGATTACGTAATCAAAACGAAAAAAAAGTTTTGATGGAAAATCGGCAACAAATTTTATGTATTGCCTGTTACGTTCTTCAATACTCTCCCACAAATCAACACCACTTGTATTTAAAACACCTGGTACCGGAAAAAAAAAGACGAGTACTATCTGAATCAATTGCCAACGCTTATTAAGAGCGTCGTTTCCTTTATCAATTCCATTGTGGTGCATATTTCCAGCTTCAATTTCAACTCCAACATCAACGCTACAACTCATTAACTTGTTGATCATAAGAACATTATAGTGACGTGTATTATTTTATTGCTAGAGCCCCACATTGCTGACATCATCTTCCTCGATATAATATAATTATCAAAATAAAGTATAATTATAGCCTCCTTATACTAAACTACCTACCATTCTCCTCAGTTAGTATTTATTACCGCTTTATTCGCCATTGTTCCCATTTAAATGACTGAATCGCTTTTTGATAACAAATTCATTGCTGATTCCAACATGGCTACTGAAAATTCCAATCTTGATGATCAAATCATCAACAACCATACTGAGACAACTCCAATTGCTGAAGACCACGATGAGGAATTGGTTGTTGGGGGTGACAAATCTTCATTACCGGAAGTCACTGAATCATCAACTTTAATCAATTACAGAGTATTGGTCTCCGCCAAGGAAGCTGGTTGTCTCATTGGCCAAAATGGTAAGGTCATTGACAGCATTCGGATTGAGACTAATACCAAGGCTGGGATCTCAAAATTACAACAAGGATCTCATGAACGTATTCTAACTGTCAGCGGTACCTTGGATGATTGTTCCAAGGCCTTGAGTTACTTTTCACAAGCCTTATGTTCTTCTCTGAACAACGTCTCCACTTATAACTATATGTATTTCCCTTTGAAAAGGTTGTCTCCTCAACCTTGCATTCCAGGTGAAACCACTATTCTTAGATTGTTGATACCTAATAGCCAAATGGGCACCTTGATCGGACAAAAAGGTATTAGAATCCAACAAATTCAACAAAATTACCATATCTCCATGATTGCTTCCAAGTCTTTCCTTCCAGGGTCTAACGAAAGATTGGTTGAATTACAAGGTACAGTGGATAATTTATACGATGCCTTGAGAGTAATTTCCAGATGTCTTATTGAAGACTTTTCCTCAATTGTTAACACTAACTACTATGTTCCAAAGGGAAGTGCAGTCAATGCTAAAAACGGTACTACTCCAAATAAGAAGCAATCCACCACCATGTCTTTCCCCAATGATATTGTTGGTGCCTTGATTGGGAAGAGTGGGACTAGAATCCAAGGTGTGCGTAAATTATCCGGTGCTCAGATTGCCATTGGAGATGAAGTTGAAGGTGAAGCAAATAGAGTCTTCACCATCACGGGAAGTCCTCGTGCTGTAGAGAAGGCTGTTGAGTTGTTGAACCATAACTTGGACAGAGAAGAACAGAGACGTAAGAATGCAACTGCTCCGGCGTAACGCAACTAAAGTTTTTCTTCCATTGTTGATACTATTATTATGCTATTATTTCTTTGTCTTTTACTGTTCATTATGAAATGGTGACTACTTGGGTTGTTTATTATTTTTTTTTCTATTTTTCTTTGTACTGATGCATGTGTTGATGTTGCTTGCATAATTGACACATTTGCTCTACTGCAGAAACCATAAAGATGACATCAAATTAACGAATCATTGTATTATTATATTTGTTTTATTAATGTAAATCAGGACATGATGTTACAATGTCTTGAGCTAACTTTTCGAGGTACTGTTGATCTTCCTTGTCAAATCCTTCCAAATCCAAACAATCAAGATCAATGACTCCAATGGTTATACCATCTCTAACTAAAGGAACCACAATTTCACTTTTAGTCTCTCCGTCACAAGCAATATGTCCGGGGAACTCGGTTACATTCGGAACGAGCTGCGTTTCTTGAGATGCAGCTGCTGCTCCACAAACTCCTTTACCGAATCTAATTTGTTGACATGCAACTTTCCCTTGGAAGGGACCCAAGATCAATTCTGTTGGATTCAGAGAATTCTTCACATAGAAGCCTGTCCAATTAACGTTTATCCCCAATGAGTGATAAGCATGCCATAAGAGAGACGAAGCATTGGATAAATTGGCCACCCAATTGTCTACAGCAAGAGCATTATAACTTTGTAGAAGCGTATCTAACACTTCTGTCTTATCAGCCAGTGAAAAATTGGAGTAATCAGCATGAACCATAATGTGTGTATTTTTATTATGCAATCCAGTATTATGTGTTATGATTATGTGGTGTAATGCAATGCGGTGTAATGCAATGCTAAATTATGGCATATATATATAGCTTAAATCATATATTTCAACAGATTAACGATTGAATTTTATGAATGTTATTCATCATCTTTATATGGGAGCCACACCATCGTTTGAAAGCCGCAATTATGTCATTTGGGCCGACCCAATCTAATTGAGGTGAACACGACCAACTAGTTGCATATGGTTATTAATTACGTTCAGTACAAGGACTCAACGTTCAGTACAAGGATTTTAAAAAAGAAAATAGATGCCGTCGATTATTAGACGAATATAAAAACTTGGAATAAGTGTTTGCTGCATTTAGAGCAGTAATTCTCACTACTCATTTTCTAGCTTGAATAGTAGCAAGTGAAGAACCCCGCATTGCATTCTCCTTAATAGTTTCTTTCTTCCTTTCATAAGTTACTCGACTTAACTAAGGTCAAATAGATCTTAAACTCCTAAGCTCTTGGGTGGCCAATTGTAATAGTTAGGATAATTCCGTCATAAACCCGCTATAATCGTCCCTTTGATCCAATAATCTTAATTAGGAAATATATGACTATTTGTTACTTAAAGTCTTATCGTACTGCATACAATTATATGAATAGTATACCGCAAGGGTTCACCTCCTAATACTAACGGTAACCTGCTTCATCTTGGTGTACTATTCTCCCATAGCTAATTTAGTAGTATAAAGTTACATCGGGATTATAGTTAACAAGTAGTCCTGGTCATGGCCGTTGAAGAAGGATTTCAAGCGTTTCTTAAGGGGAGAGGTATAGATCGGATCCACAAGAACGAGAACGAGCCTGTGGTGTCGGAATTTAGACAGACATCCTTAGCACGTCCTCCACGGAGCAGCAGCGAAGACGAGGAAGAAGAAGAGGAACAGACCGAAGAAGATGAAAGTAACGATAATAATGAACATGATCCAATTGACGGTGATGGTGGTGACCCCCAAGGTGACCCCCAACCTGAACGAGACGATACAGATCTTCTATTCGAACGATTACGTCTGGGAAACTTCCGGGCACTGGAATTGCAAAATATGAACTTCCATTCGAATATGACAATACACGTCATGGAAGACGACGACGACGATACATGGCCGTCTATTTTCGGTCGTCGTGGTAGACATGATCGAATTTGGAGTGATTCTGACTCGTCAGATGATGGGGGGCTACCCAGGCATAATCCGATTCCGCCTCATGTTGATCGTATTCATGCCAGGATGATTCAGTATGCACGTGGTGGTCCATTGGAGTTCACCGATAGTGATTTCGTAGAGTCAGAAAATGAGATACATGTTTATGGTGCTCATCTTCACCATGATTATGATAATGTCGGTGATAGCGATGAGTATGATGATATTGACGATATTGATGTTGTTGATGTTGATGGAGTCAGTGATGGTGATGATGTTAGTGATGGTGATGGTGATAATGACGACGGTGACGACGACGGTGACGATGATGATGATGATGATGATGGCGATGATGATGATGATATAAGAAATGGGTCTGGGATTGTCCCTACGACCAGACGAGATCGACTTGAAGGCGACTATTACTATGGTTTGCGGCCTTCACAAGAAGATTCTGATGATAACCTTTCTGTAGCTTCCGACTTTCACGAAGACGACGACTACAAGTACACTCCGTATCGAGAGAACGGAGACAGGAGATACTCCAACAACATGACCATCTCGGCTTCGTCAAAAGATATACCTGATGGATTACTCGAATCCAAATGGGACTTTGAAGCTGAAGCTGAGGATGAAAAGAAAGCTACGGAATTGGGTGGGAGATTGAGTGCTTGGGACACTAGATTGCTGGAAATGGCTAAAGATACCGATGATTTAGCATACTTAACTCAAGAACCATTGGCTTCTCAATATGCAGATGGGTTGGACCTAACCTTTTGCGGTAACTCAAGACTTTTGGGGTTACCTAAGTTCCCTAAGTATAAGAACAATCTTAGTGAAATCATTCATTGGAACGATGAAGACTTTCTTATCGTTGCAGCCAGCTCCAAGTTGGCAGTTTTCCGATTAAACCCATTGACATTTGTTCCTGAACGGATATGTTGTTTGAAATTTGATACCAAACCTCAGTTTACTACCTCTTTGGACAGTATGTCAGCCACCTGGCCTCATTTCCCTCATCAGATCAACTTTATTAAGGTGTTTGACTCTTGGATAGGATGCCAGTGTTTGGGTGCGTGCGTTGATGATGGAGCAGTTTTGATTTGGAAAGTTGAGACCATTATGAACCAAGTTGACACTTTTATGAATCGAGTGGTTGGCTTGTCAGTTGATGAAAATAAGAATTTTGTAGAACCGTTTACCTTGGGGAACGTTGCAAATCTTAGCGTCAAAATTAAACCTGATTTGCGAATCAAGTTGACATCTTCAGTATGGGGATTGGATGCCCTTTCATTTGTTGATAGTTATGGAAGGTCTCATAACTTGTTGGTAGCATCAGATAATTCCCAAAAGATCACATTGCTTTACTATGACATGCTTCGCGGGAGATTCTATGCGGCAGTGTCTACTCAATTACTTCACAATATTCCTCAAGTCTCATTCATAGACCACTATGAACTGGCCGACCATCATCGACATTATCTCAAGATTGCGTGCAGTTGTGTTTCCAGTGAGCTCGTGGTGTTCAAGACCCACTTTGATATCGTCGAAGGACCCTTTGCCGAAAGGGAATGTGGGAAGTTAGTGAGTAACGTTTTCCATGTTGACCCCACCACGGAGCTTGTAAGCCGAATCGAAGTAGGCAGGTTCACTGGTAATCAGGAAAATGTTGAAGATGCCGAACATGAAGAAGGTCAGTCCGAAGGTCAAACCCATTTACGAATCCATGGTACTGAATCCATGGCTTTCAAACGTATTAAACTTGACGAACATCCTCGGGTCAAGTTGCGGACTTATTTGAACCAAGAGTGTTGGACCGTCAAACCCATTGATTCAAAATACTTTCATGAGGTTTCAAGTCTAAAGAAAATGTGTGGAGATCCATACCTTGAAGATGCACAAGAAGTCCCCAACATTTGGTTCGAATCAGAAGCTCTAAAGTTACCAGGTAATCTTTCAATTAGTGACAAGTTAGGTGGAGCCACGAACTGGCAATTCTTTGAAGCTCCAGTGGCCAGCTTCAGTAACCAACTTGATGCTTCTCTGGAGTTGACTGCGAAACTTGCAACTGTTGATGATGAGTACAAACGAATTCATAAAGGCTACCACCTTCAATTGCGCTATCAGGATCAGAATCAGGATTATCAACATACAAGGAATAAGTTCCTTATGGTAACCACTGCTAAAAGAATTGCAATGTACCGTTCAGATACTTTATTCTGTAATGCTGGAACTCGAACAGTCTTTGATGTTAAGTTACCGCATGATGAAGAAGGTCGATATTCTAATAGGATCCTGCTTTCATTGGTCATACCCCAACTATCATGTTTTGTTGCCAGTACCCAACAGGGTCTAGTAAGTATCTTCAGATTGTGTCTGCACCGGGGAGTCTATGGTATGAGACAAGAACACCTATTTCCCAATGTCCCTGTTCTTACAGTTGAACCCGGAGTTTGTCGGACCATTGTTGGAATAGCAGCCAGAGACATTAGTGTTAATGCCTATAAGCCTCGGTTTGTGTTGTATTTGACGTTTTCTGATGGGTTGATCTTTGCTTATAGTCTATCCAAGTAATAACTCACCATACTAATACCTTTCCGGTTATAGATTCCTATTTTGGATATGTCATGTTGTTACGTAAGTAATAATCGTGTCGCGGGGAACGGTCATCACAACAAACAACAAAATACATCAGGGATAAATCGTTGTGATTATCTTAATGACACTACAACTCCACGTTCTTTTACCATGGAGAGGCTCCACATAGGGTCGGCGTCTCGGAAGACGGGTATACGTGCCCGTGACGACTTACGAAGAGACAAGTACAACATGGAGGATCTAGATGAATTCTTTGATGATGAGAACGAAAAGTCCGGTTACGTTGATCCAACTGAAGAAGACGATGACGAAGATAATGGAAGGAGAAGGCGATTGGTGGGGATAGACGGGGTGGCGCGTGCTTTGGACTTTAATGAGGCTGATGCGGATTCATTCATGTTATCGTCACCCATTGAAGAACCAGTACCCTCTAAGAAACGAAGTCAAAGTCGAAGTCGGCCACGGCCAGCACCACCCTCTAAGGAAATGAATGCTCCGGTATTGGCCGTGGCTGTTGATGGCGAAGATGACGATACTGAAGTAGGAGCAGTATTTACACTGTATAAATCTCCGGCAAGTACTAAGAAGTCTCCGTTACGTTCGCCCTTGCAGGACACCCGAACACCACGTACAGAATTTAACGATGATAATTATGATCCTGAACCGGAGCCGCCCTATTATAATAATGATGACGACGATGTCGAAGAAATAGAAGAGCATACGACCACCGTTCTTTCACCCGTAAAAGTTCCCGCCACTTTACGTGGTTCAGCTGCAAGGTATGGCAGCTCTTTAACTAAAAACATGGCATTGGGTAGACCCACAAAACGAAAACCAGTTGTTCAAGAAGTTGAAGAAGTTGAAGAAGTTGAAGAAGTTGATAATGTTGATGGTGACAACGATGATGATGTAGTGGTAGAAGAAGTTGAACAGGAAGCTTCACTGGATGACTCGTTCAATGATACTCTGTACAAGGATTCCCAGCCCACGCAAGTCGATACACAACAACACTCATCGTATCCTTCTCCACCTCCAGACTACAGTAATGGTGGTATAAGGAAATCATCGCGGACTCGATTCAAGCCCTTAGCTTTCTGGAAAGGTGAAAGGGTGATCTACCATCAAGTTAACGAGAGTGTAGTTGATCAGATGACAGATGATCCCCGACTTTTGAATGACTTGAAGGTTATACCTTTACAAGAAATTGACCAGGCCAGTACTGAAGCATTGAAGAAGCTGGAACCGGCACCGACACCGGCCCCGGCCAAAAAGAAGAGAAAACCGTCCAAAAGAAAAAATAATACCAAAAATAATGGACAAAACAAAAAGGTGGAATATGACTATGAATCAGATCCAGAAATAGAAGGGTCCGAATGGTACGCCAACAAGAAGCTTGATTTGAAGGTTTACGCCGATAACAAGCACAAAAAGCTAATAGACCGAACGGTTGTTCTAGGCCCAGGGCAGGTCTCTGAAACCTCAAAGTTTGATGATGAATTTGATAACTTTACACTACACACATTATTCAACGATTATGTTGATTACGGAGTCAATGCCATTCTTGACTTCTCCATTGGCGGACAAAAGGCAATGAGAACCAGTGGAGGAGCCGTTACTTTTGTTTATGTTTTAAAGGGCTTGATTCACGTGACATTGAATAACGATTTCTTTGTAGTTACAAAGGGTTGTTCATTATTGATTCCAGCATTTAACATGTATGCCTTCAAGAACGTCGGTCAAACGGATGCCAAATTGTACATTTCTCAAACCAAAGTCGATTATGACTGAAATCTTATACTAATATTAATATACACAACTGTTAATGATGATGATGATGGTGTTGATGACCCTTATTCCTGTTCAATCTTGGTTACTTGACTGGTTTCCTTATCATAGAATGCAATCATACCGACTTTGAATTCACTAGCAGCAACACCAAATTGCTTTAAGATCAAGGCTTTGGTGACATCTAAAAGTTCATTCTTAGTACACACAACAAAAGGTTGTTCGAGAGTAATCTTACCAGCCTTCATCTTGGTAGGCATCTTGTATTTGTTTCTTAAGGTTTCTTCCAATGAATGAGACATTGGAACATCTTCTTCGAGGGGAATTTGACCACCTCTGGAATAGACAATACCGGCAGGAATAGTGAAATCAATAGGAGCTCTGGATTTGGCTCTGGAATAGTCATTTTTGGAGTATGCAGTGAAATAATTTTTAACGGTTTCAGGAGATTCATTAGTTAAAAGTAAACCTGGCATCCCAGTACAAACTTTAGATAACTTATGTAAGTCATCCAAGTATTCATCTTCCGGCTTATCACCCAATGCCTTTTCCAAGACTCTTCTCTTACCCATTATTAACTTGGACCCAGTCCAATCTGATCTAATATCTTGCAAAACAGGTGTTCTCACATCATCAAGCTGTAACACCCAACAATACTGATATTCATCCAACCCACTTCTAACATCATCAAATATACGGGTTTTGTTCTCTTTGCCCTTCTTATCTGTTTGGGCCAATGTAACCAACTTAGTACGCTTTGATCTTGGCATTTCTTTTATGTTTATCCTTGAATAGAATCAATACTTTTAATAAGAGTTGCAATGGTAACTAATGTCTTGAAGTTGAGAGTGAGATGAGATGGAAAATTTGCGATGCGATCACGTGACGAAACTCGCGTGACTTGTGGAAGCAGCATTATACCGATTCGCACTATAGCGTGCCTAATGGTGTGTGGGGCTCTGATGCCTGACTCTTGTTGATGGCGAGATCTGCTGTGTCTCAAATTCTTTCACACTGGTTTGACGACTTCTTAAAAGTAATTGTAGATGATTGTAAATTGGAACAATGCATTCTTGGTATATATTTTCCCTTATTAACTCCGGTAGTTGATTTGTTTTATTGTAGAACAACTGTTTGCATAGTAAAAAGAGTTGTGAGATATCATCAGAGTAAACCTCCAAAACCATAATGACACTCTTGAAAAAACTCATGTACTTTTTCGCTCTAGAAGGTTGTTCCCAATAAGCATACTTATTGTGGCAAAGATGATGTATGTGTAGTTTTGATGTGAATCTATTCAAATGTTCAGGGAACTCGTTGCAAAATGCAATAAAACTTTCCACATCAATGGCAGTAAGTAAATCTTCTGCATTCAGTGTACAGAGGTCATCTTTATTGAGATAAGTGGAATATTTCTCCAAGATCATCTTCAATTGAAACATTGATGGGAAAAATGTACTATAAGCAAAGAAGTCTGTCAATAGCAAAAAAAGATTAACTGGAATGGGATCATCACTTGTTAACAGCAGTAAGATACATGCAATTTTAGGATCAAAGACTTCCTCCATCACTCTTGATAGTAAATACATGTTATCTTCCTCCAACGGCGATTCATGAAGACAGAAATACCTCAATAAATCAATGCTTGAAAGACGAACCTCTTGCATCAAACTATCGTCCATTGCGTTTTTCATATAAACAGAAACCACTTGTTTCATGTGGTTATAACTGGGGTTAGTAGTTAGCTCCACTAGCACTTCTTCAATTTCATGGGTTCGAGATTTAAAGCGGTCACGATGGAAAGAAGTGGGTGGACACACAAATGAATCTGTATTTATACGACGCTCAATATTCAAATGACTTCCTTCTTGAACTGCAGTTTGCTGAACTTTGGTGATGGTTGACGAGAGGGACTTGGCCAGATTACCATCACCTAAAAGCTTGTCAATTTTGTATTCAAGTTCTCCGGATATTGCCGTATTCTCTGAGCTCCAAGTATCACAAGTGACTGACGGTATTACGTGTGAGGTATCAGTAATAGGTTCATTGATTGTCACATTACCTTCTTGTGCTGGGGATTTTGAACTGGGAGAAGCTATATTACCGAATAAAAAAGTTATTGAGTTCTTTCTCAGACTTTTCCCTGAATCGACTTCTTCTATTTCCAAACTCGAGCTTACGATGTTTCTCCATGCATCACCACCCATCTCTGTTTGCCGTTGGAAACCAGAATTAGGCTCTATGGCGACAGGAAGACTAAGAAGGTTGTCTGAACTTCCATAATCTGACAGGTAACAATTACAGATAAGATCCAAGCAGACAGCATAATCCACAGTGGAATTTGATGGTAAATAAGCATCACCAAGTTTGTTTGTACTTTTAGGTTTTAAGAGTCGTAAAAACACCAAGCCCATTGGAATCATCACCAAAACCCAGGAACAAGTGATTGCCAATTGCCACTGCATGAATATAATATTTTCATTTGAATCCATTTGGTCTAGTGGTTCATTCTGATAGTTCTGTGATATGTCACATTTCAGATTAGTGGCTGCAATTTGATTTAAAAGAGAGTTCTCCAATGCAGTAATTCTATCTTCATAATGCACAGTTGTGTGAAGTACTGCCGAAAGCATCCACAAAGCTGGCACCAATACCAAGAAAGTTAATAACATTATTATTGTTGATGATGCTGATGAAAGGGAGAAGAAGAAATGAATGCAAATGGTGATAATTTTGATACACCTTTTCGCGAGTCTAGGATGGGAAAAATAGTCAAAAAATGAACGAAGACATCAATTTATCAATTTCATTGGTTAAAATACAGAATATATATATAATTAAATAATTGGGTCAGATACAGAATATACATATGACTGATAATTATTTCAAGTATCTGAAATCAGGTGAAATATGGGAACCATCGTTACCCAATTCTCTCCACCAGTTCATTGTACCTTGAGCGATTCTCTTGTTCAAACGAGAGATTCTAATTCTCAAGATTGTGGCCAATATGATGGAAACCGCAAGGAAACCAATGTTGCAACAGAACGCTTTTAAATAACGAGGCGCGTCATTGGATGGATACAAATATGCGTTCCAGATGGAAGTGGAATTGGCCAAACAATTCATCAATGAAAGAGAAATAGCACGCTTCAATGGTGGACGAGGAACACAGTTTGACATCCAGGTCAAAATAACTGTGAATGCACAGTACATAGAAGGAACCATCATACACATAGCAAAGTATCTTCCTGCGGTACTCAAAGTAGCTACGGCTATGATAAAAGATACCATTGATAACAACAATGGAATGACCACATGGAAATATCTTTCTCCTGTCTTATCAGCGTGTCTGGCCCATATAAATGTGGCTACTACTGCAATACCGTAAGGTGGAGCAGTCAAACCCAAAGTAGTCTTTCTATTAAATCCTAAGGTGGAAACAACAGAGGGGAAAAAGTTAGTGACACCTGCAGCAGCAACCAAGGTTGACAATATACCTGTAACAAGCCAAACCTTCATATCCTTTAAAGCCAATAATAATGCATCTTTGTAGTAACCCTTGCTTTGCTTTTCATCGTCATCGGCTTGACCAACTTCTTGGGTCAATTTCCACATTACCATGTCCTTTTCTTGTTGACTCAAAAACTTGGTATTGGATGGCTTATCTGGTAAGATAACGTATGCAAAGGGCACTGAACCAACGGTAATTGCACCTTCGATGATGAAAAGCCATCTCCAAGCAGAAATTCCATGAACACCTTCCATTCCTTCAAGGATCCCGAGACCTATCAAACCAGAAACTGCAGAGGAAATCAAAGAACCAGAGTATAAAATGGAGTTTCTCAAAGCCAATTCCTTTCTTGTGTACCACATAGATAAGTAGTATAAGGCCGAGCCAAAGAATCCAGCTTCGATCCAACCCAAAAGAAATCTAACCACCACTAAACCAGCATAATTTTGAACGGCACCACAACAGGCAGAAATGACACCCCAGAGAGTCATAACGACTGTCATATATAAAGCTGGTCTTCCCAACTTGTTTAAGATCATGTTGGAAGGAATTTGCATCAATATATAACCCACAAAGAGAATAGAAATGGCGGTTTGATATTCAGAACCTTTCAATCCTAATTCCTTTTCCAACCCACCTAGACGAGCCGTAGCAATGTTATTTCTGTCTAAATAGTTCAAGATATAAATGTACACCAACATTGGTAGGATTCTTATATCAATCTTCCACTTGGTTCTCTTCTCCAATTGCTCGAGCTCGTCTACACTCAACCCTTGTAACGATTCAGGTAAGTTCACCCAATATTCTGATGCTACTGGAGTTAAGTCAACTCCTTCACTATCTCCTTCAACATATTCAAAAGCTCCCTTATCATCATCAATGAAGTCTTTGTTGCTAATAGTGTTATTTGTTACAACCGCAGACATAGTGATTCACAAGCGATGTTTTATAGAGGAAAATGAATATATATTTCACTTCTTCGGGAGAGCATTCGTCTGGCTTTTTATACTGCAATTTTCTATTTTGCAGTTAAATTTTCTTCTTCATGTAGACACCTACCGGAATAACTGTGGGGTACATAAGACTTAGTTTGTGGGGGAACACTAAAAAACCGAAATTGGGCACCGATTATCATTGGATGGTTTTTGTTGCAGGTGTACACATTCAGAGACTGTATTCCTTAATAAATCGTATTTTAGAATGACAAAGGCATTACTCCATGGGGGCTGAAACATACCCACTATTCTGATTGTTTGAGTTGCCTTTTCCTTCATATTTTTTGCTGGGGGGGTCCCTAAAAACAATAGGCAGCTTGGGGGATCCAGCGTTGGACTCTATGGCCCTAAAGAAAAGCCTACCCAAGAGGCATAATTTCGCAACCTGACTCCTGTAGGAAGCATTTGAGCCGTGCATAGAATGAGTCGCAATATCATTCTTCCATACAAACTATTTCTCCGACGCGGGGTTCATGTGTATATGTAGGATGTTCAAGGAGATTGGGGGATCGAGGAAAAGGAAGAAATTGGGGGACAATAAAACTAGTACAATAGTTTTTTGTGTTTTTGTTTGTCTGTTGAAGTGCCTCCGGATTCAAATAGCCAGGGATATTAGTATAGAACAGTGAACTGATCCAAGAACTGATGCAAGACCATACAAAAAAAAATATCGTTTAGCTCAATGAAGTCCTCCATGTGCATACACCTTTATTCGCGGGTCAAACCTTTTCATGCATGCACGCACATTATATATATAATGTATCGGTGTAAGGTTTCCTAATCGTTGCTGGTGGGGGAGAGGTCGCATTTGCAAGTTACGTGGGGGATACGCCTTTTCAGGAACGTTAAATTGAAATCCACCTTGATATTCAGCACATCAATTCAACCCCACAAGTAGCCTTTTGTGCTTGTCACCGACCCACAAAATAACGAAGCCATATTCTATGTAGTGCTACTCTAATAAAAGACAATGGTGTCTGTTTGCTTGTCAATCTCAGTAACACTTGAAACAAATTTTGTGAAGGCCAACAATTTTCCAGGCAACTATTTTTGATTGCCCCACTATGCCATGCCATCGATCTGCCCTTTGAATGCTATTAGTGAGTGACCGAATCGGTTCCCGCAAACACGTGTCCGAATCTGGAGTTATCTTAAAAACTACCTTCATGGGAATCTAATTTTAATCATGTTGCTCAATTTCATGCGCAAGATCTCGCACACTGTGAAGCATAACTTATGTAAGCGAAATCTTACGTGAAATAACCTTGCAAGACTTTTATTTGTACAACATTAAAGTTCATCAGCATGTCATACACTAAGACTTGAGTACATCCAGGATAAGCTTTAGTTTTAATTTTAGCACGGACATTAATTGAAGTATTTCAATCTGATCCATGGCATGGCACAACTTTGCGGTATTCAAGTGCGCTATGAGTATCATCTGTCACACTGCAAATAGATAATTTTATTTGCACCCAAGATTTTCTTAGAAAACCAGCTAAACTTTTGCTCAGGTTTATTTTGTTGGTTATAGCACGACCTTCACGTGAATAGGCTGTCTTTTTTCTATGGTTTGGTAGAGTAGTGGTAGTTTTGCCATTGATAAGACCGTGCAGACGCCAAATATACTTACACATCACAGCTACTGCTATAACTAGAGTCTGCTATAACTAGAGTCTGCTATAACTGCTATCTGCCACAAACACAGGTTTGACTAGAACATGGATCAAATTGACTCGGATATGGTGGAGCCCGAATCTGATTCGGAACATGAAGTGTTGAGAAGGCTAGCGGATCATTCACAGAGGCGATTACGCAGACACGAATACATGGAGAACGACGACGGCGATTTGGATGGTGGGCCTAATCCAAGCGTTGTTGTGGAAGATGTGACTGAATTTCATGACGACGATGAGGAATTTGATTTCCATGATATTAACGAGGATGACGAAGAAGAGGGAGGGAATGATGAGGATGATGAGGATGGTGAGGATGGTGATGATGATGATGATGATGATGATGATGATGATGATGATGATGATGATGATGATGAGGAATTTGATACGTCAGATCCTTCGGAGCTTTTAAGACGCCTCCTCTATTCTTCAGCGCACAACCAACGGGGTCTGCGTGCTCATATAGATGAATTTGATAGCGATGAAGAAAGACATGACGATGATGATGATGATACCAATGCAGCACCTGGTCTGAGAGGCTCAGGTTCTGGTTCCGGTAATGCGCGGTTCGACCTCCTCAGAGCAATATCCCTAGGCAACGGGGCCAATGATAGTAATAATTCCAGACCACCACAAGCAGGAGGATTTGCTGACGTGGTTCTGCGACTAATGGGGGCAATGGCAAGTGCACATGAGACTGACTCTGAAATAGAAAATCTCATCAACAACCTCTCGAATAGAGAAGACATATACATGATCTTGGAATCATTGAATGAATTGTCTCAACGATTACTAATGATGGATGGTATGACTGCAGAAAGAGTCATCCCTGATAATAAGCTTGCCAAATCCTTGGTTCTGATAATGGAAGACCCTTCGTTGACGCTGGAACTTGAACTACAGATGGTAGCTTGCAGATGTCTCTATAACTTTTTGGAGGTAAACCAAGATTTTATCCACTCTGCCTTAAAGAATGATGCTGTACGTATTCTCTGTGACAAGCTCTACGACGTTTCATACATTGACTTAACAGAACAGCTTCTACAAACACTAGAAATGATTTCCCGAGAAGACGTTTCCCATAGTGAGCTTCTCTCTCATTACGGATTGTTGCAATGTTTTCAATTTTTAGATTTCTTCACTATGCATGCCCAAAGGAAAGCATTTTCCATCTTAGCCAACGCGTCCAAGAATATAAGGATAACCCATTTTGACTTTGTGAAGGGTCTACTTCAACCGTTATCTCAGGTAGTTAGAACCCACTTTGATGCCGTTGTATTGGAGAATTCGTGGTTAACAATATCACGGGTGATCATAGGGTTCCGTCAACGTCCTGATTTGTTGGAGGAATTGTTTGACAAAGAGTTACTATTAGAAATGACTAAGACAATCATTAGAAGTTCCAATCAAACAGGAAAGGATTCAAGCAGTTCAAACAGTTCGAGTTCCACACCGCCTCTTAGTTTCAATTCATGCATGTCACTCTTGAGATCTCTAGTGATCTTAAGTGCGGTTAGTGTCAACATATCGGTGATACTTTTAGAGGAATGTGACGTTGGAAGTTTGATTCTTACCTCCTTGAATAATTACTCCAAGAGTAGTGGATCCTCACAACAAGGAAATTGTGAAGTCTCCATAGACACTATTATGGTTGCACCTAAGGATCTAATTTCTGAATTCTTAACCTTAATTGGGTATTTGTTGCCGGTTACGTACACCACAAGTCCATTTTTAAATGAAGGCATAAAGCCGGACGAAATCAAGGCAGAACTAGATAAAAAAAGAATCGAAGTTTATTTAAATGAGATCCAGTCTGTCTATTGTTCCTTTGCTAACAAAATCTGGCCTTTTCTTATCCATGGGTTCCTGTCCAGTATGGATTTCGAAATCAGAAAGAAAATATTGGTCAGTTTTGATCGTATAATATCATTCCAGAGCAATGAATCTGTCAAACCTTTAGAGGCAAGTAAATTGTTGAAACTTTCTAATTTGTTGGCATCGGCTGTCAATCAAGGAAGCACTGTTATTTCCAAACTTGCGCAAGAGTATGATGGACAAGCATCATCATCAGAGTCGGCTCAAAAAAATTTAAGTCAGAATAAGGTCAATTCAGCTGTCATCGTGTTGGCAACGTTAAATATCATAAAAAAGCTATTTGAAAATGATAAAGAAGTTATCAGGCAATTTGAAAAGGAAGGGATGTTCAAAGATCTCAATTTGATTCAAGATAACATAGCTGAATTGGTCAATGATGACAAGAACAACAACGATATAGCACCATCGCCACCTCAACAACCTACGCATATGTTCCGTTTATCGAGTGTGAGTTCCTATTCCAATAAGTACTATGATCCAGAATTAACTAAGAATGATAATCTCTTTCGGTTAAGGACTATGGATGTTTTCAGATCTGTCTTGGAAAGTGCTACCGCAGTTTCACAAGTATATGATCAATATTTAGCTGCTATGGAAACTACACAATCCACTTCTGGTGGTTCAGATGCTTTGGTACAGCTTACAGAGATCCTGGAAACATTGGGAGATGTCCGAAAGTATCGCTCATTTTTGAGAGACAACTGGTTTGGTTTATGGCAAAGCCTAAAGACCGTTATATTGGATGGCACAGTTTCAAATTTCGAGTTGTTATCACTGGGAGTAGTTATTCGATTAGCAAACGTATTGGACAGTGTGGACCTGGATTCAGAGTGCTGTAAAAGTTTTGTTCAAACATTCTTCAATGATCCAGTAAGTTCTAATGAGGCTGCTTCAACCCTTGTATCAAGTTTGCAGGGAGCATTGTCGAGATCTGAACTGTTTGATATCGTTTCTTCTGGTGCCAATCCGGGGAACTTACCTTCAAGCAATTCTCACCCAACTGCGATTATGGCTAGGCAGATCAAATTACATTTAACAAAGAAAGGAGAAGGCAGCAACAGCAAGAATAATACCGCTGTCAATTCAGATAGTCCAACAAGAAATACATTTGGTATGTCTTCCCTAATGCTCTCTGTGCATGCTATTGCAACATTTAAAACCATTAATGGCTTCTTACTTCAAAGAATGAGGTTTTTCAACTCTTTTAGCAACCCGGGTGATGGCAACGGCAGCAGCTTACCACAGCAGCTGACAGAGGAAGTCGACGATCAAGAGGACGAAATCTTGGATGACTCCAGCCATACCTCTAATAGAAGTAGTGTGCTTAAAGATGAGAAGAATGAAGTCAATGAAATAAATGAAGAGGAAAAGCAACTGAAGATCACAAGTATTCAATTTTACATCAACGACGAGCTTGTTCCTAAAGGAACAACTATTTATGGGGCCGTCTATAGTTCACTTCAAGAACACCCAAACGAGACAGTTGACCCTAGTCGCATATGGTCTGTTGTTCATAAGATTGAATATCAGGAAGTACCTCAGTCTGATCAGGATGCTGATATTGAAGAGGGTGATTTAAAGTTGGCGATGTACAACCGAACCAGTTCTGAGTCTGATTTGAATGATCCTATGACCCATTCCATTCTAATATTATTGAAGGTTCTCTTTGATATAAATGAAAAAGTGACTTTTAAACATTGTCCAGGTGTTCCCCTTCCTGTTAATGATTTCAAGAGTTGGAAATTAACTGTTAAATTGAATAGACAATTGGAAGAACCATTAGTGGTTGCCAGTGGTATCTTGCCCGGATGGTGTCTTTTCCTTACCAAAAACTTTCCATTTGTGTTCCCGCTAACGTCAAGGTTATTCTTCTTGCAATCCACATCGTTTGGTTACTCCCGTTTGATTAATCAATGGCAGATGACATTAAGTGGGACCTCCGAGCCAGAATACCAAGGCAATATGTCCAGAAGTATTTTTGGAAGCCAGACTCGGTCAGTTAGTCAATTGGGTCGTCCCTCTAGATACAAAGTGAGAATCACACGGAAACTGCTCTTGCCTTCGGCTTTTAAGGTCTTGGACTTGTATGGATCGACACCTAGAATACTTGAAATTGAATACTTTGATGAAGTGGGATCAGGTCTAGGCCCTACTTTGGAGTTCTACGCTCTTGTATCTAAGGAATTTTCCAAGAAGGAATTGAAAATGTGGAGAGAGTCCACAGAACATAGTCATAGCAGTACCTTGTGCGATGATGACGATGATAATAAGAAAGCCTTTGTTAATGCACCAATGGGCCTCTTCCCTTCTCCCTGGTCAGAAGAGCAATTGCAGGCAGAAAACGGGAAAAAGGTGTTGAAGATCATGAAATCGTTGGGTAAGTTCATCGCAAGAGCATTGTTAGATTCACGGATAATTGATTTCAATTTCAACGTTGTGTTTCTTCAGTTGCTTCAAATGTTAAGTATGAACGATCTCCATCCCTCGGAAAATATACTTCGGAAGTTCCGAAACATATCTTCATTACGAATGGTTGATCCTGGTCTTGCGGACTCGCTAGCATTCTTGTCGCGGTATTTGGAAGCGTACAAGGATCTTAGTACTCCAGATGAATGTGAAGCGGTGGAAATTGATGGTGCTAAATTGAGTGATTTGTCTTTATACTTTGTGCTTCCGGGGTATCGGAAATATGAGCTCATCACGAATGGTGAAGATATTCCTGTAACAAGCGAGAATTTAGAGATGTTCTTGAATAAGGTACTCGATGCTACGTTGTACAAAGGTGTGATTACTCAGGCGAAAGCGTTTATGGAAGGGTTCAGTGAGGTTTTCCCCATCAGTACCTTGGTGATCTTTTCACCTCAAGAGTTGGTTGGGTTATTTGGTAATGCGCAGGAAGATTGGACCCGGGAAACTCTTTCTGCAGCTATACTGGCCAATCATGGCTACAACAAGGACTCTCAACTGATTGAGCAGCTTATTAATGTGTTGATCGACTTTTCTCCTGATGAAAAGCGTAAGTTTCTTCAGTTTCTCACGGGGTCCCCCAAGCTTCCAATTGGTGGGTTTGCCCTGTTACGTCCAGAGCTTACTGTTGTACGGAAGAAAGCTGATGACGCTGATCTTGAAGATGATGATTACTTACCCAGTGTAATGACATGTGCCAATTATCTTAAGTTACCTAAATACTCTTCACAAGAGGTAATGAGGAAAAGACTACTCCAGGCTATCAATGAGGGTGCTGGTGCATTTCTACTTTCATGATATATCAATTCATTGCATTGCCTTGCATTTCACCGCGCTTTGGACTGCAATGCTTTGGCCTGTACCGACTGCATTGAACGTGTTAGTTACTGAGTACCTTTTGGATCCCACTACCCCTTTTTAAAGGAGGTCAAGGTCCACAAAAAAGAGATATCTGAATGTACGAAATGTTATACTGTAGTCAGGGACGGAGTGGACTGTCGAGTTTGAAAAAGGGAGATCTGTACAGATGAATGTGACTTTTAGAGTAGAATACAAGACGTATATGTATATACACCTTGTATTTACCTCATATACCTTGTATGTACCATATATATACCTCATATACACCTTCTACGGCTTATCTATCTATAGGTCTATTAATAGGAGTAATAGTATCAGAAACTTATATAGCTTCCTTGTGTGTAGAACGCTTACATAATCCATTACATAACGATAGCACATCTATAATGAATTGCTTCTGCATCAAGGGATGTTTGAAGGGTGCACAAGTACCTATTTCTTTAGAAGTCGAGGAACACGCGGGATAACAGGGAATAGGTCTATGTCTATTTAGAATTCAATAAGTGCATGCATAGATCTGGCATTATTTAATTAGAATTAATAGATATCGTATTTTTTTATTACTATACATCACATCATCGCACACCAATGTCCGTATCAACAAAGAGGGTCACTGTTGATGATCCGACACCAACAAGAGAACCTCTTAGTAAAAAAGTCCGACTCGATTACGATAACTTAAAGCCATCTCAAACGTTGTATATCAACAACTTAAATGACCAGATCAAGATCTCTGTGATGAAACAGAATCTCCATTTGTTGCTTTCCACATTTGGTGATGTGTTGGAGGTGAGAGTCAACAAGAAGTTAAGGGGTCAAGCTCATATACTATTTGCCAGCATAGAAGAGGCAGTAGCAGCACGTAACACCATCAACGGTATGGACTTTTTCGATAAACCAATGAAGGTAAATTACTCGTTGAAGCAGTCAAACTTGGTGAGAATAGTGGAGGATAGTTTACGTTAATGAGGTTTATATAATTGGTTCGGTTAATAGTACTTAGAAGATTAATATATTAATGTCTAATGATGATAGTGTGTTTTTAAATTGCGCTACCATGCTGTGGGTAATGATAGTATCAGTTGTGTCGGTATTGTAGAATGTAAGTGGTGGTTGGGTTATCATATACTGGTCCTTTTAGTTGCCCTGCGCTACCAATTATGTTGATAATGAAGCAATCGGTATAGTGTACAATGATATAAAGGGGGATAGCGGGTAGAATGTTCTAGAAACATTCCTAGTCTAATCATTCTGACTATCAAAATAATGATATTCGAAATGGTTGGTTGTATTCATTGCATGAAGCAATTGTTAGTAGAATGTCTCTGTAATCATTGAGTTTTGTCACGTGACTTACTTATTTCCAGATTTATTTAATTCAAGACCTCAGTTAGTCTCCACTTCAACACTATGCGACACTTATCCTTTAACCCGACGATGGCTTCAAAAATTGAGGATGTGGTTGCATCATTAGTCAGCAGTGCACCTCCAGGAGAGCTTTCACAGGCTGCAACCGATTTAGGTGCTTTGCTCAGTGGTAGGGCCAACCAAAGTATCATCAACACTGCACTTGAATCGTATGCCACCGAAGAAGGTGCTATTGTTGCTGGGAATTATGTGATCAGCAAACACAGTAAGTTGGCTGGGTCAACTAAGTACATTGACTATGTTAGTGGGAAAGCTTTCAACGTTGACTTGAAGGCCAATAAAGTTCTTGATGTCGAGGACCATAACGTTAGTGATAAGGTTAGTAGTATTAGCTACTTTGATTCGTTAGTGAAGGCATTGAATCAATATGGAGAAGACCATTTCCCCTCCTTATATGCCTTTAATGTCATCCCAGATGGCTCAGACTTACATATCATCATAGTTGGCCAAAGGGTAAACCCTGATAACTTCTACACAGGCCAATGGAGATCACACTATGTTGTTTCTCAAGGTAAGGACACCATCAATGGAGACGTGTCATTGGATATACATTATTATGAAGACGGGAATGTCCGGTTAACCTTTGGAGAGAAGTTGAAGGACACTACGGTTTCTGAGAATGCATCGGCCATCGTGAATGCTATTGATGAGTTTGAATCTACCACTAGTATGACTATTGTGGGGAAGTTTGAGGAGTTGAACCAAAAGTCGTTTAAGAACTTACGGAGATTATTACCCGTGACTCGGTCCAAGATTCAATGGGGAAAAGCTATCGGTAACTATCGGTTAGGATCGGATGTTGTCAACAAGAAATAGACAGATCGTATATAAATATTGATACATCATATTATTATTGTTATTATATTAACCTATAAATGGTACAACAACCATATCACAATAAAAATCCCTAATATCACAAATACAACTCGTGATAAACTTGCATTACGTGACATAACCGTCCGTAAGTTGCCACCACTTCTTTTAACCTTCTCCATCATATTCAGAAAATTCTCGTTAAGTTGATCAAGTAACAGTTGCTCTGATGTGATTTGCCCGTGGATGTCTCTGTCAACGGTTGTACGGAACTGCTGTAAAGTCAGCGCTAACTGATCAAACTTCAGGTCATTCTGTGCTTCCCGCAGCGCATATAATGAGTCTGCCATAGTTGGAAGGATGGGGGTGGGAGAGGTGGAGACGTCGTAGTGTTATACACTGACTTGTGATTCTTAAAGTGTGCGACTTAAAGGGAAACAAACATCAATTCTGGTCACGTGATAAACAGTCAATAGGATAAACTACTTACTTACAACATCTGTACAACAAACTGATATTTATTTATTGAGGCATGCTATCAACATCAGGAAAACGGTTTACATTCAGAAAATGATAGTTCCCCTCCATATATCCAGTATTCGAGTTCGACAGCCCAGTATGTTGCGGAAATGGGGCATTCCCAAACCCTGCACTAGTGGGTTGGGCATTCAATTGGTTGTACAGATATTGAGGTTGCTCATTACTAGATGTAGGATATTGTTGTTGTTGTTGTGGTGGTGGTGGTACATAAGTCCCCATTGATCCCGTAGTAAATGTACTCATTCTTTGTTTGCTCAGATCATCAACCATTTGATTATAAACCTTAACTGTTTGATTCACGGATGCAGTTAAGTTTTTGAGTTCTTCATTTCTTTCATTATATTTCTCAATGCTTTTCAAAAGCATGGGTCGTAAGGGGATTAATTCATTATACAAACTGGTGACCTCTTCTTCATCTACTTGAGAAACATCTGGATTAGTCAACAATGCTAAAAGTCGATCAACTTTCAGCATGGTACCACCATATAACACCTTATTCTCAGCTTCAGCTTCATGAGCAAGTATATTCGCTGTTTTGGGTATTACAGGTGCAACATAATTAAGAGGGAAGATACCAGTTTCTCCATTGGGTAAAGACCCCTTCCACCAATCATTGTAAACGGATTCAATAACCTTTATTATATCGCCCTTTTTAAATGATAATTCTTCAGGTTCATAAGAATTAAGGTCATATAATGCACGGACTTTGGAAATATTTGCAATTGAAAGTGAATCTTCCTCCTCGTTTAGAAATTCATTCTTCATTTGTGTGTTTGTGCTTGTGGCGGAGATTGTTGGAACAGGTGGAAGGTCTCCATTTTGCAATTTGCTAGTATTATTATTATTATTATTATTATTATTATTATTATTATTATTCTTATTATTATTGCTCCTTATGGGACCTCCTTGTTGATCAAAAGTTGCTTTGTCTACGAGGTTCTTCTTCATGTTCTCTTTTCTGGTGGAATCTTCCAAAGAAAGTCGAATCGCTTCTTGCCATTCCTCTTCTTCTTTCAATTTAGCCAGCTTTGTTAATTCCTTCTTAGCGGGCTTAGTTGGCATTTCTTGATGAGAAAGGTACTTGGCATAGGACTTTTGTATCTTACTTCCTGCATCAGCCATGGGTTTCAAAGACGAGTCGCTTTTAAACAGATTGTCAAGTTGATATATTAAGGAAGCAACGCTCTCCTTCACTGTATAATGAACCTTCTTATCGGACATCTTGCCCAAGAGAACCAGACAAAATTGTTTGGTAGCAATCTCTTGCTTCATTCTGGACCCACAATTCTCAGCAAGGGCTAAAACTAACAGACAAGTTCTTAAAAGCACATTAGCGTCTCGGGAGTCAAATCGTTTGGTAATCATCTTGATCGCTTCCTTGGTTGACGTTTCAGGGTCACCATTATTAATGGCATCTGTAACATCCATGATGTACTGCCAGTTGTCACTTGTAAGCGTGCAATCAGTGGCAGCATCTATCAAGTGTTGTAAATTGGACATTTCGTTTATTGAAGTGAAGATGAACGTTTATGCGGTCCTTGTCAGGTTTAGCTTTACTTTGCCTTCATTGATCTTATCTTGAGTGTATGCAGGTGTCTCTCGAAAATGTGAGAGGGCGGGAAACACCCTAACACCAAATTATATGGCAAGCCTAAGCAAAATGAATACAATTGGAGATATACGAGATATGTATACACTAAGACGTGGAATAGTCTGATCATACAGTGCAGTTCTAATAATAGTGGATTCCATTTTTTAAAAATAAAAAAACCATATAAAGAATAAATCATTCATTAAGAAAACTATACACGCTTATTTTTTGGATAAAGAGAATGATTTTTGGCTCCAATGAGCATTTTACATCAAAATCAAATCCTGGCTTGACAAAATATTTACCAAGTGCTTTGTTCTACAGACATGCTGTCTGTTGCTGTTGTGTTGTAGAGATGGAATGTTCTATTATGGTATGGGAGTATCTTCATGTATGTACCATACCAGGATCTTACCTTACATTGTGCAGCGAGTGCGGCATGAAACCTCAATGGTAATATAAATCTGTCGGCGTTACCTAAAACCGTACAGGGTGTGCAACACACTGGATCAGGACACACAATAACCTGTTTCTGACAGTCTCGTGAACTACCCCTATTGAAAATTATGCTGGGCTACCTGGGTTCACCGTGGCAGACACAAAATAGGGGCCTCTGGACTGCAGTGAAAAAAAAACAAAAAAAAGAGCTACCAATAGTATACAAAAGTAACAGAGACAAGAATTGACTATATGGTTCTTCACTAGCGTCTAGTTTTCAAAAATGTCTAAGGAAGAAGACGTTAATACTAATATCACCCCGTTTCCTACGTCGCGTGCTGAGGGTTCTTCTTCATTGTCCGCCGGTCATTTAAGTCCGGGACAGTCTCCTAATCAACATCGCAGAAGAGGTTCTTCTGTGGGCCATATCAACTTAGGAGATACCTCTTCACCATCTTTTGCCACGATGCCCACATCAAATCTTGGAAGACGTCAACTGGATGCTCGTATACTCAAGCTTTCCGAAACGGGATCCTCCGACATGGCCTTAGTAAACAAGATGATTGTTGCCTTTAGAGAACTCACCTACAGACACACATGGGTTTATCAATTTATATTCCTTCTGGTGTGTATTGGACTTTATGTTATTTCTGGCGAAGATACTGAGATTCATCATCAATTGAAAAGATGGATTATCCCTGCTTATCACATTGAAGGCACCGACCAATATGGGAAAGGTGGAGATGATTTCCGGTTTGTCTTCTTTTATGCGGTGTTCTTTTTCTTCTTGAGAGAGTTTCTTATGTGTATTGTATTGAGACCTTTGGCTTATTCCCTCGGTATTACTAAGGAATCTAAGGTCAAACGTTTCATGGAGCAAACATATTCCATGTTTTATTATGGTATATCAGGACCATTTGGGTTATGGATCATGCGTAGATTACCCTTATGGTTTTTTGAAACCACTCCATTCTATACCAACTACCCTCACAAGACACACGACATCTACTTCAAAGTTTATTATTTGGGTCAAGCAGCTTTCTGGGTTCAACAGGCAGTGGTTTTGATCTTGCAGTTGGAAAAACCCAGAAAGGACTTCAAAGAGTTGGTTTTACACCATATCATTACCATTGCGTTGATCTGGAACTCATATCGATTCCATTTCACTTGGATGGGTCTTGCTGTATACATCACAATGGATGTATCAGATTTCTTTTTGGCTACATCCAAGACTTTGAATTATTTAGATTCATCGTTAACTCCACCCTTCTTTATTGTGTTTATATTTGTGTGGATTTACTTGAGACATTGGGTCAACTTGCGGATCTTATGGTCTGTATTAACTGAATTCAAAACTGTAGGAGATTACACCTTGAATTGGGACACACAACAATACAAATGTTATATTTCCCAACCCATTGTTTTCTTCCTTATTGCTGCTTTGCAATTGGTCAATGCATACTGGTTATTCCTTATATTCCGTATCTTATACAGAATGGTTGTTGGAGGTGTGACTAAGGATGAGAGAAGTGATAGTGAGAGTGAGGAGGAACAAGGAAATGAAAAGAAGAAGAAGAAGAAGAAGAACCAATAAATACAGTGGAGGCCGACATCCGCCCTTACAATCTTTAATTAATAGTCTCTCACGTATACTTACTTGCATACTTACGTACTTACTTACATAATATACTAATGAATGATATACTTTGTATTTGTTCGCATTTCAATGTCTTTTTGTACTCCTATCTTCACCAGGTAAACTTGCTTAATTCCTCTACTTGTTCAGTGCATCATGAGCTTACATATAAGCCACCAGGATCTTCAACGGTACCACGAGGACCACTATAAACTGTCAAACAACAATACTCGGAACTATGTTATTCTGAAAGGGTTACACGTTTTCGCAGAACAAAAATATGACAGGTCAAATAATGACAAGTCAAGTATACGTGCTACTGGTAGTACTAATACTACTTCTTCTCCTCCACAAGGAGCCATCGAAATCAATCTCAATGACATAGAAATCGATCCCGAGTCTCTTGAAGGCGTCATGGACGTATCTGATAACCCTCAGGTGTTGGAGTACTTAAAGTTTAAACATATGCACCAAGAAAACTTTCTCAGGGATGTTGCCAATAAAGGGTTGAAGAAACCAGAACGTACCACTCAACCTCCACCTCCACCTCAACCTCAAAGGAGATCAATGAATTACTGACGTCGTTTGATCGATGTTTATTATTAGCCGTTCTAACTATGTACATGAATAATAAGTAAATTTACATTATGCAGATGATGCACCCAGTGCACTTGACTTCGCTTTGGTATACGACTTGAAGGCAGTGATTCTTTCCTCCATACCAGTTTGAGCAGCCTTTGACAAGATACCTAACATCAATGATGTGGCTCTGGATGAATCATCATTACATGGAATAGGATATGTTAAAAGAGAAGGTTCCATGTTGGTGTCACATAATCCAATGGTTGGTATTCTCAGTTTAATGCACTCATTGATACAGTTTCTGTTATCAACAGGATTCACCAAAACCACCAAATCAGGTTTGATCAATTCTCTATCTTGAGAAGCAGAAAAGCTTCTATTGGTGGATACATCTCCCATATCAAGTTCAACTTTATATTCACCTCCAATTTGTTTGGTCACTTCAGTGAAATTAGTAATAGTACCAGGGATCCATCTTTTAGAAATATAAAATCCTTTAGATCTCTTAGCTGCTTCTTCCAATGCTCTTTCTTGCTCCAAGTTTTTAGAAGTACCCACATATAAGATGATACCACCCTTTCTGGCAACTCCCTTGATGACCAGACTAGCAGTTTTCAAATTCACCATGGTATGATTTAAATCAATCAAATGAATACCATCGTATTCACCATAAATGAATGGTTGGGTAGAAGGTCTCCACATGGCTCTAGAATGACCAAAATGACAACCAGCAGCCAATAGAGTAGCAATAGATGTTTCACCAATATCTTTGGGCTTGAGAACATCATATTTGGCTTTATATACATTGGAAACTTTAGAACCCAAATTACCAGATTGACGAGTGTGAGCCAATTGTCTCAAGTATAATTCTTGGTCAGAATAAGGTCTGTAATCTGGAGTTGGTTTCAAGTTGGGGAATTCATTTGTGTAAATACCTGTACTTGTGGATCTTATCTTTTGAACACTGGTGTCATCTTTAGTTTCGGAGTATATTCCACTAACAGTAGGATCTGAGCCTACTTTAGCCCAGGGACGATTGTGAGTAGCTGCAGGTGGCAACTTCATATGCTCAAGCATAAAAGACTCAAGTTCTTCATCCAATTGCTTGACCTTATCCTGATTGGGAATACTATCCAAGTCCTTCTGTAACTTAGCCAATCTGGAATTTACTAAATGAACAGGAGTCTTATTCAAAGTGTTGATATTGATTCTACTTTGTGCCTTCATTTCACGAATAGCCTTGATCTTCGCAGCTGCCTCTTCTTCACGAGCCAAGGCCTCTGCAATGGCTTTTTCTCTCAATTCCTTTTGAGAAAGACCTTGGGCCAGAGAACCATCCATAGATTCAGATGATGTTGAAGCCACAGTAGACGCATATCTGATGGATAAATTTACCCCTACCCTTCTCAAAGGGTTGCTGCCACCTTTAATCATAGCAACAAGTGAGATTCCAGGAGACGTCAACGGTGTTACACCAAAATGATATATTGTCTGTAGTAGCTTTCACTACTCTGAAAATTTTTTTTTTGATCGCCAGATGTCGCAATCTGCAACTTTGCGACATCATAAAAGATGCGACATTGTAGACAATAGGAAACCAAAGGAACTCATTTGCTTCATTCTAATTATTATTGGAGATTGCTATTGATGGTAACACGAAACGTTCTGAGTGATATATTGGCTTTTGCTGATCATTTGCTTAAATACAGTTCAAAGAATGACCTCCCAGTCACTATTGTTGTTATCGATAAGCAAACCTTTGAACAGCCACTTGCGACGGGCCAACTAACCGTCGGCCACATTAACAGATTGTGGAAGGTGAAAGTTGTATACGCTGAATCCATCACAGAGCTTGTAGGGATTTTCGAAGTATCCAATGACTCGACTGAAGCAGCCATAGGCATCTTTGGAGCATTTACTTCGTGGGAATACCCCACAATTGAAGAAACGGAAACGTTAATCCATTTAATGTGCGAAACAGAGCATTATAAGGATGTATATATTTGTTTAGGTGAACCTTCAAGTGATATTTGGAATCAAAACCTTTTCCTGGAGCATCACAATGATAGTGTATTATTTGAACATGTGTTACAAAAGTGGAATGTGATTTACTCTGATTGAAGCTCAAAAAAGGTATCATCTACAGGTTCGAGGGAACTTAAGATTTTAAGTTATCACAATTATAAGAATAACTATGTAAAGGATGTTTCATTCCAAGGTAACCAGATGTTTAATAACATGGTATTATTTCATATTAACTGGAACTAAGAATCTTTGGTGCTGATTTCTTCTTCAACTTCATCATCATCACCTTCATCACCTTCATTGTCATTGATACCATCTAAGTTGGCACCGGCTTGACCCAATTGACTTGCCAAAGCATTGATGTCAAAGTTTCCACCGGGACCACCGGCACCACCAGCGCCACCTAACAATTGGGAGAAATCCATTCCACCTGGGCCACCAGCACCGCCAGCGCCACCTAACAATTGGGAGAAGTCCATCCCTCCAGGGCCACCAGGACCACCGGGTCCACCTGGGCCACCAGCAAATTGGGAGAAGTCGCCATCATTCATCATTTGGTTGTCCGCTTCTTCGTGTTCCTGTTGTTCATCTTCGTCGACCCACTTGTCGAAATCAGTTTTAATAAAGTGATACTTCAACTTTTCCTTAGTCAAACGTGGCCAATACTCTTCCTTCAATTCTTTCTTTTGTAAGATGAAGCTAATCTTCTTACCACTGTCACTTCTCTTACTTTCTTCTGGAACAATTTCACCGAAGAAATCAATACTCAAATGATAGTGAGTAGATGAATCAGTAGTATCCGCATCAAAGGTCAAATTAGTTGCAGTTAAGTCGACCTTGACATTGGTAGAATCCCACACGTCAACGCTTAAGAAAATGACATTCTTAGAGGCTTCTTCGGTACTCGATCTTTGAGCCCACAATACTTCGGGGGTAACAGACATATTATTATTATTATTCTATCAATGGATTTATAATGTAACCACTATTGTTTAATATGGGCCTAACTTTTGTTGGAAGTACCAATTGAGACCTTTACACTTGCAATGCTATAAGTAATCAAATACCTTGGACCGATTGAATATCAGATGGAATTTAAAACTTAATGGTAACGAGGAACAATCTGAACAGTAGTAGATCTTATGTCAGTCGAGAACCCGTAATAAAGCTTTTGTCAATGAGTGTGGGTATTATTGGGAAACGCACGACAATCCAAAATTTCCAATTCTCATAGAAACTTCTAGAAACGTGAACAACACATAGAAAGAGATGGAAGGAAAGAAATAATTGAGTTTTATATGGTTACATTTGCTTTAATGTATTCCTTTCAGATAAGATATAGGAAAAGATACGTTAACAGTGATTTTATGATGTATCAAATGCCATTTCATATTTTAACTTGGGTTTCCTTAATTTGGGAATAAAATCATGTGACTTTTTATCACGTGCCCGATAATTAAAACCTCAATTGGACTCTACTCCTCAATACTAAGCACTCGACTACCCCGTATTGCTACTTATCACCTTAGATGATGTTTTAAAATCATGCTAGATCGATTACCCATAGAAATACAAAGGGAAATGCTCCTACTTGATCTGGGGTCTAGTCTCAAACACATCAACTCCCATTTCTATATCCTTTATAATGACTTATTCTATGATAAACTTGTTGCGGGTATAGGGTCAAAGGGTATAAGCACTATGATTTCGGTGTTAGGGAATATTAGATTATATATCCGCTCTTTGGATAGCTTTCGTAGAGATTCCAGAACTCTTATCCTGTCAAGGTTACATTTGCCCTCAGAAAGTGTGACCACTAGTACTGGGATTAGTACTGGTACTGGTACTGGTACTGGTCCTGTTGGCATACCAGCACAGTTCAACTGCATTTACGTCCGTGATTCATGGCGATACATTTATGCACTCTTTAGGAATAGAAGATTCCATGCCCAATATTCTGATTATAAAATTGATGAACCCACAAATTATATATACAATCATTTCGTGGAGATAAACCGAACTTATTTGCTTTCGTTTGAAAAGATCTTTTGGTTACTTCCAGGAAGTTATAACTTGACAATTGGATTGGTCGTGAAACATGGCAAGGGATTGGGAACTACAAAGTTTGAGGTTGGCTTAGATCAGGATCAAAATCAAAATCAGACTCAGATTCAGAATAAGCGTGTTCAAACATTTTATCCTCCAACAAATATCAATGAGATACTTCCAAAGAATCAATTTTGTCTCTTGAAGATAGGTGAGTTTGAAGTCCCTAAAAAGACGCGCAAAGCTGCCATTACTGATGGAAATCACTTTCAACGAGTCAAGTTAGTAATGGAAGAAATCGGGTTATACTTAAAGTCAGGGTTCCGTATTTTTTACATAGATGTATGTGAACCTTCTAGACTATTCAACCAATATGGACTATTGTTTTATACCGTAAGGGCCACAGACTATCGATTTTTTATTAATCTACCGCTAAAACAATACTATGCGGCATTAGAAAAGGCTATGGAGGAAACAGTATATGAAAATGGTGACCAAAACGGCTCAGGACGTAAAGAAATCGAAGGTGTTGGAGAGCAGCGACTTGAAGATGAAGTATATGATAGTTTTATGTTTCCCACTGATGGTGAAACGTCTTGGGATGATAGTCACTCAAATGCGGCTCTTGTACAACAAAGATTCCAGCTCAGTAATAATACTGGATCATCACCGTTAGATCAGTATGCTAACTTTTACTACAACAACTCACATTTGCCTCGATATTTTAAATTCAGTACTGTTTATAAACATAGACAGTTTGTCAATCGATATGGGGATTTCACCATTGATTGGAAAGAGGAAGAGAACGTGAACGAACAAGATATCATACTTGAAGACAAACAAACATGTTCATACGATAGATATGGTATCAAGTGGAAGATGCCAATTTTGGGAGATCTTTAGGTAAAACACAATGATATAGGTTAGGAATGTATGGATATTTATATGAGGTAACATAGTAATTGAAACTGTTTAAAGTTATTATTAGTGAAAGTAATCTTTAATAAGCTATAAATTTAAATATCTACTAACGACTTTTGAATATTAGTTACTTCAAGAAATAGCGCAACATCCGCAACCAGAGTTACAACATCCGCCACATGGAGAACAGCTGCTGCAACAGTTGTTTTTTTTTTTCGTTGTTCTTACCGTTGGAGGCAGAGTTCTTTGTAGTAGTTTGAGCAGCCATATTGAGGTTGTTTGTAAGTTCATTTGATGATAAATTATAAGAACTCATTAAAAGGAAATATAACTTCACTTTTGCTCTTGGGTTTGAATTCATGGCTATATATGGAATAACCTGGTTTCACTTATTCATAAACCCAATACGATGGTGTCTATAGTTGGAGTATAATTGGAGTCTATAGCCCGAAACTCATATACCCAATTGGTTTAGTGTACGTATTTAATATAACCGAACAGGGTTCCCTCAAAAAGAGTTGACCCAATTATAGTCCGTTCATTTGATATAGTCCGTGAAATCAAGAATTCCAATGGGTATTAATATTCCCAAGTGAGTTTATGGCTTCCGGGTTAGGTCTACAGCTTCCTGTCATTACTGGGAATTTGTAAGGCACACGGGGCTGGTTACCGTTAGCTTTCGCAGTCATTATTTTGCACCTCGTCTACGGAAGCCATCTCGCGAAGACGAGCAGCGTTTTAGGTATTTTGTGAATGGTTTCACGATTCTTGTATCAATTAGATACATCTTATTCAAGACGTGGTGCAGCACAGATCTTATACCAACAAGATGAATTTCTGCTTGCATCGTCCAACGTCACAAAGGAGGTTGACACAAAAAGTGTTCTTTTGGGATTATAGCATTCCATTTACTGGTTTGGGCATTGTGGACTGGTGAGGGTGAGGTCATACAATCCAGCCTGCGACAAGAATGAGTACAGTAACGACTAGTTTTGGAAAAGATGACATAATAGAAAGTACTGGACTCCATTAGCGAATGATGTGGTAATGTAATACGATGATAAACGCCGGTGACACTTTCAACCTATGCCTTGTACTAGAAATCAAGGCATTCCTGACACTTCAGAATAATATTGTGCGTCTACAATTATTGCCATATTCTTTAAACTGTATTATTCCCATAAGAGTCTATACACTGTAACATTCTGCACTCTACGCTATTCTACACCCAAAACCAGCCTACGCTATGCTTCCTTCTAAATTTTACTACAAGTGCAAAGGATATACAAGTTAATTGCATTACGTAAGCTATATCGATGGTACTTTTAACGATTACGTAAGAAAATGTATCTACCCCAGGTATGCCATACACAGGACAAACAAAAATAAATAATGAGATCAAAAGTAAAGGTTGAGACCAGTGAAGAGATAAGTATCCTTCAAAATAACTGCCAACCCAAATACGCTTTATATGTCTAGACCTACCACCGAGTCCAAAAGAGCAGAGAATGGTAGAAGTGAAACATCAGAATCAAAGTCTAAAGAAAGAGGTCCAAATGAGCAGCAACCTTTTACAGACGATCGTGACTTTGTCCCCTTGAATAACGACACTATAGTTGAAGAGGAGGATCCATCAGATGAAGGCAACGAAAATGGCGAGTTTCAATTTGACTTCAATAACAAGCGAATCATTCTTCAGAAGTTTACCATATATAACTCCAAGTCAGCTATGTACATAGTGGGAAGTAATGCTAAGGAGACATTATTCCGAATCTTGGAGATTAACATCAATCCATCAGATCAGACACAACTTGACATAATAGAGGATAAGAACTACTTCTACACTCGCAAGGATATGGTAGAGTTAATTGCAGGACTAAACGAATCAATTGAAGGCGGCATCCACCGTATAGCTCAAGCATTTGGTTTATTAGGTTTCATACGATTCACCAAATGTTACTACCTTTGTTTAGTTACGAAATGCAGTCAAGTTGCTGTTATTGGTGGTAGGTACATATATCATATCGATGAAACGAAGCTCATTCCTCTTGATATTTCATATAAAGGACCAGGAAAGTACAGTGACGAAGAGAAACTTTTGGGCATCTTTAAATATTTGGATTTGGGAAGAACTTTTTATTTCAGTTATTCGTACGATATAACAAATACTTTGCAAACAAATTTCATACGACATAAAAAAATGGCTTCGAAAAACCAATATCCCCTTAAACCGGAATTGTCCAAGCGACCAATATTGCATGAAGGGTTTGATTCCTTAAATAGAAATGAAAGATTTGTGTGGAATAATGTGCTATTGGAGCCGGTCCTTTCTTGTCCGGAGGTGGCATCTTATGAATGGTTTCAATCTATAATTCATGGGTTTATAGATCAAGCAAAGGTATCCTTCTATGGTCGAATGATATATATTACAATAATTGCAAGACGATCACGTCATTTCGCTGGGGCAAGATTCTTGAAGAGAGGTGTAAATGATAAAGGAAACGTTGCTAATGAAGTTGAAACTGAACAAATTGTGTCAGACATGCTTGTGTCATCATTTCACGATCCCAAATATGGTTTTTTCAATAATCCTAGGTTTACAAGTTTTGTTCAACATCGTGGTTCTATTCCTCTTTATTGGACCCAAGATTTGAACAAGTTGCCCAAACCCCCAATTGAAGTCAACTTATCAGATCCGTATTATCAAAGTTCTGCAATTCATTTTAACAACCTCTTCAAAAGATACGGACTGCCCATAATAATATTGAATTTGATTAAAACAAAAGAAAGACAGCCAAGAGAGCTGAAACTAAACCAGCATTTTAAAGATTGTGTTACTTACCTTAATAAATTTTTGCCAAAAGCCAAGAAGCTACAATTTATTGGCTTCGACATGTCAAAGAATTCCAAGAAAAATCTTGATGTGATAGGCCCCTTACAAAAGATAGCAAAATCGTCCATTGCGCAAATTGGATTCTTTCATAATGGCATCAACCTAGCAACCACAAAGATCCAAAAAGGAATCATTCGTACCAATTGTATTGATTGTCTTGACAGAACCAATGCTGCTCAGTTTATCACTTGCAAGGAGGCGCTATATTATCAATTAAGTAGTTTGGGGTATATTCCCGAGGGGAAACTGCTTGAATATGATTCAGATTTGATTAATATTCTTACTGAAATGTTCCATGACCATGGAGATACTATAGCCATCCAATATGGTGGTTCAAACTTGGTAAATACAATGGACTCGTACAGAAGAATCAACCAATGGTCTTCACATACAAGAGATGTATTGAATAGTGTCAAAAGAATGTATTCAAACTCGTTTATGGATCTGATCCGGCAAGAGGCAATAAACCTATTTTTAGGGAATTATGTTTATGATCCAAGCAAGCCCAAACTTTGGGAGCTTCAGAATGATTACCATTTACACAATGACGCATCAAACGTTAATATAAGAAGCAAAAGAAGCTATGTTCATTGGTATAACGACTCTTACTTATCAGATAATAGATTTTATGTGGACCTTTATGATGTTGTTCATGGTTTGGAAAAGCTTATGCCTTATCCAGAATACAATGATAATTGGTTTAACGAATTCTATATGCCACGAAGGTATCAAGCATTGAAAGATGTGTTCCAGTATAACATGAATTCCAATACTAGATATTTCCCCAGTACCGTCAATGATGATACGAACTTTGAGTATAGTCCATTTGAATCTCGAAAACCAATTTTAAAATCGAATAACGAAATGAGCGATGGAGAAGCTTTGTATAATTCCAAAGATCATTCTGAAGTTGGAGGTAGGGGAGTTGAAGAGAAGAAAGCTGACAAAAGTGTTGAAAAGTTGGGAGGCAGATTTGACAAGCAGATGCAAATGATATTACCTAATAACTACCAGGGTTTAGATTCATATGGAAACACTAGCTCACATCAAACTCTATCTCAAAGTAAAGAGGATAATGCAATACAAAACATAGGTGTTAGTGAGAAAGATGCGGACATATACTACGAGCAAGTTGAGATTGGCAAACTTTTGAATCAACAAGCAAACCGGGCTCAATGGAGGTATAGGCCTAAACCCATGCGTATGTCGGAAGACGATTGCAAGGTGTATCGATTTTTTACTTCCTATTCTAGCTCCCTGGATATCTATAATGATAGTGGTTTACTCAACACTGCATCTGCGACTGCAAATTCCCAAGACTTAAAAATATACGCCAATTATCTTGGTATGGATCGAGATGCCATATTTGAACTAAATGCTGAAGATGACTACTTTAGATAATCATCAATCTTCAAAAGTAAGTGTGGAACAATGCAATGTATTAGACAGGTTCTAAATTAGTAAATCAGAAGGAGGACGAATAGGGATGAATTTAAACGTAGTGTGCACATACGTCTTGAAATAAGTCATATGTGATGGGGGCCGTAACGTCTTAAACCACCTAAAACTACATATGGAATATGTTTAGAACGTAAACAGAAAGCCTTAAGAATATGAGGGGGAAAAATAGAGCATGCAATAATATAGTAGGTAATTCTTCGTTGAAGTACGAATTTTCGAGAAAATGATCTTTATTTATCAGGTTTAATAGATACAGATGGATCAATCGGTTATAGTAAAGGATAACCAATAAATAGGTTATAATAATATAGTAAAGGTTATTTGGCTGCTAATGCTAACTGCATTGCAACATTTATATATTGGCATTAAATATAATGGATAAAATAATCATTCGTTATATGAATCGAATCTTTAAACCTAAGCTCATGTTCCATCAGGAAAGGCATGTTTCTCGTATGAATTGATAACAACAGGAAGTAGTTGCAAACGCAGGTAGATATCGTTTGAATAGCTACAGTATAAAATTCTTCTAGCTGGACAACTCTTTCCTTTTCAGAAGGGGTAAGCGACTCGGATAAGTACCCAGGATCACCGCTGTGAATAAATTTCTTCATCCTAATGGACGTATTCCAGAGAAATCTGTCAAAACAAAGCCACCAGGGCGCTACATGCAACAAAACTAGTCGGTAGTTCTCGTGGGCTCGCTTCCTCAAACCCAAGGGCATATCTCTCGACGACACTCAAAGTGTTGGAATAATGGTAATATTAGTAGTTCTAATAGCAGATAGGTTAAAGTGAAATCATATATGGCCTGGCCGCGTTACAAGGATATTACTCCATAGTCTGAAACATATTAGAAAGACTAAAGAGATTGGAATATAAAAATCTTGTAGAATGATGACGGCTAGGGGATTGCTTATGGCTTTTACTAGGACAACTTACCTTACGTGGATAAGGAAACTCTGGATATTGAAATCATCAGATTACTGTTGAAGTATTTTGTGTAAGCTAGAGTAATGACATACTTTTGTTATATATCTAACCCTATTCGCGTACTACTGATCTTATTCAGTCGTGGAGGATCAATTACCCCAAAATGGTCGGAAACGACGTGATGGCATAGAAAGGGGAATTATTCAGGGGTGATAATTAGAACATGAAGACCGTCAGGGTTGCAATGAAATAAAATTTCTGTCCATATATAGAAAATCCGGAAGCGAAAGAATCCACCTAAGGTCTTGTTTATGATATCTGATATATGTTAGTAAAATGAATTAAGGAGCCACTTAGGACAAAGCAATCTGATCATAACTGAAGTCAACCGTTAAGCTGTAATCTTGAGTTCAAAGCTCGTTACCCAAAGGCTTCGATACGTGCACGACCACTAGAGACCTCTCGGTAGGGAAGAATGAGACTCAACCCTACCCAATAATTGCAAATTTAATCGTCAATGCAAGATAAAATATCAAGGGGAACAACCGACAAAAATAGCAAGTACTACTAGGAGAATTGAAATACCTAAACCTAAAGGAGGTACAAGACCTCTAAGTATAGGTCCCCCGAGAGAAAAAATAGTACAACAAGCCATGAACATGGTTTAAATGCTATATTTGACAGCAATTCTCACAAATAATGAATTTAATAAATATATATAAAAATTTTTTTCTAATGCTGATAAAGATATATTATAAAATTATATATACTAGGTGAATAAAAGATAAATAAATGTACTGCGATTCCTTTTTCATGTTTACGAGTTTTAGTAAACAATTAATAGTTATTTTAAATAACTTATGTTGAAGTATTGTGTCAGAAACATGCAGGATCGTATATGACACAATTATGTAATCTGTTGGTTGCAAACAAATAGCTGAGAGAATATTGTAGAAATCCTAAATTGAGTTATTTAAAATATCCCGTATAGGTGAGTCAGGATATTTTAAATGATAGCTAGTCACGT